TTCATACGAGATCGCATAGCATCAACCTCGGACATGTACTCCAGCACGATCGACTTGCCCATCAGAGCTAGTCGATCGGCTTCTTGTACGTTCGACCCAACTTGCTCGGTGCGTCCTCGAATCTGGTTGTGCAGCCCTTCCTGCGCCTGTTTTATGACACGGAGGCTCTCGTCCACCGTGTGGGACTGGAAATCCGTCTCGGTGCGGCCATTGGGGGATGTCCGTGGTCGCTGGTCCCCAGGGACTCCAGTAACCGCGGGTCCATACAACGATTCCGTGTACCCAGTAGTGGGAGCATACGACATTGGATACCCCTGTGGGGCATACGCCATGGGGTAACCTTGCGGTCCATACGCCATGGGGTACCCGGGTGGGGGCATTACGTATCCCTGAGGGCCCATTGGGGGTCCTGGGGGAAACAGGTATGGTCCCTGGGCAGTCGTCGGGTGACCGGTGTTAGGATAAATCTTAAACGGGTCACTAGAGACGCTAGGGGGCATCCCACTGCCGTCCCATCGGGGTATGCCAGCGTATGGGACCTGCGGGTGAGGTTGTAGCACTGCAGGATGTGAGGCCTGCGGTGCTGCTTGACTCGCCGCGACTCCCCGCACTCCCAATGGGTCTGCTAGCGGCGGCGAGAGGTCTGCGGCGGTTTGATACCGTCCCAGACGCTCTTGACTCGCGTCAGTGGCATGGAAAACCATCCCATCCCAGTGCGGTCCTCCGAGAGGGGTCGGGGAGGGTGGAGTGGTTTCCGACCCAGTGCCATCAACGTTCGAGGCCGGACGGCGAGGTCCGGCGGTATTAGGGTTGCCGTACACAGGCGGCCTGCCGTCGCCCGTGTTCGCGGCCAGTCCTCCTCGGACAGTGCCTTCACTGTCCGAGTAGGCGGTGGTGAAACTCTGGGCACCGGAGCCCTCTGTCTGGGTAGAGGATCCGGTGCTCGCCGAGTTTGGTCCAGTGGGACCGGTGGGTGCGCTAGCGGCTTGCCCGGGATCACGATCTTCGGAAGGTCGTGATCCTCGGTCGGGAAGACCGCTATCACCTTCCTGTGAAGGCGAATTACGTACCGTGCGATCCATCACCGGAAGTATCCTTCGTCTTCTCCTTTTGATTAGACTAGAAGTGAACTCAAAAAAATGTAAGTAACGGTGCGGTCGCCTTATCAAACCAGTGTGAGTTGCACAAAGTCTTGAGTATAGGCGTGATAGATGAGGATACATGAGGAGAACGGCGGCGCTGAGGCCCCGGAGTGGTGCTATACAGTCCCAGTCCAGCCACTACCCACGGGCGCCTAAGCGCCAGAGCCCGGCCGCGGCACTGCCACGGCCACCGAATCCTTACACCCGCATCCGGGAACCGTACCTGCGCCTTCCATCCGCACCTTCGAAAGCGTGCATGAATTCGAGGGGGCATACAACGCATTTGTGTCTGATCTTGTAAAGGAGTATAATTGGCATGAGCATACGATGACGTGCTTCAAATACGTACCTAAAGGGCTCATTCCAGAAGACGCAGAGTCCCGAGATGCGCTGTGTCGGATGCGTATAGATGGTGGTACGTGTGCTGAAACTCACCTTGACGAAGAGAGTGGAGGGGTCGTCTTGCGTCGGCTCCATCCACGCATCGCGAGCTACAATGATCTGGTTATCTTCCTATTACAATGCAACATGGATATCAAATTTATTGGCTCGGGAGAGGCGGCCAAAGCGTTATTGTACTATGTGACCGACTACATCACCAAGCCTTCATTACCTATGCACGTCGGACTTAGTGCTCTGTCATATGCTATTCAGAGAACAAACGAGAAATTTCCCACCAAAGTGGGGCAAATCACAGCAATCGACGCGCCTGACCGTGCAAGGGGAGCGCTGACTCTGACTGTGAATCGTATGATGTCGCGTCAGGAAATTTCTCATCAACAAGTAATGAGTTACCTTGTGGGGGGCGGAGATGTGTACCGAAGTCATACGTTTCGTGTTCTGCACTGGGGAGCGTTTGATCGGCTGTTCAAGCGTCATGCGACTGAAAACGCCGTTCAGCAGGGTACCGGAATATCGCAAATGGCCCGAGTAACGAACACCGCACCTTCCAGCATGAATGCCGAAGAAGCCAGCGGGCAAAGTTCCGCAACGAGGTTCCACATCTCCGATGCTGTCGTGATATCCGGCGTGGAAGACGATGGCGAAGACAATGACGACGAGGACACTCAAAGTGACGGGGCAGTCGAAGGCGTAGCAGAAGATGAGGACGAGGACATCTTCACAATTTCTCTGAAGTCCGGGAGCGTTTCAGCAGCCAGCCAGCAGCAGGACTACGTTTACAGAAGTACGGACGCACATTTTGATCAGTTGTGCTTGTACGAGTTCGTCGGCACCGTCGAAAAAATGACAAAGCGAAGCGAGGCAAAACGTACCAGGAGTACGGCTGAAAACGTCATGGGCGGAGACGTTAACGATGAGCATGCTGAGGTTGTGCAGCAGAACGTACGCGACGCAGCGGGGAATCGTCGTGGTCGAAAGTCTGAACCGAGGGGAATGTTCTCGTCTGATGAGCACACACAATATCGCACTCACTGCTTGCGTCGTAGAGTCGACTGGACCGTACCTGTTATATTAGGCGACCGTACCCCGCGGTCAGACAGAGGAGAGGAGGAAAGAGAGTCTTGGGCCCGCATGATGCTCATCTTGTTTGTCCCCTGGCGACGGCCTTCTGACTTGCGCGAGTCAACGGAGAGTTGGAACACCGCATTTGAACGGCAGAAGGATTCTATACCTGCCCGCCATATGACCGTGATTGCGAATATGAACGTACTTTCTGAGTGTCGCGACGTACGTGATGGGTTCAGAGACATGCGCCGCGCGGAAGCACTAGCGTTTTTGAAAAGCGGTCTTCCATCTGGCGATAGTGCCACACATACTGGTTTAGACGACGATTTTGGCAGTCAGGAGTATCAGCTATTTGAGAAGCCGGATATGTATGATCCTTACGAGAATGTTAAAGAGCTTGTGTCCTCTCAGGCTGCACTAGATGCCAAGATCGGAGTTAGGTGCAGGGAATTGATTGACGAGTGCTACGCCCCACGCGGCGACGTCCATGGGCGGCGTACGGATGGAGCGAATTCCCGCACAGAAGACGACGAAGCGATGCTGTTGAGACATCTTGCTACGATGCGTTACTTGAAGAGGCAACGCCGACCAGAATTCACAGACGAGGATACTGGTGACCCACGACCACACAAGCGGCGTAGAGGGGTGGGTATAGAGGAGAACGTGAGACTTGCAGTTTTGAGCGATGCGATAGACTTCGCCGCGGACGGAGACGCTGCTCCAGAAAATTCTATCAGCGCAATAACGGAACGAGTTGTGGAGGAAATGCACCTAAATCAAAACCCTGAGCAGGAGCGCGCGTTTCGTATCGTCGCAGAGCATGTACAGAAGGGCGAAGAGCAACTGTTGATGTACATCGCAGGCGTAGGCGGTACTGGAAAGACATACGTTATTAAAGCTATTGTGCGATTTTTTAACTTACTGGGACGCTCACGAGAGATCCTAATAGGAGCTCCTACCGGTGCTGCAGCGCTGAACATTGACGGATACACCGTGCACTCGTTAGCAATGTTGCCAAGCAAAACTCAACGCTCGGTGGGGGAACTCAAGAAGCTGTGGTCGCCAGTAAAATATTTTGTGATAGACGAAGTATCCATGATTGGCGCAAAGTTTCTTGCCCAGATTTCGCGACGACTGCAGCAAGGCAAAGGCGATGACGGGGAATCAGCAACAGAACCGTTCGGAGGAGTGAATATTATCTTCACCGGCGACTTTGGTCAACTTAAGCCTGTACAGTCGTCGACCCTGTATAAGCATTCTCTGATTAATGATCCCGGGATGCAAATCGTGCGGGACCATACCGGGGTGGATGCACTGCACGGTATATATCTCTGGCGTCAAGTTCAGCATGTGGTGAAACTCACCAAAAATCAGCGACAGCACAATGATCCTGCGTACGCGGAGTTACTTGCCCGTGTCCGCGTTGGCGAAGCTCGTGCTTCCCGTAACCACACTGCCATGGGAGAAAGGAGCGATGTAGACGTCCTATACCGCAGGCTGATGCAGCACGTTCGGATGGAGGATCCTGCATCTCTATACCCATTCAAAGATGCTCCGATCATTGTCGGGAACAAAGAACTGCGCGATGCCCTGAATGCTCGAATCGTTGCGCATAAAGCTAGAGAGTTAAATTGCGACGTTACCGTACTTAATGCCAAGGATTGCGTTGACGGTTGCATAGCTCCTGAGGCGGTGCAGCGTGGACTATGGAGATTGCCCTGTAAAGTAACCTCAGACTCTTTGGGTCGCCTTCCGTTCTTCCCGGGAATGAGAGTAATGATCAAAGAAAACATTGCCTTCAGTCGGCGCCTTGTAAACGGAGCCGAGGGAACTGTGGACCACGTCGTGCACGAAGAGATTGGTGGTGTTATATACGCTACGGTTGCTTATATCCGTGTTCCTGGAGCAGGGAAGATAAGCGAGGATTTAGAGGAGGACATTGTACCAGTGTTTCCCGAGACCGTGAGGTTCGAATGCAAAATGACCATCGGGGGTCAGTCACTGATGAAGCGTGTTACACGGGTTCAGCTTCCCCTTATTCCTGCTTACGCGTACACTGATTACAAGAGCCAAGGAAAATCACTGACTCACGCAATCGTCGATATTGACAGCGCGAACTCCCTGCAGGGAGTGTATGTTATGCTTTCGAGGGTGCGCTCTCTCGAAGGCCTGATGATCTTGCAGCCATTCTCGCCTGCTAAAATATGTTCTCGCCTCTCTCAGGAGTTAAGAGATGAGCTGCGACGCATTGATGCGTTAGATGAGGCTACGAGAGTCAAGTTTGAGCGCAGATAGAAGGAGTCGCAAGTCAAGGTGACCGCACGCGCGCCAGAGTCGGAGACTATAGCTTTAGGCGCCGGCATTCACCGCGGCACCGTATAGCTCTCCTCTCCGTTTTCATGGCTAAGTCTTCGTCTTCGAAGGCTTCCTTACATTCATAGAGCCGTAGCTACAACGGCGAGACACAGTCTTAATAGAATCGCTTTCGAGTTGAGTTCAAGTCGAGCAGGAGCAACATTCATGCCGCCTAAGAAAAAGCAAGACCGACCGCCGGGATTCGAACATGAGCGTTTGTGCTTGTCAGCCGGTAGTTCTTTCCCCACCTAACCGTTGAGCCACTGGCCATCTGAGAGGTACCCAAAACATTTAGTATCATTGGTAAGCTAACCCCCAGAGTCCCGCTCTCTTTTGAGCCTCCTGCCGGTGCCAGTGCCACCAGGGCTGCCATGGCTGCCTGCGCCCACTTACCGCTTATCTCATATGTTCACTCACTCATGGGCTGGTGCTCTCATCGTAGCAACACTGCTACTAGCGCAAACTCGAGCTCGACCGATACGGTCTAGGTCGCGCTATGCATCTTTACGATTCAAGTCGAATTTGTACAACAATTTAGGGAAAGATCATCCGAGTCAACGCGGTCTCGTGCCTCTCCTCGCGTTGGCGATGGAGAGTCTGTACAACCCTACAGGATAGCCTTCTGGTTAGTGCAGGTACGTACTGATACACCATCGTGTGTTGCGCACCTCTGCACCGCTGATTGCGCCTTTGCCCGATCCAATTCCCACATGTCAAGCAGGCGATTTCCACGAGAGTCTCGCCTGACCACCACAAATTTGCCACTAAAGTCGGACGACGGCCCTTCTCCCATCGCCGCTAGCCCTCGGTTGCGCGGACACTCAGGGCGCGCCGCGTTGAGGAAGTACACGTTGTACTGATCCCAGCTTCGCCCAGGCCCCCCGCGTAGCCGTCGGACTCGTACCACTGCTGATCCGGGAATGCCCTCCTGCATCGTCCAAACGGAGCTGAGGTCGGGAACGTCCTTCCACGAGTCATCGCCGTACTGCCAGCGCTCGACCGGAACGGGCTCGAAGCGTGCGAGCTCGACTAGCGGGAAGGTATAGGCTCGGACCCATCGTCGTGCCTGCGCAAAATTGACCATTAATGATAGTCACGGAGTACAAACGGGAAGCGTACCGGGACGGTGTCAACCCTTCGAAGGTTAACGGGTACGGTGACATCCATTGGTGAAGTTGACGGTAGCGGTCTTTACGAGGACTGTGTGCTATGGAAAAGCTGAGCGGATAATCGGCTTTTATGGTCCTTTGTGCACACTCACTGGTCGCTTGCGCAGAAGTACGTCACCAGCCAGATCTACCATATTGTGTGGTATGCGAAGGTCCTGTGGACCGCGCGAGTGCGACGCACGTATACGTTGGCGAAGCAACCGGGCGGTAATTTCCGGTGCCGTCTGATTCTGTTTTTCGGAGGTGAGTTCCAGCCGTACCTTCAGATACGCATATACTCGGGAGTACGCGTCATGCACTTCGTATCGAGATCGTATCCGTGGCGTCATACACAAGGGGATCGCGATCTAGATGCGGAAGATCGAGATTATGCACTCGCGTTAATCGAGATGTCTGCCGCATCGTCAGACTCGCAGAGTTGCCGGCGTTGTCTATGACGCAACTCCAAGTTCCTTCGTCGGAATGCGCGGACGTGTGCGTGTGCAGACTGGCCTGCCACACACTCGCAGTGCAGGAGCGTCTTACTAGATAAACCATTTCATGGCTGTTGATTCAGCGTCTCGTCGCCATGTCCGTCGTTCCCATCCCTCGAAGGCATGCCCTCGCTGTGCGAAACCCGCCGGCAGCTGCCCCCGTACCTCGTCCTCGTAAGCCTGTCCCGCTATCTAACTCTCTTACCACTACTCATCCTGGGAGCTATATCCAGACCCCGTGGTCTTCTCGGGAGATGGTCAAGCTGTAGCGGTACGCGCACGCCGTGCTGCTCCTCGCGTGCTTGTGCCCGCCAGTCCGGAGATAGACTCGGATCCGCCGTCGTCAGATAACCGTCCTAAGTACAACTTTCGCTCATCCAGTTTGACGGTATCTGACCTTTCATGCAGGATCTATACTGTGAAAGGATCAGACGTCATTATGAAGAGATGTACGTTACACAATCACTCGTATGTGCGCTTTCCAGCTAACGACTTACGCTCATAGATCGCGTGAGGGGTGGGATTGGCTTTGGAAGCAGCGGGACGGTTGTGCGCGCCGAAGACGAGGTCACAGGAACGGCCGTGGCCATCAAGGTCTTCCATCGCGACGATGAGATGCAGGCGGATGTGAAGAACGAGGAAAGGATGTATGAGAAGGTACTCGCAGGCTGCAATGCACATGTCGAGTGGGTACACTGGTCATTTTGCAGCACGATCTTATGCTGACGCGCTTTCTAGTCTCTTCGCACAGGTACTGGGCAGCGGCATGCACCTCGGCTTCCACTGTGTAGTATTCGAACTTTGTCAAGCCACGCTGTTCGATGTCCTCCAAGGATATTCCGGTCTGGCGCCTCTTCCCATGCGGCACATTATAGAAATTGCGTACCAGATCATCAAGGCCATAGGACGTACGCTCATAGCCCGTGTTCTGTTGAGCTATGCTGATAGATTCATCAGACCTACACTCCCTAGGCATCGTGCATACTGATATCAAACTCGAGAATATTGCGCTCAAAGTGCAGGACGCAGCCAAGATACGTTGGCTTGACCCTACTGCTGGGTTTCAGGATAAGGTGGAGTCCATCTATACCGCATGAAGCTCTCGCTCTCACGCTTCGTAACAGAGCATTCTTGTCTCGTCGCAGATCCGCATTCTGGATCTAGGCGGCGCCATCGAGCTGCAAGGCCGCGGAGTGCACCACGGGTGGGTCGGTACGCGAGGCTATCGCGCCCCCGAGATTGCCTTTGGTAAGCTCCTTTCAGCCTGCTCTCCGTCGCTGGAAACATTCATGTCGCCATCCAGGCCTCCCATGGAACCGCGCTGCCGATAACTTCTCCATCGGCTGCGTCATCGCCGAGCTATACCTCTCTCGTCGCCTGTTTGATAACGACATGCAAACAGACAGGGAGTTCCTAGCTGCTGTGGAACGCCTTCTTGGGCCTTACTCCCGGGAGTTTGCCGAGAAGATTGAAGCGAAGCACTCGGGCGTATTCTCCTTTCATAATGGCACGGTATCCCTTCTATATCCTCCGGCGGGCAGCGTTTTGTCGACCTCCGACTATGCCGAGTCTATGCGAAGGCTGGAACGCATACGGCCGCTCGCGGTGAGTTGTGTATCTTGCTACTCGATGCGCGTTCCCTCTCATATTGAGATATGCAGGCACAAATCCATGACACACCCCTGTACGATTTACTTTGCAAGCTGATGGCCCCCGTCCCGGCCGAACGCATTTCGCTGGAAGCCGCCGCAAAGCACGACTTCTTCGATAGCCTCAGCCGGCTGCAGTGGTTGTAGATACTCTGTTTTTGCCAAGCTAATATGATGTATGTTCCGTTATGTTATGAAGTCATTCGCCATATTCCGCGTCCAAGCAGATGTATTTCCAATGCGGAATCGCGCTCCGACGCGCCGCCGGCCCGGGTTTTCGCTTTTCGCCGCGGCGTCTGTGAGCGAGCGAGGTTGGTACTGCGCTGTCTTCATCGTGGCGCACTACTCTCTTGAAATCTCCCCCTTCGCTCTGCTTAAGCTCACACTGCACGGCGTTCGCGCTCAACCGTAACCTGGGACTGGTAACGCGTGCCTCGACGCAAACGCTCTGTACGTTTGCCCCGCTATGCCGTGCCAGCCCCCTGGCGATATGCGAACAGACTAAAGTAAACAAAACGGATGAATTGGCTGCCGCGCACACAGCGCGCTGCGACTCTACTGTCTGCCGCCGGATACGGTCTGATTTAAAATGGTACGTTCATTCTTTTAATAGCCTTGACGGCTACTGCGGTTTTATCCAGGCTCTCGAGACGCTCCGAGCGACTCCCCCGAGCGGTGAACTGCCATCGCGCTTGGCACACTCTTCCTGCGTAAACAGCAAGTTTATTTGCTCGGCACTGGATGCGCGTATCGAGCCATGGTGCGCCATAATGAGAGCTCAGAAGCTGCGAACGGCGCACCGCGTAGAGTGTCCACTAATATACGTGCTGGTCTCTTGAATTCTGGAGAACGTCCGTCGGTATCCCGGATTTCAGTACTCGATTACAGCCCGTAGTGATACTGATTCATCTCCCTCAATCTAGAATCCACTCTTTTTAACGCCATGTGGAGCGTGTAATCACGCCGACCACACTCAGGCTACGGGCTGGCAGACACGGTAAGTGTGCCGCTTCTTGTCTCGTGGGTCTACGTGCCTACCAGATAAGTCCATGATTTTGGGCTTCTGTGTGAGTGAGTCTGGTTGGTGTGTTACATGTTCCATGCATTGCTACATCTAATGCATCCCTCAATTGGCTAGAAAATACTGCGGCGCGAACTCGGGCATCATGCGAGTCTCCCTGCTCCTACCATCGGAGTGCCGGGGCCGCGTTGCCCGTTTCCGGCACTCCTGCTGTCAGCTGTAGGCTGTGAGTTCGAATAACTTGACACACGCGCAGCCATTGCTGAATATCTGTGTCATGTAGCTTTCGCGATGCCATATCCAGGTTTCGGGCGGGCGGGCTTTATCTTTGGCTTGGTCGGCACCCTCGAGCTCAGAAAATTGTCACGTCGCTTCTCAGTAATAGATATTCTCAGTTCACCTTGTCAAATACCGACCCGATATATCGGAGGCCGCAGGTCCGGCTGTTCGCGTTTCCAGCGAAGCTCATTGTACCAAGTTTCTGCGACTGAAGGTATGTTCTGCGCCACCCACGCTGCTCGGTAGCTTATGGCGTACATGTCATGTTCTGGGACGCTGCTGGTGCAGAACATGCCATTACACCATGAAGCCACGTGGCAGAGATCCCCCTTGGCAGGTCTAGGCTCCTTGATGTTTTGCTCTGTTTGCAGGACGAAGCGCTCAAACATTGATGTGTCGCTTATCGTGGAACCCATTCTCTGCATTAAACCCCCACCGTCACGTCCAGCTGGCGCAGACAAGTATGGTCTCTATAACTTGCTCCCCAACAGCCATAAGTCTGGTACGCTTGGTACCTGCTACTGGAAGCAGAACGTAAGTCTTCATACACTCCCAAATATGATGCGCTAACCCGTAGGGTTTTGTAGTTTCATTCTCTATACCAAGAATTCACGCACCATGGTGTTCTGGTCAGGCTGCCAGAGTGTACAAGGTGTGTATATGACATGGTATTCAAGACAAATGGAATATGTAATAACAGAGACATCAGACAGTAATCACTCTTGCTCCCCAGAGAGTATCGTGACAGAGATGGCTCATCTCTGCCTGGCTTCAACTCAGCCGATACACGTGGTTGTGCAGACCTCTACGACTACCCGGAGCGGGCCGATGCCGAGCACCTTCCCCCCGGTCTTGCAAGCCCGAGTAGCAGAGGCAGAGCGGTTGCTGGAGCGGATTGAAGAGGTCGAGCGGGAGTGGGTTCGCCCTGCGCCCGTGTTTTCACTCTGATCCCCTCCGAAGTCATTCTACACATTCGTTTGGTCTCGCCGTCATAATACATTCCTTTCAGTGCGTGCAAAGCCAGGCCGCGGCCCGTCTTCCGGGCGGTCGCGACATTGTGACGGTTGTGCGGTTAGGTTTAGCGGGGTCACAATGTGCTCGGGATCCGGCATGGCGTTCAACTGGTAGCCCCGGCTATATTCGCGGGTCTGTATGCACCAAATCATGCAACAAAGGAGTGCGACGTCCGAATCGAGCGCTGAAGGTGGGTTCAAGTTCGAGCAGTGAGAGGGAGTCTGAGTCCGACCGGGACTCTAGTAGCTTCCGTGTATGCTTTCGCCTGCTAATATTGTAGCGACATACAGATACAGCTATCGCAAAAAAATCTAGATAGTTTCCGTGATCCCAAGGAAGCGAGTGTGCCCGCCTCGGAAGGACCGCAATGGTGACCTTGCCGCCGCAAGCCACCTCCAGCGCTTCTGTCTTGCGCGCTTATATCTGGCGCTGGTCATCGATGACGTCCATACATATGGCCATTGCTATTCCTCCCGATGTCTCCGTACCTCCATGACATAGTTAGATCTACACCTCCGATGCTGCACACGCATAACTCGCTCTTCTGCGACGAGTGACCTTGAAAATCTGTGGCAATGATGCCAGATCTATGCCTCCCCGATACTCCACCGCGAAATTCCGAAGCACAGGCTATCACTTTGCGATAGTCCCCGTGAGGCGTAGGGCTGGAACGAAGCTCAAAACCAAGGCTTCCCCGGTACGTATGATACTGCGCGCAGCTAACACGCACTGACACACGACATAGTAGTCATTCTACGAGATACAGAGCGGCGTGACGTTCTGACACCCTACGTTCCGACACCACGATCACATCCCGGAGGCGGCTATATGATCTCCGAGCGCGCCCTGTTCGGAGCTCGTGTACCCTGCGCCGGCCCAGCCCATCGATTGGGCGTGCACGCGCGCAAAGGTTGAGTGCGCGGCGAAGGTCCAAAATTCCCGCAGGGAGCCGAAACGTAGCTTCAAGATGGTCTTCGTCGTCTCGTCGCTGCTCGTATACTGCAGCAGCATGGTCATGGATTGCTGTTGCGTCGTGGCGTCAGAGACAAGTGAGGAGAAGGAATGGTGAGTCTGACCTCGTCGCACGCTACTATCCAGCTTTCCTTGATAGCACGCCAGACTGCAGGTCTAGGGTTGCGCTCCGTCCTAACCATCAACCAATCTGAAGAAATGTCAGGTAATATGGGGCGTTAAAACGAGGCCACTTACGGTCGTGCTCCGACATTACGATCACGGAAACACTGGCAGACTCCCATGTGTCGTTGGGAGAGACTCTCAAGTTGTCGTCCCCCGCCGAGTTGAAGTCGATGTGGTCACAGTTAAGGACTGTCCAGGGCATGGTTGAATTCGTCGCTCAGCTCGAGTGAGAGGGGAAAGTGAGTTGCCCTCATCCTGAATTGCCCACGCGTGTCTCTCTCCCCTAACGAAGCTCCAGCTTTCTCGTGATAAGGGCGAGATCCAAAGATCATCAAAGGAATGTTCTCCATAGGCCCTGGTAGGAAGGTATACTTTACCCCGTAAGTCCGTTCTGATCAGATGTCAGATCTACGAAATACTACGATGTCATGTCCACGGTAAGTATTGTCCGGCTGACTACACCATGCTCATTGCTAGGCACTCTTGCGCTCCCGCTCTGCCGGTGCGCCTTCATCATAAGCAGTGCAGGTTGAAGGACGACCTGATTGCGTCATTCTCATTCTACAGACGAGCCTGGTTTTGGCTCCGTGTTCTTATTCGCAGCGCCAAATGCGCTGGAACCTGAAGTATGTCATCTTTCCTGGTGTCCGCCTCTTTACGGATAACGCGTACGCTCAGAAGAATATAAAGGTCTTTGGTTGTCACTCGCTGCGTTCACTTGCGAGGAATAGCGCTCTACCTATCGATCCAAACGACCCATCACCGTTCTCATATGGCCAGAGTGAGTCAGGCACCCTCTTTCTTGTAATTGCGCTCACCAAGGAATACTAGTTACGCCGGTCACGCCGTATCTCGGCTGCGCGCAAGATGTTCGACACGACGAAGGTTCGCACCGCCAAAGAACACAACAGCCGCATTCGGTGGTTCGTTCAGCAGGCAAGTTATTTTCGAAGTTGTCTTTACCTATATGCACTGACCGTCGTGCGCGTTACAGAGGCTTGTTCATGCGGCGTATAGAGCGCTAGTGTATGAGGTCGGCGGAACCCGACCGCGACTACTTCTATTAGCAACTCGGGAGGATTGGGACGCAGCGTGCGGTTGCCCCGCGTATCCGGAAGATTTGGATGTCGCCGACTGGTTCGCGCAAGGTCCGAAACTCTCCCCTCTCGACTACTTTCCCGGCACCCGTTGTCGACTCGCGAACGGGTACGACATCATCTCGGTGGACCGTTCGCGCCGCTATCGGAAGAATCCCCCCATCAACAACACCCTCCATCAACTTTTCTGCGTGGATTGGCCGGGTGCGCTCGTGGTAGTGAAGCGCGCATATCGACACACCGGTCGAGCCGTCAACATCACTCCTCCGGAGGTCTCCATGATTAACGCAGTAGTTGAACGGTACGTCACGCGATTTCTGTGCCTACCGAGCTGATTCTATCGCATGGTACGCAGGTGGCTACAGACGCAGTCGAAGGCTAGGGGATCACGCTAGTCTTTTGATTTTTCTGCAATCATATGATGTACAATCTGCCTTGCTTCACAAAGCGTCCAAGAGAGCAACATCGCCGTCTGAACCCTCGCCCGCTGATGCGCCTGTATTTTCTGTGTGCGCTCCTCGCTCTCCCTCGTCACAGATAGTCCTTTCGCGTTAGATGGTACTTGACCGGAACGTCCGCAAGGGACCGGAACATCAAATGTGCGCGCGCTGTTAGACGGCCTCGCCGGCTGAATGGTATTGTATTTAGTGCCGTATTCACATGAAGGCGGCCTCGAATAGCCTGATATTTCCGCGAAGAACCCATCGCGGGACAGCCCTTGGCATGGCTCGCCTTCTGGGTTGCTCCTCATGCAACCTAGAACATTGCGCATACGCTACTTTGCGCGACCTCATGGTATGCACCACGTGCAGGGTCCTACATCCTGGTACTCTGATAGCTGGGCAGTGACGCTGCTCAGTCCTAGTTCTCGTGATCTATCTCCGCGCGTGGGGGACCCAATATCTGCCAACCTCCACTGCACGCGTATGTGGTCATCCTTTCCGTTTCCGAAGTGTTAGGCTTCCGTCGCAGAATCGCACTGTGCCCGTCTCTAATTTTTGAGAACACCTGTGTACATGTGCATCCTGATGTTGGAGCAGTAATATACAAGGCGCAGGAATTCTGGCCTCTCTCGTATCAGAAGACAGTAGCGGAGGTGCGGTTCGTTAGCTGCCTGGCGCGAGAACGTCACCATATCGATAATCTGCGCGGTGCCGAGTCAGCCGGGACCTCATGACGCAAGATGCAAGTAAGACGTACCTCTTCCCAGTGAACCGTCCACTCGGTTCCCGTGAGGTACACCGTGCGCGTCGTCTGCGAGGGGGAGTATATGGCAATCCCCCCTGTGATTTTCACAGCAGGTGAGCGGTGCGCGGTGTACCAGCGGAGAATGGTACTCACAGTGCGCCGTATTCATCGCTGCGGCGGGATCGCGCATTTCAACGACGGTGATCGTAGCACTGACCCACTCGGATGATTCCGCGCCTGCACTGATAGCAGTGAAGTAGGCGCCATGTATGGTGAGATGGGTGTGCATGGTCCTAGCGGGAGCGTCTAGTGACGTCGACGTCTTCGAACTGGATGGATTACACTCACTTTTCCAGCACAGAGGGGACTTCCGGGTAGATGACGCTTGACATCGTGGACGTTGAGAAGGTGTTCCCCGCGGTTTTAAATGGGTGGGCAAATTCACTCAACGAACACATCATCCCGGCGGTCGCCGCGCAGGAGAAACACCTGTCGGCGGGGAGTTCAGCTATAATCTCGCACCATAATAAAAAGCGCCGACAGAGAAATGTTTTATCCAGAGAGACTAGCTGGACTTGGTACTGTTGTGGATCTCCCAGCGAGAACTCTGGTCCTCTGTCGGTTTTGACCCCGATGTTCAAGCCTAGAAATCAGCTCGTCAGCCTGGGTCGCGAGTGCCTGACACCGCGCCGGAAGTCGCTCCACGCTAGATCACCACGGCGATTGCTACGTACTCGGCGAAGAGACTCCGGCACCCATCATGAATGTGTTTTGCTTCAGTGTGCAGCCCCCGAAGGGCCAGTGAGATTGCGTCGTGCACATAGGTGAGTTCGACCCACGGTGACGGCCTGAGCACACGGCTCCCAGAAGGCGCGGCTGTGCCTCAAGGCTACGCGCCGCTGGGCGCCTACGTGTGCGGAACCTTGTTCTGATCCATCATGTCTGCCGGCGCTCCGAACCCCAAAACTGCTACCTCTTGAACTACGAGCTCAAGCTCTGGGGTCTTTTTCTCTTCATTGGCAGGTGCTGTTCTGGACTTTCGAATAGCTTAGGTGCAGATCATTCAGCCTCTGCTTCGCAGCACTACGACACTGGTACCATTTGATAACACACTTTACCGGTCCATCGTGGGTCCGCTGAGAGCAAATCGTTACCTTAGCTTCAATTCTGATAGGTATTCTGACCTGTCTCCGCGCCCGATGCGGTCGAATGCGGCTGTATAAGCAACATAGGACGGCCAGATCCATCGTACTTGGACTCGGATAGGCACAGGTCAGTGCATGCGGTAGGTCATAGCCCTTTTTGGAGATGTGGAAATGCTAATTATCCGTTTGATTTCTAAGCTTTCTTCCCATGACGTCCACGAAGATACTCAGATAGGTGTCGTGTACCCTTTGCATCGTCATCGCCTGCGCGATTCCAGAGCAGACGATTCGGGGATCTCACAGCCGTCACAGCTGTGCACAGGGTGAAGTCCACAGTCGTGAGCGTATGCCTGTGGCGAGTATATGTTGGGTTCGTAACAACTTGTCTACCACAGGAAGCTCAGGGCACGCCCCATTCCATGCAGCCTCTGCGCGCCCACATACTCGGCCAGGTACACATCTCGAAGTCATCGCACGCTTGTAGGCTGACCATATTTCCCTCATGTAGACCTCGCCATGCCTGCGGTATTCTCAAGGCCAAGCGCTATGCCCGCGATTCCCGCCGACATCTACATCGAAATCGCATCGTATCTCCACGCCCGTGATCAGAGCACTCTGCTCTCCTCCTGCTGGACTGTGCACGACATCATCGCCCCCATTCTTTACCGCCGCTTGGACCTGTGGATTCAGCCTGTAACGTGGGACACGGCCGACGGGCTCGATCACTCCCCGCTCAGGCTCTTGGCTACGTTGGCGGTATCAGGACGCTATGCGAAGATACCTGGATCGACCCGCTGCTACGCGCGCTACGTGCATGCCTTTGCCTACGCTTCCTACAACACACATGTAGATCTCTGCGCCGTCCCCCTGATGGCAGAGTTTCTGCGCTTCGCCATCCGCCTGCGTCACCTGCGCGTTGACGTTGTATCTGCCTCTATTCCCCTCGTACTGGACCAGTTCCGCCGATCATCCATCATCTGCGCTCCTCCCCCCTCCTTCGCGTCCATGTACGTGACGGCGTCCTCCATCAGCCCCTGGATTCTCCCCTTCCTCGAAAGTGTTCGTTCGAACAAAGCAACTCTCGTCGAATCCCTCATGCGCTACCGTGGTATCCGTACGGCGATAGTCGACGGATTGCTGGCCACATCGGATATGGACTCCCTATTATCAATGTTGTCGCCCCTTCGCTGGAGCCATCTCGTGAGACTGTCGCTCAGCATATCCGATCCCGCGACGTACCAGAACGTCTTGCACGCAGCGTCCATATGCTTCCCGTGTTTGGAGGACCTCTCCGTTGGGACCAGCTCGAGGCTGGCGGATAAGATATTCAATGTGCGTATACGCTCTCTCCTAGTTTAAATTCACTCGCTGAGCAGCCTTTCAAGTTCGTGTTAGGGGGACACCCGGCAGGCAGTCTCGTTACGTCGAAGTTACGCGGGGTAGGCGTCAACTACGCTGGCTACGGGGACGAATATACCCAGACCCTCCAAGACGCTAAACAGTTGGTTGCGGATGCAGGAGAACGATGGCTTTCGTTGAGAATGGTCATCCTGGGTGACGCTATGTGGAGCAGGGATGATGATTTCATGCCTTGGGAGTTCAAGGTCGGTATCCCGCCAACAGTCTGGCAATGGCTGTACAACGTAAATGCTGGGATTTGCGCGCCTCCGCGACGACGATAGGGGCATACATGTATTTTACTTTTACGTGCTTATGTTTTTCTCCTGTTATTGTGAAGCCTTGTTGAAACAACGCGCGGTCGAGGCTGGAGTCCGGGGAGTAGCGCGACAAGACGTCTGATCATGTGACCGTGGCGACGCGGCATTCCAGCTTCAAGCTTAACTTTAAATCTTACCTTGCTCTTGCTCCGCGTCATCATCCTCTGGCTTGCGCTGGGCATCGCTCGCTATACACGTCCTCAACTCAGCCCGGTAGTCAGGCACAGAGCGTCCTCAAGCTATACTTCGATCGCCCATACGGTCCGGAATCGATGTGCGCCAATGACGACATTCGATGTGCGAGGCCGCGCATCTTGCGCTCAACCAAGGGTGACATCATGACGGTGACCCTCCGAGTACAGGTACGTCTTACCGTATGTTGGCGTAGTGCAATCATCGGGCTTGGCATGCTGCCCGACTGGCCCGCCCTCGACATTGCGTCAGCGACGTTTCGACGGGTGCTACAAAGGTATGTTTCCGTCGCACGGTGTTTGACGCGGAGCGACGTCACCGCATTAGCAGAGAAGCGAGTGCCGCAGCATGTCAGCCACCTCAAAGAGCGGCGGGGTGTTCATACAGAGTGGGTTAAAACATACCTACCCTCGCGAACGCTCGCAGGCTCTGCTCAACTAGCATAACCACAACGCGCTGACGGTAAGAGACATTTCTGGCACTGCGCCCCCATGACATGCATGCGGACTCTAGCTCATTCTCGATAACGCCAGGCATGCAATCACGGCTCGCTACATTCGAGCTCTTCGTCCTCGGTTCTGAGGTCGCCGTGGTCGATGCTCTCTTCGACGCTTGGACGCCCGACTTGGTCATGAAATTGCGGCCACTAAGCTCGTCTATGCTGCTCGCCGTCGAGGCTTACCGGTCCCGTCGCTGGAACATCGATTCTTTTCTTGAGCATTGGTTTACCGAGCCGCAACAGTTCATCAAAACGCTCAAAAGCTGCGATGGACTCGTATCTGGATCGGAAGCCCAGCAATTCTTTGCGCGATGCGAGTTCCGCGGCCGCGACCTGGACATCTACGTCCCATTTCACGGGCTTCTTGAAATGGGACGGTGGTTGAAGGGTCAGGGATTCATCTTCCAGGCATCTGCCGACAAGCATCCGCTCTTCGACGCTGCCGCTTTGATGTTCACGTCCCATGCGGGGCGCACGTCAGTGGGTCCGCCGCCCCCGTTCCCAGGCAAGCCTCTCGTTTTCAGTGCTTTCAACTTTGTCCGGTTTTGCAACTGGAACAGTCATCACCCGCTATCGCCGCCCGGCAGACACGCCCAAGTCATCGCCGTTCCCGACACCCCTGTGAACTTCATCATCAACAATTTTCATTCCAGTGAGTCATACACGTCGTACCTCACTCGTCCAGTCTCTTATCTACGCTCTTCATTAGCGGGCGTCATGAACTACTTCACTGCCACTCATGCCGTCTCCTTCTTCCCGCGCACAACGTTCGTGTCCCGTAAGACGCTCGTCTGCCAGGATACGACTCGCAACGCATTCGTGCATCACAACTGGATGAAGAAGTACCGGAAACGTGGATTCGAGGTCGTTGTGGCCGGAGACAAATTGCCGGATTCGCTGGAGCTACGCACCTGGCATCGTCGGGTCGGCGACGGGCTGATGTGGACGCTTCCTTTTACAGCCTTCAGTAAGTCCTCTGCGCCTTCCTTATCGTCTTTTCTGACGCTTCCGCGTAGCGCTACCCCCGACGGATACCACATCACCGCTCGATCAAGTTCAGCAAATCCCTTTCGAGGTGCTTCCGTACCACTTCGAGGTGGCAGCTGCTGGAGCGGCATTACGGATCGGCCCGCGTTTTGTGTACAGGTGAGATCTCGGCTGTGTCGGTCGAGGCTTTGCCTTATTGACTGATGCTTTGTACACAGCTCGATGTCCGTGGTCGCCGATCCCTACACACAGCTAGGATCCTTCTACCACTCGGCCGAGGTCGCCGCCGCATTCGATCAGTACTACGAGGACGACATGGTAATGGTCGAGGAGGGGGAGCTGACGGACGACGAAGATGCGGAAACCCAGGACGATACAGACACAGGCGAGGATGGGGGCGCGGGCGAGGGAGTGACCCAGGAGGAAGACGAAGACGACGTGAATGTAGAGGATGAAGATGAGGGGACTATGGATGAGAACGTAAGTGCAGAGGACAATCATCCTGAAGACGACGTGGATAGTGAGGAGGGAGAGGAAGACACCGGCGATGACGTTGAGGAGAGCGAGGGCAGTGAGTACGAGGAGAGTTCGGTCGGCGAGGACAGCGAGGACATGTAATGGTTACGCTTAGCTCAATGGTATCGTTTGCGCGCTCCGTCTACACGGTCTATAATCCCACCGTCCTGACAACACCTTGAAGTTGTAAGATGCGAGTTCGCGAAGAAGTGTGACATGCTAATACGGTACTCACCCTCGAGCTCCCGGGACACATATCTGCGAGTACTACGATGACCTAGCTGTTCAAATGCGTGCAGAAATAGCAGCCGGAGGACAAGCTGTACTACTGGGGGAATCTCATTGCATAGTATGTAGTTCGATACGATAGACAGAGCAACTGGGAATGTTGTCCGATGTTCCGTGGCACTGTGGGGTTACGTTTCCTGCTCGGTCGTCGAATTCTCGGATCTGCGTTGAGATCCACAGTATGATGTGCTGTATATGTACGATAACGGGGGCTTGCGCGGCACATGGGACTTCTTTCAGCGGCCGGATGCCGGTCGTACTAGCAAAATTGTAGAACGCATGCTTCATTTATAGCGAGAGGTTGAAGAATTGCAACACGTTCCATGTCTACAAAACCCCAACCGGATGATCCCCGACAAGCTCGTCTCAAGACCCACGAGGGCGGTTGAATTGTTCGCGAGGTACGGGGAAATGTCCCAGCGGCACCAGTGCAGCATCCTGCCAGACTAGAGTAAGCGTACTAACGTCTGCGATGTCCAATGCAAAAGCACTAACCGAACTGAGGCCGCCTGGCTCGGTGACAAACACAAAGTAGCAAGGCAACTGCTCTACACGTCGTACCATGATGGCGACGATGCGCTGGTCGAGCCTATGAACTGAGGCATAATCAGCACGGGGACGTCTGCCAAATGGTCCTGAGTGTCTCACCGTGGTTGTACCGTACGTGCCCGACCCCTTGGGGGTTCATGCACATAATATTGCAGACAGCGCATCCCTGAAGGATGCTCCTGACCGCACGTGCTTGGCTCGGTGTTAACTTCGAGGGGAAGGCTTGGAAGAGGGACATCGCAAGGTTGATGAGGTAGGACCTAGTCCGTCACGGAAAGGGTACTTATGGCCATGGTCGTTCTTAGTAGTGCAGCAGCGGCCATACCCTGGCAATGAGGACAGCGCGTATGACGACAGTACTTCCTCGTAATCAGAAGTCTCGCACCGAAAACGTCGTCATTGCGTAGGACGAACAAAGGACGAGTGCATCTAGATAAGCGGCGACCATAGTAGCATAGAGGGAGAGCGCGGGGAAGCCTACTTCTGTACTTAGACTTCCAGCTCAGATGGTATGAAGTCGGAGGAGAATGATGCTGGTGGAATCGAGATTTGAGAAAGGTACGGGCGAGGCAGTGGACGTAGCACCGGCGATCGCATGACGTCATGCATTTGTAGGAGGCGCCGACTGACATCACCGTGCAAGGGCGCAGCTTGACCTGTGCGTCTACCACCTCTTCGACCAAAAATCCACGACGTCGGGGGCAAGCACGTATGTCACTCTACGCAGGCGCATCGCAGGAGCGTATAAAAGAGCACGAATATGTCTGGCAATGAAAGTAAGTCCCCACCACTTCTCCACCATCGACCAACTCCCACTACGATTCAACCATGCGCGACACCTGGATCGACAGCGCCGAGAAGTTGGATCGAGCCCTTAAATACTGGAAGAAGTACTCTCCTTTCCAAAGCTATATCAAGCTTCAAGATGCAATCGACTCTCTGGGTACCGACGACAGACTAGTCGAAGCTCGTCCTGTGTACGCATCGCGCTGGGTGGTATGTGATCAGTCACCGCTCCTGCGATCCGTTGCCCTAATTGCCAGCCATATAGCTCTCTCCTAAACAAGCCACCGGACCGCAGGAGGCGGTGTTTCATACCGTTGGAGTTTACCGATGGGGTGCGAACGAAGAAACCGGTAACTTCGTCCTGCAGGGGGAGAAGGCACCCTCCAGTGTGGCCGAGTCACGCATGTCAGTGCATGGTCTTGATTGACACCCATTTACTTACGAGAAGCACCAACAGAAAGTACGAGCCTAGTAGCTTATGTCAATTCTCGTACGCCCTTGATACGCACCGTGACAAGACGATCTGGGCTGCGCAAAAGGTGAGCTGCTCCGTCTGAGGTCAGGACACAACTAACGGGTTTTATCAGGCATTCGAGGAATATGTGAAGGGTGTTGATGGATTCAACAAGGCACAGAAGCAGCGCCGGTCGTGGCAAGACGGAAGCGGCGCCGATAAACCGAACTCCTCGTTCGTTTTCAACTCTCAGATCTTTGTCAAGCGCAACGCCACTACGAAATATCGGGAGGCTCAGATCGAGTATGAGCTTCATCCCTGGATCAAGAAAGTCACTAGCGTTCCCGGCTGCGAGTATTTCGCCAACCCGGATCGGCCTGCGCTCTTCGAGCTGCACCAGGGCACGCTGCGCAACATCAAGGAGTGCAGTCCCCCGTACATCAAGAAAGGCGATCTCGTTTGGCTCAGCTTCTCGGCGGAGTACATCATCGGTGGAGAGGCGTGGTCTACGACCTTTGTTCCCTATGAGATCATCCGCGTCGGAACCCTCTCCGCCGATCTCGTCGGGGACGCGTTCGATCGCTCCGGGCCGCCCGCTGAGATTGTGGCACCTCGGCCGCGACTTATGGCAGGGATGAGAGTCGAAATCGGTGAGCATTTCTCATTATCCGTCTCATACACTATCTCATGGAGTAGATTTAGATGACGACGACGACGAGAATGTTGACGTCGCCATGCACAACAATGCGGCCCACCCTGAGCCAATCGCCGCAGTGCCAGGTCCAAACCCACCGCAGGAAGAAGAGCTTCCCGAGTCGAATGTGATCTACTTGCGGCCCAAGGACGCTCGAACATACGGATGGGAGACGAACTACACCGCCAGACGTAGTCCGACCCCGCCGATCAGCTGGCCTCCCAGTCCCCGATTTGAGGTGAGCACAACCAGAGTAAACTACAGTATATCTGCTAATCTCTATTGTAGACTGACGAGGACGTGACCATGTCAGATGAAGAAGCAGTCGCGTCCGTTTCCGGCTCGCCGAGCCATACCGCATCGTCTTCCCCCGGTCCTTCTGCCCATATGGAGATTACCACAGGCAGTTCCCTTCTCGACCCTCGCGCTTCGTCTCCCGATACAACACCCTCCACCTACGCGAGTGCGAAGGCATCCCGCGTCACCGTGTCTCCACTGCCTGTTACGGCTGCCACCGTCACGCGCCCGATGGCGACCGTCCCCTCGACCGTTCTCGCGACGCCGGCTACCAGCACGGCAACGTCAGACACTATCTTGCCATCCACCACTTCCGCTCTCATGGCGCCCCCACGTCTGACTGGCCTGCTGTTGGCTTCCCAGCCTACTACAGCACCGTCGTTGGTGTCTGCACAGCCGACGGGCGACTCAACCATGCCCGCGGAGTCTGCGCTCCGAACGGCAGCCCGAGGCGCCCGTCGTCCACAGAATGCTCGGCCTCTCTCCCCTTCGCTGCCATTGCCCGGCTCCCTAGTCATGAATGATCGCGCTGTCGTCGAATCTCCGGCCAACCTTTCCTCAGATCTCGTGACCACGACCACAGCAGCCTTCGGGACCCCTTCGACCGTGACGCCTCTTGGGGTCACATCGTCACCCACCGCCTCGGCCGTCGTTGCAGCCCCCACCCCCACCGCGTCCTCTTCCAACGCTCTCGCAAGCTCTTCGAGTGCTGCGGTCCCGCATCCCCCGTTGGCTTTGGCTTCGCGAAGCACTCGTCTAGTGATCAAATTGCCGGCTATTCCTGAAGATGACGAACACAACCGAGCCGAGCAGGCGAGCACATCCGTGGGGAAGGGTAAGAAACGAGCAGTAGACCCGGTTGGTCAATCAGCCGAAGGTGGACGGCGAAGCTCTGCTAGAGTAGCACGTCGTCGCGTAGTGTAATCATGTCACGGTGTCAGAAATGCCTCAAAGCGGCATGTTATATATTCTATGGCGGCAGTATACAGGGGCGCAGCACTCGACACACTCTCGATGCCCAAGTTATTGTGCGGGCGGGCTCTCCCTGGCTAAAAAGGAGCGAAGTTAGGTCTTTCCCTTGTTCAGGTATGTTCATAGGCTCGCGTATCGACACCGCGATGCTAATACTGCCCGTCTACCATATGTGCAAGTTTACGACTGTGTCTATTAGGGCGCGAGGTAGCCTCAATTGGAAGACCGACGCTTGGTTACTGTTCTTATGAACTCGCCACTTTCGAATCCCGGCCTCGCGCGCCTTGCTCCCAGTGTCCGTTCTCGTCCCATGTAGTGTTGTCCTCGAGGGCCGCAACGGCCACCCCTGCCAACTTCGACATTGCGCCTTTTCGCCTTCCGCCTCCTGTACTTTGTCTCGACCGCTCACTCCGCGCAAATTCGCCCACCCGTGTCCTCGTGTCCTCGCGCTCGTGAGGCGGCTCTCCACCGTCGCGCCCCGGGCCGCCCGTGTCCGCACAGGCGTCCAAGCTCGACGCCTCTTGCCTCAATATTGATACCTACCTCGGGGTCGACCTCCGATACCGCCGCCCGAGTCATCGGAGTCTTCCGCCGTACCTGTTCTACTCTCCGTGCTCGCCCATGCTCTCTGTTGCTATCCTGCCAACTCCCGCGGGGCCCTACGTGCGGATTAGTGATGTGCCAGGCCCGGCTCGGCCTGAAAGCCAGATAGATAGATAGATAGATAGATAGATAGATAGATAGATAGATAGGGATTGAAAGCCAGATATTGAGTGCATGTGTCCCACCATGGTCTAGTTGGTGCATGTCTCAAACCTCCAGGGGCTGCGGCCAAGAATGCAGACAATATGGAGGCAAATTTTGGTATGCCTTTCTCATAGCATTGGTTGTATTTGTGTTTCTTATTGCCCAAGCACATTTTTTCATTGAACTTTCAACTATTCTCTTATTAAACCAGTTCAACATGTGTCCCACTCATTGCCAAAGTCATACAATCAGTTTCTGTCTTCAGATATAATGGAGCCTGTTTAACTTATGAGGTTTGAAAGTCTCATCAGATGAACATGATTAAGGGCCCACCTGAAATGATGTGATGTTCGGTTGAGGCTTGCTGACCAGATGTAAAGGCAGAGTAGGTCCTATGGAGTTTTTGATGAGGTTAGAAACAATTCCAAATAATCATGTATCTCACCTATACCGCACACGTAAAATGCATTGAGCCAGAGTTATGGGCAAGGTGCATATAAGGCTCAAAAGAGGGGGAAGGACCATGGAGGTGGGTGGTATCTCAAAGTCCACTGCGACTAGGAATCCGCGAGTGTACGTAGTGATTTCCTGGCGGGGGCTCAAACTCCAGCCATACACAAGAAGGTCTCCACTGCTTGTAAGGTCCACCACATCCTGAAGGATAATGACACCTGGAGCATCACTGGTGTTACCAGCAATACTCACAGGTATTCCCAAGTGAAGAGGCTCTCCATCCTCGGTGCGGATTCTCCACTTGGAAGGAGCAAATGAGAAGCTGGAGTAGTGGATTCCAAATCCCTCCAACCCCATTTGTACGAGTTCTTCAGTGGAGAGGCGAGGCCGCCAGTGAAGCCGAGGGTTTTCACTACGGAGCACAGGGCCATTATTCAAGTGTGATGCAGCAGTGACTGGAATATGAGGGAGATTTGAAGGGGGCTGATAGATGCGGTAGGGGGGATTTGAACAGAACAACATGATGGCTGAGAGAGGGTTGGGGATGAGATCAACCATCTCCATTGTGACAATATATATACTCTTATCTGTCGGGGTTTCTATATACAATGTCCGCACAGGGCTCAAGCAGCTGACTATATCACGTGTATGCAAATGTGAGAATCATCCCAATGTGACTAGTAAATAACATTGAATATCCTTGTACTGTTCTGCACTGGTAGCACTGTGATCACTGATATGTGAATTGTGCGCCAGGCTGGTATGAACTATCAGAGAATTGGTGTGTGGCTTGTGATATGTCAGACAATGTGCAGAGCTAATGCAGAGGTTGGAGAACCCTTTGTCTTCTTCATGCCACCCGTCCATGTTCACGTAATGCATTGTTTTGTTTTGTTTGTATGCTCTATCTTATCATTGTGTTTGCACACTTTATCTTATCACCACGTTGGCACGTGCTCACATCACTCAAGTTGAAGATGTTTGCTTTTTCGAGGTCTTTGACAGCGATGACCACAACAAGCAAACTACGCCTCTCCCTCATTGTTCGGGACACCTATGTGCGGCCTCTTGCACCCCAGGCTACGGAAGCTCGCTTCAAACTCTTGATTTGTCCTGCATGCCCCCTAAAGCTGGGACAGCTTGCACGTCTCCAATTCTTCCTCCCCCCCGGCGATGACCCCGACTTCTTTCTCGATGCACCCTCTGCTTCTATCATACCTTCAAGGACAAACATCTGGGGCAAAATCATAGGCGCACGTCTTACTGGGTTGTACGAGATGGAGTTTGAGCTGGAGAACATCAACGAGCAGGCGCAAATTCGACATGCATTCATTCGAGTTCCATGCTACCCAGGCCGCTCAGTTAACAAGGCGCTTTGGAACTCCTGTTTGTCTGTATTTTTGGAACATCTCAATAGTGTAAGTCAATTGTTGCGATTCCAGGAGATTGTCTCACTCTACCTTGACAGGCAACACTACGTGTTCAGTGGCGAAACACCTCGATGCAGTGATTGGTCCAATCATCTAGTGGGTGTGCTGGGAAGGAGCAGAGCATATATTAGACATCACATTGGAAGAATAAGCTCAACTGAAAGGTACGAGACTTTCTATGCTCTTGGTTCCCTGTCCCTTCTATGTTGCTGAAACTATCATCAGTGGCTACAACTAATGGTGCTGCCTATTATTATTCCTGCATTAGTATCTATGAATGTCACAATTGAGGCAGGACAAAGTTCAGAGCAACATATTGTGTTGATGTGCTATCTACAAATGTAGGTATCAGCGTCCGCGACCAGCGTCCGCGACCAGCGTCCGCGACCAGCGTCCGCGACCAGCGTCCGCGACCAGCGTCCGCGACCAGCGTCCGCGACCAGCGTCCGCGACCAGCGTCCGCGACCAGCGTCCGCGACCATTTTGTCACGCGTCATGGACATAGTGGCATATTATTTACTTGCACATACAACATGTTGTAGCTACAGGATCTCAGATACGCTTTGTAATGAGGTTGATGCTGCTTGCACTGGGAAGGGGCTAAATAAAATATTGGCTCTGCAGGACAAGAACTCACGGGAGCATGACTCGGCAAGGGGAACCGTTGTCGAGCTTGATGATGACAAAGAGGAATCCCTGAATGAGGGTCAGATATACAATAATAAACTGTACAAATAAAAAAAGACTTGCTTCAATGTTTTCAGTATCTTCAACAGTACCTGTGCGTGTTTTACCGCCCTCCAGGAAAAACACACGATCATGAGTCTAAGGAATGATTATTAGCATTAGGATTTGACAGTCAATCAGACAGTTAACTCACTGCAAAGGCGACGACTGGAGGCATGCTGTATTGCTGGGCAGAAGGTGGCGGGTGAAGGATGATGTCCAGTTGAACGTTCCCATCATGTAGCGCTGAGATTCCCTACCTCTTATACAGCTTCAGACTGCTAAGCGATGTCCAAGGGTGTCGTAAATTGGAATGAGGACGTAAACATGTTTGGTAGCCGATAAAGTAAGGTTTGACGTAAACATTTTAATTACAATCCTATAAAACCAAAATGACACATACAATATAGAGTGCACATGGACGGTGACCTCTGAACTGCAAGGCGTCATTGTGCCAGTGCAAACCGCAATGTTGCACTCTTTCATGGTGAGTGCAGGACAAATTATGAAAGAGCGCAACATTGCGGTTTATTTGGTTAATTGCCACACCGGCCCGGTTGACCTCGGTACCCGGGTTCCGTATTATCTTCTGGATCTAAGAATATCTTCAAGTACGTCAAAATCTCAGGCACATGAAAGCGTGAATCACGTACACATAGCGCACATTTAAGACCATTTATTCTCATGCTTTGACGTGATGCAGATTTATAACGCAGGGTCGGGGGCGGGGGGCAATCATGGCGGCTGGGATCCACATGCACTATATATGTATGATTTTAAATGGAATTTACATAAGCCCCAGGGATTGACTATTCTTGGCAGTTGCCCAATGTTCCGGTAAATTTCCGAAGATGTGGAAAGCCTTGACATGCACAGTATGGCGCACTAATAGGAATTTTATGCAACCCTCTCTGAGGTGGTAGGTACATTTTTTGATTAATTATGTGTATTACACAGTCATACATAGTCACATGTCTGTGGCCTGTACTAGTAGTCCAGGTGTGCCCGGAGGGCCGTGCTATGAGCTACTGTAGAGATCAGACGTTAGCGGCACGTCACAGGTCACAGGGGCCTCCGCCCCGCCGCTATTGGCCCCTCGGTCACTGGTCACCGAGGTCGTCGCCGCTTGTGACAAAGGTACGATACACCGTAGCGCCGGCCGCCGCTGACGCGGCGGCGGTAGGGAGTGTCACAATCGCCGCTCCGGAGGGCGCGGTCACAGGTCACCGTGGGCCCGCCGCTCCGCCGCATCGTCTCCGACCGGTCACACCCAAACCCGCCGCCTCTAACGTCTGATCTCTACAGTACTGCTGAAGACACATTGAAGGCTCTGACGGAGAACTGACACATGCTTCAAGAGCGGATAGGCTCCGATCTCCGGATACCGTGGTCTCCTCGACGGGTGCATGTTCAGTAACTGCAGGATAAGCTGGTCAGTGGAATATTCTCGCAAGCGTCGTGAAAGCTACTGACTGCTATTACGAAGGTCCGGAAGCGCTTTGAGACGCGATTTTTGCGCATCTTCTTCTTAATCACGCGTAACTGAAACTTCATCATGGACTCGGAGACGTTCTTCGAGGCACCTGGCAGGTTGCTCTGAACGGGTCCAGTTCACGTCTGCGTAGCGTTAGATATGAACTGATGACTCACGTCTTCCATGAGCAACGAAACCAACGTCGCGCCAAGCGACCAGTAGTCCACGGCCTCGTCATACGTTGGGTATTTGGACGCATCATCGAAGAGCACCTCCGGCGCGGCGAAGGCAGGAGTCACGACAGCCATGCGGAGTTGGGAGTAGGGGATGCAGCCCGACGCGTCAAGGAACTGGGCGCCGCCGAAATCTGCAAGTACGCAATGGCCGTACTCGTTGACCAGAATGTTAGAGGGTTTAACGTCATGGTGGACAACCCCTAGGCGGTGAAGGTAGTCAAGGCCAAGGATCTGTATCAAGATGTGAGCTACTCGCGATAGACTTCAGCCGCGACGAACTCACCACCTCCGCACAGATCAGAGAGAGGCTGTACTCTGTCAGGTTGTATTTGTACCAGCTCAAGTCTCCCCCCGTGCACAGTTGGGTCACGATGTGGAGGTACTTCCCAGCAGATTGCCACGCCCAGAGCTCGTCGCCCAAAAATGGCTGCAGCAGAAACGGCGAGGGGTCAACCTCCTCCGCCAGCCTACCTAGAACTTTTAACTCGTTGATGACTCCGTTGCAACCAGCCCCTGACATCCCGCGAGCGTAGTGCACGACCTTCATCGCACACTGCTCTTTCCAGACCACGTTCAAGACGCGGTATACTGTGCCGAACCCTCCTTGCCCCACCACACCCACGCTCATCCACTTGGTGGAGCTGGACAATGGGATGCGCAGCCTCCTCCACTGCAGCACTTCTATGTGCGTGCCAGTGCTATCCAGGTCAGGATCCTTCTTCTTTTGTCGCACCCGACCGCGAGGATCTGGGGCGACCCCGAGCTTCTGCCGGACGTTCGGAATAGTCGGGAGAGAGCCCACGCCGCGTCTGGCATTCGCCGGGGGATATTGTAGGGCGTCCGCTTCCGCGGGGGAGCTGTGAGTGACGAAGTGCCTAATGGACTCCTTCGCAACGCGCCCAGGGACAACCGCCACCTTCTTCGCTGCATTCCGCCTGAACGCCGTCGCGGTCGGCGAGGGAAACCTGTTTATGAGATCCAGCAAATCGGCGTCGATGGACGTCGGGCCCGGCGGGTGAGAGGGCGCGACCGCAGGTGGCCTCGTAGGACCCAACGGTATCGGCCCGGAGTTCTGTTGTAACAGGTCTCGAAGCTGGTTTCTCCGCGCCTCCGAGCTGGACACGGGTTTGAGAAAGCCAACAACCTTTTGCAGGAGGGGTCTTGGGGCACGGACATGCTTCCGCAACAGGATCGAGAGCTTCCGGACCCTGCCGGTCTGCTGAGTTGGACCTACAACATCCTTGTCGTTGAAGCACTGTTCCACGGAGGACCAGCTGTCAGCATGGGAGGCGGGGTAGTCCTGCGAGGGCGTGGTAGCGAGATTTTTGGGGATAGTAGCATCCGCGACGCGGCCACCCGTGTCTTCACCGCCTAGTTGCCCCGCTTTCTCAGCACTTCGAGAGAAAGGGTTTGAAAAAACTATGCGCGACATGGTATGCAGACAGAAGGGACGAACGGATGATACGGAGGAGTGAGCGTTGGATTAGATGAAGATGCGGGAGTGCAATAAATAGTAGGCTGTGATTCCGACGGCACTAGTGGGCCACACACCATACGACAAAGAGCCGTTTCATTGTATTGTGGCCCGTGGCCAAGGGTGGCCTGGAGCAAGCCCATTAATCAGGGCGGAAACAAAATGACTGCAAAAAGACAAAGGAACGCGAGTCTGCCGGCACGTTTGGAAAGGCTGCCACATACCTTGGCGGACGTGTGGTGTATGCTCTGCAGTCGGTTTCGTTCGGGACGTTGGGTGAGATTAGCGTTACATGATCTTGGAACACAGAGACACTTTCATGAGTAGAAACGCTCCGTTAATGGTGCTCGTCGCCCTCGCCATCTTCGCATCGTCGTCGTGGTGAGAGCGAGAGAGACCGCCGCCAAATGGCCTTCGCGGCCGCTCGATGGCAGGGTGCCCGGTGTCGGACCGGGCGGCAGCTGCGGCCCGGTTCCTGCGCCGCTGAGAGTATGGGCGCTTCGGCGTTGGTCCTGCTCTGTCAGATTCCGCCGCTGAGTCCCTAGCATCGGCACCTCCTCGTCTTGCTCTCTCGTTCAAGATGGCCTCCCCCCCTACGAAGCAGTCTCTTCTCCATCTGTATCACTCTATGCTGCGTACCTCGCAGTCGTTCAGCTCATACAACTTCCGCCACTACTTCGTGCGGAGGACCAAGTCCACATTCCGGGAGATTCAGGTACACAAACTCGACCTGGCTGCGTGTATCTCTCGCTGACGAAGAGTTGTAACAGAGTGAGACGGACCCGTCCAAGCTTGCCGCTTTCTATGACGAGAGGGCAAAGGAGCTCGCGGTGCTGAAGCGCAGCGCGATCGTGAACCAGCTATATGGTGGATGGAAGCTTGTGGTGGAGAAGCAGAAGCCTGAGCATGAGCGCAGTGATAACTGAAGGTACGTGTTTGAATATCCCATGGCACATCTGCAGTCAGCTCAAGCTACATCACCGGAAGTAGGGTGTCATTCGCACATACCAGGAGCTATCCTTGAACCACTTACAACCTCGCCTCCGGCCTCACATTCTATCATGGTATAATGCTGTTACTATGTAATTGTATCGGTTCGGTGCTTCTCATAAGGGTTGGCACGCCGCATATTCTCTACTGACAAGGACGAAATCATACACCCTTGGATGAACAGTACGTTGCAGTTGAGCTTTAGGGTTTGTCCACGCCGGTTTTGCGTGTATACGCATGAAATACGGTGAGTCAGTGCAGTTTACTCGAAATCCTGGAGCCAGTTCGATGCTTGTCGTACTCCATACAAGTTCAATCAGGAAGGATTACGACAAGCACGCCTGTTTAGGATTGCCCCCTTGAATTTGCCAGTTAATTTGAATGCGAGCCGCGGCGCCGAAGATCTAGGCAGCGACCTGAAAAGAACCACTCATCACGACGATTTCGTGCGGACATCGCATCCTGCGCTTGCGCTTCGCTGGGGCTTCCCCTCCCCCCCAAGCGAGAGCCACATCCGTTCTCTAAAATTAGTGAACACAGTCACCGTATGCATTTTCCGCACACAGCTCACACCTACTCGTAACCAGTATTGATCGAAAGATTCTCGTCCGCAGGAGCACCGTGAAGGCCCAATGCCAGTACTGATGGCACAAGAGGACAGCGAAAGCGGGCGTCGTCCTGCGCAGCTGAGTGCAGTCCTGGGACATCAAGATATTCATCGTTTTCGCTCAGCGACCCGCTTCGATCCCCAAAAGATCACGATTCGTTTCAGTAATCGCTGTGCTAAACCTCGCACTCACTCGCAGACCGACAAATATCATTCGTTTGTGGTAAAGCGCATATATCGACCTTGGCCGACGTTGGAGTCGAGATGAGCTAATTGTCCATCTCTGGCGGCTCAGCGTGCTCGCGGCGACATTTGTGCAGGAACTCCGTGCGGATAGGCGACGCGCTTCCAAGATACTCGAGGAAGATCGCAAACCTTCCATCTGGATCGGTTACTTCGGTATCTAGGGCACACACAGGGCCGACTCCCGAGTTGCGGAAGGAAGGAGACGGAGGCGTACTGGACGAACGCGAAGCTCGAACAGCACCGAAACATACCGACCCCGCTTTATGCGAGCATCCCGCCGTTGATGCGCAATCTAGCATCAGCAATTGGGTGGCCTCTACGACACACAAAGCACCCAGCCGAGCTCACTGCGCCGGGCTGTCCTATGTTTGGTAGCGCTCGTGCACAACGACGTTAAGCCTGAGTTGTCTTCTTCAACGGCTACATAACCAGCACGCTATGCACTTACATCCAGCATCGCTCTCTTCTTCACCCCGACCACTCCTTTCGGGTTCACTTACGGTCCCTCTCCCGTTGCTTTCCGCCGGATTACATCCCTCTTTTTGCCACCATGCTGTCCAAGGTTTTCTTCTGCATCGCGACTCTGGTTCTGGCCGTTACTGCTGCTCCGCCGACATCGAAGCGGGCGACATGCATTAACGGACAGACTGCCAGCGACTCTAAGGTGGGATATCCCCTACATATCCTTTATTTGGGCGTGTTCTGACTCGCATCTTTCCGCAGTGCTGCGTTTGGTACGACGTGTTGGATGACATCCAAGGTGCCAGCGGCCTGTGAGTATCTCGAGGGTCTGGAAAGATAGCATGTGGTATATCTACTAACTGCGTGCTGACAGCTTCCAGGGTGGCCAGTGCGGTCAGTCGCGCCCGTCCTGGTATACCGGTAGATGCCTGAAGCTAATACATGACTTTACAGGGGAGGAAGCGCATGAATCCCTTCGGGTAAGTCCGCAGATTTACGGAGGGTTCAGCTGCAGTAACACTGTCTGCTTCACAGCTGACCTTCCACGATGCTATTGGGATCTCATCTACGGCCGGGTATGTGTACAACCCCTTTACCCATTCTCAGCTCACTCACCGTTCATTCACAGCGGCGGAGGAGCAGGTATAAGCGGCAACCTTGCCAGTCGATGTCACTCACCATACTAATGGCGGACCCTAGATGGATCCATCATGGCCCACTCCGACGTCGAGCTTGCCTACGCCGAGAACATCGGAGTAGACGACATCGTCGAGCTGCAGCGGCCGATAGCACTCCGCTACAACGTCTCCTTTGGGGACTTGTACGTCGTTTACGAGTCGCTATATGCGCGCATTTAACACCAGAAACTCACTAGTGCTCCACAGTATCCAGTTCGCGGGCGCCGTCGGCGTCAGCAACTGCCTCGGAGGCCCCCGCCTCCAGTTCCTTGCTGGCCGCTCGAACGACTCGCAGGCCTCGCCCGACAACCTGGTCCCCGGCCCCGGTGACTCTGTCGACACTATCTTGGCGCGCATGTCGGACGCGGGTTTCTCCGCGGACGAAGTCGTTGCTCTGCTCTCATCGCATAGCGTTGCTGCTCAAGACCATCTGGACACCGTACGTCTGTGTGAATCAGCGATGTTCCCCCACAAGCTCATGCTGGAACTTGTACTTGGCAGACTATCGCGGGATCGCCCTTGGACTCCACCCCATCGGTATTTGATGCGCAGTTCTTCGTTGAGGTGAGCACAGGCTACCACAACTAGTATGTGCCGAATGCGTGGTTGACGCGATCCGTCAGACCTTGCTGAACGGGACCGCCTTCCCCGGAAACGGCTCCAACCCCGGAGAGGCTGAGTCGCCCCTGCCTGGAGAGTTCCGCATTCTCTCAGACTCTCTGATCGCGCGGTGCGCACGTCCACTAACTGACGGCCGAGACGAGACACTGACCAGATCCTCCAGGGACTCCCGTACGTCTTGCGAGTGGCAGTCTTACGTCTGTGCGTATTTTGTACCGTTACTCTAATTTCGTGTCTGTGACTCATTGCACCTGCTCTGCTAGCCGACCACGGACGAATGGTCACCCAGTTCGAAGCTGCGATGGCCAAGATGGCGCTCCTCGGTCAAGACGCCAGCACTCTCGTCGACTGCTCCGACGTAATCCCCACGCCTCAAGCGGCGGCGGCGAGCGTGGCGACGCTCCCCGCTGGCAAGACGATGGACGACGTTGAGGCCTCCTGCGCGGAGACGCCATTTCCTACGCTGAGTGCGGCTTCCGGTGTGTTTTCGATCTTTATATTCGAACAATTCAATGAACGACTTATATCGATATACGTTCGCTCCCAGGTCCTGAGACATCCGTTGCTCCTGTGTAAGTTATATATTGCCTGTAGTTGTCTCGCGGAGTTGGCACTGACGTCTTTATATTAATTCTTGATGATTCGCATCATTAACATGCGCATATACTCGGACTTGCTTTCGCCTACTACCCGTCGCTCTTTTCGTTATCGTCGCAATATTTAACATCCGCTTCGAAGAATCGCTATATATCCTTGCCGATTGCTGCAAAGCTGTCCGATATATCCTCTCCGAAATATGGGCCAAGGAGATCCTTGACGGTACTCGAATTTATTTCCTACTACAAGCGTGATTTAGGCTTCTTCCTGGTAATCCGCCCGCATCCCCTCCGCCAAACTGCGCGGATCCACAACCCACATCGCCGCCGCCTCAGCCACCACATCCGTCTCCCCCTGGCCTTCCGCGCGAGCCCGGCTCTCCTCAAACCACCCATAGCCGCCCTCGCTCGCCTTGATGTCCCGCAGGATCGCCTTCACGCTCGACTTGTTTGCGGTGACGGTCGTCCATCCGCGCGCCGCGCCCCAGAGCATGCTCTGCACCGTGTGCGCGGTGAGGCGCGGGTTCGTCTTCATCACCGTCGCCCGCTCGATCTCATCGCCGTCAGCGGCTCCTGGACGGTCGCTGCGGTCGGTTTGTGCTGTTGTTAAGTGATCCGGCTGGCGTTCGCTGGGAAGTGGAGGCGTAGGTGCATGGGAAGAAGACTCTTGGGCGAGAATATTGCGACAGGTCCGTGAGAGAAGGGCGAAGAACGGAGAGAGAGCGCGGCCGTTTTCCGACAGTAGAGGCGGGTTGAGGTCCGGCGGTGGAACCAAGGAGTCGAAGACGCGGATGGGAACTACAGGGAGGAATGCTTTGGGATAGCGGGAGTTTTCCCAGTATGCGTCCTCCGCTTGAGATATGTTTGTGTTTGCGGAAGGGAACAAAGCGGCCACCCGCCGCTTTTCATTGCGACCTCCGATCTTGGAGAGCACGATGCGGAGACAGCGGTCACGCGCCTCCGGCGTGGTCCAGAACTCGACACCTTCGAGCGTCGGCGAAGACACCGCGACGAGACGGTCCCGGAGCTCGTCTAACAGCCCACGCGCCATCTCTTGCAACGCCTGGTTCGCGAGCGCACGGGAGTGCTCGCTGGGTCCACTCGAGTCCCAGGGTGTGCTTCCTTCCGCATCCTCATCGCTGCGCTTGCACCCATCGGGGCGTTTACGCTTCCACTCGCAATATTGCAACGAAGGGACATATCGAGCTTCTGCATCCGCTACAGACATCGGTAGCGGTGAGTGCGTGATGTCGGAAACGAGTGCGATGAGAAGGGAGAGATCGAGATTGACACGTATAGTAGGCTCCAGTCGGCGCGACGGCGGGGGCGTCGTTTGAGGCGCATGTACTTGCTTGCGCTCGCCAAGTTCGACCTCGATGCCCATGTCGCGTAGATGTTGTATCGTCTGTGCTATGCGAGGATCGTAATCCCGGGGATTCGAAGGGGAGGGGTCCAGACGTGTTAGCCTCAGGGTAACTGAGGGCACTCCTCCTGCGCCGGGGAGAGGGTGGCGTTTAGCTGCATCGAGAAGGGAGCGACCCGCACTGAGCATCGAATTATCGAACGCCTTTGGTGCCAGTGACGGCCGGGATTCATCATCTGAGGATTCGTCTTCCGAGCCAGTGACGTAGGAATCGAGTTCGCGGAATTCTGCTAGGAGACGCGAGTTTTTCGTCCTTGATTTGAGGTCAGTGCCGGTCAGCTAGCAGGGGAGAGGGAGACGTACGTATTCACTCGAATCCATCGTTTGCCGCCGTCCGCGACAACATCCACCTTTACACCCGGCGACTTACGTGATCCGCGGCGGGCAACGCTAATTGGTTGAGGAGCGTCTGGAAACGACCGGCCGATCGTCACAATAGGTGGCGGCGCGTAGAGCACTTCGTTCCAGACAGATATCAGATATGGCGCATTGGTAGACAGAGCAGGCATGGAAGCGCATGCTGGATCGTCGAGAAACTACTGAAGCAGGGTTTTCCAGTGATGAGAACTCACTGCCCATGGCGATAGGACCAAATTGTTGCTCGCTCACCTTCTCGAGAACGTCCAGATCGCGTTTGACAGAGTCTCTCAGGCCTCTGAGACCATGGACTGCGTCTTGATGGGAGTGAAACTCATCATTCGACTGCCCATCTAAGTCTATGGAAGAGTCGAGTATGGGTGGCTTCGCAGCAAGCGTAGCTGAGCCGAAATCGGCCATAGTGTAGTATATCCCTCGTAGTTCGTCTCGCAGGCTTCGCAATTCGGGGTGTGCATCGGCTGTCATATTGTGTTTGTTGTGAACTCGTATTTTGAGATCACTGGCGCGGGCGCAACGGATGGTAGAGATCGTTAAGAACGAGGTAGGTTGAACGTCGCGGCGGTACAGAACAAGCATAAGCGCCAGCCTACATCCCTTCCTTCGTATTTGTACTTGTTATCTTCAGTTGATCATTCGTTCGAACGAACTAGCTAGGAACACTGACAGGAGGCACCCGGGAGACACGTACAAGCCTCTCAAAATTCTGGGCTGTAGTATGACACGTTGCCCGACGTACCTCCCTGCCGGTGAGGCGAAGAGCCTGGATTGACATCGACACGGAAATGAACTGACATCAGAGCAATGCAACAGCTGAGAATTGTGGTGACAGAGTGTACAACATATAGCAAACTTCTAGCTCCATTACTTGCGTGACCCCGCATATACCCTACGCCTGTTTGCGCTGGTAGCTCTTGGGGAGCTCCTTCTCCCACGGCAGGAAGTCGCGGCCCTGCATGTATGGCCGCAGGACCTCAGGAATTACCAGACCCTGCAAAAACTAATCAGTGGCGGCGGACTAAAACGCCCGCGAAACACTCACTTCAGGCGTCTGATAGTTCTCGACGAGACAGCATAGCGCGCGCTCCGTTGCGCAGAGCGTGCCGTTGAGCATGTGGACGTACAGTTTGCGCGCCTGGTCCTTCGCCTTCAGTCCACACCGGACCTCAAGCCTCCGGCTCTCTGATATGGGTGTCAGTCATGCCGTCATGTATCGTAATCGGCGTCACGTACGGTAGTCTGTGCAGTTCGAGCACGACACGAGCTCCTTGTATGCGCCCTGGAAGGGGAACCACGCCTCCAGATCGTACTTCTGCGCGGCAGCAAGGTTCAGCGCGCCAGAGACGATCGCGACGACGCGATAGGGGATCTTGAGGCTCTGGTAGAACGCCTCCGAGTTCGCGACCATCGCGTCGAGCATCTCCCAGCTCTTCTCGGGCTCCGTGATGCAGAACTGCTCGACCTTCTCGAATTGGTGCACGCGGAAGATGCCCCACATGTCGCGGCCGGCCGATCCTGCCTCTTTCCGGAAGCACGTAGAGTAGCCCGCGTACTTGACCGGGAGCTGCGTCTCGGGAGAGTCGAACCACTCGTCCGAGTGGAAGGCGGAGATGGGCTGTTCCGAGGTTGCGATCAGGTACTTCTCGTCGTCTGCAGCGATGACCTGTGCGATGTTGGTCAGTCGTGTGGGATCACAGCGAACGCATATAACCCACCTTGTACAACTCCTCGTCAAACTGATCAAGCTGCGCGGTCTTGGCCATGACCTCCTTGTTCATCATGAACGGCGGCTGGACCTTCTTGTAGCCCTGCTTGCGCAAGAAGTCAAGACCGTACGAAATCAGCGCCTGATTGAGGTCGATGCCGTCGTTTGTGAGGAAGTAACCTCGGTGGCCTGCAATCTTGGCACCTGGACACATCCTACATCGAATCGGGCCATCTGCAGATAGCGAAGCACGTTTACTCACCTCGTTCCATGTCGATCGCATCTAGTCGCATGAGCACCTCGTGATGAGGCATGATGTCCGACTTCTTCTCCACATCCTTGCCCTCAGGGTGCCATGTCTTCAGGGTGGCGTTGTCGTCCTGAGTTGCCTCATAAGTGTCGATGCCCTCACACATCGATGTCTATACGTACTTCTGTCAAGCTGACCGGGACGTTCTTGCCTACGATGTTTCCGACTGTTGAAGCTCTCTGGCGCATCTTCGCCTCCAGTTCCTTGGACTCTGTGCGCTTCGCCGCTACCTGCGCGTCAATGTCCTTCTTCTTAGCGACGAGCTCGTCTGCGTTCTCTTTCGCCTGCAGGAATCAGTCAGCACACACACTTCTGCGCTAGGACGAGCGACGCGCCTTCTTTTTCGCTGCTATCTCCTTCTGCACGCCATTGACTGTCTTGGCTAGATTGTTCGCCTCGAAGTCCACTGTCGAAGAAACGTTGCAGTTTCGCCATCGACCACGCAGGAGGCTCCTCACGCACGCTTGACCCAGTCCGTGTACATCTGAATGATCTCGTCTACGAGCTCGACCGAGAGGCCGCGCTTCCGCTGCGACTCCCGGATCTCCTCCGCGTTCCCTCCCTTGTTGTCGATGAAATGTAGCACGTCGAGAGTCATGATCGCAGGTTTGGTGCACGGCACGTAGTCAAGTGGAAGGATGCAGAAGATGTACAGTACTTCGGTGTATTTTGAAACCTTGACTCGATCGATGATGTTAAATCCAAAGTAATCGATTCGGCGGGCATATACTCTCTATAAAGCTGTGCTTTCTATCTTATCCATGCCGTTTGAATCTCAGATAAGCGAGGATGATCTCCATCCTGATTCCCGAGGCTTGCGTTAAATCTCCGAAAGGGTTCTATCAAGGTCATTTGACCTCCGCCCGCTACCACGCTCCCGTCTTCGTGCGTTTGTTCCGAATCCCCTGGGCTGCCCCAGTCGCCCTTTGTCCCAAGTTCCCCTTCCCCAGACTCTGCATCCTCTGCTGGACTTCGTGCTGGCCAACTTTCGTCAATCTATGTGACGATAGCTCGCTGGTTGTGCGCTTGGTGCGAGCTGCGCTGCAGGACCACCAATCATCTCGACAACACGAGTCACAACCACAATAGTACGCAGGCAAGCCCTGAGCTCACAGAGAGGATACGCTTACCTGCTAGGCACAACATCATCATCATCGTCATCGTGCAGAATCCACGCGGTATAGAACTGAGAAGAGTGGATGATGTGGAAGGGCGTCTGTGCATGGTTGTTGCGCTGCGCGTGGGTGGATGGGGTTGAAGGTCTCTGTGAGCAATAGTAATGGGAAAATTTGTCTGCTATCCCCATGTACGTATCCCATGAGTGAACTTGCAAGAGAAGGAAGAATGGTCGTCTTGAAGTTTGAGACAAAGTTGAGCTGGCCGAAGTCGTCGCCACAAGGGCGCGAAGCAAGGGCGATGCTGCTTGACCCACGACCACCACCTTGACCACGTCCTCGTCCCCCTCCTCCTCTGATAACGTCCTCCCTGCTCGTCGATGTCGGGCAAGGCTCCGCCGCGAGCACCGCGAGCATTGCTAAATTCCCTCCCTGCATCGGCCCCTGCTGTCACTGCCCCCTCAGCCACTTCGGGCGCGTCGTCCACCTCACGCATAGGAGCGACGCCTCCTACAGGCCCGCGAAGTCTTCTCAATGCACAAGCTGGGGTCAGAGGAAGAAGCGCAAAACCGTATCTGAATGGACACGGCAGCATCCCGACAGGCCCAGCCGCATCTATACCCACCGGGCCCTCGGCGCTGAAGGGCAAGCAAGTCGAAGTTGGGAGAGCGCAGCCAGGTAGCTCGAGCGGCGTAGGTGGACTTCTCTTGGGCGACACGTAGACCCGTAAGCTCAAGGATATTTGCTCCCATTTTACAGGCACAAGTAAACGGCGCAGGTGCAATCCCACAGGAGCCCACAGCGTTGAACGGCCGACATCAAGCTATCTCGTTCAAACTCAGGCCAAGTACATCTTCATCATCTCTACGGAACGGTGATGGACCACAACCACCGACATCGCCAAGACTGCGTGCATTTACACCCTCGCAGCCGTCTTCAGCACCACCCCCACCACCCCCGCCGTCAGAGCCTCCTCCGCCACCTCCGCCTTCATACGAACCTCCGCCTCCTCCACCACCCTCATCAGAACCCCCACCACCTCCACCACCTGCAGAGGGTCCTCCATCGCTCCCGCCACCTCCATCGGAGCCTCCGCCTCCTCCGCCACCGCCTTCTTCTGCTCCTCCCCCTGCACCCCCTCTCCCGCCATCCTTTTTTCCACCTCTACCCGCAGGCGATGCTCCTCCATTGCCACCTTCATATCCACCCCCGCCTCCGTCGGAAGAACCGCCGCCATTTCCCACCGCCCCCGAACGGTTACCGCCAACAGGACCGCGGCAGGGATATGGTGTGGCCTACCCAGGTCAGCACATCGACGCCCGACGATTTCCTCCCCATATCCCTACAGGACCGCGTGTACATGGACTTCCTTCAAGTCCACGACCCCCATCTCCTTCAGAACCGCCTCCTCCTTCAGAACCGCCTCCTCCTCCACCACCGCCGCCGCCTCGAACACCGACTCCTCCAATACTCTATTCCCTGCCGCCCCTACCGCCATGGCCGCCTTCCCCGTCCGAGTATCCTCCTGGGAAGAGCTGGCGGATCTTGTTCGACTATGCTCTGGACAAGGATCGTGACGGTCAGTATCGGTTGCTCGCGGACAAGCTACGGGAGAAGGGCATGGACCAAGGAGAGGAGCCACGGGTCAAAGGTAAGGGGAAGGGGAAGGAGATTGTTATCCGTTACGCGGGCGAGGTGATAGACGGGGAACACGAAGCTGTCACACGGGATCCGCGCAAGGAGACGAAGGTGAAGCGATTACCCTCCTTACGGCCTATGAGGATGGAGCTTCTCCAGTGCAAGTACGAGGTGAGTCGCAGTTTTCCTGTATGCTTTCTCGCCGATGTTCATGTATGGCAGTACGACGCAAACTCCGCTGGACCTCCGCCTCCAATCAGCGTGCTGGTTCTAGGCATTTCTCCGCTCATGCCCAATCAGAATATACGACGGCATTTTGGCGTACATGGTACCATCACCTCCTTCGAGCCGCAAATAGACAAGTCCAGCGGCGGCGCCCTTGGCATCGTGTTCATCAGATACACGTCGCACGAGGAGGCGAAACAGTGCGTAGAGAAGGAACACGGGAAGAAGCTTTCGCTCGCGGTTCCCGGAGTTGGCGAGGGCGACGAGCTGCGAGTGGTCTTTGACGGTGAGGGCAAGCTACTGAAGGCGGTGCAAGCGGAGCTGGATGGGCGGAGGCGACGAGAACGGGAGGAAAGGCGGCGACGGGAGAAGGGGGAGAAGGAGAAGGCCGGCCACGCTTCTGCGCACCTCAAAGCGACCCCGACGTCAAGTGCGGCGCAAACGCCCGTGCATTCAAATAATCCCTGGCGTTCAGGGCCGCAAGCCATTCCCCGTCCTCCGCATCCTGGACCCCGACCTCCGCCGCCCAATGCGCATCTTCCTATGCGCCCGCAGGGGACCACCCCGATTGCTATCTCGCCCGCGCCCGAGAAGGGGAGTCCGTTGCCCAACGGGACACCGACAGGGCCGCGGAACGGCGTTGTCCCTCCCGGTGCTCGTGTACGACGTCCACCGCCGACCATGTTTCGCGCACGCAACGTTCACGTCGCAGCCGTACCACCAGCCAACATCCGTCCTCCGATTCACCTCTTTCCGAACGGCATCGAAGCAGGCCCAGTGCTCCCGCCTAGTATGCGTTTCAGCATGGGCGACCGCAACGCGCCACTACCTCTCCTCCCCTCGCGCTCGCCATCGCCAGTGTCGCGACGACCCGCAAACTGGGGAAGGAACGCGAAGAAAGTGGATTACGACGTCGTTAAGGCAGAGCTTGCGAAGAACGGCCTCGAGCACATCGCGATCGACGGACACGTGGGGAGTGTGCGGGAGGATGATGTGCGGATGTTTCTGGAGGGCTTCCAGATCGACCAGGTGCGCACCCTTAACATGCCTTCTGCGCGCGGTTTATGCGCGGGCGGTGGCGGTTACGTTCAATGTGCTGACCATGTGCTCGCGCGCAGATCCTGCGCGATCGACATAGCTGGTACGTCACGTTCAAGACCAACGACTCCGCGCGCCGTGCATCGCTCGTCCTCAATACGAGCGGCCGCAAGCTCGCGAACTACGCAGTCAGCGTGACCGTCCGCGCGGCACCCACGCACGTTCCTACTGCCCACAAGACACAGTGGACCGATGCCGAGCTCGTCGAGCAGGCGGAGAAGACGATCCTCCGCGACCTCCGCGCCTTGCTCGAGAAGGATGTCGTGGAGCGCGTCGTCGCCTCGCAGGTCCGACGGGTCGTCACCGACGAGCGGACGAAGAAGGGTACGCGCGTAGCGGACACTCCCGTCGCGGTGGATGGACATGCACCCGAAGTGCACGAGGCTCTCGACGCGAAGTACCTCGACAAGACGGGGCTTCGTGGCCTGTCCTTTCGCAAGCAGAAGAAACGGGCGCGTGAGGAAGTCATTGTTGTCGCGAGTGAGACGCCGCCACCGCTCGAGAAGGTGCAGGATGAGGACGAGGAGGTTGTGGTGGAAAGACCGAAGAAGAAATCGAAGAAGACCGCGCTGAAGAAGGTGGTCGTCGAGAAGGTCATCGAGTCGGAGGACGAGGAGGCGCCGGTGCCACTCGTGCCCGTCGAGATCCCACAGCCACGCAAGCGCGCACTGTCGGAGGTCAGCGAGGTCGATATCCCGGTCCCTGTCAAGAAGAAGGTCAAGACGAAGGTGTCCGAGGACGGTACTACCGTCGTAGTGCGCACCAAGAAGTCCAAGAAGGTGCTCAAGGATGCCACTCTTGCCACTCAGGAGAAAAGCGTCTTTGCAGAGGAGATCGTACATGAAGTCCTCCCGGAGACGCTTCCTTACGAGCTGCCCGCTGTCGCTCAAGTGCACGTTACTCCCGCCTTCGATTCCCGACCGTCTACTCCTGCCACTCCGGCCCCCATGCCTGCACCCGAGCTTCCTGCTGAGCCGGACGTTCCGACCATTGACCCAATTGCCGAAGGGATCTGCGAAGACGAAGAGGACATGTACTTTGCGAAGCTCGCCCTGGAGCGCAGCCTCTTCGGCAAGTCATTGACATCCGCGCCCGAACCAGAGCCCGAGGGACCCTCGCCATTTCGCAAGCACGTCACGGGCTCCGCGCGTACAGAGGGCTACTACAAGATCTCGCACGCGGAGAAGTCCGCCTACGTCGCGCAGTACGTCTCGCGCGGTATGCTCAACGTCGCGGCGGCGGAAGCCGAACAAGCGCCCCCGCAACCTGCGGTCACGTCTTCACGGTCCAATCGTGCCAATGCGCGGCGGCGTGCTCAGGGCCTGGAAGAGATCAACCAGGTGCAGCGCGCCATGGCGCTGTCGAAGGGTGAGGCCGCAGCGCCGGACTCGGTCAAGTACAACCAGCTGCAGACGCGCAAGAAGCATCTCCGGTTCGCGCGGTCGCCCATTCACGACTGGGGTCTGTACGCGATGGAGAAGATCAGTCGCGGCGAGATGGTCATCGAGTACGTCGGCGAGGTCATCCGTGCGCAGGTCGCCGACAAGCGCGAGAAGGCGTATGAGCGACAGGGCATCGGGAGCAGTTATCTCTTCCGTATCGACGAGGATTTGGTGGTGGATGCGACCAAGAAGGGCAACCTTGGGTATGTCTGCATGTTGAGTGTACTTGCGGACAGTAGCTAACCGTTCTGCAGTCGCCTCATCAACCATTCTTGTGATCCAAATTGTACTGCGAAGATCATCACGATCAGTGGCGAGAAGAAGATCGTGATATACGCGAAGCAGGACATCGAGCTTGGCAGTGAGATCACCTATGGTGTGTACCCTGAATCGCCCACGCTTCGGCCATACATAGCTGACATGTCTTCGCGCGCGCAGATTATCATTTCCCTATTGAACAGGACAAGATTCCTTGCCTCTGCGGCTCCGCAAAGTGTCGTGGGACTCTCAACTAGACTGCGCGCTATGTTTATATGTCGGTATTCTTCACATACCCTGCTGTGTCACATCGTTTGCCTCGCCCCGCCCAGTCTTGTGTTGCCTTGCCGTGCCCTGTCGTGCCCTACCTTGCCTGTCTCTCTTCGCCATCCATCGCTGTCATTCTCCGCATTCTTCCGCCACACAACTGCACATTTGTATCTTATATGTAACGCATGTTTTATTATCCCGCCGTATGTACGGTCAAGTAATACACCCCGACACGCGGTTGCAACGCGTGCGCTGCATGCGCCATGCCTAGATGTGCTTGTGCTTCCATCATACCGCAGACTTGCGTGGCTTAGCTATAGTGGTACTTGGCGTGCTCCGCCATCCATACTGTTGGTGTATTAGGCTGCATTGAAACCACGAACATAGGGGCATAGATACGTGTATATACCCCCGTACTGATGGGCGATGGTACAAATCCATGTATGTATTTCGAGGCAGGCATTAAGGCGTTGTGCGGAGCAATTTCATCAGAACCCATGCTTGGAATAGTGTGTTTGCGCGTCGTTACTCGTCGAGTCTTTGAATATACTGAGCTTCGGATTCGGCCTCGGCAGTGTGCGTATATTTATTCTGGTCCAACGCGCGTTGAGCCGCGAGCCGGACATATGGCGCATTCGTTGTCGGATTTCCCGAGGGGTCGGAAGCATGGAATACGAACGTAGCCCAGTAGAAATTCTGTGCCGAATCGACATTAGCTGATCAAATCCAAAACCTTCATGTTAACAACACTCACCATGCCTACTACACATATTCTGTCGATGGTTGAGTGTCGGTCGCCTGGGCCGCGGACACACTTGCGATGGGGCATTCCTTGTATTCGCCGTAGTTGGCCCGCAATTGCGCTGGCAGCATTGGTGCGATATGCGCCTGAAAGCCGGAGAAGTTCCATGGGGTAACGAGAAATTTGGCCGCGTTGCATCGGAACTTCACTCGTTCGGATCCGCTAATGAACGAGAACATAATTTCGCAAGTTTCGAGGTTCTTCCTCTCGGGGCCGCAGTAGGGCCGGCGTGCAGAGTTGGAGCGATCATTCTTGAGCCAGGTGTTCTTGATCTGTTTGACGACATCATCCGGAAATAACGAGAGGCTGGAACCTGTGGACTTGAAGTGAGTCTGTGGACGACCGCCGTGACCGGGTGAGTTGGGCCTGACAAATATCCAAAACAAGCGGAATGTTGGTTTGTATCGTGAGCGCCTCAAATCCGTCTGCCGAGTCGTATTTAACGTCGACGCCTGCTTTGGGAACTAAAAGTGTCATCGACTCCATATGGAGACGCCATTTTGTGTCAGGGTTTGGGCCTTGTTGCCAAACATATATCCTTGGGGTCCATTCTACGGTCATCTGCGCAGGAAATTCGGGTCCAAAAATGATAAAAGGATCTCTAAGCCTAGACGTGCGTGGATTATTGAGTGGCATTACGCATAGTATTGAGATACGAAATACGACGTACGGCGTTCCATCAGCAATCATCCCCGAAGTGTTGGTATGTGCAGGATGGCTCAAGCCAGCGGTGAACCTTGACGGCTGCAGAATACTATAATAAGTGGGCATCGCCCAAGGTCTTGACGTGGGTGCACGGTGGATGGGTATTATACAAGATGGAGACATACGGAAAGGATATGCCGATGAGTCAGTTGATCGCAACGAACTTCACGCGTAATACACCGACCGCATGATACCAAGACCGAGGATGCCGTCGTAGGGTAAGTAAACCATCCGGTCGTTGGCTGCGTACGCAATCGTGTGAGGCAGCACGAGTTGGAGCGTTCTCTTTTTCTTGGTGTCCCAGTCCCAAGAATTCGCCACGGCCGCAAGCGTCTCGCGACTGTAGTGACGGATGTCTGCGTAATGTTATAGATTGCCTCACAATTTGGAGCGAGGCGTACTCACAAACACCGCTTCCATCGCCATATCGGATCGCCTCTTCACCCAACTCCGCTCTTGGGGCGCACTCGTCGTTATACGCCCCGAGGAATTCGTAGCTTCTTGGGATGGTAAAATGGCTGTCCCACGGTGGCCCGTTAAGTATTGTAATTGGAGGCCATTCCTTGGTACGACGGCCAGTCCACGACGCAGTGATTCTTCGATGATGTTGGCCGTAGAACCATCTTTTTAAAAATCGCGTAAAGGTTAGACTGGGTGCAACGTGTCCACCACTATATGTTGGCTCACAGCCTGTTCACGCCTGCGTTCGCGCACACCCCAAATTAGTTATCGTGATACACATAATGACACCGAAACGCTCGCTCACAGGCATCGATGCCAATAATAAAATATGCCGCGTTGAGTAGGAGGTTATCGGGCATCCTAAACTCCTATATACCTGTCAGCAGGAGGATAATTGCCGTCGTTTGCGGCGTCGTACGATGTGCATGCTGTAAAGATACGGTATCACAGTGGATTCTGCGTTGGCGGCGTTGATCGCATTCCGGGGCGCCTGCCTTAGACCGCGCCGCGCCGCTTGTGGTTTGGGACGTGCCACCTCAACGTCGTCGCCGTCGAAGAAGTCGAAGAGTTCGCCCGTCTGTTCATCGATGTAGTAACCATGCGGCGCACCGGGAAAAGCACGAATGTTGTTCCTCGTAGCGCAAGCCTGATAGTAAGGGGCGGTATGGTAAGAAACGGCGTTCGCGTGTTCGATCCGTCAATCGGTGCGGCCGCAGTTCCACTGCGTAAGCTTACATACCTTCATACCCGCGCAAAAGTCGTTGAGCATGTGTGGCGGCGTAAGGGGGAACGTTGGGGAAGGAACAGCCGAGTGCTGCATGCTATGGTCGGAGCGGGAGCCGTGCTCCCGTTAGTCGAGCGATGTAAGTTTCGTTCGTACTTTGCAGTAGATGGGGTTTTGTAACGCGCACTCCGAGACGGTCTTTATAGCAAAATTCTTGGTTGCACAGTCGAGCCCCATGGGCAATACTGGCCCCGCGATACATGGTCTGATAAGATGGAGTGTGGGAAGCGTTGGGACGCATGACCTGTGTCAGCGACACGAGAACCAGCACAAAAACAAAAGAGTGTCCGCTTACAGCAGGTGCGGAGCTGGGCCGCTCGCACGATTTCGTACAGTTGCCTGATATACACACAGGGCAAAACAGCAGCAAATAGCAGATGGAACGGATAGAACAAGTCCGTCAGAACCCTAGTGCGTCACGAACGATCATCGATACCATTTGTATAGACGGTCCCACGTTCTGCGAAACCCCATTGTTTCCGTAACCAGCGTTCAAAGGCACGGAATGGCGTGCACGTAGGCATGCCGGGACGTTCGGACGACGATCAGCCACGACGGGTTTGCCAGCCCGGCTTAATCGCCCGGTCGTCATAAGGAGAGCGTCAAGAAGGGCACATACGACTCCTCCTCAGCCCTAGAGACAAGGATATCAAGGCAAAACGACAAGAGGGAAACGAACGACCCACCCGCGCGAACCCATGCACTCCCAGTTACCGACAGATGAAGGGCACATATGGCAGCGACTCCGAATCCCTGAAGCAATTGTTAACAAAGAAAGATGAAAACGAACATGCATCGCCTACCCACGCAAACCCGCGTAGTCCCAATCCACATGTAATCCCTTGGCATGCCAGCTAGGATAAAATTCGACCCACTGGCTGTCGACCTGCCGATGGTGCAAGAGCGCGATGAACGCCAGCTCGGGACCGGTCTGCATGATGTGCAGGATTTCGAAGCCGATTGCCTCGAGCTTCTGGCGCCAGCTTTCGCGGCGGTGGGATTCGAGGCAATACAGCTTGCATGTCTCTTCAAAATTGAGGTTGAGATGGAACGTTCGGAGAGAACGTAAGCCAGTTAGAATGCTTGCGATACGCCCCTGCGTGGCATATTGGGTAAAGGCGTCCTCGTTGATATTCATGAGGACTCACGTATGGAACACAGCTATTCCTGTCTTGTCGATAGCGATGGATCTCCAAGTGTGCCAAGTACGGCGTTTCCGAAATGAGATAATGAAGGAGATCTTCCTCCGAGTTGTCGGCTTGGTATACGAGCTCCAGATCCTGCAGACGCGTTAGGTTCAAACGTTTGAGGATTTTTAGGCAAGAAGAAGACGATAAGATCGGCGCATCCCACACAGCGTCACCCGGGCAGTAGAGGCGGTAGTAGTATCGGGGCCAATCGCGGAGGGACAGATGCGTGATAGATGCGTGAGGATTGCGCCTATTATGGAGAAGATGGCGTCGTCGGGATCAGGATAAGCGATAGTCAGGGATCTGAGGTGGAGCACCGTGTTAAAAGAGGATGAGCTGATTTGTTCGCCTGTGTGGTCTGCACTCGTTGACGCGGCCACTTGGAAGGACAAGCGACGGAGGGAGGGCATGCCACCCACAAGGGATGACAGGGTGATCGTGGGCGTACCGTCCACAGCCCGCCCGTACAAAGACAGCGCTTGAAGACGCGGCCAATGGAACTCCGACATCCGCGCAAGAGGAGCCGTCTCGAAGGGGAGGGTGAGCGACTCCGCAGTAGCTGTCATGCCGAAGACAAGTGCTGATAAACACGCCGCCTCGAGCATGTACTCTGCGGCAAGGTCGGACTTCTCGAGCGCACTCGCGGATTCTCTCCAGGTGTAGGGAATATATGCCAAGGCAGTGAGTCTGTTCGAAGCCTGCGCGACTTCTGCTTGGGAAAACGGCTGGATATTGGTCCACATGGCGTTGCATTGGAATCGGATGGATGTGATATGTGGCATTCCCAGACAAGTTGCGATGATGTACCAGGGGACGCCGTAGTCAACTGTACGAAAAGTGACGGTGTGTATGTTGGGTAGGTGCTGTAATTCGAAGCCGAAATTGTCGTGCCAGCCTGGCAGCCAATATCTCTGGATGAAGATCACATGTCTGCCAACATTGATGAGCGGGGGATATACTACTGTAGGTTCGAAGTAAAGTTAAGCACGTACCGGATGAAAGGGCGGGCATAAACTGGGGGTAGATCTAGGTTGTGGGTGGTGTGGGTTCTGATAAGGCAGTCACGGAACAACACTGGCACGCAGGAGTTGCGGAGGCCACGGGATACGCAGGAAAGGTTCTTGATCGCATTCCTGCCAGGGTCGCTTAGCAGTGTCTCGAGAATGGCATTGAAGACGTCGTTGTGTAGGTTTTCCAAGCCGCGGTGTGGCAGACAGGGACTCGGAGGCATTGCCGCCTTGGGTGATGGTTCAGTGCACATGGTCTGGCACATGTCTGTAGGCTGGATCGATTCGTGGACTTCGTGCGACATAGAGAGCGGAGGAAAAGTTGGATAGAGCGGACAGAGGATGGTCCAAGTCAGGGATGTCGGCGCTCGCGGACCTTTCTTAGACTGGGTCGCCCGGACCCGGGGTCTGACGCGAGGTCTGGCGGGGTCTGACCAGGACGCGGGGGTCCGCACGTGCCTGGTGACATCATGGCCAGAGCCTGGGGTCGGGACGTCTTGACTCTTGACCGGCGTAGCGCTCTCTTACGCTGGACATCCACTCCTTACTGAGGTCGTAACGTATCTCGAAGTCTCCTTATGTGCCTTACATTACTCAACTTACTTGCGAAAGCGTGTGCACGCGACTAGACAGCGATCTGGGAGGCTGGTGAACATCATCTAGATTGAGTGAATGCCAGTTTTATCGACTGCCTTCATTCTCCTCGGTCGTCGACAGCCTCCTCCTGGTGGGAACAACACTGCGTCGTTCCGAGATGAATTATGTTAAGCTCTGATCTTGTGCTAGTGCCCCGGCGACCACCGTTGTGATCCGCGGGTGTGGGGTTTTCACTCAGGTTGTGTACACGTTCTAGCTCAACTTGTTTAGCTGTATCTCACCCGTAACATACTACTCCAAAGCCATAATATGTATACACGGGCTTGAGGCTTATGCTGCGTACCCTGCCTTGGCCTTCCAACGCAATACAGTCGCGTTTCTGCTTTCCTTCAGCGTTCGTGGTCGGCCTCGAGCGATCTGGCGTAGTCACGTGCGGACCTCGACCGGGGTCCGACCTCCAGAGGTCCGACCTTGAGGTCCGCAGGTCTGTCCGCGGTCCGACTGGGTCCGCAACATCCCTGGTGAGAGGCAAGGGCACGAGTGCGCGGCTATATATGTTCCCGGCTCTCTCACTCTCACTTCCACCGTCCACGGTCGTCTCTTTGCGTCAATATTCGTCGTAGACACAACCCAACAGGACGAACGTTCACATCCACATGGACTTTCCACGCAGCACCATCTGGTAGCGCGTGGACGGACTTGGCGAGACACCCCGCTCGTCGGGTAAAGCGCTCGGGACGGATCATGCCACCGCCCGCGCGTAGACAGACGTCGGGGTGCAGCATGCGCTCACCACTGACCAGGTCTCTCCAGACCACCATGATCTCAAGGCGCGCTCTTACAACTCTGCGGCGGGCCCCTCTGTCGCGCGCGTTGTCGTCGCGTGCCTCTGCGGTGCTGTCTGCGCTGGACCTCCATTCTGGAAGAGAGCTCTCCGGCGTGTATGACGGCGAATGGCATGGCTCAGGCGAAGTCCTGCAGAGCGTATGCCCAGCAACGGGGGAAGTTTTGGCAAGGGTTCAGTCGGTGCGTGCACATTTGTCTGCTCACTTGTCGTGCATTCCCTGCCATGCCCGACGCCTGGCGACGCGCCTGTGGCGCAACGCCCCCGCATCCACCAAACGGCAGATGTTCTTACGCTTGCATGTCTGACTCGTGTGTACAATAGGCCACTCCCGCCGAATTGCAAAGAGCTCTTGAACGCTCTCGGGAGGCTTACCAAGTCTTCCGCAATGTCCCTGCACCGAAGCGCGGTGAGATATTGAGGCAGATTCGGGAAGCGCTTGCAGCCAAGGTCCGTGCTACGACCCCGACATCATACGGCCGAGAGGTTTACGCTACTGTAGCGAGATGCACTGGGTGCACTGATTACTCTAGAGATGGGGAAAATCCGTACTGAGGGTGTCGGTGAAGTGCAAGAGTTCGTAGACATCGTAAGTGTCCTCGCGCTACTCTGTAAATGCACGCATCATTGACGTGTATATAGGCGGACTACGCTGTGGGACTATCGAGGATGATGAATGGACGCGTCATAGCGTCAGAGCGTCCGGGACACTCAATCCTTGAAGGTCAGTTCTTCCAGCAAGACATGTTCCGCACAGGCACTAACGCAGCAGTAGTTCCCAACCCTCTCGGTGTAGTCGCGGTTTTGTCCGCGTTCAACTTCCCCGTGGCCGTATATGGCTGGTACGCTCACCGATATTTTATCCCCATTGACTTTTGACACGCATATATTCAGGAATCTCGCGCTCTCGCTCGCGGCCGGTAACGCCACGCTCTGGAAGCCTTCGCCAAGCACCTCGCTCTGCGCCATTGCAGTCACGAAGATCGTGGCCGGTGTCCTAGAGCGCAACGGCGTGCCCGGCGCAGTCGCGGGCCTGGTGACAGGTGGCAAGGACGTCGGTGTCGGCATCGTGGGGAGCAAGCACGTCGATATGGTGTCATTCACCGGCAGCGAGGCTGTCGGCCGCCAGGTCGGCTCCACTGTCCAATCGCGCTTTGGCAAGGTCCTGCTCGAACTTGGAGGAAACAATGGTAGGCTTTGAGTGCTCACATCGATCCCTTATGTGACACTGACGAGTTGCGCTTAGCTGCGGTCGTTATGCCCGACGCGGACCTGGATATGGCCGTCCCGTCCGTGTTCTTCGGCGCAGTGGGCACCGCAGGCCAGCGCTGCACGTCCACGCGGCGGCTTTATCTGCACAGCTCAATCGTGCAAGCCTTCCTCTCGCGGCTCGAGTCGCTCTACCAGTCCGTGCGCCCGGGCGACCCGCTCGACCCTGCGACGCTCCTCGGGCCACTGCACACGCGCGCCGCGGTAGATATCTACCACAACGCGGTTGAGCGCTTGCAGAAGACGGGCGCGGAGATCCTCACAGGCGGCGCAGCGTACAGTGAGCTGCCCGCGCCGCTGAACGGGGGCAACTTCGTGATGCCAACCATCGCGATCCCCCAGGCGGTGGACGTGAAGGACCCGGTGTGGAGCACGGAGACGTTTGCGCCGGTGCTGTGTGTAGGCGTGTTTGACGAGATTGAGCAGGCGATTGAATGGAACAACGGCGTGCCGCAGGTACGTACTGTGGCTATTGATCACGGCACGCAATGTTTTGACGATAACGGCTGTGCAGGGCCTGAGCAGCAGCTTGTGGACGCGCGATATCCGGAACGTCGGGAAGTGGATCGGTCCTGCGGGTTCTGACGCAGGCATTGTCAACGTGAGCACTCCTGTTTTATTGTGTGGATGGGTAGGCTGACAGCGTTTCCTTAGGTCAACGTAGGCACGAGTGGCGCCGAGATCGGTGCTGCGTTCGGCGGAAACAAGGTACGTCTCCTTGCCATTCGCTATCTATTTCGCGCCAACTGACTGTTTGTATTTTCTCAGAGCACAGGCTGGTATGTCACTTTCCGGGGCGCACATCTCGCTCTTTTCAAATTACTAACGATGTTCACAGGGGTCGCGAGTCGGGTGGCGACGCGTGGAAGCAGTACGTCCGCTGGAGCGCGTGCACACTCAACTTCTCGGATGCCGCGCCCCTTGCGCAGGGCGTGCAGTTCTCCAACCCGGCTTGAGTCGGCATGCTGCTCTGCCCTCTCGGACAATTGTAGCATTAGCATACAGGAAGTTGGATCTCACTGGACTCTCCCAGAAGCGCGGATGTGTGATATACTCGGATCATTACAAGTCGGCGAAGAAGGTAGGTTCTGCTTCTACTGTGTTCTTGCCCTTCTTGCGCTTCGCCATGTTCAGCGGGTCCTGCTCTTTCTTCCGTTTCCGCTGCCTGGGTTGCTCGGCAGGCTCTTCTTCGCCGCCCGACGCCTCCTGTACTTCCTCGCCCTCGTCGTCCGACCTCTCTTGCTCCGCAGAGGCCTCCGCTTCGACTTCGGTCACCTTTTCGTCTTCTTCGTCCGAGTCCTCACCGACCGCGGCGGCGCCGTCTCCCGCATCATCATCGGACTGTGCCTCCTCATCGCTACCCTCCTTGTCGTCGTCCTCGAACACCTCCTTCAAATCCGTCAACTTCAGCATCTCCTCGTGGCCCGCGCTACCGACCCAGCGACCCTCGCCGCCCATGTCGACCGCAATGCGCTCGATCGGGAACTCGCCGTGGTCCGTGACGACCCCTAAGAGCTTCGTCGGCAGCAGCTGCACCGCTCGTAACAACCCGTCCGAGGACCCAGTGAGTATCGTCGAGTGCGCGTTCGGGTAGTGCGACGGGATCGCGCAGAGCGCGTCAATCGACTGGGGGTGCCTGTCGCGCGCATAGGGTGAGTGGGACTGGGAGACTCGAGATGTGAGGGGGGCTTACCCTGGTATGCGGTCTACGCAGTCGCCCCAGCCGCTTTTGCGGTTGAAGATGGAGAGGATCCCGAGCTGGGTTCCGACCACGACCTTCTGCCCGCTGTGAGGTGTATATTAGATCGCGGTCGGGAGACGTAGAAAAGGGGAGGGCATACCCTTTTATGGGCAGTATGGAGAGGAGCTCGTCCTCCTGGTCTTCTGACTGCGCGAAGGGTTCCACCTTTTTTGACCGCACGTCCATGACCGACAACGATCCGTCTCCGCTAAGAGGAGCGTAAGGGGAGACGTGAACATCTTGCGCGCAGATCACGCACCTCGTCGCGACGAGCTGTTTCTTGTCGTCCAGCCACATGAAATCCGAGATGAAGTCGAAGTGATGGGTGTACTGTCGCACCGCGTCTGGCTTCCGCGGATCCCAGAGCTTTCACGCGCGCGGTGTTGAGTACACTCCGTATGGCGTCGCGCGCATCCACAGCGAACGCACCTTGATAACCCCGTCATCATCCCCGGACGCGAGCAGGTTAGGGAGTAGACGCTTCATGCGGTTGATCGGCGCACTTCCAGCCACTGCCCAGGTCAGCGAGCCGGTCGCAGCCCCGAGCCTGTGCGAATGCTCACTCGTGCGCACCCGCGCGGGTGTCGACCACCTCGCCCGTTCCTACGTCGATGGTGCTGCGGTACCGCGCCGAGTGTAAGTCGAGGGCCCCGTCCGCTCCAAAGGTGATAGCACGCACTGGATTGCTTTTGCTTTCCCCGCCGCCCATAACTGGTCGCCGTCCACGCTGAGCGCGAGTGCTCTGCACGACTTCTTGGACGGCCGGAGGGAAAACTTTGCTTCATGGCTGCCCTGTTCGTCGTACCCGAAGGCCTTTATATGGCCCGTGAGCAGTCCAGTGTAGACTATAGGGCGATTTGGATGGAAAGCGAGGTCGAAAATCTGTGCACCGACGGGGATGTCTGGCATCTTGACGAACGAGCTATAGTAGTGGGATCAAGTCCGGAGGAGGGTGCAGAAGCGCCTGGAAGCGCCCATAGCAAAGCTTCGACTGCTGCCGACGACTTTGTAGTCTGCGCTATGCTACGAGCCGATACAACTTTCTCTCCTACGATTAATGAGTCTCTATCACTCAGGTTATGTCCACTGATTACTTGTCTCCCCGTTGCTCAAGGGAAGGAGCACCGAAGGATATGGACTCCGAGTCGTTTTAGTATGTACCAGGTGAGTCGACGAAAGCCTCTTCTCACCGGCAACCGCCCAATTCCTGACACGAATGAAGCCGATAGCATATGTCTGTCCATAACTATCTACACCCAACAATCATCCCCAACAGTATCCAAGTCGGGTGTGACGCGCAAGTTTTGTGCATTTGGTAACGTTAACGCTGTTTGCACGGGCTCGGGCGGGCGGGGTCAATTGACGGGCGGGACTTCTCAATCAGAACTGAAGCACCCCATGCCATTCGCTGCGGGATACGGTTTGTTCTGGTGCGAGGACGTAAGTTCCGTCACGACCGCCCCCTATAAGTAACGATGCTCGTTTTGAGCGTATCATCTATCGCGCCCGCCTCAACATGTCTTCCTTTCCAACAGTGGACCTTGCTAGCGCCCCTCTCTTTACGCCCGTTTCAGAGCGGCTATCCGTAGCCGAGCGCATCAACCTATCCCATGAACGTGCGAAGGCCATAGGGCTACGCTACGGTGCGTATCGAGCATGTACATCTACACACGGTGACCGTACCAAAACTCACGATCTCCGTGTTTCTAGCGCTCACGATCCAGGATGTCCTCCAGCCGTCGAAGAAGTTTTGGGATATGTACATGGATTATATCGTGACCCACGATGGCGGGGCCGTCGCACTCTTCAGCATCCAGCTCAACCTCATGGCTGGTACATTTGCGCCCTTCGCGCAAAAGCGCCCAGAACTACGGCCGCTCTTGGAAGACGTCCTCGCTTTCCGCGTCTCGTAGGTCGCTCGTGGGTTTCGCTCGCAGACGGGTTAGCTGACCACAGACCATAGGGCACAGTTCATGCTGACGGAGCTGGGCCATGGTCTCGACGCGGCTAACATCGAGACAACTGCGACTATGAAGGACGATGGAAGTTTCGATCTGCACACGCCCAACGCTAATGCTGCGAAGTGGGTGCTTACCTCTACTGTGATGCGGTTATAATGTGATGAAACACTTTTACAGGTATATGCCTCCGACACTTCCATTTGGCGGCGTCCCTAGGGTGGCAATTGTCATGGCCAGGTTGATTCACCGAGGCCAGTTCAAGGGTCTCCGGCCGTTCGTTGTCTCTATAAATGACGGAAAGGAGATGTGCAAAGGCATCACTGCTCAGTCCGTCAAACAATGATAGTCCTTCACCGTACTAGCCTGACATACGCCCACAGGGAACTGCCAACGCGGACGGGTTCGAAAGCAATCGGCCACGCGCTCACTTACTTCGACCACGTCCCACTCCCCCGAGAAGCGCTCCTCGGCGAGCTCGACCCCAAGCTGCACCCCCGCGAGTACTTCCTGCGCACGCTCTGGCGCGTCAGCATAGGCTCCCTCAGCCTCACCGCCGTCGTCGCGCCTGGGCTCAAGATGGCCGCCTACATCGGCGCGCGCTACAGCCTCCGGCGCACGGTCGACAGCGGCGCGCGCGGCAAGCGCGTCCCGATCATGTCCTTCCGCACCCAGCAGCTGCCGATTCTGCACGCGCTGGCGCAGGGGTTCGTGCTCGAGGCGTTCTTCCGGCGCGCGGCGGGGTGGCTGACGGACACGCCTGTGGAGAATATCAACTTGAGGAACGCGATTTGCGCGATCGTGAAGGCGACGATGATTGGGCATTGGCGGAGGACGGGGATCACGATCGTGGACCGGTGCGGCGCGCAGGGCATGTTCGACTTTAACATGCTCTTCCCGATGGAGGTGTGAATCCCGCCTGTCCCTCGTAAGGACCCTTGCTAACATCGCGCGTCCATAGACTGAACTCCGGGGCGTTGCCATCGCCGAAGGAGACGTGCTCGCTCTGTGCCTACGTACGTATTTGCCATAACGTTCACATTCACTATCTCTAAGTGCGTGCGCTCGCAGGCCTCGCACCAGAACTACTGCTGGGTAGATACAGTATCCCTACCAGCGAGAATCCCTCCTCGCGCCTCGCAGTCCACGAGGAAAAGCTCGGCGTTGAGCTCAAAGCCATCATCGCCGCCGCGTCCGCGCATGACGGCAACGGACACCGCTCCGAGCTCGCTAACCAACTCCTCCTCCCGCGCTGCCTCCCGTACGTCGAGGCGATCGGGCACCGCATGGCGTATGAGGCTGCAACGGCTGCCGCAGTCCCTGCACCGCTTCTGCGCTTGTACGAGGCAGGGGTTGTCGGGGTGAACCTCGCCACGTATGTCGAATTCGGACTGGTGGCATCGCGGCGGAAATGGGCAGAGGAGGAAGCGACAGCGGTGTCGGAGGTGTATGAGAGATTGGAGGAGTTCTTGGAGGCGACGGGGGCGGCACCGTACGCACGGGCACCATGTGTCTCGCAGGAAGCGTGGGACGCGTACGTGGAGACGCTTCCGGTTTATGGCGGCGGCGTGGAGTATGACTGGCGGCAGGGCGGTGGTGAAGTGAAGGCACGCCTTTAAGCTACCATGGTTGCTCGGACATCTCATATCGTACTGCACTGCTTCATTTCATGAAATGTTCTGCTAGTGGTATGAACACATTACGCGCACAGTGAATGGGTGCCATCATCGAACGCATACTGGGTACCAGGGATTTTCTATACCTAGTGCAGTTGCAATCGAGCCTTGAGCTTGAGACCTTTACGAGCCGAGACACAGCACATGTCGACAAGGCGGTCTCCATATATCCGATACTTCCTTCATTCTCAGGCGCCATATTTCCTAGCTCGATATGTCCCGCTTCTCGATGCCACCCGTCTGAATACGCCGATAGTCAATCATCGTCTTACCCCTCCTGTCGCGATAAAAGACCATATCGCCTATAAAACAAAAGTTCGGTCAGTCCCGACCCGAGAGACTGAGAGAGAAGCGAACTGTAACGCACCCTCGTCGTCGACGAATTGGCAGAAATTATAGTTGTCCCACAGCGCCCGGAAGCACGGCTTCGACGAACGACGATAATACGGCCCCATCGCGCGCGCGAGGTACGCCGTTGCCGCTTCTCCATTGTACCACGGCATGCGCGGGAAGAAGTGGTGTACGACGTGATAGTGCGCGACTGTCCCATATCCGAATCATTGAGCACGGGCCTCCGAGACAAAAGAACACCAGTTGAAGGAGCCGACGCGCACCGTCATGGAGGAAGAAGCGCCCCTGCCAGCCGAGGAAGTCGCGGTCAACGGTGGCGGCCGCGCCGCCCTGAAAGCTCCATGCGCGGCCACGATAATGTGGCAGCGCAGGGTCCGTGTGGTGCAGGTATGTTATCATCACGAACCAGTGCGTGACGAGGACCCAGGGCACGCCGTAGAATGCGGCGACCCGCGCAAATCCGAATCGCGCACAGCCATACGCGAGCAGTGTCCCAGCGACAAGAAGGCCGACGTTGGACGCGATGACAGCGCCGCGCTGGGAGGGATCAAATATGATGGATTTCGCTGTATGGGAGGGGTGATTATTGGCTCTGTGCGCGCGAGAATGGAGGGCTCAGACCGGACGTACGGTCGAAGTGGTTCGTCCACTTGGGGTAGTGCTTTTGGCCGGAAACGTTCCATACTAAGTCATGCATTAGCACCGGCGGACAACTACTGGATACGTTATAGGGTACGCACGCAAATACGCCTCGAACGCCAACAGCTGCTGACGCACAAGCGTGTACAACGTATAAATCGGCGTGTCGCCAAAGTACTCGTCCCAGTCTATCTCCTTCGCGCCGGACGGGATACCAAGGTCTTGTCGTGTGCGCGGCACATACACTTCGTCTTTCTCCATTGACGCGTGATTACTGTGGTGCCGGTGGTGTCCAAACTTCCAGCTGAAGTATGGCGTCCACAGCAGGCTGTGAAGGGTCTGTATGCGTGATACTTAGTTGTGATTCGCTGCTATGGTATTACAGAGGCAGACGTACGAAGCCAATTATGTTGCAGACAACGGGGTTTGGGGAGAATGCGCCATGTCCACACTGTACAAGATTGTCAGCGCTACACGGAGCAGCTACGTAGGGCACTCAGTACCTCATGACCGATGACCCATATGCCTGTGAAGACGAGGCCTTGGAACCACCAGCTGGCGATGCACAGATAAACTGTCAGTGCCACTTCACGTGCAAGTAGGTGGATCTCTCACTATGTGATCCAGCAGGCAGTCCGCAATACTGTAGACGTTATCGCGACCAGGTGTGGCTGCAACATTGGATGGTCGCATAGCCAATCTATCTTGAGCGCAAGCACGAAGAGAATGGTGGCGAGCACGAGGTCGCGCAGGGCATAACCTAGCGCTTTCGCAGTGCTCCTCTCAAAGAGATGCGGTGGAATCTGGTCTCTAATTTCTTTGAGCGACCTATACATCGGACTCGTAAGAATCTGGTCAAACAGGCCACGTAAATCGCACGGGACTTACCACGAAGGCGGGACTAGCGGGGGCAGTTGGTCCTCCATTACTGCTGGGTGCGTTTTCCGAAGACCAGTCTCCACATATATGGGTGACGAAGTAATAGTCGCGGTACTAGACATCCTGGCGCTCAACGGAAGAGAAGAAAACGAGTCGAGTGTGAGGTTTAATAGGGGGATGAAACTAGAAAGTTGAGCTGGTGATTTGACCTGTCAAAGGCCATAGTTTACAGGCGTTCGGGTGACTGGGGGCACCGTGGCGCGTCCCACAGCTCTTGATGCAATATGGGGATGGCCATCTGCACTGCAGCATGTTGCGAAAATGGCCAATATCTCCGTGGTACGAGCTGGGAGCTCAGCTCGCTCAGGGAACATACTTAGAGCGCTAGAAGTAACCTTGATTCAGGCACGTCTCCATTTTCAGTGGGCGCGAGTCTGCACCTCTTCCGACAGGCGGGATAAGGTGGTGTAGGATGTGATGTTCCAGCGCGATGTCCGCAGAATCAACCGGTGCGGGGAGCTGCTCATCTATGTCGGGAAAGCGACGACGCTCGGGAACTCACCGCCTTGCGACACGTTAGTGCCATTAGCAAATACCCTACGCCTCCGGCCATGCTGTGCCCGGGAGAGAGTGCTGTCAGTGGGATAGCGTTTGCCAAGAACAATACGAGGACCTTCCGACTCGGATGTCCGCGCTACGCGCACCCTGTGTGCGCCGCCGTGAGAACAGCCGTTCGGGAACTCGGTCATGGTCCGAGGGAAGAAGTATGCCTGTACCCTGGAACAAGGATGCGGGATACAGGAACCGAGTACAAGTCTGCATCTTCCATTCTAGACGTGACGAGCGAGACCAAACCTACTTGAACGGCCTGGAGTCCGGTGGTGAAAGATGGAAGACCGCGGTGAAAGATGGAGAGATGCGCGCACGATGCGCGCGACGCTTTCGAACGGCTTCTGTTTTTAAGTATGTTCCTAACCTGAAAGGGCATTCACATCAACATAGTGTACTTAATCGTATCACACTGTCCGCAGCGCCGAACAATGCCGAAATAGCGTGTGGGCTCACCGTTACCCGTCGCCAGTCGGACTCCACCACGGCGACGAAGGGGTCGTTCAGCCTGTTGCTAGACAACAATCAGTTTAGACCATACAGAAGCAATCCAGTGTGAAGCTCAGAACTTGCTCAAGGTTAGATGACTCGGTTGGAGTCCAGCCTGGCGCGACATGATAAATGAGAACTGCGTACTGAGTCTTCGAAGTCTCGAACAGGCTGGTCCAATCCGATGTGGCCGCAGGACGGCCGTTGCAATCTGTGTCAGTGGCTGTAAAAACTACCGGCGCTTAACGTTTAACGCTCCTGCTTCGCTGCGCAAGTTCAACAGTATGGCGGCCTCGGGGCTTCAATTACCTCCGTTCGACTCAACGTAGCGGTAATGCGATCTGAAAAGTCGTGTGCAGAGCCATTGACAACTTGTAGCGTATACAGACATACGGCGGTGGCCCATATTTTCGATGCACTGTAAGGTTATTCGCACTACTAGGCGGGGCCACTATGGGTACAAACGGAGTCTCATTGTAATGATCAATCACAGCAGGACCTGCAGATCGTCAACTTCTGTTGGTACAAACCCGGTTTGCAAGTAATTCCTGGAAATACAGAGTCAAAAAAACATCCTGATGCCGCTGAAGTGCTACGGCCGTGGCAAATTACTCAACCCCTTCTCCGGGGCTAACCAAGACTGACCGCGTCCGCCTCAATCTGCACTTCGTCCACCAACTCGTCATGCTCCTTGCCAGAGGGAGGCGTCACCGCCATGACAGCCCTCCTCGCGGATCCGGTGGCATCCTTGTAGAACACGACATCGCCCTCGTCCTCAACGAAAAGGCAGTGCACGAACGAGCGCCACAGCGCGCGCAACACCGGCGTCGAGTCGTAGTTGTATGCGTCGCCGAGAAGCGGCCGGATCGCGTTGTGCGCCATCGGGAGGTTGTCTGGTCCCGGATGAATTCCGTGTCAGCGACGTTTCGCAGGCATCTGTAGGGGTGTGTCGCTTACAGAACGGGATCTGCGGAATGCGGTCAACAGGGTGTTCGAGGTGGTGTGAACAGGGAGGAGAGCGTACCATTGCGAAAAGATGGTGCGTGGTGTGGTGGTGGTTGACGCCCAGGAAGATGTACTTACCGACCCACCCTAGGAACGGCTTGAATCGCAGAAGTGTTAGGCATCGCCTTACTGAGCGCGAATGGGTGTGCATGCGGGAAACTAACTCGGTCAATGGTGGATAGCGCGCCGCGGGTGCGGCTCCAGGCGCGGCTCCGATAAAATGGCACTGTAGGGCACGAATGTTGCAGCTGACCCTGTTATTAGCGGGTAGCCGCCTCAAGAAACAGGGAATACGCACGAAGGTCATAGCCATCACCCTGCGAGGACATCGGAGTTAGACATTCAGCCGACGCACTCCGTCAGGGCGGACATACCAGTGGTTTGTGAGTAGGAACGGTATGAGGTAGATCTTCACAATGAAGGTCCATGAGGTGCAGCGGGCGAGAACGTACAGTGACGTGAACATGGCCGCGATGGCCACGTTCGACACGTGCACCGCGGCATACTCGTCCTGGGTGAACAGGCCGGAGTACGGGTTCCAGTGCTGCAATACCGGATCGGTCAGCCAGTACGCACAAGCCATCTGCTAGGACGATGACGTACGTTCGCGCCCTTTGGATAGCGCTTCGACCCCATAGTGTTCCATCTAGTGTGCGTGGGCATTCAAAGATTTCACGTTACAGAACGATATGGATACACTTACGTCAAGTAGGTATCTGCAGCCCACAAAGTGTAAGCGTGTAACCATTGTCTGACGGCAGACACTCACGCAGGCCAAGGAGCTGCATGCCGCACAAGCGACAGAGCTGGAAGATCGGGGACTCCTCGAATGCCTCCTGGTAGTCCCTCTTCGTCGCCTTCCCCGGTGGCGGTAACCTGTACGCGGACCGGAGGTGCGGTACGTACACCTCCTCCGTATCGATGTTTCCAGAGGTCTTGTGGTGACGGATGTGCGTCAGCCGCCACGAGAAGTAGGGCGTGAAGATGAGGGAGTGGCAGACGAGCCCTATCCCGTGGTTCACCCACTTCAGAGGCGAGATATTATCGTGGTCGGCCTAGTCCAGAGCAACATTGGTACATGATGGGGTACATAATTTGAGAACGTACTTCATGACCTAGAAGACAAGTAATCAGCCTTGAGACGTCAGCATTGTACGCGCGGTTGCAGCTCACCTACGGACCATAGGCCAGCCCACGCGATGCCCTGGCCGTTCCAATACACCAGCCAGAGCAACCATTTCAGTAAGTCCCGCCAGATACCAGGGAGGGCGAGTCGAGAGACCTGAGTGTCGATATTCCAGCCGAGTAAAATGAATAGCCCTGAAGCAAGAAACACTGGCGCGATGCCCACAAGTGCGCGACTCGTGCTTCGACGGAATGCCTCATTGGGGATCGCCCGCCGCAGGACGAGTAGATCGATGTCGGGTGGGGTGAACGCGGTGTGCATGCGGGCTGTGTATTCCGCGCCGTCGGCCAACATGACGTCCATAGTGAGTGTGCAACGGAAGATAGCGCGGTGTGGAACGTATTGGCGGCGGGGGCGGCAGCGAAGAGAGGATTATGACCCACGTCACGAGGCTTCCAAACATACCCTGTATCTAGACACAGTTTACGCCATACACGGGATTTGACGCAGATGCAACCGGGCTGGAACAATAGCATCGTTCCTTCTCCAAGGGGCTGAGTTCTAGCAAAACTCACTTGGGCACTCCCATGCGAGCAGGCAAAGATAAGCTCTGCTCCAGCACGGGCTGCGCGGGGTGGCACGCGCGCCGTGGGGCACAATGGAAACCAGACACCCTGGGCATCCGTGATCAGGAAGAGGTACGGGCGCGAACAGAACCACTTAGGCATCACCTATGTTCATAAGCATCATAAGATCCGATGTGAGCGTGGGCGGGACGCAATAGTACGAGCGACAGCGGACTTTGGGTTGCGCCTACATCCTTCGCATCGGCGCACCATCGCGAAGCACTGTGGCGGAGTTCCGGGGTCCTACATGTCCGCGGCCGAAGAACTTTGAGAACGTCGTGCTCGGCGGAATTCATTAAGGGCTGCCGGCGTATAGATGTAATCGGCACTAGGATGTGGGGTATCTGTCGTCTTGTCAGGTCGCCGAGTTCGCGAACATAGAACGGGCTATGAATTTACTTCCCCGGATATAGCGCTTGAAAGAAACGTCTGCAACTTGTCAAACCGGGACGCTGGCCGTCTTCCCGCATGATGGCGCCGGGAACGGGCTCCGCGGGCGCGTCCATGCAGAAATGCCGAGTTGCAAAAGCCGCACACATCATCGCAAGGGACATCAGGCTAGTGAGGTCTGAGGTCTGAGGCCTAAGGACATGATGAGAGAGATATGGCGGTCGCTCACAGTTCAAGAATATGCTGCGCCCCGGCCAATTTGCTGAACCCCTTCCCTTGCGAAAGGTTGCACTGAAAGCCGCGCTGAGGCCCTATTCGGCGAGCTTAGACCGGTGCTGCGTTAGTACGCGGCGTCTTTAGCTGGTTCGCCACAGCCGTCAGCTTGTTCCGACCCCCTCGTAGTTTCCATCGAATGGAGCCACTTGAAGGCAATGTCACCTGTCGGCAAAGGTTCGCAGTCGGCAGTCGGTGGTAAGTTGGTGGGTCCACCAGAGTACTGGGCTGCGGGCCCGGTAAACCGGTAACGGCCGAAGCCTCGTGGCGCGCGGTGGCGCTTTCGTGTACCAAACGCCTGGCACTGCCTCCATTTATCAGTTACACCAGTACTTACAAGCTCTCTGCAGGCTACGCACTAATATATCATGCAACTGTCGCTTCGACCGTCTTCTCTGCGTCTTCTTCTGATATGGCCGCTACCCTAGCTGGAGAAAAACCCTCTTGGACCCTGCATCGCCTCTCTTCCCTGAGTCGATAAATCTTGCGTTGGCAGCCTGGAGCAGCGCACAAACTCGGAATGCACAGACCTTCCTCAACTTCGATGAGCCTGTTGCGTGATGATATGACGGCACGGATGAACAAATGCATGAAACACGTACCCTTCAAACTCTGGGTAGGACCCTAGATCTATCCGTCTGTGAGAAACCCCGAGCCTGTTGGACCTGGAGATGTGAGTACTGCTGTGTACAGAATATTCGCTCGCACGGTGGTAAAGAGTCAGGGCGCCCCCGGTTTCAGGGGATACATGTGTAGCCTTGGTGTCACACCGTCCATGGCGTGGATAAGTGGTGTATTGAGGGGGCCTGCCAAATCCGAGCAGCAATAAAAGTGCAAAAACAAGGTACTATGGGGCAGCTGCGACCGCCCATCGCCCTGTGCGCTGATGATACATGGCTGGTATCCATAAGCACAGGACTTCAGCTTGAAAGAGCCCGGTCGGACGAAAAGCGGAGAGGTTTACAGGGTAGAGTCGGAACTCTCCCTGCTGCCGACTCCGTGCTCAGCGCTCAGCGCCAAACTCTATCAACTTCCTCTCGCCGACCGGGGCCTCGTACTGTCACCGCCCAGCGAGCGCCACCGGCTCGCCATCCACCTAATTCATCCATCCACATGCCGCAGTCTTGCCTCCTGCCTTCCGCCCACCACAGAGCTCGTCGCACACATGCAGTGGAACGCAGTAGACGTCGTCGCGCTCGTCTCGTTCTGCGCTATTCTTGCGCTCATTGTCCGCCGCGCATTCTCGCAGAATGTTTTCCCGCCGGGGCCCAAGCCCATTCCGCTCTTTGGGAACCTTTTCCAGCTCTCTCAGCAGCAGGAGTGGCTGCAGTTCACGGGCTGGGGCCAGATATACGGTCCGTGTCCTGTTGCACGTCCTTGCGTCCACATGCGCGTGCTGAGCTCGCGTTTGATGCAGGGGACGTCGTCACTATGCGTATCTTCAACAAACCGATCATACTCCTCAACTCCGCGCAGGCCATCGTTGACCTCTTCGAGGCGCGCTCTGCCATCTACTCGAACCGGCCCCATCTCACTATGGCCTGCGATCTGTGCGTCTGCCTTTCTTCAACATCGTTTTATTTTTACCATTATACGCAGAATGGGATGGGGCGAAACGGTCGTGCTAATGCCGTACAACGAGCGTTTCAAGAACTATCGACGGCTCCTCAAAGTCGGCCTAAACACGCATGTCACGCGCGAGTATTGGCCGCTCATGGAGAAAGAAATAGCGCGCGAGCTCGTGTGGCTGCTCGACAACCCTGATGCATACGTGCAGTACTTCCGGCGGTATGGCGCACACGCTCGCACTTCCCCTATCGCGTTCGGACCAAGCCCTTACCTCTCTGCGCTTCTAGCACCGCGGGCACTGTCGCTCTCAAGATAGCATATGGGTATCAGAACGAGAACAACGAGTTCAAGCAGATCGTAAAGGACACTGAGGATGCTCTGCGCATGTTCGCAATTGCTGCGCTCCCTGGCGTGTTCCTTGTAGACACGTTGCCCTTCCGTGCGTTCTCCATGCTGCGCATGCGCGCGCAGGGATTGCTTCTGACGCCTCAACAGTACGCTTCCTCCCGCCCTGGTTCCCTGGTGCTGGATTTAGGAAGCTGGGCATGCGCACGCAGAAACTCATCAAGGCCATGATCGACACGCCGTTTGGCATGGTGAAGCGACAAGTGGTACGTCTATGTTTGAGCCCCCGCTTTACTCCGCCTGTCCAGAATCTCCAGCCTCCATGCTGACACACGTGCACATAGGATGCAGGAACCGCTCCGCGGTCGTTCACCTCGGACTTACTGAACGAGCCCCAAGAAGAGCGCAGTACAGACGAGGACATCAAATGGGTGGCCGCGGGGCTCTATGCCGGACAGTCTGACACGGCGCGTACTCTCTACTTCCCATCGGGACCCTCTATGTGGGTCCCGCGGCTGACCAGGGGCGTTTACACAGACCGTTGCAGCACTTTCGACGTTTCTACTCTGCATGATGCTCTTCCCAGATGTGCAGAAGAAGGCGCAGGCTGAGATTGACAAGGTCATCGGCGGCGACCGCCTTGCGTGCATCGAAGACCGCGACTCGCTTCCGTACGTCGTCGCGGTCCTCAAGGAGGTCCTCCGCTGGCGCCCGGTCGTACCCATGGGTGCGTCTCGTGCCTGCGCTGCTATCATCTAGTTACTGACGCCCGCGCGCTGCCAGTCTCGCATTCCGTCACCCAGGACGACATTTACCGCGGGTGGCACTTCCCCGCCGGCACCGCGCTCGTTGCCAACATCTGGTGCGCATTCTCCCACTACTCCGCGCTCGCCGCGCGCTGATTCCCGCCATCGCACGCACCCAGGGCAGCGCTGCACGACCCCGCGCGGTACAACGACCCGGACGTGTTCCGGCCGGAGCGCTTCCTCGCGCCCGAGAACGCGCCGGACAGCTCGAGCTTCGCGTTCGGGTTCGGACGGCGCGCATGCCCGGGCGAGGCCGTCGCGCACGCGTCGCTCTTCTGCACGCTCGCGCGCATCCTCGCCGTGTTCGACATCGCGATGCCCGTGGGCGCGGACGGGGCGCCTGTCCGACCGAAGATGGTATGGTCGTCGGGGGTCACTAGGTCAGTTCTTCCATCTGATTTATCATGCGTGGGCGGCTGACGAGGTGAGCGGTGCCGTAGCCACCCGGCTCCGTTCCAGGTGAAGATCACACCGCGCTCGGACGCGGCTGTCGAGCTCATCAATCGGGCGCGAGACGATGTGGAGTGACGGCGAGGCGTGGGGCTACTGGGATACCTCGGTTCTGCGATGCTCTGACATTCCTATACGGACTGACTTCTCTGTGTGCTATAATATTGTCGTATACCATGTATTATCCTCTGGACGTTTCGGACCCGGACGGGTGCATCCTATTGAACTTTAAGTAGCTCATGATAGCACTCTTGAGTGCGCATAAAGTATGACCATGAGAAAATGAGTACTCTTGACAACTTTAGGTTGTTTTTGAAGCACCCATATGGACGGCTGAGGTCATTAATGAGCAACTTATGATGACCCCCCATAGCACCAGGATCGAACTGACTCGTACAAAATTAATTTATAGAGTACACATGTGACAAGGATAAGGATGTGGTCAGCGCGTATCCGAATCGGAGCATACATACAACCATCAAACCAGCCCAAACCAGCCCAAGTCAGTGCGCTAGTCCTGACCCCGACCGCTCGGACCCTTGAAGCTCACGACGTCGCGCGGGCCGTACAAGTGCTCCAGCCGGTACACCTCGCGCCCGGCGGGGCCGCCCTCCACCTCCAAGTCCAGCGCGTCCGCGGTGCCCGTCGAGTCCGTCGCGCCCGACAGGTCCACGCCGGTGAGCACCGTGGTGTCCGCCCAGTCCGCGCGGCGGGACGAGAGGTCGCGCTTGGCGGCGCGGAACGTCGGGAGCGTCGACACGTCCTCGGTCGCGCGGCTGTCGTACGCGCCGCCGGTCGTCGTCGCGCCGCGCGAGCGCCGCACGCGGCGGTGGAACGCCTCGAAGAGGTTGAGCAGCAGCCGGGTGCCGGAGACGATCATGGACGCGTGCGACATCCTGTGCGGAAACGGGATCGTGAATGAAACTACTACGCTGTCAGGTGGGGGCACGTACGAGACGGCGGAGGCGGCGAGCCCGTCGGGAGCGGCGAGCCACATGATGGTGTTGGTGAGCAGGCCTAAAGCGATGCTGCAAGACAGCGGCGGCGCGGGCGTTAGCATGCCGGGGCGTATGGTGGTCCCTGTCTCTGGACTCACACCACGAAATAGATGACGCTGTATCGGGCGTGCACGGAGATTACAAAACTTAAGAGTCAGCGCGCGCTTTATATGTCACGAAAATACGAGGGGACGCACTTGTCGCGGATGAGCAGCGCGAGTAGGTCGAGCCGCTGGCCGTCGACGACAACGCCGGAGCGGGAGCGTTCGATGGCCTTGTAAATAGCGAGCAGGACGAGCCACATCTCGAAGACCAGCCCGGGGATCCAGATGGAAAACAGGTAGCTGGTCGTGATCCCGTAGCAGCCGGTCAGACCCTCGGGTGTCGCCAGCGCTGGGTCACGTCGTCAGTCATTTGGGCGGCGCGAGAGAAAGGGTAGGAATTGAACGCACTGGTGCCGACGGAGATGCCGTAGTTGTACACGACTAGCATGACTGTGATCTCCGCGAAGAAGAAGAAGCCGTTGACCATCGCGAGCCACTTGTTCTTGTTGTACATGGCGTATATCCGGAGCTGCAGGATGACTTCCGGGATTTTATGTATCAGACGTAGCAGTAACGGTAATGTGGGGAAGTCGACGTACCCTCAACGGAGTACAGCATGAGCGAGCCTGCTGTTCCCTCCCAGAAAAAGTAGAACTCGCAACTATATGTTAGGGAACGAAGCCCTGTGGGAACAAATACAGAAAAATATGTAGAGAAGGGCTTACAACTAGAAGAGTAGTCAGAACACAAGATCTCGAGGCGACATCGTGTAGTATTTGAGACGCACCTTCGCTGAATGTCCGCCGGTCATGGTGACAGCAAGGTTAACGGTGAGGAGAACAAGGCCGAAAATGCGAACCTGCCGGCATATGAGATCACGCCATCCCGCCCCACAGGCAAGTCAGGTGGGGAGGACGCTTACCCATGCAAAAAGCAGTTTCGACAAGTTCCACTTTGTTGCCTATATTCCCTATGAGTTATGTCGCTGGTTCCGCGCATTTTATTATGCATTCAACTCACCCATACGAAGCGGATCTGGGATTTCGCGTGAACATAGCAGTAGGCTCAGCCACCGACTTGGAGTAAAATCGCTGAGAGCACGTACTTCGGTGGGCAACACCATAACTATCGAATACGCACAAAGCTCAGCGTAGTCCGTTCCAAGACTTGGATGGGCAGGAAGACTCACTAAAGTCGAGCATGAACCACGAGTATGCGCCCACTGGCAGACCCAACGGCAGATCAGGTACACGTTCCATACAAGATCAAGGCCGAACAGCGTTACTTACCAGCACAGTATGCGACGACTTGTGCATCGTCGTGTAACTCGAGGAGTTGCTGGAGGGCCGCCGCCGCTGCTGCCGCCGCACCGGTGTCTGTGGCGTTGGCCATATACTAGTGGTCGTTGCACGTCTCCGGGAAATGTGCCTTTGCACGGCGGGAGTGCGTGGGGTGCGGATGGGGCTAAGCCTCCTTGCGCGCGTACGGTGATAGTGTTTACTTCGCGCGCTGGGGTTACATAAGGACGCCGCGACAGTAGGAGCAAATTCATCTGCTAGGGCTCAGCGCTCAGCGGGTGGTTCGTGATGGCGGCGGCTTGCTGTAGCGTGACAGTATGGAGATCGAGAAGGACGGAGACGGCGTGTCTCACGCCGTGGACTGGCGCGAGTGTCAATCGCGGTGTCCCGAGAGCAGATGCGCCATTGCATCGACATCTCGTTGCGAAGCACACGGACGCGAAAGGAGCAGACCCACCACTTATTCGAGTGCCGGCCGAAGATACGCGCGCGATGTCAGCGGTGTCAGTTGGTGTCATAACGTTCTCCGCGAAACTACTCACAGGTATTACATCCGGCGTGTGCAACGGCTCATGTGGAGCGGGCCCTCGCAGTGATTGGAGAGAAGGCAGCTGTCTTCCATCCGATCGGACCTTCCACCCTGTCAGGCCTCCCGGCACAATCATGGCGGCCCCTTGCACATGTGCGATGAAGTGCAAAGACGCCGGGAAATCGAAGTAAGAAAGCGCTTTTCACTGCGCCCGTTCTTCGGCTGAACTTGTGGTCCAGGCTGTATGTGTGCGTATCAGAGCGTGAGACGCACATGTCATACCAAAACTGCACCCTGAGCCTACCTGATGGGGATATGATAGCACGTACCGCTCAACAACTTGTTCATCGCGTGAAGCTACAAGGTGAAGGTCGTGTCGTCACTGCTGTAGTGCCTGAGTCGCCGGCAACTTACCTGCGACACCAGTCGGGCGTCTCCATACATAAGCTTTAAGGTTTTCGAACGTTGGCTGATCGATATATGATCGTGTGTGTTAGATGACTAGCGCTTCGAACGCTACTCCGCTGGTCCCCCGGACAGTGCGCCTCACAGTTGGCAGCGGGTTAGCTCGCGTTCGCTTTTCCCTGTAAGGACCTATACTTGCTGTACACACCCACGCCGGGGCACACTACGTTAACCTCAAATCAAGACGGCTCGGACCATGACAGATTCGGGGCGCGCAATTTAGCATCCGTGCCTTCGCGCGCGATGCCCGACAACCTTCATGACTCATGGTCAACGGGCGTCGAAATCATGGATGTCCGTTCAAGTGGCTTATTGTGGATCTTTTGTGCCATTACACCAACATCAGTCTAGTACGACATCGATGGACAGATCCCCGGGACTCCCGAGGACTCGCGGCAGGCGGTGATCATCCCGCGCTTCGCGGCCCATCTGCGCCTCTCTCCCGGGCGTTGTAGCTTGCGGGCCCAAACTTGAAATATCGCGAAAACCGACGGAGCCCCAACGGCCTGTAGATGCCCAGCTATTCATCAAGACGTTGCTGGCACTTGTACCGCGCGTCCGATGCGCCCTTCCAGCCCACTGCGGTATCAGAACGCACGCAGGTATCAGTGACATCGCCGTCCAGCCCGCCGCGGTACATCACTCACCGCACTTCCAGCAATCGAGCAGATGGTCTGGGTCGCTAGACGAGCGGCAGATGAGCGTCAGCCAGGCCCTAGGCCTCATCCCCATCTGAGCGGAAACGGAGCCACGCACTACTTCCGCTTGATCGCGAGCAGCCGCTCGTAGTTCGGGCCCCAGAACGCCTCCGCGTAGTCCGGCTCAAACACCGACGCCTCGTTCTGCGGCACGCGCGCGTCAGCATTCGTAGCGCGTCCATGACCGCGTCCAGCTAAGAGCCCGAACATACCCGGTAGACCCCCGAGTTGGGCGCAATCTGCCGCAGCACCCCCATACTGTCCTCCAGCCCCTGATAGATCTGTGTGCGCTCGGATACCGTGGTGTTGTACGCCCAGTAATCGATGTAGATGACCTGAATAGAGACTGAGTGGGCCACCACTCCGTGCGATGATGAGGAGCATGCGGTACGCACATGCCATATCGCCTCGCGCCATGCGGGGGTGACGCTCGTCAGCCCGTCGTTGCCCTTGAAGAAGTACGGCGCGACAGCGAAGAGGAGCGTGACCGTGTGCCGCTGTGCACCCGCGACGAGCGCGTCGCTCAGTGCCGCGCGCGAGGAGGTCGAGTTGAACACCGACGCGGGGATAAGCCGTGACGCCAGCGCCGAAGGCGTGTCGTCCGGCTGTGATGACAATGGTGAGCGAAGGAGGATGTGGGGAAGGAAGGGTAGGGGCTCACGAGGGTTGTGGGCACGACGAACTGGTTGTAGAATGAGAGATACGAGGTCTCGCGCTGGAGGAGGAACGTGCTGTTCAGCTCGCTCTCGACGAGCTGCCGCAGGTCACCCATCGCCTCTGCCGCCTCGTCCATGCTTATGAAAGGGTTCACGAACGTCAGGCCGAGGTTGGGCTGTGTGTATGCGAGCATCTATCAGCGATAGGTGCCAGAGCGTGAAGGTCATATAAAAACGTGCCGCAATGTACCCTCCCCAACCTAGATAGTTACGGGGCCAGTGAGCGATGCGCACAGGGAATGCCGTGCAGGACCTACCTTTTGACGAGAGTTGAAAGGCGTTGTTGACAAGGAACTCAATGTACTTCGCCTGCATCTCGACAGAGGGCTTCTGCTTGAACGCGGTCACCACCCTGCGCGCATGCACAAAGTATCACAAATAAGCGTCACCGCAGCGAAGCTTAGCTGGGGAGGTACCGACACTGGAGAATCGAGCTGGGGGAGCCCTAGCATCGTCACGCGCAGGACGACGGCGAACGTGCTGCCGCCCCCGCCGCGCAGCGCGAAGAACAGATCCGGTTCCGTGCACGCGTTCGCGACCCGGTGCACGCCGTCGGGCGTGACGGCTTCGAATTGGAGCTGTTGGGCACGCGTTCAGTGGGGTTGTGAGGAGGATACAAGAGCGCAACGCACCACTCGGTCGACTGCTAGTCCGAAGGCGTTGGCGAAGGCGCTGTAGTAAAGGGTCGGACGATCAGCTGGAATGCATATTCGTCGTGGTAGGGGAAATGCTACCTATGGCCACCACCCTGCGAACGTGTGCCATGAGCACAATGGGGCTAGACGGTTGCGAGTAGAGGGATGCTCACCATGACATACCCGCCTCCATAGGCAATCGAGTCATCTGCGCCCCCCGGGATGGTGACGTTGTGCGCATCCGCGAACTCGTTCAGCGTGCGTGTTAGCACTCCAGTCTGCGTATCGAAGGTGACATCGTCAATATCTGCACTGCCAGAGGGGAGTAATCCTGCGACGTACCCCAAACGTCACAGCAGCAACGCCGGCCTTTTTACATCCTGACGGTACGAACGACGGACTAAATGACATCTATGAGAACATAGTGAGATGACATCCTCCCCTCGGGCCGAAACGGAAGGACAAATGTGTACATCTTGGAAGTTATGCATCTGCCAAAAGACAGTGAGCGTCCAATGCAGCACACACACGCTACAGCACTTTGGCTGCAGCAGTGGACTTACCCAGAGGGACAAGGAGTCCGCACCGGCGCTGCGGCTCAGAAAGTCATGCTGCATATGCGAAATACCCATCAGCGACTCAGATGGCACTGTAAGCCTGGAGACTCGATATGGCGTACCCCGGTGTTCTTGACCGAGAGTGGAACACCCGTCCGCCGGGAAAAGTCAAACGCTGCGCTGACGTCTGCCGCGCTGCGCACGTCAATCTAATGCAAAGGTAAGACCCGTCGGTGAGATTGGTATGAACAGGCGGCGAGGGCCTGAAAGAACGATACACATACATAGTAGCTCGGCAGGTTCCCTTGCTCGCATTTGTTGGGAGCGAAAAAGGCTCGGGTGTCGTTGGGCGCATTGCTGTCCAACAGGCACTGCTGCCCCGTTGCTTGACAAATTGTCCCTCCGCTCTAGAAAACGAATCCATTCATGAGTCTCTGCCCGTCGTACCAGTGAAGCGGAGAGAGTGCGCACATTCAAGTAAGCGCCGAACTGCGACGTAATTGCGTCTGCACACAAAGGGTCAGTACATCGCATACGCTGCCTTCTGGTATTGCACAAGTTGAAAATGGAGACGTACGTCGGTCTCCATACGTCTCAATCACGTGCGCGCACGCAGCGGTATCGGGGTGGCCGAGGACGCCCGGAGAAGCCAGCGAGAAGCACGGACGCGCGAACGGCACCGCTGCATGCACACGCCCGCCGAGCGTGGCGTTCAGGACGCTCAGCGGCGCAGCGGGGTACGTGGCCGCGGCCGGCGGAAGATGAGAAGCGTAGACACCCATGGTTGGCGTAGTGCAGACTCGTGCGCAGAACGCAGAAAGCCGATCGATGAAGGTTCATTCTGTGCGCGGTCGCAGCCTGGCATATAAGGCGGCTGTATTTGGCGCATACGCTGGCGTGCACTGGTTACCGATCGGTGAGCCCTGGGGAAGGCCGCGCGGTAGGTTGGTGCAAGTGCGGCGGCGGTTGACATGGGTGATGAGATGGGCGTATATCCGGTGACAGTCGCCCGTGCCGCCGCATGTTGCAGGCATGGATGATAGGGGTCGGACGAGGTGACTATATTCGTATTTTCGGCATACGAGCTATGCTTCGTGGGCTGTCATCTAGTATCAAAGACATGTCAGTGTTGATACAAGTCTGTGTCGCAAAAGCGGGGTACGAAGGCAGAGCAAATGGAAGCAAGACGGCGGCACTCCAAGAGTTCTGGGATACGATCATAGGAAACAGAAACCCCTAAGACATAATTATCTCTTGTGCGTCATTCAGAACCACAAAGAACCTGATGAGCTGTGCGCACCTCATCATAGCACGTCTCCGGAGGCAGTTGTTCCGCATATATGTCGCTTGACAAAACTCACGTCTCCGGCATTCTGAGTGCGGTCATACGAGTAGTCGAAATATCATGATGCACGAGAGTTTCCAGTACACGGTACAGAAACAGAAGCGCAAGCTCAAGGTTCACGCCGACGCCGGGAAGACGACGCCGGGGTTGCCCGCGGACCAGCGCCGCACCACCATCTTGAGCGGCTCCCTGATCACCGTCGCGCGGAGGTTCCCCACCCCCGCCCAGAACCTCGCCGCATCGAACCCGTCCACGAGCTCGACGTCGAGCAGCAGGAACACACACGCGAGCACGAGCCGCGTCTGCTTGTACGCCAGGCGCTGCCCGACGCAGTTGAACGGGCCCGCGCCGAACGTCAGCAGCGCGTTCCTGTCGGCACCCGCCCCGGGTCCAAGCCACCGCGCGGGGTTGAACGCGGCCGGCTCAGCACCGAAGTTGTCTTCGGAGAGGTGCTGTGCGTAGATCGGGACGGACACCGTGGTGCCCGCGGGGAGGTGATGCCCGTCGACGGTCGCGCCGCCGGGGGGCACGACGCGCGGCAGTCCCGAGAAGATGCCGCCTAGCCGGAACGACTCCTGGATGACGGCGGTGAGAACGGGCAGCGTATCCAGAGTGTCCGCGGAGGCGGGGGAGGCGGAGAGCGGCGCATGCGTGGGGAACGCCGCGCGGAGCTCGGCGCAGAGGGTGCGGTGCCAGTGTGGGTTGGAGAGAATGAAGAAGAACACGAGTGAAGTCATCGAGCTCAAGGTTTCGGTCGCTGCGTGTGATGTGAGCCACCTGTGTGGGGGCGATGTCGATCGGTATGTGCAACGCACCTGCCACAATGGCTGCTAGCGAGTCCGTCGCGAGCTCGTCCAGGTTAGGCCGCTCTGTGTCCTCAATCCAATAGGAGAAGACATCCTTGAACTGTATCTTCTCCGCCTGCAGACGTCGCTCGGCTTGCTTCAGGGAGAACTCCTCGACCTGCCGGAAGACGGAAGAGGGAAAGTGCTTTAGGATGTGGAATAGCCAAGGGAAGTGGCTGAAGCTGCGTAGCGAGAGTCAGCACTTTAAGTCCAGGGATGCACTTCGCGACACAGAGCTACGTACAACTCGAAAGACGCGAGCGAGATCATGGGTTTTTCTGCCAAATCGTCGGGGTCGTCGGAGGCCAGCAGGCTCTATTGTGAAACATGTTTAGTTGGAGGCTGGACGAAGCAGTCACTCTGCACAGACCATTTCTGTGCCGTTTCCGCCAAATGTGATTAGAGCCTGTCGCCATATCTGAGTACAGGCTCAGCACATAATGGGGGAAGAAGGTACTTACCGCTGTATCGAACGACCATTGTGTAACGCACCTGACGAAGTCCACAGAGCCCTTCGCTTGTGTATCCCCCGTCAACCGATCGACAAGAGCTTGAGTAGTCCGGAAAAGCGGCTCAATGTACTCTTGAATACTGAGATGTACCACGTTAGCCTCCACGCTCGAGAATCCACTAACCGCCTACATACGCTTCGTGGGACATGGCGCGATTCCACGGCCGTCGTCGTAGTGCGTGTCGGTCGCGCTCCTTGATGAAGAACACCCCCTCGCCCTTGAGGTGCAGGTCGTAGGCGTCCGTTTTGTTGAAGCATTGTGCAGACTTGTGGATCCTATACACAGCGGACTTGGAGTTGATTGAGATGCTGTTCGGTCCTGCCAACTAGCGTCAGCCGATATATCGTAACAGCGACCATGCGGTGCATGTCGTTGCTATACTGGCATTCTGCGCGACCGCGTGAAGTCTGAGAAACGATGGGATAATGGGCCACGTGAAAGCTATGGAAGACTTTTCTTGGGCCGGCTTCCATTTCGTACTGTAAAAGCATGCGATACTGGCTGTGTTGGATAAAACGGAGCTCACCTGTGCGCACAATCGGTCCATATATTTCGTGTAGCCGGCATAGATAGAGGTGCCGCCTAAGACGGGCCGCAGTGTACGCCAAGGGCAGCTCGGTGACGCGGTTTAGCACTGGGCCGGGGAAGTTGTACAGCGGGTGCAGGGTCGAGATGCGATAGGCGATGAAACATGCCCACAGCGCAGCAAATGTCTGCAAGACAAGGTATACTGTATGCCCGAGAGTTGCGAGGAGGCTACACTCTGGGCGGAGGACAGTAGCGTATAGGATGACCATTGAAAAGTACGATGCCGCGAGGGTAGCTGCGGCGATGTCTCCTTGAACCATTCGGCCTCGGAGGCCTAGGAATAGTACCTATCGGTTCATTGATAGGTCAGTCGCGCCTTCGTATACCCAAACTAGATTTGACTTACTATACCGCCCGTTAATGCTGCAAATGCCTCTGGGTTCATTGTAGCGTGCAAATGGCAGACGGATTGCGGGGCGGGACGGCAAGGATCGCAGGATCCCTAGACATGGTGCCGCAACGGCGCAGTACATGACAAACGCCGATCTCAAGGCACTGACAGTGACACTGCCAACAGATCTAGAGACCCTGGTGGAGGCAGAGCAGCGCGTCCGCGTTAAAGGGTACTTTGATGCGCCCGCCCGTATGATCAAGCGCATCGTTGCAGGTCGGAGAGAGGACGGACTGCGAGGCACAGAAGCGCGGAGCTGCCAGCCTGGTGCCAGGGGGTACGCCATCCAGAAGCGCCCTCCCAAAATAAGGTTTAGGGCACCCGTTGTGGCGCACTGCCTTCTACGTGTTTTTCAGCCCCTCCTCGCCATCCAGTGCCCGGACCAGCGCGGCGACAATCAGAGTTCAATCATCGGTGCAGAACTTAGAACGGTGGTACAGGCGGCGACATCATGATATTGATGATGAGCTATAGAATCGGACAGTGTCTAGCTGCTGTAGGTGCTTCTCCTCGACCGTATGGATGCGCCCGTCTGAACATCTCCGAGTGAGCGTTAACATGCATGCTCATGCGAGTATAGTGCAGCCCTACACAGGGCCCTGTGATGGATCGCAGCAGCTGACTCGCTTCCGAAGCCATGACGTTCACTCTTCCAACGGATGGCGCAAACCCGCACACCCGTCACAACGTTCTCAATCTTAGAATCCCGGTGTGCGGCTTCGCTGTCTATGAGCATTCCCAGACACTCGATCGCTCTGGGGCACCCTCTCTCCCGCTCCGTTATGAACGGCCTCGACACGACCACTCTCGACGCCTGCCCCCCTCCTCTCCTCCCTATCGACTTCCCTGCCGAGCTCAAACGCCTATACAATGCCTGCTGTCCAGCCTCCCGCGCTTGTCCTCGTCACCGGCGTAACCGGCTTCAGCGGCATCTGGATCGCGCGCGCACTTCTCGAGAACGGGTACGCCGTCCGCGGCACCGTCCGCTCCGAGGCGAAGGCCGTGCACGTCGCCAACCTCTTCAAAGAGCATGGCGACAGGTTCAAGACCGTCATCGTTCCGGACATTTCCAAGGCGCGTACGCGCCTGCCACCGCGTGCGCGAGGGCGATGCACTAACACCCTGCCTGTGTCTCTAGCCCAACGCGTTCGATAGCGCAGTCGACGATTCGATCGCCGCTGTGGTGCATGTTGTGCGTCCTCTTCACCATATACTCCGTGGTTGTGCTCATTATATGTGTACGCGCGATGATAGGCCGGAGTGGCAGAGCTCAACAGCACGAACTCTTCGGGTGCGACCAAGTCTCTCCGCCGTCTCCTCGGGCGTATATTCACCGCTCGTCCCCGCCGGCCAGACATCTTCGGGCCGAACACAGATGGCGTCGTGGGCCTCCTCGAAAGCACCCGTAAACACGGGTAAGTATCTCGCGTCCGCGCCGCGTTTCGTGACCTGATTCTGCAACTGGGGCCCTGTAGCAAGAACGTGAAACGGTTCGTGTACATGTCGTCCGCACAGGCGATGCTGGGCAACGAGGACATCTTCCACGTCTACACCGAGGTGTGCTGCACTGCGTTTCCTGAGCTCCTTGGTCACGGGGTACTAACGAATCTCGCGCTTGCACATAGGACGACTGGGCGGACAAAGATATCGCCCTCGCTAAAGAGAAGGGCAGCGAGGCTGGTGGCCTCGCGCTGTACCGCGCGAGCAAGGCGCTCGCCGAACGCGCGATTATCAACTTCGTGGAGAAGCACAAAGGCGAGATCGGCTGGGACGCGACGCGCATTCTGCCTGCTTGGGTACGCTGCGTCCGCACTCCCCGTGACATTGGATTCATTAACTGAAGTGTCTACCAGATTTTCGGAGTGAGTATATTGATAAGCCTGCTGTGAGATTTTTTACTTAGCATTTTTCATTCCTATGCAGCCGGTCATCCATGATGTAAGCCTTCGCATCTCTTGTGTATAGCCCGCTGCTCACAGATGCTATCCGCAGTGGAAGACCGTCGAGGACCTCAACCTGTCCTCGAAGATTCTGTTCGAGCAGCTCACAACCGCACGCGCAGACGACAAGGTGAACGACTACGCGTCCGAGTACGTCGACGTGCGCGACGTCGCGGACGCGTTCGTCGCCGCGCTCAAGGTCGAGGCCGCCGGCGGCATGCGTCTCCTCCTCGACGCGGGCGCATACACGTTCCAGAACCTCTGTGCGTTCCCGCCTTCGTTAGCTACCCTTATGATCGGAACTAACGCGGCCGCCTATGCAGACAACGCGGTGCACGAGGCCGCGCCGGGCCTGGAGGGCGTCGTGCGCGGGAACCCGAACGCGCCGCCGTTCGCGTTCCCGGGCGCGTTCGTCGACTCGTCGAACGCGGTGAAGGTGCTGCAGCTGAAGCCGTACCGGAGCCTCGGCGAGTGCGCCGTCGAGACGTACAAGAGCATCAAGGCGAAGTTGTGAGCGGGAGAGCCTGGAGGTCTGCGGGCTGACGTCTCGAAAGTGTTGTGTTCTATGTACTACGTGTGTTGTATTCCGAGTACGGAGCCCGTGATCAGTAGTGCGCTTCTACCCATCGGCCGTGGCGTTGTGTAAGCTCTGTAGCGGGGGGATGAGGAGATGCGACAACGGGGGGACACAGCTGATATGCACGCCTTTATAAAGATGGCGCCGTAGGGCATTTCGTCTACCCGTGCCCGCAGTGTGGAACATCGAGATTCGACACCGGTTAACGCGTCGAGCCGCACAGGTTCGACGCGCCCTCGACTGTGTATCTCATTGTCCAGAATCCGCTGGACGCTGGAGGGAGATGAATACGAGGAGAGCCCATATTCTTGTTTCTACGTGGAGCATGTAGCAGATCCTGTAAACTACTGTTGTACATCCGAAAAATTCCTAGGTTCTCGATGAACAGCGTGAAAAGAGGGGTGTGTGTCTGGTAGTACGCACCTGAACGATGTATATACGTACGGCTGGCGGCCGCCCGGTATTCAAAGTAGAACGTTCGTCCGTTGCCCTGTCATGGTCAATAGCTAGTCCTGCGGCGCTGAGGGCGGTGGTGGTCCATGAGGATAAAATCGCTGTCCTGCAGTCTAGATCGATCTGAGAATCAGCACGGGATATTCGAAGTCTAGCGGGCATGTCATATTCGATATCGTAGACACAGTATAAGCAACAGCAGCCGACCCAGCATGGGGCCGTGCGGAGACGATAGCAGAACGCAGGGATAAGCTCTATCCAGTAGGGATGGGGGAGGGGGAGGGAGGGGGTCTATTAACCAGCAGGACGATGATAGATAATGCCAGAGATCCGAGATAAAGGTAGAGAGGTAGAGATGCAGATGTGGATGCAGTAGGTGTCGCAGGAGATAGAGCCTATGGTGGTGGTACAGATGTCAATGTGCAGATGCGAGGAGCAAAAAACGGAGCTGATACGACGTGGAAGCGATGCCTGCGGTGAGGGATGGCGGCGGGACGCCCGTTACGCGACCGTAGGAGCTCGACGAGGAGCGTGAGCAGGTGCAGGACTGGGTGCGCCCGCCTCGCAAAGGCAGGGGTGGTGAGATCGAAATAGGGGAGGGGAAAGCAATGGGGGCATTCCAAGCAGGCGTATAGAAGAAAAATATCCGATCTCAGATAAAACAATAGGAAAGTCCAGGAGGAAACCCCGATCAGTCCTATTGACTTTGTGGGGGTAGGGAAGCATGGTGTACGACGACAAACCGGCTAGAGGCTCATCGGTCGGGCGTAATGGTCGTGTCCGTGGTTTCGTGCAGGTGTCGTGTTTCGAGTCGTGGTGTTGTCGCTGCAGAGCCATTCACCGGCGTTTCTGCCGCGCTCTCGTACGCATCGTCGGTCGCGTGTAGGTCGTAGTGCGACGCACCTGGGGTAGGAGGCTCGGACGAGGGAAGCGACTCTTCGGCGGTGGCGAACGACATGTATGAACTCGCACGGGACGCAGTGCGTGTGGGAAGTGAGCCGGTGTTGAAGGCGCCTTTGAACGCGGATGGCGGGGCGTTGGATGCGGTAGGGGAAGTGGCCGATGCGCTAACAGGAGGCGACAGCAAGGTGGGCGGCGACGCCGGGCCTGGAGAATCTAAGGACGCTGAAGCGGCTGTCGGGGCGGGAGTTTCACTGGTGGACGACGTAGACGGCTGGACGGCAGAGATGGACTCTGTTGACGGTGACACGCCCACGTCGTTATTAGCAGCGTCTCGAGCCACTTCGTTGGTTTCCGATTGTGTTGCTAGGTCGGTCCCCGCTGCCGGAGCATGAGCATCATCGTCCGACGAGCTTGACTCGGCCTCGGCCGTTTCCGTGCTCTCAACCCCGGATGGGAGACTTGAGCTGGAACTATCGTTCCCCACCTCAACTGAGGAAGAATCCGCAACTCCGCTCGTCCCCGCGACTTCCTCGAACCCAGGGGGCGGCTCCAGATCGATCCTCGACGATGACGCAGCGAACGCGATCGCGTCGCGTCCGTACGGAACACCAAACCGCGCGAAGCTCTCTCTGCTCGAGATGAGCTTCAGCTGTTCGGGCGTCGGTCCGCTCTTCGGGTACGTAAAGTCCGTCCGGACGAGCGTATGCGACAACGGCGAGGAGATCGAGTTGAGGCTGATCATCGAGGGAGACGTGAGCCTATCGGCCGCGAGGTTGTTGTTCGAACGCGTCCGCGAGAGGAGGCTGAGCATCGAGCCCGAGCCCGACTGAGACGGCCGGTGTCGGACGCGACTCCGCGGACGCGGCTCACGGTCGGACGGCGCAAGGGAGATGATGGAGGGATTTGAGCCGTCGCGCGTATGGCTACTTGTACGCGGCTCATGCGATTCCGTGCTCGTGGGCACCGGAGGGGGCGCAAGACGAGAGTTACGCGGGTTGAAGATGGACATGAACACAGACCGACGGCGCGTCGATCCTGGCTGCTCTGCGGGCGCCTGTTGCGACCCTTGTCCGCCAGACGCGCCAGCGGTCGGCGCAGCGGCCGACGACGGAGGTGACGCCGGGGAATCAGGACCATCAAGCGAAACAGCCTCGTACGCCTCGTACGGTGGCGCATCATCAGTGTAGTGCATCTGCGCGTTCTCGTCAGAGCTCAGAGCGCTGTCGAAGCTCCGGCGCGTTGCGGTGTCGTTCGACGCTACGTTCAAGTGCTGCTCGCTATTTTGCAACAGCGGCTCGTCGTTGGGCGACTCGGGCATAGCCACGTACTCGGACGAGGGCCGGGTGTGGTCGAACGATCCGTCGGGCGTGTCCGCACGCTCGTCGACGGCAGGCATGGTCACCGTGATTGGTATCGGCATGTCCTCCATATCCTCCGCGCCCCTGTAAAGTCGGGGTTAGCATATCTGTATTCGTGTAGCACGTTCGCAAAGATATCTCGCACTGCACTCCGGGGAGAGATGAAGCAGGAACACACCCTGGCACAGGCCAGGACTTCCTACCTGTTCCGATCAGGGATATGCCATCGCCCGACGCAGCGAAGTCCGCAGCACGTGCAAAAGGCATTCACGGCGCAAGATCCGGAACACGACAGAAGCCCAGATGCCCCGGCCTTGGGACTTGAGTACCTGAGGCAGGAACCTATCCAGTAAGTGCCTCAGCGCGATGAGAGCGCGTTATCGAAGACAATAAGGGGCACGCCCACAGCGTCCTCCTCGCGAGAGGCTACGACCCCAGTGGGACGGAAGCAGTTTGCGCGAGCGAGTATAATGCACGAGACTCCGAGCAGTGATGACCGCTGCCCCACGGATGATATCATGATGCTGCGACCGCACTCACCGAACGATCACAATCTCCTGCTCTCCCGGCTCCTTGTTGTACGCTGGCAGCGAGTGCGTCGAGATCTGGCTCGGGGTGCGTCGCGTCCGCCTCGGCCTCCGCGCACGATTCGTTCCCCCGCTCGCGTTATTCGCCGCCGTGCCATTGGTGCCCGCGAGCTGGTCCGCAGTAAGCTCGCGCGCATTTGCAGGCGTCGTCCCGGCCGAGGCCCCCGCCGCCTGTGCAGCTCCAGTGCCCCAGTTCGAAAATCGGCGGAAGTGGCGGCTCCCACAAGCGAGGGTTACGCCCACGACGAAGAGGATGCCGATGACGACAAGCGGTATCTACGCGGCGGCCAGCGCCTTTAGACTCGGTCTCCAACGCCCGGTAATTGAGGAGCACGTACCCAAACTTGTGGCCCTATGGACATTGAGCTGCCCGCGCCGTCTTGTTGCTGCCTCCGGTGGACATGAGATACGGCCGGTGCAGCGTAGACATCGAGTGATGCAGAAGCCACCAGGAGCGCAAGGAGCGCACAAGTGTGATAATACATGGCGGTTGCCATTAGACCGTTAAGGCGTGGGTTTCGGCGTTGACGAGTGCAACGCAGTCAGATTACAGACACAGACAGACAGAAGTACAGCACAAGAGGAGAGGTGGAAGAAGAGGGGGGAAGGATATGGTGGAAAGAGAAGAAGGACGAGGCTGTTGCCGTGATTCAGGAACTCGACTGTCGGCTTGACACACCCTATTTTCGTCATGCCCAGACAATTATTGGCGCACAAATCCACATTATGTTGCGCATTAATCCTGTGCAGCCTAGCGCACACCGACGTTCGGTATTGTGTACGACAACAAGATGTCGCGAGGCCAAGAAAGGGGTCGACGATCTGGGGAACGCAGCCTCAAGGCTTAATAAAGTTAGTCGCGTCGCGAGGCGCGCACGAGAGCAGTACAGAATAGTATTATATTCAACGCGGTCCAAACAAGAGACCTGGTGAATGTGAAGTGAAGAGTTAAGAGCTACAGGAGAATGGTCTGTAAGTGTCCTCGGAATCAAATGGTCGTAGCCAGCGCGATGTGTGTACAAATGATGAAGCATGAAGGGACGAGCGCTCTAAAGGCGCTAGGTATGATGAGGGGAGTGCATAGAGTGGTGATACATATTACAGTAAATAAAGCGGGGAGCAGAGTGGGGAAGGGAGGAGAATGGGAGCACACTCTAATGTGGGAGAAGATATTTAATTGTCCGCGCGCGAGCACGAGGGGAGGTTCAGCATCGACCCGGATGCGGATTGGGAGAAGCGATGGAACGGCCGCGTCGGCCGCGGCGAGAGCAAGTCCGGCGACGCGACGCGTCCAGGAGAGGGCGCCACCGACCCCGAGCTCGACGACGGTCCTTGCGCCGACGAGTGCGAGTGCGAACGAGCGCGGAGGCGGCTGGAGCTGCGCGAGTGGAAGATGGACATAAATCCGAACCGGCGGCGCGGCGTCTCGGCGCCGTCTGCCCGCTCTCCAGAGGGGCTGGATGGGCTTGCTGGACTGCGCGACCCGGGCGAGGCGCGGGTGGCAGACGGAGCTTGCGGGGTTACCACTCGAACCGTAGGGCGCGGGGAGGTCGTGTCAGGACTGGACAAAGTCGAAGAACCTGGGGGTGAAAGCGTAGAGCCAAGTACCGGCGAGGAAGATACAGGGACGGGCGCGGTGGATGTGGTTATGGCTAGAGGTGGCCCATTGAACGCGGGATTTGTCAAGCGGGGTAGCGGGACGTTATCCTGACGCTCGCGATAGATGTGGAGGTTTGGCGTGCTCATTGCCGCTTCGTACGACGGAGCCGCGTCTGCGTAGATAGACGTCCATGGCGGCAGCGGTGTAAGGTCGTTTGGGAGAGATGACGCGACAGATGACATGGCGTCAATGGGACTGAGCTGACGACTGGGCGACGCTCCTTCCGTCTCGCTGGGGGAACCTGGCGGCGAGGACGTCGGGCCGGCGCTTGCGGAATTGTCTGCGTTCGGCTCGCTCTCGTCTACTGGAGACATGACCGTTATCGGGATCTCGTCGTCATCCTCGAGCTCGGTCGCGCCACTGTAAAAGGAGATTTCGGTTATCAGCACCTGCGCCAGTGATGTGAGGAGAGGCTTGGCTGATAAGTTATGTGGACAACGGTACTCCGTTATGAGTATACAAGCACCGAGGCCGACGGCGCCGTCCTGCGGATGCGTATTTAGACGTGTAGCAATGGCAGGACAGAAACTACCACGCTTTAATCGCTCAAAGGACACGTCGTACGATGGTGTGAAACAAGTGGATAGAGTACTCACCGGTCTATGACCACCTCGGAATCGCCGGGCTCCTGCGTGTATATGGGCAGCGTTCGCATAGAGCCCAGACTCATGCTACGGCGAGCGGCACGAGGATTGCGACTTTGAGAGTGTCCTGAGGCTTCGTTGTTACGACTCGCGTGCGGAGCTGCTGATCGTGTGCCATGAGAGCCCGCCGCCGCCGAAGATCCCCCAGCAGCGTTGGCACCAGTCACCGTAGAGCCACTGCTGCCCCCACTACTCGACCCCGGGCCCGACTGAGCTACAGTTGCGCGACCCCGAGTTTGAACGGGGCGCTGAGTAGACGAGCGCGAACTAGGAGTTGCCAAGAGTTCTTCGGCCGAGAGGACTTGCGATCGGGCCTTCACCGCCTGCAGTGTGCGCACAGGTATGCCTGTTCTGAGCACCTCATCCGCAGTGACCCGCACGAGGCGTGGATTTGGAGCAGTGCGATTACTTGAGGAGCCAGAGGCCCGTGAGGAGGTAGGTCTCGGGGAAGATCGTGGAACTGCCGGTCGCGAGGTTGGTCGTGCGACGGTCAGTCCGGAGCCTAGAAGATCTTCAATTGTGAGCACTCGTGGTGCGCTGTTGTTCTTGTGCTTGTTATGGGGCCGAGTGGGGGTCAGGCTTGTACCAAGAAGCTGATCAGCGGTGAGGGTGACGACGCGGGGTCTGCTGGGCCCTGCGGAGGACATAGTTTGTGAGAGAAACCGAGCGATAAAACCAAAGATTGAGATGTCGCGGATTACTGAGCCGCGAATTCTCTGCGGGTATATATGAGTCAATGGCCGAAAGATGAGAGTTGGGACTCGCGAGAGTATGGCAAGCAGGTGAGTGGTGGTGAGTGAGTGAGAGAGAGCTCGAGCTCGCGATTCGGCGAAGCGCGCTGCGCCGCCGAGCGAGGCACGCCATTACGTAATCTAGATCGTGCGAACCGCCTTCGATCGCCGCGGGCCGAGCAGAACCGACGCTGTCGTTCTTTGCTCCGCTAAGCTGTGCTGCGGAAGTACGATCGACAAGTTCGGACGGACTCGGATTCGAAGAGGATTATACGCATCGGGCTGGAAATATAAAGACATTTCTCCCCTAAGTATCTGAGTACTAGGAGGGACACAAACTGAGTCATGGAGGACTCGCTAGATGAGCGCAAAAAGGGCCCAACCGGGAATTGAACCCGGGACCTCGCCCATTTTCAGTGTAACACTGGGGTACGACCCGAAGGGCGAATCATACTACTAGACCATTGGGCCGTGCTCCTATGAGTGAAATATATAACCATATCCAGAGCGTTTGCCAAACACTGCCTCGTCGTCGAGTAGTCGTGTCCGGACTCCGAGTTTAGCACTGTACATCTTTCTCACAGTTTCACCACCACCATCCCCACTCCTCGCATGGCATGAAACCCCTCTCGAGCTTCTCTGCTCTACTCGCTACTGCTGGGACGTGTCTGGCTGAATTTCTGGCTCTTCGATCACAGCCGGGGAACGAGCTGTCTACGCATGTCAATGCCGTCCGGGATGGCCATGTCTTTAGCGGACACGATGACCTCGAGCTGCTGGACATAGTTCTCGTTGCCTCAGTTGATGGCAAGCTCCATGCCCTCAACAGGACGTCGGGGACGTCTATCTGGTCGATGGCATCGTCCTCAGACACTGCAGCTGCAACCGCCCCAGCAGCCTTTGGACCTCTAGTGCGTACCGAGCACCCTGATCTCGACCAAGACATCACGGACGAGGACGACCCGGCCCAGGAGATCTACGTCGTCGAGCCCCAGTCTGGAGATATCTATGTCATGTCATCCCCAGACAGCCCGCTACAACGGCTCCCCTTTTCCATGTCTCAGCTCGTCGACATGTCTCCCTTCAGCTTCTCAGGCGACGAGGACAGACGGGTCTTCGTTGGGAAAAAGGAGACATCTCTGCTGTTGATCGAACTAGAGACTGGTCGGATCAAGGCAACAGTAGACTCGGAGTGTCCATGGATGCCTTTCGAGGACCTCACTCAGGCGCCTCCCCCAATCGACCTCGATGAGCTAGAGAGTTCAGACCTCCCGCAAGAGCCGTTCGTTCCTCACGAAGTTTTCATTGGCCGCACAGGTGTGTCAATTGTGGGTGCTACGCTTATATACAGCAAGTTAACCAGCACAGATTACCACATATCCATCCATACTCGTCCTGTGGGCTCATCCGGGGGGCGTCCGCACGTACAGAGGCTCTCCTTTTCCACATACGGACCTAATAAGCAAGACCACGGTCTCCAATCGATTTATCAACGCACCGCCGACAACGCATACATCCAATCACTCCCCACTGGCAAGATTATCTCGTTCAAGACGGTTACTCCGGACGCATCGGGACCTCCCGCGAGCGCACACCCCATGTGGTATCAAGTGTTCTCTAACCCCATGTAGGTGCAACATCAGTAAGGCATAAGCGTTTCTCTTGACATATCATCGAATTTAGCGTAGCCACATTCGACGTACTACGCTCGCAGAAACGCTCGCAGCCATTCGTCCTCCTACAACCCCAACCGCGCTTACAGGACATCCTCCCGTCCGTTGATTTAACAGACGCCGCGAAACACAACCGCTTACCCAACCTTGACGCTGCATACGTCGGGCTGGTCGAGGAGTCCGGGTCCTTGTATGCCATGAGCCCCGATCGCTTCCCACTCGTCGTGTTCAGCGACGCCAACCTGGACTCGCCCCGCAGTAGACGGATGCTTGACCCTCCTCCAGGCTCTCCCACCGATTCCGGAAAAGACTTTCCACCGGAGCTTGATAGCGTCAGACGTATCGCGAAGGAGCGCAAGTTCCGCGAGGCGTGCAAGAACGGCTCCAGCGACATCCGCTGCCTCACGGGCGTGAGGAAACTCGGCTCGGACAGCCAATCGAGAATCAGCAGACTCCTCGACGGTGCACCCTCAGTGGCCCCGTCGCCGAATTACAGCGATGTGCCCGGGGTACCGCCGGCGCACGACACTCGTCCCGCCGACCCTCCGCTCTCGGACAGCAACGTTTCGATACCACCGCCTCTCGGTTGGGACACCGTACAGCAGACGCCGCGTGTCGAAGGCCGTCCTCCGACCGCGCTCCTAGGGATGAGCCCGCCAACGCAGGCGCTCTCCGCGTTCACACTCTGCGCAATCGCCGTGCTGGTCTGGGTGTACATCCGCAAAATCCTCGGCTCCGCCACTCCACTCTCTACGCACGCAGGCACCACACCTATATCAATCGTGCCGGCCGTGCAGGATGGTGAGAAAGCCACCACGGAGGGAGCTGTTGCGGCCACGTCAGAGCCCGAGCCTAGGGCCAATGGACACGCAGTAGCGCCCGAGGAGGCTCCCACCCCTTCCATTGAGCCTGCGAAGCAAGTCGTCTTTGCTCCTGAGGCCCTAGAACCTATGCTTCCGCCTGCCGATAGCTCTCAAGACGTGCCGGATGGCGAGGACACGGAGAAGGAGGGCGATGCGCTCGACACGCCTGGTAAGCGCAAGGGGATCAGGCGTAAACGAGGGAGGAAGAAGAAAGGCAACGTTACGATCGCAGTCCCTGCCGATGAGGTCGACCAGGTGCTCGGGGAGGATAAACCCTCACCTGACGCACTATCGAATGGCGCGCAAGAAACACCGAAAGAAGCCACGCCGTCATCTATAGTGCTAGCTCCGTCACCTCCCGTAGCAAGCGTACCGACGCTGTCCGTTTCGAACGATGTACTAGGTAAGTGTGCGGTTCCAAGCTTGTCTGAACAACACTCATCATTTTCTATAGGTCTTGGCTCCCATGGAACGGTCGTGTACAAGGGCTCATTGCAAGGACGAGCGGTCGCTGTGAAACGCATGCTCGCCGACTTCGTTACACTCGCCTCGCGAGAAGTGAACGTGCTGCAGGAGTCGGACGACCACCCGAACGTCATCCGGTACTACTACCAGGAGGCACACGCGAACTTTCTGTACATCGCGCTTGAGCTGTGTCCCGCCTCGCTCGCGGACGTCATCGAGCGCCCGGACCAGTTCCGCGATATCGCGATCGCGTTCGAGCCGAAGCGCGCCCTGCGCCAGATCACGTCAGGTCTGCGGCACCTGCACGCGCTCAAGATCATCCACCGCGACATCAAGCCGCAGAACATCCTCATCTCGTACGCGAAAAAGGGCGTGGGCGAGAACGCGGGCCACCGCATGCTCATCTCGGACTTTGGGCTATGCAAGAAGCTCGAGTTCGACCAGACGAGCTTCCTGCCCACTGCGCACGGTTCGATGGCCGCGGGCACCGTTGGGTGGCGTGCTCCAGAGATCCTGCGTGGCGAGGTCAGCCTGTTGGACGCGGGCTCGGACGAATCGCAGTCGTCGAGGGGTAGCGTGGGCACGCCGACCCCCGGGACGCCCATGGGCAAGCCGACGCGCCTCACGAAGTCGGTCGACATCTTCGCGCTGGGCTGCCTGTACTACTACGTGCTTACGAACGGCGCACACCCCTTCGGGGACCGGTTCGAGAGGGAGTTCAACATCTTGAAGAATGCAAAGAACCTGGAGGGGCTGGAGCGGTTCGGCGAGGAGGGTTCGGAAGGTGTAGACCTGATTACGCGGATGCTCCACCCAGAGGCATATGAAAGGTCAGTTTCCGCCACTTGTGTCCTACCCCATCGCTCGACTGACGGATCTTCCAGGCCGGACACAATGAACTGTCTACTGCACCCATACTTCTGGGACCCGGGCAAGCGCCTCACGTTCCTGCAGGACGCGTCGGACCGTTTCGAAATCATGTGCCGCGACCCGAAAGACGCGAATCTACTCGCGCTCGAGAAGGGCGCGTTCAACGTTGTCGGCGCAGACTGGCACGCACGCCTCGATAAGCTGTTCATCGAGAACCTGGGCAAGTTCCGGAAATACGACGGGCGGTCTGTGCAGGATCTGCTGCGTGCGTTGCGGAATAAGGTAAGCGTCCTTGCAGCTCCATTGCGAAGTGCGATCGCCGTTGACGGACATTTCAATGGCACAGAAACACCACTACCAGGACCTACCGGATAATGTGAAGCGACTGCTCGGCGGCATGCCTGAGGGCTTCCTCGCATACTTCACTCGTCGCTTCCCCAGCCTGTTCCTCCACGTCCACGGCGTCATCTCCTCGTCGACCTTGCGCACGGAGTCCATGTTCCGCACGTACTACGAGCTCTCTGACTGAGTCCCACCCATCACACCATCTCTGAGCACTTTCAACATCTCATTCACATCCAGGATTCGGACTTCAATTTTTATCGTGCATATCTACCGGGCCAGATTGTTTATTCGTCGCTGCTACTGTTACTGTATCTGTACCACCGCATCGCTGTGCTGTTATTGAGTCGTCACCGGAAGTCATAACCACTTACTGTACTTGCCATCTTGCTACTCGTCCTCGAGCATGGAATGTAAATACATCTTTTCCAAGCAATACTCGCAAGGTCAGAAGCATGTCAGTTTGCGTGAACGTACATTGTCCCCCTGCTGAGTTCACTGATTACATGAGTGTCGTGTAGTTCTACGCATCGCAGAAGCTTATTCAGGCTTACATGCTTGCAGGAAAGTATCTTCAAGTGGCATGGACACTAAAAACGCTACAGATCGCAGATAGATTGAATATTGGAAGTACAACAGATGGTAGAAGTACAACACTTCGCATCTAGACTAGGCCACAGCGCCCTAGCTACCTATCCCCCGCAACATCTCACAACTTCGCCTTGATGCTCTTGTACGTGTCCACCGCGCACTCTCCAAGGCTCCGGAACGGCTTCAGCTGCAGCACCTTCACCGTGCTCGACGAGTCGACGAACGCGCCCGGGAACGAGAACGGCGGCGCGTTCGGGTTCCCGCGCACGACGCCCTCCAGGCCCGGCGCGGTCTCGTGCACCGCGTTGTCTGCACAGGCGGGAGTCATGTCAAATTCCGATTATAGAGGTAATCAACAAAGGGTGGGTACGCACAGAGGTTCTGGTACGTGTATGCGCCGGCGTCGAGGAGGAGCCGCTTGCCGCCGGCCTCTTCGACCTTGAGCGCGGCGACGAACGCGTCCGCGACGTCGCGCACGTCGACGAACTCCGACGCGTAGTCGTTCACTTTGTCGTCTTCGCGCGGGGTCGTGAGCTGCTGGAAGATGATCTTCGAGGAAAGGTTGAGGTCTTCGACGGTCTTCCACTGCAGATACAATGCGTCAGCGACGTGCTATACATAAGAGGCGCAAAGACTTACGTCGTGGATGACCGGCTAGAGAGTAGCAACACTTGTTTAGTACAGAATTCACGAAAGGTTTGTCGATACACTCACTCCGAAGATCTGGAAGATACTTCAGTAAGTGGATTCGACGCCAGGAGCGCACGCGCGACCTACCCAAGCAGGCAAGATCCGCGTCGCATCCCAGCCGATCTCGGTCTTGTGCTTCTCCACGAAGTCGACGATCGCACGTTCGGCGAGCACCTTGCTCGCCCGGTAAAGCGCGAGGCCGCCTGCCTCGCCGCCCTTCTCCTTCGCGAGGGCGAGGTCCTTGTCTGCCCAGTCGTTCTACACGCGCGTGCGGGAGTAGTGAGCATTCCACACACGATGCCCTGGAGCAGGATGGTACAGCGTACCTCGTTGTAGACGTGGAAGATGTCCTCGTGGCCAAGCATCGCCTGCGCGGACGACATGTACACGAACCTCCTCACGTTCTTGCTACAAAGCCCAATGCAGCATCAGCTCACACAACACTTACGAAGCGCGACGCGGATATGAGGTGCGCACCCATGTTTGCGGGTGCTCTCGAGGAGACCGACGACGCCATCTGTGTTCGGCCCAAAGATGTCTGGCCGGCGGGGACGAGCGGTGAATATACGCCCGAGGAGACGGCGGAGAGACTTGGTCGCACCCGAAGAGCTCGTGCTGTTGAGCTCAGCCACGCCGGCCTGCCATCGCGCGCAGACGACTCATGAGCACAACTGGGGGGATACAGGAGGACCAGGCAAGGCTGAACGCACGACGTGCACCACGGCGGCGATCGAGTCGTCGATCGCGCTATCGAACGCGTCGGGCTAGGGGCACACGAAATCTGTCAGTTCGTCGTCCTCGGAACTACAATAGCAGTAGCATGCGGACCTTGGAGATGTCTGGGACGATGACGGTCTTGAAGCTGTCGCCGTGCTCCTTGAAGACGGTGGCGACGTGCGCGGCCTTCGCCTCGGAGCGCACGGTGCCGCGGACGGCGTACCCGCTCTCGAGGAGCGCGCGCGCGATCCAGATGCCGCTGAATCCGCTGACCCCGGTCACAAGCACGGTAGCGGGAGGCGGTACACTAGGCATTCTCACTGGGCTTGTGGGAAGAGTCAGTGGCGAGGTGAGAATATACTCAAGGCGCAGTGGGGTCTTGTCTGTGGCTCAAATAGGGCCCCTCCGGGGTTCAGCTTGAGAGGATGATTAAGACGGCGTCCAGTGGGCTTGTGCGGCGGGGCCGGGCACGAGGATTCTAAGATCGGAACCTCCCCTCGAGATGCGCGCGCGCGTCCCCGGGTCCCATCATCCTTCCATCCCGTGAGCGGTGTGAGTTCGAGTGCCAGAAGGCGCCGCGGGGAGCTGCTGCGATCTCCCGGGCTATGTAAGAATGCCGCAGTAAGTGAAGAATGAAGTATGAATTCCGAGAGGCCGAGCGGAGGGAAGCATGAGTGTGCGGGAACGAGCCGCGAGGAGCTCCCCTGAATCGACACGATCATAGGAAGGCCGAGCCTGAGACGCAATCAGGCTCTGTGCGCTCGTCAGAGAGAACCACGAAGAACCTGATGAGCCCTGCACATTCCATCACAACCTGTGTTCTTGGAGGCAGTCCTTCCGCCCCACTCGCCGTCCCGCGCCAGCTGCGATCGGCAAGCAGAGCATACCTTCTCAGTATAGCCAGTCAAGACATACACGGAAGCTTCCGGTATACTATACAGGAACGGAAATCAGAGCTGAGAGGCCTCAGGGTTCAAGCAGACGGAAACACGACGCCCAGGCCCGCCGCCCTCCGGCGCCGCGCGGCCACCGTCAGCGGCTCCTTGATCACCGTCGCGCGCAGATTGCCCACACCAGCCCACCACCTTTCCTTATCGAACCCATCCACTAGGTCGACATCCAGCAGCAGGAATACACACGCGAGCACGAGCCGCGTCTGCCTGTACGCTAGCCGCTGCCCGACGCAGTTGAACGGGCCCGCGCCGAACGTCAGCAGCGCGCCCCTGTCCGCCTTCACGTTCTCGTTGCTCGACCCTGTTGAAGGGAGCCACCGTGCGGGGTTGAACGCGGAAGGATCGGCGCCGAAGTTGTCCGCGGAGAGGTGTTGCGCGTAGATGGGCACGGAGACGACGGTGCCCCCGGGGAAGTGGACCCCGTCGATCGAGGCACCTCCAGGCGGCACCACGCGGGGCAGCCCAGAGAAGATGGCTCCGAGGCGGAATGCTTCATGAATGACGGCGGTGAGGATGGGGAGCGCGTCGAGTGCGTCTGTAGAGGCGGAGGAGGCGTCGAGCGGGGCGTGTGCGGGGAAGGCGGCGTCGAGCTCGGCGCGGAGGGCGCGGTACCATTGCGGGTTGGAGAGGATGAAGAAGAAGACCAGAGAGGTCATGGAGCTGACGGTTTCCGTCGCTGGTAATGATATGAGCAACTTGGAAGGGGTGTAGGGGATATGATTTGTATAACGTACCTGCGATGATGGCAGCAAGCGAGTCTGTTGCGAGCTCATTTACGTTAGGCAGTTCTGCATCCTCGACCCAGTAGGAGAAGACGTCCTTGAACTGGATCTTCTCCGCCTGCAGCCGTCGTTCCGCTTGCTTCAAAGAGAACTCTTCCACTTGACGAAAGACGGATGCGGGAAAATGCTTCAGTATATGGAACAACCATGGGAGGTGGCTGAAGCTGCAGGGCGGGAGTCAGCTTTCAGGCGAAGAGCTCGCTATACTAAAATGCTTACAATTCGAATGAAGCAAGCGATATTCTGGGCTTGTCGGCTAGCTCGTCTGGGTCGTCGGAGGCAAGCAGACTCTAGTGTCAAACATGCTGATCAGTACACTGGATAGTGCATCTATTCTACTGCGTGTACCATCTCTGTGCCATTTCCGCCGAACGTAATCAGGGCCTGCCAGGACGTTTTAGTAAGGATACAGTATGCGATACAGAGAACGGATACGCACTGCTGTGTCAAAGGCCCACTGTGTAACGCACCTGACGAAATCCACCGAGCCGTTCGACTCCGTGTCCTTCGCCAAACGGTCCACCAAGGCGTGCGTGGTTCGGAAAAGCGGCTCCGTGTACTCCTGGATGCTACATAACCCTCCCCACGTCAGCACATACGGTCTATTCCCCAGGCCGACTCGGACGTGTGTACGTACGCTTCGTTAGACATGGCGCGGTTCCACGGCCGACGCCGCACGGCGTGCCGGTCGCGCTCCTTGACAAAGAATAAGCCCTCGCCCTTGAGGTGCAGGTCGTACGCTTCTGTCTTGTTGAAGCATTGTGCTGACTTGTGGATCGTGTACGCTGCGGTTTTCGAGTTGATCGAGATGCTGTTCGGCCCTAAGAACCAGGGTGAGTGAGTATGTCACTTTGCTGTACTGGGATCCGACGCGCTCCACGCAAGGCGGAGTGGCTGCATGAATCTATCCAACGCTGTATTTCCTCGTGACTGCTACCTGGGACCGGAGCGTAGAACTTGAAGGAGGTCTCCTCTATGTACTTTACGAGCCATTTTTTGATGCGAATCATCCATGGGCCATGGCTGCGAGATGACACGCCATAATCTGTGCGAGTGAAACAGCGCGAAGCTTGAGCTCAGCAGGGCCAAAGCTACACTTGACACGTATGCAAGCTTCCGACAGAAACCTGGCCTTCGCAACGAGAGCGAAACTTACCTGTGCGTACAATTGGTCCATAAGTTTCATGTAGCTCGCAAAGGTAGAGATGCCGGTTGAGGCGTGCCGCGGTATACGCCAATGGCAGTTCGGTGACGCGGTTCAGGACTGGGCCAGGGAATCTGTGTAGTGGGTGCAGGGGCGAGATGCGGTATACGATGAAGCATGTCCAGACTGCAGCGAAGGTCAGCGTGATGAGGTACGCGGCATGGCCCAATATCGCGATGATGCTCCATTCTGGCTGGAGGATGACGGCGTATATGATGGCCACAGAGAGGCACAATGCCGCGAGAGAGACAGCAGCTATGTCTCCCTGGATCATGCGCCCTCGAAGGGCTAAGAAAACGGCCTATGAGGCCAATTTTAGTCACGGCCTTGTACATGCCAAATTGACTCAACTTACCACCCCGCTCAAAAGTGCTGTAGAAACGTCTGAGTTCATTGCACATGCAGTGTGAGAGACGAGAGGAGCCCAAAGCGCGTATCGCGCTTGAAGTGTCGCTTAGAAAAGCATGCTGCAACGTCCGGCCTCAAGGCATTGGCGGAAAGGCTGAGCACCATACGGTTTGATCCAATTCGTGCGAGAACATGGCCGTGCAAAGGAAAGATGTTGGGCGGCTCTGCCGGCGGACGTCCGGACAGCCACGAGGGCCGCAGTGCCAGGGGGCCTGCAAGTCTCCCCAAAATGGATTGAGACGCCGTTGTGGCGCTTGTCGACCTCCTCCTCCCTTTGGAATAGAGTTCTATCAGGACCTGCAGAAGCAGGCCGGTCTTTTTTTTTTCACGAGCGTTCTCTACCTCCACCATCATGATGAACAGAAGCTCCTCGGAACGCCCGCAGCAGCCAGGCGCGCTGCCTGTTGACGAAGTTGCAACGCTGGTCGCCGAGCAGGCTTGTGCTCCTGTATGGAGGTGCGTACCGTGCTGATCTGGCTCTACATTGACTCTGTTACATCTGACAAATATGATAGATGCTGCATGCAGCATGGAGCGCATGCGAATGATCTACATTTAACGTCTTCCCTGTCGGTGGCGGCCCACCTCATTGCCACCAAAAACTGCGGCATGAGATGGCACGAGCACCCGTAACACGCTAAACGATCATCTCATCATCCTATCGACCGTGTAGACATTGGCACAGGCACCATACTGCCGTGCGTACCCCAGCGTACCCGGCAACCAGTGCACGTTGTCCGCGGTCTACGTGACCGCCCCCCTTATATGTCGCGTCCCTCCAAGGCGCGGGAAGGACCCGCATTGATCAGATTTCCGCGCGCGAGTGTGCACGACATCGGCCATGGGTGCATCTGCTTCTCATCTTCCAGCGCCGACGCACCACGCTGCGCCGCTGAGCGTTTTGAACGCGACGCTCGGGGGGCGCGTGCACGCAGCGGTGCCCTTCGCGCGCCCGTGCTTTTCTCTGGCTTCGCAGGGCGTTTTCGGGAACCAGGATGCTACTGCGTGTGCGCGTGTGACTGAGACGTACACGGACCGAGGTACGTTATGGTTTCTCGTCCTCGTTCAGGGCCGCAATGGATGCAATGTGCTGAATCTTCACGTGCAGACACAATTGTATCCGAGTTCGGCGCGTACTTGAATGTATGCACGATCTTATTTTTATGAGTACACTTTCGACACTTAGTATCGACTTTTCTAGAGCGGAGGGACTATATGCCAAGCAACAGGAGACCAATGTCTGCTAGATGCCAACGGCCCGAACAACACCCAGGCCTTCCTCCCGCCAGAGCAATGTAAACAGGGAAACTTGCCAAGCTATTATGTTCGTATGCCATCCAGCACGCCAGGCCTCCCATGCTAACCGGAGCGACTTTGCATACCAGATCGACGTGCAAAACGCAGCAGACGTCAGCGCGGCGTTCAGTTTCTCTCGGACAACAGGCATCCCGCTTTCTATTAAGAATACCGGGGTACGTTAAATCAAGTTTAAATGTGTCTCGTCTGCGTTTGTTGACCGACCGTACCGCCCATGTAGCATGACTTCCTGAGTCGCAGCGCGGGTGTTGGCTCATTGGCGCTTTGGGTAGGTCCACTCATGATCACGCTGTCGAGTAGCATGCCTTTGCTAACTTAAAACTCGGGCTCTCGGCTTCTAGATGCATAACTTGCAAGATGTATGCGTTTTTGCACACATTCCTGAGAGACATCTTATATTCTCGTCATAGATGTCATTCAACGCATCGTTCGTGCCTTCTGGGTGCAAGCAGGCCGGCGTGTCCGCCGTGACGTTCGGGGTACGTCGTTCCATCTGTCCCTAGCATTACAAACATCAACGAGCCTTTCAATACGCAGACTGGCGTGCTCACAAGAGATCTGAACACGTTCGCGGACGCGCACAACGTCACCATCCCGGGGGGCGCGGACGACTCGATCGCCTTTGGCGGCGGGTATCTCTTGGTGAGTAGTCTTCCCCACCCTACTGGTCGAAATCCCACGTACTAAGTCTCTACGTTCGTAGGGCGGTGGACATAGGTAGGATCGTCTATAGCTCACAATGTATATGCATATCGAATGGCCGCCTTATCCCCTGCAGCGCCTTCTCCAATGCATTCGGACTGGCAGTCGACCAGGTGGTACGTCGGTTCTCTTCCGCGCCGCGCAGGGTCCCACGCTGAACCTGCGAGGAAGGTCCAATTCGAAGTGGTCACGCCCGACGGCGCCCACCGGCTCGCGAACGGGTGCACGAACTCGGACCTGTTCTTCGCGCTGCGCGGCGGGGGCGGTGGTACGTTCGGCGTCGTCCTAAGCGTGACGATGCGGGCGCTCCCAAAGCTCGACTTCCCTGTGTCAGTACCTCTCCCCCTAGTCCTTCTGCGGTTGTACTCATTTGCCGCTGTGGGTTTGTGCGTACAGGGTCGTGACGGCGTTCAAGGAGAAGCCCTCGGAGGAGCTGCAGGCAAAGTACGTCGAGTTCCTGGTAGATAACGCCCTCCCACTCGCTTCGAAAGGTACGTTCCTACTTACCCACTCACTATATGTCACTGACTCGCGTACCAGGCTGGGGTGGGTACATCGAGGCACGTAACTACTTTGCCTTTACTACCTATTCCTAACGCTGATATATGCACGCATACACACAGCCCGGCCTCGGCTTGACGTTCGTGAACCCCTTCGTGAGCATGGCCGACGCCGCGGACACGATGGCAGACCTGCAGCAGCTCGTCGAGACCGAACTGAACGGCACGTTCCTCCTTCAGCGCGAGACGTCATACCTCTCGTTCTACCAGCAGTTCGTCGCGCCCACGACCCTGGTGCGTCCGGTCCCCTCCCCCCTGTTCCTCATACCTTGAGCTCTGTTGCTAATATTGGAGCAGCCGGACAATGCGCCGTCCGCGCTCGCATCGCGTCTGATCCCCGCGTCAGTGTTCAACACGTCCGCCTCGCGCGCGGCGCTGAGCGACGCGCTCGTCGCCGCTGCCCAGCGACACACCATCACGCTCCTCTTCTCCGTCGCGCCGCATTTCTTCAAAGGCGGCGACGGGCTGACAAGCGTCAGCCCCGCGTGGCGCGAGTCGCTCTGGCATGTGCGTCCCTCGCAAAATCCTCTCTACCCTCACAGACTGAATCATGTGGCAGGCGATATACATCGACTACTGGGCGTACAACACCACGGTGTCCGAACGCGCGCAGATCTACCAGGGCCTGGAGGCCGACGCGCAGGCGCTCCGGGATATCGCGCCCCACTCGGGGGTCTACTGGGTGCGTCCGACCTCGGGGCTCAGCTGATGCATTGCCCGGGCCTAGGCTGACCACGACATGGCGCCGCAGAACGAGGCGTCTGTGTTTGAGCCCGACTACACGGAGGCTTTCTGGGGCGCGAACTATGCGCGGTTGCTCGCGATCAAGCGGAAGTAGTGCGTGGTCTTGGTTTCTGCTGCGACGGCTTAGCTGACGCGCTCCACCGTGACAGCGATCCGGACCATCTGCTCGATTGTTGGAAGTGTGGTGAGTGGCAGTTTGCACTGGCGGTTACCTTCTGCGATCGCTCACGCACGACGATTGTTGGATCGCAGTGGGCTGGAAGGGCGCGGCGGACGCGCGGTACAGTTGCCAGCAACGGCTGGATGCATAGCGAGCCGGGTCGGACCACTGTTATTCTCTGAGCCACCGTGAGGTCCGCATCGAGAGTCTATTTACATAACTTATCTACCATTCAGGAGGCAGCATCGGAGGTTCGGTATGATGCATCTCCTGTACGTGTGTACACGACGTTGCCGGCATCCCGCTGCAATCGCATGGTCTCGGGGGTCTGCGTTCACAGCCCCAGCGTTGGCTGAGCGCGCCCGCCCAGGCCGAGATCCACTGTTACACCGGGTTGCCGGGCGGTACAATAAAAATGCAGTGAAGGAGGTGCGTTCGGGGTCTGTTCAGCGCGAACGTCATTGCCAAAAGCGGTCACTTTGCATGGGACGCCTGACACACAAAAGCGCCCGAGAAGAAGCAACAGCTGCGATGATGTACAACGACCTTGCATCAGCGCAGACACGTCTTTTTTTTGTTGGACTTCAGGTAAGCTACACGCAACGAACAAATTCTTGGACGGCATATCCACTTACGCCTCTGCTGCACTCCAGCCCGCATTGCTCATCTTCGTGATATGATACCAGAAGCGCAGATCCAGAACATCACCTATAGAGTGCACTCTACCGCTTCGGCCAGGCACCCATCCTGCTTCTCACCTGAGAAATGAAAGAATGGAAGGCAACAGTGCGGGTGTATCCGATCGGACAGAAGAGAACGCCCTCCATCCGGCCGCATCGGGAACTCGGCTCTACGTAAGGTCTCTGCGGCCGGACTGCGGGTGGTCCCCGCGTGTGCCCCGGTGCAATTCGTACACGGCACAGGTGACCGCCCAGCACACCCGCGCGCGCATCATCGCCCCGCGCAGTGGTAGGCTGCAATTTCCCACCGCCGCCACGGTGGCCTTCGGGGCGGGATGGCGCTGTCCGCGTCCATGGGCGGCGGATCTGCACCCAGAGCCGGCGTCCTTGTGGCGGTTGGCACGAAGGCTCGTGCGATGGACAACCATTGTATCCCATCGCAAGGTTGCAGAAACTGTGATCACGAACCACCGTCGTCAGCGTCAAGCTCCTGAGCCCGGGCGTGGGGCGCCTCGTCGTGCTTCGCTTACGGCCAATGAGGTGAACGTTAATGCTCGAAGCGCAGGGGACACGGGACGCCCACCCTCCCTTCGCACCCCCACACTCTGCCGCTGTGCGGCTGCATCCGGCGCCGCCTGGAGACGTACCGCGACCATGAACAACACCACGGACCCCAGCGCCGCTGCCCAGGCTGCTGCTGCTGCCGCCGCCGCTCTCCAGCAGCTGCTGGAGCTGCACGACGATGCGCGGATCGTTGCGTACTGTGCCGGTCAGTACCGCCTTTGATTTGCTTAGAAGCTGTAGACCGCATAGCTGATCCGCGATGGATCCTAGTGGGCGCATACTCCTGGTTCCTTTTGGACTTCTGTGCGTATATTCACTCTGGATGGCCTTGTGAGAGCTGTACTGAACGCGAGGAACGGGCCGCTAGTCCTGGTGCTGCCATCCGAGGTCTGTTGCGCCTATGTTGTGGCCTGTCATAGCAGTGTGCTGACCTGACGGGGGTTTTAGATCAAATACGTATGGGTGAGTTTGCGCATCGGGAAAGCTTGGAAAAGGAGAAGAAGAACTAATCGACGATGCAGGCTACGAAGTGGAACCTATCGAAGCTGCTTTTCGCATGGGTAAGTGGTCTTCCTGAGCTGGTGCGAGCACGGTAGTTTTGACTCCCCGTAGGTTCGCATCTTTGGCTTCGTTCTCCTCACGGTCAACCTCGCGGTTACAATGACTGGGGGGCACTCAGAGAAGGTGAGTCCTAAATCAACCCCCAGTCACCTTAGACTTGACGTATGTTCTGACCTGTACCCTAGTTGTAAGCATCAATACATGTTCCTCGGCATGCATCCGCAAGTGTCTAACCGTCATGAATCCAGCTGCGAATTCTACTTTTACTGGGAGGGAACAGCTGGCTCGCTCATGTTATACTCTGTTGAGAGTAAGTCTCAGTTGTTGCCCCTATTGCGTGCCCGCCGTGCAGGTGCTGATGCAATGATTCTCCGCAGTCATCTTGCAACTCCGGATCTACGCTATGTACCACAAGAACAAATGGCTCGCGATGTTTAACGCAGCCTTCTTCTTCGCCGAGATTTCGGTCATGCTCATCGTCTATAACTATGGCATTTCGGTCGGCACCAGTGCGTCACTCTGCTGTCCCTTTCTTATTGCATGATGGCTTACAACTTTGTACAGCACTTGCGACACCCCCAGGCCTGACAGGCTGTTATGGGATCACGACGAGCTACCTCTTCTCCATTTGGATCCCCGGCCTGGTGTTCGAGATGTGGCTCGTACTGCTCGCTATCTACAAGGCCATCGAGCGCGCCCGCTCCGGCATTGTTGTCAACGGTCACAGGCTCGACCTGCTCGCGCTCCTCATTCGCGACAAGTGCGTTCCTCCAGTTTTACTCCATGCTGTCTGTGCGCTGACCCTGAGGAATCTGTCGCTGTCCTTTACAGTGTCATCTATTTCGTGGTGTAAGTTCTGACTTCCGAGTGGCCCCTACAATCATGCTAACGCACCCGTGCCTGACATGTAGTATTGCCCTCGGCTTGCTCACGAACACAATCATGTGGTTCGCAGCGCCTGATGGGCTCGCCGCCTCTGCAGTCTCGTACGTGCCTCGCGCCCTCTTCTCCCTCTACCAGCGACGCCATACTCACCCGCGCCCGCGCAGAATGTCGCACGCATCTATGATTGTCTCCGGCACCCGTCTCCTGCTCAACCTTTTCGAAGCCTTCCACCAGCGCGTGCAGCGCTCGCTCGGCGTGACGACCTCCGGGGCATACGACACGCAGGCGACCGAAAACCTGGCCACGCTCCCAACGTTCCGCGCCGCCAAGCGCGACCTGTCGTCCTCCCGCCGCACGCGCGCGGGCTGGACGGACACGTCCGTGCTCACGGGCACGGACTGGTCGTCCGGGACCGACGCGACGGAGAGCACGTATGCAGCGGAGCCCGCAGCGGATGGGGAGGTCGAGGGGTGGAGGCAGAGAAGGCAGGAGGTGTATCGGTTAGAGAACCTGTATGGGCCGCATGATGTCGCGGGGTCGAAGAGTACGCGCGGGTTCGGCGAAGCGTTCTGACCGCCATGCATAGGACTGGTTGTATGACTGTCGATGTATATGTACGCACGGACATCTTTGTATGTACGTTGTATATGTATACCCTATCCTTATTCCTTTACGAGTTGCGGCTCTGCGTCATTCGTTAAAAACTGGTAAGAGTCAAAGCTCGAAGTAAGCTTGTTGCCTCTTCGTTACGACTCACGAGGCCAAACTTGAGCTTGGCATCATACTACATAAATCAGGCTGGCTGCTTTACTGTGTCCAACTCAGTCAGTCCGGAAAATACATACAATGTATGAGACACGATTTGTACAATACAACAGAGCAGTCAAATCTTCAGAACAGTATGTACTGAGTCCAAGGTATATGCCGCAGGAGCAACGCTGAAACATGCAGCACGGATACAACATCCCTCAACAGTCTCCCTCACTGCACATCATCCCGCGCCCTGTTGATAAGCTCAACTGTTGTGGGCGAGCGCGCCGTGATCTTCACCTGAAACGGCGCCGGGTGGCTACGGACACCGTCAGCCCTCACCCTGTTCACTCTTTCCTTCCACTGGCATCACTCACCTGGTCACCCCGGACGACCACAGCATCTTCGGCCTCACCGGCTCCCCGTCCTCCCCAACGGGCATCGCGACGTCGAACACAGCCAGAATGCTCGCGAGCGTGCAGAACAGCGACGCGTGCGCCACGGCCTCTCCCGGACACGCGCGCCGCCCGAATCCGAACGCGAAGCCCGCGCTGTCTGGGGCGTTCTCGGGCGGCAAGAAGCGCTCGGGGCGGAAGGTGCCTGGGTCGTTGTATCGGGTGGGGTCGTGCAGCGCCGCCCTGTGCAGCGGTCAGTCGATGAGGGGTAGAGAGAGAGGAGAGAGAGGCGTACCAGATGTTCGCGACGAGCGCGGTGCCCGCAGGGATATGCCAGTTGCGGTACACGTCGTCCTGCGTCACGGAGTGCGAGACTGCCATTGTGCCTGCGCGTCAGCAGTCGAGCGACAGGGAAGTAGGGACGGGACATACCCATGGGCACGACGGGACGCCAGCGGAGGACCTCTTTGAGGACCGCGCCGACATACGGCAGCTGGTCGCGGTCCTCGATGCGCGGGAGGCGGTCGCCCCCAACGACCGCATCGATCTCCCACTGAGCCTTCCTCTGGACATCTGGGAAGAGCATCATGCAGAGCAAGAACGTGGAGAGTGCCGCGACGGTCTGTGTACAAGGTCGCGGTCAGGTACGGAAGTGTGGACTGGGAGTGAGGGCGGGGTACGCACGGTGTCCGACTGGCCGGCGTAGAGCCCCGCGGCGACCCACTTGATATCTTCGTCTGTGCTGCGCTCTTCTGGGGGCTCGTTCAATAAGTCTGAGGTGAACGAGCGTGGCGCGGTACCCGCGTCCTACATGAAATGAAGCTTAAGCTTTGAACACTTCGTGAGGAGAGGCAGACACACCACTTGGCGTTTGACCATACCAAAGGGCGTGTCGATCATGGCCTTGATGAGCTTCTGCGTGCGCATACCCAGCTTCCTGAAGCCCGCCCCAGGGAACCACGGTGGAAGGAAGCGCACTGTTGACGCGTCAGAGGGTCACCCGCTGCAGAATGGCAAGCAGTGCGAGGAACGCACGGAATGGCAGTGTGTCAACGAGAAAGACGCCGGGGAGCGCGGCAATCGCGAACATGCGCAGCGCGTCCTCCGTGTCCTTAACGATCTGCTTGAACTCGTTGTTCTCGTTCTGGTACCCGTACGCGATCTTCAGCGCGACAGTCCCTGCGGTCCTACATGCCACAGCCACACGGTCAGCGATGGGTTGAAGCGCACGCGCGAACGCGTCGTACCTCCGGAAGTGCTGCACGTAGGCATCGGGGGTGTCCAGCAGCCAGACGAGCTCGCGCGCGATCTCCTTCTCCATGAGCGGCCAGTACTCGCGCGTAACCTGCGTGTTTAGGCCGACTTTGAGGAGGCGCCGGTAGTTCTTGAACCGTTCGTTGTACGGCATGAGTACGACTGTCTCGCCCCAGCCCATCCTGCGCGCCGCGTGAGAACTATAGCCACGCTCATGGAGAGACACGCGTACAGGTCGGCGGCCATGGTCAGGTGAGGTCTGTTTGAGTAGATGGCGGAGCGCGCTTCAAAGAGGTCGACGATGGCCTGCGCGGAGTTGAGGAGGATAATTGGCTTGTTGAATATGCGCATAGTCACGACATCCCCTGCATCGAACGCGAGCTCAGCGTACACACGCGCGAGGATATAGGATACTACGATACGGACCGTATATCTGACCCCAGCTTGTGAACTGCAGCCACTCCTGCTGCTGCGAAAGCTGGAAGAGGTTCCCGAAGAGGGGGACGGGCTTCGGACCTGGGGGGAATGCATTCTGCGAAAGCGCGCGCCGGACGGCGAGCGTGAGGATGACGACGAATGAGACGAGCGCGGCGATGTCCACAGTGTGCCACTCCATGCTCGCGACTTGGACGGGCTCGATGGATGAGAGGCAACTCTGAGGGTAAAGGAGAGCCGCGTGAGGGCCGCGGAATGTGGATAGCCGGATTGGGTGGGGCGCGAGTCAGTGCCTCTGCCTCTGTCGCACCGGGTCAGGGGGAAGGTGTGCGACTCGGAGTCGCCGCCAGGTCGCCGCAGCGAGCGGCGAACAAGAAGCTGATAGAGTTTCTCCGCAGGTGACCCCTGCGCTTTCCGTCGGCCCCGATTATTCGACCACAAGGACTGGCCATGGAGTTGATTCCGGACATGTTGTCCATGTTCCAGCTGTAGGGCACGGAAGGAATACGTACTCCCGTACAATTGCACATCCAACCACATGGGCGCTCCCTTGGCTGTGCGGGCATCATCACAGCCCATTGTATGTTCCCACCCACCTGTCAGACATGGATATTCGCATGTACGAGGGTGCAGGAACGGCATGGAGTACACCCGACGTGCCAGCCGATCGCTCGAAGTATTACCAGTCGCGCGGTGTCATCTCACCACCACGAACTGGCACGTCCCTAGCTTTGCCGGAGAGCACCCACGGCGATTACGTGCGGTACGGTCTCACCCGGATGCTTTGAGAATACTATGACACGGCTTTTGTTTGTTTTAAACGCACCGATGACTGTTTGTGCTATTTTCTTTCCGCTGACTCGTACGCTGGACCTCAATAGGCCTGAGGTATCACGAGCTTCAAGGCTAGATCATACGTTAGGCAAGCGAGCGCCTCAGAGAAGTATCCAACCAGAGCCTGAGTCTTTATGTCGCCATATTGAGTTCTTTGGTGGAGAGAGAGAGAGAAAGCAAACGGCCCACCGTGACACTGTGGTAGAACGCGAGCGCTTCGATGCCGGGGCTTGCCGAGGCGTTCAGTATCGCGCGCTTAACTAGGTTTGGTACTCATCCTCGTACCACGACATCAATATCGCTCTTCTGTGTACGATAACTCAATTTTTCTACTTCATTGCACCATGGTAAAGTGGTATGCGATTGTTGGAGTACGCTTCACATGAAATGCATCTGGATCCTGGCTACCACATGCCAAAGTAAGCCTTTCGCAACCATCGTGGCGCGCGCTATACCCAATCGAGGACTAACGCCTCGCAGCGACAGAAAAAGGCCCCGAATCCTCAGCAGGCCCCCTGTTGATGGCCATAGCATCGGGAACCACCCACGCATCGCATGCGGGAGAAGGGCCCTGTTCTCTGCTCTGCGATGGCAACTGTCAGGTAATCGCGCGAAGGTGAGGATCAGGCGACGAACGGCGTCCGCGGTGCGAAAATGCGGGACGGCCTGAGGTCGCCAAATCAGGGGTTCTGCACCTTTGCAGCAGCTGCCTCACCTGAAATTGGTGTGCGTGCGAGAGCAGATGGCCGGTCGTGCCCCGGGGGCGGCTTATTATTGGACGGTAGGCCATTTGTGCTTCTCTCTCTCACAGCCAATCCGCAAGTCTGATCTTCTGTGGGTGATAGCACAGGCAGATGCTCCGTACGGCCTGTGCGCCATCGTACATGGGCCCGTGCGGCCTGAGCCTCCTCCCGACGCCACGTTACGTGAAGACGGGCAAACCTACTCGTCAAGCCGAGTGCTGTGCCACTAGTCTGCTAGCACTAGCCGAAACGTCACGATTTTTCGCAAACTCGGCGAGCCGACAACACGACAGCGATGCTCCACGAACGCCTATTACACCCGGATGGCTGTACAGCCCTATACGACATCCCGCCGACTGCGATCGGCAACAAAGCCCGCGCACACAACGTAATCTGCCAGGGAGGGAGGACCCCGGAACCCCGGGTCGCCGTCTTGGGCCCCTTCCCCGCGATGGTGCGTCGGAGCAGAGCACTGCAAGTACCCACTGCATCTGCACGTCGCCCACGCTCAGCATCGGACCGCGTGTCGCATCTGATACCAAGCGGTTCTCTTCGCGCGCGCATAGTTCCGCCTGACCACCCTGACCAAGATCGGTTCTTTGCTTCCCGGCGCAACGCCCGTGCACCCGGTGTGCAATGGAAAGCTTACCGGGCGGGGCGACGCCGATACCCTCCGCGCGGACCCAAGCTCTAGTGCCGCGGGGAAGGAAGCTTCGCTGCTGCGACCCCGGTCTGAGCACAGCTGTACGTGTGCTGAATATGGGATACGGCACATTGCGCGTCTGCATGCTGTGCGTGCCGCGGGTCATAGTACTCCTCGCCCCGTCTCCCCTCGGGTCGATCCCTTTCCTTTACTTTGACTCTACCATCTGCACCCGGCGAACATCATGGACGCCCTCCTGACCGACGGCGCAGAGTACACCGCGCGCACGCACACCGCGTTCACGCCGCCCGACGTCGACCTGCGGGCCCTGCGGCGCGCGATCCCGAACGAGGCGTTCCACCGGAGCACGCGGCGCGCGCTCACGGGCATCGCGCCCGTTTTTGCTGCGACGGTGCTGCTGGGGGTGTTTGGCTGGCACATTGACACGTTTGTTGCATGGCTTGCGTTGTCGCGAATGTGGGGAAATGTGCTGAGGTGGGCGCTCTGGGTTGTTTATTGGAACGCGCAGGGGATTGCGTGGGCGGGGTTGTGGTCCGTCGGTGAGCTGCGAGCGCGTACACCTTTTCAAATGTCCGAAGGCTGACCAGTATACACAGGTCATGAAGTTCGTCCAAGTTCGGGCCATGTGTATACACAATGCGTTACTGACACCCCCCCTTAGGCCGACCACGACAACCTCTCGCCGCTCAAATGGCTGAACCACACAATAGGGCTCGCGTGCCACACCCTCATCTTCCTCCCGTACTTCTCGTGGCGGCTCACGCACATCCGGCACCACAAGACCGCGGGGAATCTCGACACGGAGGAGGTGTACGTGCCGCACCTGCGCTCGTCGTACGGGCTGCCGCCGCCCGCGGAGGCGACGAAGAGCGACTACCGCGAGGCGTTTGAGGAGACGCCGGTGTTCCGGCTGTGTCGGTTTGCGGTCATGCAGTTTTTGGGGCTGCGTGAGTGTCTTTTGGCTGGGCTCTGGTGTGTTGAAAGTGCTGTGCGCTTACGCGAATTTGAATGCAGATACTTACTTGACGTGCGTTAATCGCTCTCGTTGGATGTTCTGCGATACTGAACGCGGACTAGATGGAACACAATGGGCTCGAAACGCTACCCGAAAGGCGCAAACGTACGTCCCATCCCTCCAGCCCGTTTACGCGTATACCATGCTCATACAACCCGCATCGCAGCACTGGAACCCATACTCGGGGCTGTTCACGCAGGACGAGTACGCAGCGGTGCACGTCTCGAACGCGGCAATCCTCTCCATGATCGCCGCGCTGTCCCTCCTCGCGCGGTATACGTCCTGGGCGTTCGTCGCCAAGTTCTATGTCGCGCCGTTCCTCGTCACGAACCACTGGTACGTCCTCGTAACGGGGTTCACTTGCGCTGTATAGCTGACGCGCTTGTTTCTTGGGCGCGAAGGGTGATGGCGATGACATTCGTACGTGCGACGCTGTACACGGAGGGGGATCACGCTGACATGTGGGGGGATGTATAGTTGCAGCATTCGTGCCCGACGGTGCCGTTCTACCGCAGCAACGCGTGGAGCCGCACGCGCGGCGCGCTGTCCACCATCGACCGGGTTCGCGCTCCTCTTCCCCGTGGTCATCTGCCCTCGCTCATATATCTACACTCGTATGCAGCCGTTCCTCGGGTGGGTCGGGAAGTACATCTTCCTGGGTGTGAACCACTACCACACCACGCACCACCTCTTCGCAACGGTACGCCCCTCCTCCCCCTCCCCCTCCCCCTCCCCCTCCCTTTCCCCGCTGACCTTGAAACCTTTCTGCAGATACCCTTCTGTAAGCCCCCACCCCTCCCCCACTTTCCCTACATACCCGAGGCTAACACAGAACGCGTGCAGACAACCTGCCACTAGCACACACAGCAATCCGGCCGCTGCTGGGGGACGCGTACAACTACGACTCGACGGGGGTGCTGCGCGCGCTGTGGCGCTCGTTCGTGCATTGCCTGTTCGTCGAGGAGGAGGGCGCGGTCGTGTTCTACAAGGACGCGAGCGGGAGTGCGCAGCGCGTCGTTGACCCGAAGGCCGCGGTTGAGGCTACCTTGGAGGGTGCACGGGTGGACGCGGATGGGGGTGACTAGACTTCGGCCTCAGTTTTTTCGGGGAGAAGAGGAGCTTGGGCACGATACCTTTTTGCCTGTGCCTATGCCTTTGATGGGCTTCAGAGCTCGCACGTCGGGGCTACTACAGCGCTGGGGCGCTGATTGGACAGTGCGGTGTGCGGACACCGGTGAATGTGTCTCTCTTGTCATAAGATTATTCGCGTGCGAGGCTGCTGCCTGCGTTATCGACTTTGTGTATCATAGACGTACTGGTCGTGGTGACAAATATGTGGTTATATTCGACGATTGTGTATGGGTCTCTGTTGCCGTATTATTTTTGTGCGGCGGGGGTGTTGCCGGCGTTATCAACTTTGTGTATCATAGACGTCCTGGCGGTGGCAAATATGTGCGTAGTTATATCCGACGATTGGATGAAAATAATCACTGGGGTTCGCAGGGCTCCCTGATTTGACCCCCACATGCGCACCAGACAAGGAGAGCCAAAGCACCCGTTTGACAGACATAATGCTCCCTTCGTCGCGTCGCGTGGTGGTGGGACGCTGCGAGCGCCACGAAGCTGAGGCGGTGCCGCTGAAAGAGAGAATGCGCGCCTATTTCCACTCACTCATTCACTCCGGCTCTGCGTGCTGTCCCCTCCGACGACCACGAAGATATTCAATGTACAGCTCCCGTCTGGACTTCTCTCATAGGACGCTCTTCTGAGGATCTTGTACCCCCTAAGGAAGGCGATATGGCTCCGACCGTCAGTGAGCCCACACCTCGCTTCGGCCCCGTCCGGTCCTTCGTCTTCGACTCTTCGTGCAGACCATCCGATCTTCTGCAGCTGCAGCAGATACTCCACCGGCACCGTACGAACATTGACAGTCATTGGATGCACTACAAGGTTCACCGAAGCCGAAGCCGCGACAGAAGCCAAGCACTAACCAGGGCAAACCCAGGGGCACGCGTCTCTGCTTGCCTTCCATCTTATTCCACCTTCCATCTTGTGCCGTGCCCCGCGCCTCGCCCACAACATGCTTTACGGGCCTGGTCACCCGACCGATCCACTGCATGCGTGGCCGCGACACACCTCGTCCCGGTTCCATCGGTGACGGCACAGGTTGCTCCGACTCCGAGTCCTTGTCCACCGCGGGGCCGCTCTCACAGCGGGCCCGCGATGTTCTGGGACGGGTGCTCTCACGGCGACGCGCGCGGGTGGCCATCGTATTCTTGGCAGTCTTCCTTGTTCGTGTTGCGAGGTTTACCTCACGGTGCACCATCGATGCGCCTCCCGCGGGTCTTTTGAAAACAGTTCGTAGCTTCTGCATCGATATCAACCCTTTGCAGGGTGCAGGAGAGGGATAATTCGGCTGGAAGACCCCGGATACCGCTGTTCTTGTCGCAGGGTTTACCTCACTGGCCAGTACACCCCCGGGTCCTCAAACAGTTCACGGCTTCCGCATCACCAACTCTATGCAGGGCGGTGGGCCCACCGCGACGACGCCATTCAGTAACAATTATAACGTCTATCAACCCCGGGCGAGTCTGGGGTCATGTACAGCACACGCGCGCCTGCCAAGATGCACCGTGCATGCTTTGACTCCGAGCGGCGGCTGATCCCGCAGACTTCGCGCTAGAACACCATCTGAATCATCGCCGCCCGCAGCGCAGCGCTCGGAGTCGCACTGCTGCAGGGCTCCGGCTCGAGCGTAGCCGCCGAACATGTGCGCGCGGGCTGCCCGTTGACGTCCTGTTCGCTGTCCACATATCACCTCATCCCGCCCTCCGCAGAAGAGGAAGACGGGCCGTGTGCAAGCGTACTTCGGAGGCGGTGCCTTCTGGCCAGCCGGGTTACTACACAACCCGCCTTGGGTAAAAATGTGCGTGGAGGGGGGACCGCCGCTGAGCACACCGCAAACATACTGATGTGTCACACAGTGCGAGACTATCATCATACTGTGCAGAGAAGGGAAGGACAGGCCGGCCCATCTGATACCATCGACTGTGGTCCGCGTTTAAACGGGGGCCTTGTCCTTCCGCTCCGGCTTATAGCTTCTACGAGTAGGGCGCGCACTAGGTCCCCCACGGCCCTCTGTGAAACATCTCACCCCATAGCTAGATCTGTTTAGCGCCATGTCGTCCACCGCGACCATGACATCCACAAGCACACGCGCAGAGACCCGAGCCCGAATACTCACAACGCGACCAGTGCCGGTGGAAGAGCCTCTCCCGCCTCTCGTCCCGCCACCGTGGTAGGCCCTCAGCTTGACATGCCCATGTATGGAAACAATGACTAACGAATTTGACAACGACTGCAGGTCGCTTAAAGAGGTCCGAGACCAGATTCCCTCACACCTCTTCGAGCGCAACACTGCGAAAGCCCTCGCGTACGCCGCGCGCGACCTCGCCCTCGCTGCCGCGCTCTTCGCGCTGGCGCTCCGCATAGACTGGCTCTGTGCGCACCCCGCGCTCGCGCTCGGCCCAATATCGAGTCTGGTGCTGCGCTGCGCGTGCTGGCTCACCTAGTGTGTATTTAGGTGGCTATATGTACGTGGCTTGGTGCTGACGAGGAATAGTTGGTGGTTCCAGGGCCTCGTGTTCACGGGGATCTGGGTCATTGGGCACGAAGTGCGCCCCCGTCCCTCCCTTTTTCCACTCTGAATATCGTTGACACTCCGTATTGTGCAGTGCGGCCACGGCGCGTTCTCCCCCAACGCTACGCTCTGCAACGTCATCGGCTTCGTGCGTCCCCCTTTTCCCTTTGGACAGCCTAAGTGACCGGGGCTGACGCGCGCGGGCACGGACAGACGCTGCACAGCCTGCTCTGGACGCCGTACTTCAGCTGGAAGTACGGGCACCACCGGCACCACAGCAACCACGCGTCGCTCGAGCGCGACGAGGTGTACGTCCCGCGCACGCGCGCCGACCTCGGCATCCCCCCTCCTCGCGCCAGTGGGGAGACGAGCGCGGAGCACAAAGAGGGCGAGATCGACTGGGACGAGTACTTTGGGGACACGCCGGCGTACACGCTGTTCGAGCTCGTGAGGCAGCAGCTGTTCGCGTTCGAGGCGTACCTGCGTGAGTTCGCGCGAGTGCTTTGAGATGGTGCGGGACGGTGCTGATGAGATGTGTAGTGTGGAACGTGTCGGGCCAGAAACACTATCCGAAGTGGACGAACCATTTTGACCGTACGTCCCCCCTTACGCACACACACACAGCGGACTGACATCCCCTGCCCCTTCTCCCTATAGCGAACTCAATCATCTTCGACCCCTCCCAGCGCCCCGCCGTCCTCCTCTCCAATCTCGGGCTCATCCTCGCCGGCACGCTCCTCTACTTCGCCTGCTCCCGCTATGGGGCGCTGCGCGTCGCGGCGCTGTACGGCGTGCCGTGGGTCGCCGTGACGCACTGGTTCGTGATGATCACGTACCTGCACCACACGGACCCCGCTCTGCCGCATTATAGGAGTGCGGCGTGGAGCTTCGCGCGCGGGGCGGCGGCGACGGTCGATCGCGACTTTTTGGGGTGGATGGGGCGCTTCTTTCTCCACGACGGTGCGTATCTCTTTTTCAGTGAGGGGTGAGTGGGACGAGAACTTGAATGCTGACGCGAGAACGGATGGACAGTCGCACACTACCACGTCGTGCACCACTTCTTCCCGCGCATGCCGTGGTACAGCGGCGAAGAGGCGACGGCGCACCTCGCGCGCGCGCTGGGCCCGTACTACCGCCGCTCGTCAAAGCCGGCGTTCCGCGCGCTGTGGGATAACTACAATTTCTGCCAGTTTGTCGACGATGATGGTGCGTCTTTTGCTGTGTTTCTGAAGAGTAACAAGACTGACGTGCGGTAGGCGATATGGTGTTTTACCGCGATCGGAGGGGGAAGACGATCGTGGACTATGTGGAGAAGCACGAGCAGACAGAGGAGACGTCGAGTTAGGGCGCGTCATGCTTGGGGATTACGAGTGTTGTATAGATACCGCCATGTTATGTACCGGGTGGACTCTGGATATTGCGTTTTTATTGTAGGATACCAACTTGACCAGTAGTGAACTGAGGAAAGAGCGATTGCGTGCGAGAGGGTGTCAGGTAGAAACAGTCATATGTACGCTGAACGGCAACGTTGTGTGCAAATATGATGTTCACTAACAGCCGTACTAGAGGAACGATGTGTACAATCGACGCAGAACACGGTACTGGTACATGGATGGCGTGTAACGGAGTCCACCAAACGCAGCACCAAACGCAAGGGAATCCCATCCCTGGCATCTCAAAGCCGCGCCTTTGCCCACCCCTCAACGCCCCTCCTCCAATCGACCTCCGCCTCCCCGCCATACACCGGCAGTGTCTCCACATACGCCCCCCATGCCTCCTCCGACACACACGCCGCCCGTGCATACGGTCCCGCCCCCGTCGCCTCCAGAAACTCCTCCAGCCTCGCATACACCGCGCTCACCGCGCGCGCCTCCTCCTTCGCCCATGCCGCCCTTGACGCGACGAGCCCCCACTCGACGTACGCCGCGAGGTCAGCTCCGACGACGCCCGCCTCGTACAGTTGCAGCAGGGGCGCGGGGACAGTGGGGGATGCCGCCTCGAGGGCCATGCGGTGACCGATGGCCTCGACGTAGGGCAGGCAGCGCGGGAGGAGGAGCTGGTTTGCGAGCTCGGAGCGGTGTGCGGAGGCAGGGGTGGAGGTGGAAGTGGAGGCGGTGGCGATGATGGCTTTGAGCTCGGCTCCGAGCTTGTGCTCGTGCTGGGCGAGGCGGGAGGTGGGTTCTTCGGGGGCGGGGATGCTGTATCGGCCGAGGAGCAGCTCTGGGGCGAGGCCTGCGACGTATGCGCTCATGGGAAGTGAAGATAGGAATAATGGAGACGACTTACGAAGGCATAGAGCGAGCACGTCCCCCTCGGCAATGGCCACTCCGCGGAGTTCAGTCTACGAATGCTCGATGTGAGCGAATGTCATCGAACGAGAAGGCTGAAATTCATACCTCCATGGGGAAGAGCATGTTAAAGTCAAACATGCCCTGCGCGCCGCACCGGTCCACGATCGTAACTCCCGTCCTCCGCCAATGCCCAATCATCGTCGCCTTCACGATCGCGCAAATCGCGTTCCTCAGGTTGATATTCTCCAACGGGGTGTCCGTCAGCCACCCCGCCGCGCGCCGGAAGAACGCCTCGAGCACGAATCCCTGCGCGAGCGCGTGCAGGATTGGCAGCTGCTGCGTGCGGAACGACATGATCGGGACGCGCACGCCGCGCGCGCCGCTGTCGACCGTGCGCCGCAGGCTGTAGCGCGCGCCGATGTACGCGGCCATCTTGAGCCCTGGGGCGACGACGGCGGTCAGGCTGAGCGAGCCGATGCCGACGCGCCAGAGCATGCGCAGGAAGTACTCGCGCGGGTGCAGCTTCGGATCGAGCTCGCCGAGGAGCGCTTCGCGCGGGAGTGGGACGTGATCGAAGTAGGTGAGCGCATGGCCGATTGCTTTCGAGCCTGTCCGCGTCGGCAGTTCTCTGGAGAGGCGCGTTAGTATGGGGTGGTAGTGGGAAGGAGGGTAATTACTAACTGGGCGGTGATGCCTTTGCACATCTCTTTGCCGTCGTTCAGAGAGACGATGAATGGCCGCAGACCCTTGAATTTGCCTCGGTGGATCAGTCTTGCCATTACGATTGCTACCCTGGGGACGCCGCCAAAAGGAAGTGTCGGAGGCATGAACCTGTGATGACATTTAGATACAATTTAATCACGCCACAGCAAAGCCAAGCACCCACTTCGCAGCATTAGCGTTGGGCGTGTGCAGATCGAAGCTTCCATCGTCCTGCATAGTCGCAGTAGTTTCGATGTTCGCCGCGTCAAGGCCGTGGCCCAGTTCCGTCAACATGAACTGAGCGCTATAGGCTATGGTCAGCTACCCGCCTATGAGCGAAATACAGAAAAACCACCTACGAGACGCGGAAAGCGAGGACGTCTTCCAAGAGTGGCCGCAGCTCTGGGCGCTTTTGTACGAAGGGCGCGAGTGTACCGGCCATGAGGTTGAGCTGGATGCTGAAGAGCGCGACCGCCCCGCCGTCATGGGTCACGATGTAGTCCATGTACATGTCCCAGAACTTCTTCGACGGTTGGAGGACATCCTCGATTGTGAGTGCTACACGTACGTATGTTGTCAGCTCTAGTACAGAATGAATGTATGTGGTCAGTACGCACCATAGCGCAGCCCGATGGCTTTCGCACGCTCGTGGGACAGGTTAATGCGCTCTGCAACGGTCAGCTGCTCCGAGACGGGGGCAAACAGCGGAGCGCTAGCAAGGTCCACCGTCGGAAAGGCAGACATGGTGATACGGGCGGGAGGAATATGGCCAGGCTCAGCCTCATTATAGGTGAGGCCTGTGATAGAATCGCGCTCACGCCGGAACAGCCCATGGTCACCTTGTACGGCGTATGGAGTGACGGTAGTATCGCCTCACAGCATCCTTCTGATTGGGGTCGAGAAGTCCGCGACGCAGCCGCCCGGCGATGGAAGGGCACGGCAGCAGACGCACGCGCACAGTGCACGTATTCCACGCACCCGCTTCTCCCGGCTCAGGTGCCGCGAGGGATAGAATTTTTCTCAGCAAGTATTGCCGAATACGCCTGTTTATCAGGTGAGTGACTGCTGGAATAGAAATGACCCTCTGAGGCGGACCGCTCATGACATGGCGCCCGCGGACGTGCATTCCAGCGATTGAGGGTTCCAGACGCGAAGATAGTGCTCAAGGAGGATGTAAATTGAGAGTTCCGACCCAGAGCTGTCCTTGCCAGTCAGCTGGGTGAAGAACAAGTGAGTATTCTAGATCTACACTCTACATTCAAGTTAGTACTGAACTCACCGTGCCAAACTGGTATGTACAGCTCTGATATTTTTGATCATCTTCAGTCTACCACGGAGATATCGTAGTACTCGGTCACAGAGGAGATGGAGAGGCCCGGGTATGATACCAGAGTAACCGGCCCCACACGCACGCGACTACTGGCAGTAATATGCATCGCATTCCCCTCCATGGGCCTCACGAGGCGCTGCGTACCCAAGTAGCTTGCCTTTTATTCACAAAGGTTTCGCGTGCGAAGCTCAGCTATTGGTCGAGTATGTTGTCCACCATGGAGGTGTGAATGATAGTAGTCGAATGGAGTGACATCAAATCTTAATCTCAATGAGAGTTAGTTTAGGGCCGGCTCAGAGGGTCTAACAATGCTCATTAATCGGCTGCTTATCCGAAAACTAAGCAATTGGTACTTGTCTCGTTAGCACTTCATCGACACTTCAACGTCGACTTGTTCCTTCTTTATGAGAACGGCTGCGAGGCGTCGGGACGGCGCGTCGTATCATCTTGCCCAACCACCCTCAGAGCTTAGATTGTATACATTCATACAGCAATAAATCTCATCCCCAGACCTCACAGCTTCGCGCGGACGTTGAGCACGAGCTTCCCGCTCGCGCGCAGCTCCTTCGCGCGGTCGCGCAGGAACCGCCGGAGCAGCTTCCCGCTCGGATTCTTCGGGATCACGTCGATGAACTCCAAGCCCACCAGGTGCTTGTAGCTCGTCTTGTGGTCTGCGACGTGCTGCCCATCGAGCATCAGCATCCGTCTCGGCAACACACAGGGGAAATGAGAGCGAGGGAGAGGGCATACCTTGAGAATGGCCTTACGCACGTCGTCCTGGCCGCGCGGGCCCGCGTCCATGCGCGCCTGCGCGTCCGCGCTGGGCACGATGAACGCGAGCGGGAGCTCGCCGCTGTACTCGTCCGGGATGCCGACGACGCACACGTCTCCGACGTCTGGGTGGCCGAGGAGATGGCCCTCTAGCTCCGCGGGGGGTACCTGGTACCCGCGCACCTTGATCAACTCCTGCGTGGAGGTTAGCGAGGGGTCGAAGAAGCTAGCGCGAAGAAGAGGAAACGCACCTTGATGCGGTCGACGACGAAGATCTCTTTGCGTTCGTTGAAGTACACTTCGTCCCCTGTGGAGACCCAGCCGTCCTTGAACGTTTCCGCGGTCCTACATCGCACAGATGTCAGCTCGCTTCATACGTCTATCTAGGCGTTCGACTTACGCCTGGGCATTGTTCATGTACCCAATCGCCACACTCGGGCTAGTCACGACAAGCTCCCCAGCTTCGCCAAGCGCCGCGAGAGACCCATCAGGCTTTACCACGCGCGCCGTGCACCCCGGCAGGAGGAACCCTCCACTGCCTAGCGTGCCCGTGGGCTGGTCGACCTGGGGGAAGGTCACCGCCGTGCACGTCTCCGTCATCCCTGCATGTTCCACGCATGTCAGCGTCGGTGATCACATACGACGTAAGTGTGCTCGAGGCTTACCGTACGCCTGGCCGATCCAGCAGTTAGGAAGACGCGCCATGAGCTGCGTCATAAGCTCGGCGGTGAGCGGCGCCGCGCCGCTCATGAGCATGCGCAGCGAGCTGAGGTCGTACTTGGCTACCGCGGGGTGCTTGCACAGTAGCACGATCATTGGGGGGACGAGGCTAGCGTGATTGAATGTTAGACTGGGAGCACTGGTGAGGGAGAGGCAGGGACAGACCAGAGGTTCGTAATGCGATATCGTTGGATACTGTCTAGGAATTGCTCGAAGTTGAACTTCTGCACGACGACGAGCGTTGTCTATGGGGGGGGGCGGTCAGGCCAGAGGATGCGGAAGATGCACTTATGAGGGCTTACTCCAATGAAACAGTTGAAGTGAAGCACAACCACGAGGCCGTAGATATCTGGACCTTCAGGTGAGTCCTTGTGTCTTCACACTTGGAGCTCGGCACTCACGGTAGAATGGGAGGACTAGTCGATTCTTGATCATCAGCTACGTGCAAGTAAGTGCCTAGCATGAAGCTACTAACCGGCAAGATTTCTGCTACCAGGCTTATGCCTCTGCAGATCAAGAGGCCTGCTTTCGTCCTTCGCTTTCGTCCAATGCGCCAACTGGATCACATTCGCCAATACAGCGTAATGAGGGATCATAACAGCCTGATACAAACCGTCAGGCATGCGCTTCGACTACACATGTATCAGGAAGATGCGCACCTTTGGCCTGCCCGTAGTCCCACTGCTAAAGCTGAGGAACGCGAGCTTCCGCTTCCCTTCACCCGGCTGGAGTTTCCGCTCGAAAAACTGCTGCGTGTGGTCAAGACCTTCCGCAATCAACTCGTGTACTGTCGTGTTGCTCGCCCCGGGTATTGCGTCGAACACGACGACCCGTTCTGTGGGTATGCCTGCGCCACGTGCTGCTTCTAGCGCGACGGACAGTGAGCCCGGGTGCGCGATGAGTACTCGGGCTTTCGTTGCTGTGAGCTGATATAGGAGCTCGTCCGCTGTGTACGCGGGGTTTGCGCCTCTGGAGGGACCAATATGTCAGCCACACGTTTATAAACGATGCTTTGACGCGGACGCTACTCGCACGGAGTCCTTACGTTACGACAGCCCCTAATCTGTGGACGGCCCTACAGTGTCATGAGCAACGCGAACGGCGCTGAGGTTCCGGCGCACATGGATCCGCAGAGTACGAACCAGATGGCGACAGGGTAATCTGGGACGTTCCGACTCAGTTTGCTGATTCATCTCAAAGCAGAACCGACACACACCTATATGGTTCTGTCCGAATATGCAGACTGCCGAGATGCTTGAGATAATTCAAGCATAGGGGCGTTGCGATGTTACGTACCGACATCATCCTCGTCTATATCACGCAGAACGTGAGGAGTAATCTTCCCAGATATGCAATGGACTCACTGATATTCCAGCGTAGTTTCAGCGCGTTCGCAAGTCCGAATGTCCTGGCGCGCAACTACGCGCCAACTTCAGCCCAAGGTGTACCCACCCTGAATGGTTCATTACACACCTCGTCAGAGCCAACTTCCCGCCCAGTTGCTTCCTCGATCAACCATGGCTGTGGCTTCTTCAAAACAGGACGTGCGGGGTGATGCGAATCAAGCAGGAATTGGGGGATGGTGAGGTCATCGGGAATCGGGGGAAGCGGCCCGCCATCTGCGTGTATCTCGGCCATGTCTCCGTCTCGTCGGATCTTGTGTCAAGCGTGTCTTGACCGTCGTCGTGTCGGGGTCGGTGAGGGGGGCGGGTGAGTGCGAGACGGGGGACGCGAGTGTGGGACGGCTGCATATATACGGCGCGTAACGTAATGTCAGGGTGCAGACGTTCCGTCGGGACGCATACTTTTCTGTGCCAATCATCGTCGCGCACATGACCCCGCGGCGCGACCCCTGGACGCCGCTCCGCCCACAAAAGCACTCTCGCTAGTGCGCTAGTGCGTATACAGAACATCATGCACGCCTGATCATCTCGTCGGCGTTGCAGTGCGCAGCCCGCGTCGTGCTCGAAGACGACCAACAGCTCACGGTGGCTCCAGGACATCGTGTGCATCGTCACCTTAACCGAGGGCGGCTCTCCGGATCCGAACTCCCCGGTCCGGCAACTGACAGTGAGTGAAAGCCGTTCATGCTACCGCAACGGCCGACGCCATACGAGAGTGTAATAAGGACGTCGAGGAAGTGGGCCCCGCGGACGCTCTTGTAGCAGTTGTGGAACAAGGCCGGATGCGAATCCCCGCGGTAGAACAGAGCAAGCACCGATCGAGTGTCGATCGAGCACTGCGCCCTCATTAGACTCGGCCGATCGCGCCAAACCGAAATCGTGCCTGCCCGTTCGTCCCGTGCTGAACAGCATCGCCCACCGCAACGCCTCTTGAATTCATCGCGTAGTGTCCGTCACGGGGGTTATGCAGAAGAGGTGGAGTCTTTGAGTGCGTGTGTTTCCATGCGCACGAGAGGAACGCCGGAATTCTTGGCAGAGCGTCGTAAATCGGCCGACGAAGTTGTGACGAACTGCGGCGCGCCCTGGTATACGTTTACCGTGTCGATGGGAGGACCACCTCGGTCAATCGATGTCAAAACGCAGCCAAACATGTTCACCTACATCAACGCCGGCGGGATATCCGAGGACCGAGGGCGAGGATGAATGAATGATGTTCGCTTCAACAAGCTGGCGTGGCCGGCGCCATTGGGATTGGCAGGGCCCCGAGTAAGAGAGTTGTGTCGCAGTCAGAAAAGGCTGGGGGATGCGGTCACTAGCGGTGGAGACAATCTGCCACGAAGGCGGGAGGCAATGGAGTTTCGGCAGCAATTCTCTTGAAAGGCAGCGGGACCACTGCTGACCACGTCGTGGTAAACAAGAATTCGAGAGTGCAACTGCGCGTCAAAGAACATGAGAGAAAAAATGCGAAGAAAAGGGTATGAGTACGCACTCGTCCTAGTGGAGTTCTTTCCTGAGCTCGCGTTAACGTTGTTCTTGGCGAGGCTCGAGCTCTGCGTCGTTGTACATCTGCTTGGCGCCCGGAGTTGTACCATATCGTCAATGCCGAGCTGGCTGACTGTGACGAGCCATCCAATTGTCCACGGATATTGCACCAAGGCTCAAAGGTGTCCCAGGTGTCCTGAGGCCGCGCGAGGCCATGGACGTTCTTCGCTGAGTTGTCGCTCATCATAAGCGCCCATAGCAACTCTTTTCACGCTCATTTCCTGCGGAACCGGTACAGCCCTGAGGATGTTCAGGTGGCCTATGCTTGCACTGCAACAGAACCCCATAAGCCTTGATAAGAACCTTTGAAAGGCAGTCGGTGAAATAATACATTTCTCGCACAAAATCTACCAAGGAGATGACAACGACAATCCCTGAATTTAAACCTCTATCCAAAGCGGACACCCATGTACAAAACCGGCCGACAAGCATAGCTAATAAGATCAACTACGAAGCCTTGCCCCGCGCGACCATAATCTAACAAAGCTGGAAGTTCCGACCCTTACTTCCTGGCCGGAGGGGGCTTGGGGCTGTAGAGACGACTTGTAAGACCGCGCATATACGGAGATCAGCTCGGCGACTTACACGGGGGCGACGGCGGTCTTGGGTCCGGGGTCGGTGGGGAAGGTCGGGAAGGGAGTCTCGGCGCACTATGGGTGAACGTGTCAGTCGAAAGGTAAGGAGAGCGTGTGCGCGGAGTGTACTCACAGCCTGCTCGATGTCAGCGTTGCTCAGGCCGGCGGGGAAGTGCGTGTGGCCCTGCGGCGCCGCGGGGATGGGGACCTATCCAGATAGCGTTTAGTGACCTGCGCAAGGGGTACTCTGGCACAGTAGAACGAGGCGACGTACGACTTCCGTGCAGTCAACGAGCTGGTTGATGTCCTGGCCGAAGATCGACAAATCGTGGAACACGAACTGGAACATCTGCTGCGCCTTCGGCTGGTTGTCGACAAACGACTGCCACTCGCACGCCGTGCGCGAGTCGCGCGCGATCGTGTGGTCGCTCTGCAGGCGGATCTCCCCAGCAAGGGGACTCTCGACCTCGCCCTGGTTCCCCCCAGACCCGGGGAAGCTCGTCCCGCGCAGCTGCGTCTCGAGGAAGAACTGCGTGTCCCAGAGCTCTGGGGTGGAGTCGAACGGCAGCCCGGACTTCGTCGGGTCGACGTCGTTCGCGGCCGCGACGGTGTGCGCGGTGAGCAGCCACACGGTCAGGATCGGGTCGAACTCGCCCTGCGACGCGTCCGCGAGGCGGTCGAAGATCTGGTCCGGCGTGTGGAACGGCTCGGGGACGAGCCCGTCGGGCGCGGGCTGTGTCGCGTCGTTGCGGCCGACGAAGGCGGCGAGCTGGGGCGCGCCCGCGCAGTTGGAGGCACCGATGGCACCAGCGAATTGGATGCTGCGCCGAGGAATTAGTACAAAGGCCATCGTTGCTTCACTGCGGGGACTTACAAGTCGGCAACGGAGATGTTGTGACGGGCGATGAACGGCTTCTGGAGCTCAATGATCTCGTCGAGACCGATGTTGGGGTGGAAGTTGGTCTCGATCTCGGGGAAGATCGCGATGGAGCCGTCGGCACCGCCGCCACTGAGCAGCGCGTCCTGGTTAACGATGTTGGCTAAGTGCACAAATTTGCTTAGCGTACCCGAAGATGCCCTGGGCCTCGAGGGCGGGGGAGATAGCGATGGCGTCGTGGAAGGTCAGGCGGAGAGACTCGTGCGCCTCAGCCGTGCAGAGACCGCCGTGGAACAGGTTCTGCTGGAGGTCCTCGCGGACGGCGAAGAGCTGGCAGCACGCCGCGTTGGTAGCGGTGTTCACGCCGTCGGGGCAAGCGACGCGGCGGGTTAATGCGGCTAGAAGATAGATATGCGTCAGATCACTGTTGACAGCCATCCACCGCGTCCTACGCACCGTATGCTCCCTGGAGCGCTGCAGCGGCAGAGACGACGGAGAGAAGAGACTTGAAACCCATGTCGAATTGGGGGGTGAGGAGGACTGATGCTTGAGTGCTCTGAGGAGTCTCGCCAATGTTGCCCTGCTTTTATACCCGTCAAACACGGCAGAAAAAATGGACGAGAAAACATACAGAATGTTTTCAATGCTGCTTCCGCCGCAGAAGTGCCGCGAGTACCAGGCGGTGCGGAACCTGTAGCCTTGCCAGGGCCAATAGCAGCGCATACATTCCGCTATTCTTGCTGTTGAATGTTCTACGACCACACTCCTGGTGTAGCTCAACGCGTCCACAGCGTCGGGGTCGCGCGGTGGGTCGCGCGTGCAACCAATCCCCGCACTCTGTGCGACACCTCGGGGCCTCTTTGTTGGACGTTTGCTCGTGCGTGTGCCGTTATGTCTGGCGCGATCACGGACGCTGTGAATACAGAGCCATTGGGGGTCAGCAGGCTCTCATATCCGCCAGCGGAGTGAAGAGAAAACTTACAGTCCTACACGCCGCATTCTGAACACTGCTCAGGCGCTGCCCAAGGCCCCGGATCTACGTCAAACAAAACGGCCGGATGTGCCTTGCCATTGGCCAGAGGAGCGGGTCGTGATCGATGCCCTCCCAGCGATTGAAAACGCGGCGCTTGGGGGAACCGCACGGTGGACCCGTCCGTGAACTGTTCCCGTCAGCACAGCTACATGTGCGGTAGCGCGCTTCGACTAGGACCGAAGGTAACACCAGCCGAGGTGAAGGCACGCCTTCTATTGCTTGGCAGACGGGAGCGACTGTGTTCGCAATGGAATGAAGGACACCCCCACCGGAAAGTGAGGAAGATGTCCCTGTGTAATCAGGGCGCACACTGAATGCTGTACAGTCTGTGGAAAAAGAGCCAGCCGAGGAGCCGCAACTTTTGCCTGTCGGGGCCTGTTGTAGCGGACAACAGTAATCCCAATCTAGGAATGATCCTTTTACCGTGACTCGGGTATAAGTTGCCGTGCGACGGTGAGAGGATGCTTGTTTAAACCTGGTTTCGGACGATTGAGTGATGTGTATCATATCGTCATATGCGCCAAATGAAGGGCGACACCTTATCCTCACTACCGAAGGGCAGGGAAGGCGAAACATGACTGATAATGTAAAACGTACCAAACACAAATCCAAGAACAGATAGACCAACACAATATGGTGAACTCAAATAGCCCATGCCGTCGCGGTGCCGTTGATATTCCCGGCCGTGCGCGGACGTTCGCGTATGTATTCTCACCGCAACCACCGGTTGAGGACCGGTAGAAGGAGTTGAAAACAGACGTGGGTAGACTGTGCCGCTGAAGTGTGCCTCATGTCAATAAACATCATCCCGGAATAGCACCAAAAAGGTGCGTTCTCCCATGTCCGTTTATAGCCAAGTATTTTGAGAAGCTCGTGGGGACGTTATAACAGACCTGTGGGAACTGTCAATGTTTTTTGACAGCCTGGGGGAATCGACACATTAATGTGGATTCGATGGTATGCATAGGCAGTCGACGTCATATCCTGGTCCTGGGCAAATGACTAGACACATAACTTCAGCTACGCATCGACATATTCGATGGTAAGCTAGACGTACCTGGCAGGTTGGTGCCCATAGGACACGAAAACAATTCTACTTACTTGCCTGGTCCGAGTCCAATTCCTATATACTTCAAGCTAGCGGTCCAGAGGTGACAACACGCCGTGCTCCCTGTGTATGACTACGTTGCGCTGCATGACCGGCACTGCCAACCGATGCCAGTGCAGCGACTTCCAAAGCAGTATAATCGTCAGACTTTAAGCCAAACAGTGTGCGTCGTTTTTGAAAGTCGTGCCAGCGATATGGGAAGAGTCTCTCGAGTTCAGAGAAGTCGACGCAAGGTCGACGTCAGAGCGAGAGATGTGCACTGTATATCGACCGAGGTTCAGCCACTTGAAATCAATCTCCGAATGAATAAGGAGGGTTGTGCCTGCCACACTGCGAAACCCCGACTAGATTTGAAACTCCTGAACCTTATCAAGCATTAAGTTCGTTGAACAGCAGGCTTACACCTACTCAACCCTGCTGTAGTTCTGAACATCGCGACTATCGCCCGGTCTTTCAGCGCATCTCCCATGAAGCATTGTCAGGCTCTCCCAATCGACGTAAAAGGTGACAGAAGTATACAGGGCACTGCAACTTGCAAGGGTCCATCATTTCGCTCAGGCACTGGACCAGGCCCAGAGCGGGCGTTCAGTAGAAGCGCGGCCGCGGACCGCCACCGCGGGGCGAACGAACCAATCCCATCCCCGCGGACCCACGCGAGCACGCCGATCCATCCTCAACCGACATGTTCCTCTCCAGGCACCCCCACCATATGCGCATCCGCGCAGAGCTGCTGACCCTGGCCTGAATTTGTCGTCTCCTCGGAATGTAGCCGCCGCAGGGGAATCTCACAACGCGAACTGGATATCAAGGGGCTCTGACACAGAGAGCATGCCCTCATCTGTTGAACAGTACTTCGAACGAGCTCAATCTTTCTGACTGACCTGATACGGGGACGACCGCCGCCACCGCTGCGGCGTCAGAGGCGTCTGTGGCAGCTGCGCAGCGACGAGGTGAGTGCATATATACCGGTTGTCTTGGGAAGCGTTGACTCAACTATGCTCGATGTTGTAGGTCTCTACGGGCTTCTGGTCCCGCTCCTCTTTGCAACCCCCTTAAGCCGTGCTGCGGCTGTTGTTCCACCTCCGGGCATGCCGCCCTTCGCGGCCGCCGAAGGGAAGCTCGTGGCCTCGGGGGTGAGCATCCCGTTCAAGCTCGCCCCGCTGCCGGAGCTGCGAAATGGGTCCGACCAGGCGAAGGACACGCGGCGCCAGATATATGTCGTCCCGGCGTCCGTTGCAGGCGAGACGTTCGAGGTGAGCCGTCGTGTCCGATTGTATACTGCAAAGGGCCGTTGACTGACATCTCCCGCAGCTAATTCTGGACACGGGGAGCGCGGACCTGTGGGTAGACACCAGCATACTGCTTTCCGGTGTATTGTCTGCCCCAGAGCTCCAGGACACCGAGCTCCCCATTCAGCTCAACTACGGGCTGAACGGATCGGACACCACTGCCCGGGGCACGGCGCAACTGGCGAACGTCGGAATGGGAAGCCTGACCGTGCACAGCCAAGCTTTTGGTACGCCCCCATAAATAGACTTTCCCGCTTCACGGCGGGTGGCTGAGCGGCGATTGCCAGGACAGTCAACGTACTCGGCGCGCCCGCAGTTACGCAGTATGGCGACCAGGGAATCTTAGGTTTAGGCCCGTGAGTTTATATGTATATGGTCCGTTTGGCTGATCGACGATGAATTGACGGTTTGCCATGATAGACCGGGTCAGTGGAGTGTCGTCCGGAACGCGCTGTCTAGCTCGCAGTGGAACGAGAAGACATTTTTGTACAATGTGAGTTGCCTCAGGGGCAGCGCCGGCACCCCCAGCTAACAAAACTCCAATGCTATTCTCAGATGTTCAAACAGCATACATCTCTTGGGAATTTCTTTGCCATCGGGTTTGGGACGAGGGACCATGCTGGCGTGGTGCAAGGCGGGAATTTGTCTATAGGTAAGTCGCATCTGACAGGGCTGTGCACGGAAAATTGGACTCATTGATCTATTGGGAACTACAGGCGAAGTCCCCTCCACTCGTGCGGAAATCGTCGATATGCCGAAACTGCCGCTTGCCACAGGACGAGTGTGGGACGTATCCTCGGGAGGATTCTTGGTGAACGGGGCCGCGCCTAATGTTTCTGCTGCGTAGGTTCACACAGTCGCTCTAGAGACCAACGTCTGTATTGCTAACATTCCTATTAGCACCAATAGCGCCGTGGTAAATTACGGAATGATGTTAGACACCGGCGCGTTTGGGGCGTACATCCCGCCGGAATACCTAGCGGCGATTTATAGCCCCGTTCAAGGATCCTCCCTGCTAGATGATGGCGCCTGGAGTGTACCATGCGATACGAGGATGAACGTCTCGGTCATGTTCGGGTTCGTCTGCCATGGTTTTCACCGACGAAACGAGGTGCTAAATTATGACGTTCGGATTTAGCGATGTTGTCTACCCCATCCATCCGCTGGACATGACCGAAGTGTACGACGTACAAGAAGGGACGGTGCTCTGCAGGAGTCTTTTCCAACCCAACACTGACCCGAGGATACGTATGTATCCACCGGTTGCATTTGCACTATAGATACTGATACTCCGCCGCAGCGTTCTTGATTGGCCTCAACGTTCTACGGAACACATACATGTTGTTCAACTACGGGGACGTGGATGATCCCGCGAACACGGCGCCGTACATACAAATACTCAGTGTAAGTCATATTCAGGTCCGCGACTACACCGATGTTGACGTCATTTGCGGTCACACAGATCACAGATGCGGAGGAGGCTTCCAGGGAGTTTGACGCAATGAACACAGCCCGCATTGAGGCTTTCATGGTAAAGGCGGGAATAGTGCCTTCAACCCCATCGTCTCTTCCCGCGCTGGAAGAGACCGTAGTTGAGATGCTCAGGTCTCCTAGCCTCTCTCGTCCCAATCCTTTCCGTGGGTTGGCGTTGTATGGGTTCGCTGCTGCTGCATGTGTCGTCCTCGTTCTATCTTTATTTCGATGTCACTTTCGCCTACCAAGAAATAAAAATCATGTTTGACAACACCGCTGTGTCGAAAGTGTGACGTTACTGAACGCTTTAGACCACAAGATCGTACAGGACAGAAAACAGCCGAGCACGGCACCACCCGCCTTTCGAGATCGGTGGCGTATGACAGACGCGAAAGACGACGTGCTACGTTCCGCTTGCTTCGATCTTCAATACTTCTCTCTCTCAACTTTCTGTCAGGCTCTCTCACCGACTCTTTTCTCTTTATCTCTTTCCCACTCCTATTGTCCCTGCTCGTGCAGGTTTCGTACTGCTGCTCCGGTTCGCATAGTCTCATCACCACACCCCTCACTACAGACGTCGCCTCAGCAAAACATGAAGGTCTCGAAGACGGTAGGCAGCAGCAGGCTTTGGCGCGATCTCCTGCCATCGAGTCGGGGCGATGCGCGCACGTCAATAGAAGATGTGTCGGGCGGCACGCCTTCGCGTGTAGTCTTTCCTTCGAGATCGACGTGTGGCGTTGTGGACAGTCGACGACTCTTCTTTCCACTTACGGACTTGTTCTGACATATGTGTAGACAAACGCGAAGGGCCCCGGCAGCGAGCACGGTTGCGGGGCCGCGCAGGACTGGTGCTTAAGGGCGAGGATATGCGGTCAAATGAAACCCAAATTCCCCCCTCCCTTTCGAACCACATCGTGCGCGTTCGACCGTCTCCCTCCCCGCGTCGTCTCACCGTATCGACCGCATAACCCCAAGGCGACCTCTATCGAAGCTCTTCGCGTCGTGCGAACTCCCCATTTTCCATTCACTTCTTTCTACCTTCTGAACCGCGACTTCCGATGCGACACTGACGGCAGATGGACAACAGCCTCCCCGCTGGGAGGGCGTCGGGGACAATAGCCCCGCGACGCGACGCGCCGCCCACGTGATCGTGATGCGGGAAAGGATTGGGGGAAGCCAAACAAGCGCAAACCAGAGGGATTTTACATATACGGCGCCACGTCGCGTCGCGCTCGCGATCATCGAACCTCGGCTCGTCGTCTCCGCCCCGCCCGTCCCCCCGCCCCCTTTACGACCTACGCGTTATACCCGTTCCCGACGATGTACAAGATCATCCGCCGCATCTCGAGCTCGTTCTTCCCGCGCCCGGACAGGCCCTGGAGCGAAGACGGTGCGTAATGAGCATCAATTGCACCGATCGTTCCGAACACGCGTCTGACGCGCGGTCTGCGTGCTTTTGCCGCATATAGCGACCTCCACGGCTCCTCAGATCGGCCGCAAGCGGAGGCTGAGCACGGACGAGCAGGAGGAGCGCGAGACGACGCCTTCGGCGAAGAAGCAGCGCGCGGAGCTTGAAGAGCAGGCAGAGAGCAAGCGGGACCAGTCGCCTAGCCAGCCGGGGAAGGAGACCGAAGAGGTGAAGGAGGTGACTGAGGGTGTGCGCGAGGTCGAGCTCGAGGATGGCAAGGTCGCCTCGACATCACACGCTGTCGACGGGGAGGCGCCAGCGGAGGGTAGCACGGAGGAGGCAGCTGCTGTCCCTCTTCCGGACTCCCCGGAGTTGAAGGCGACCGTCACCCCGGAGAAAGTCGCAGACGAGGGCGCGAGCAAGGCGGAGGGCTCAGCAGCTGCAGAAGAAGACGCATCGCCGGAGGCCGCAGAGACGACGGTCACTGAGGACATCCTCGCAGCAGCGCTCGAGGACGATGTGCCCGGCTTGACGCTCCCCGCACATACCGATGAGGAAGTACCCTCCACTAAGGCGGCCTCCAGCATACCCGCTTCCCATACCCCCGCGGACGCCGCCCTAGAGACGACCCAGGAAGCGATCGCAGCATAATCGCGCCCGCACTGGACCCACGCCCTCTTGGATACTGCAGTGTGCCGACGTCTCGACGTGCTTCTCTCCCATACCTCTCTCTGCATATACACATACACCCACACATACCGACCGGCCTCAATATTTGCCGCGATACCCTCGCACCACGCTCGCATCCTCCTCTCTGCTGCTCGTCCTTGGCTCGGTCGGACGCACCTGCCTAATCTATGGAGATTAATGTATACTGACCGCTGCTATGTTGTTTGTACGATGCGTCCCCCACGTCGCTCTTTACCATCTATCATCCATCTCGCTCGCACCGCTTCCCTCACCCGCGTGTTCTCCCTGCTTTCGTGCTATCCGCTCGATCTCTTGTGTTTGTATCCTTCTATTCCTCCCCATCGTCAGAATTTGTGAATCGCTTTCACTTTCGTGGAGAGATCTGTATCACCCTATCCTCCTCCATTAGCAGCTCATCCACCTGGACCCCGTCAGTTCCTGCTCCCCTGATTCACATATGCTGTCTCGCACCGTGGGACGGAGCATCTGCTTGTGTCGTCAACAGCAACGGTCTATTCCTAGGTGCGCTGCCGCTCTTGAGGTGTCTCCGGTGTTCAGCTGACTAGTGTTCAGTATCGGCGCTCCGCTCCGCTGTCTCACTGAGTCAGGTTGACACCTCGCGCGTCCAATACATGGCTCCGGAGGTTGTACCATTTGGCTTTGGCGGCTACCACTGCGAAGACCGTCCGGACGTTCCAGCTCTGGTATCTTTGGGCGAGAGCATGCAAGTCGAGGACATCCTACCGCGGCAAATGAGCTCAAAGGTTTTGCTCTTGTGCATCCGACTGCCCATGGCATGGGCGAAGCTGTACAATCCACTATTCCTGGTCAGCACATGATGAAATCCTTGCACATCCGCTTCTCGACTTACCGTACTGATCTCTCAGATATGCGTCACACGTTGCTGTTCATTTGGTCATCCCCAGTGCAATCATAGCAATCTCATTTGCTTCTCCACAACGAATCAGTTGCCACATGCCCAGCATGTACGCTCCGACATTCTCGGTAGGGTATATGAGTTGCGGGTTCATCTTTTGCAGGTTGTCTTGGGCGATAGGCAGCGGATGTTGCCCTTTGATTATGATGACGCAACACGGGTTGTATCATACGAGGTGCGTGTTGTATCGCGCGAGTCAGTGCGTTGTGTTGCATAATGATCATCGACCGCTTGCTCGTCAGCCGCTCGCGGATGTGGATTGCGATCCCAACCGACGCTGCACCCGTTGCGCCGAGGGCGCCAAAGCCGCATTCTCATCCTTCACGGTGACGATGATCGGCGGCCTGACGTATCCAGGCCATACTGCAAGTGAGCCTCGCCGCCGTCAGCCTCCCACCGGCGTGCGCATGGCGTTCATCTGCGCGCCGCACGAGGCGAGAACGCCTGTACTTCCCGCTATCCGGCCCTTGCCCCGTGGCGCAGCGCGCCCTGCTGTATAACTGCCCTCGTACGTTACTTCTTACACCTTCTCCTCTCTGCCCTCCCTGGCAGGCCCACGACTTGACCTCTGAACATACTACTGACCTCTCGGTGCACCATCTAACGATGCTCAGCTCGCTCTCCCGGATCTTCCAGCCCAGCCCGGCTGCAAACTCGGACCAGGCGCGCCCCCTTGTTGACACCGAAAAGGACGCAGACTCCAAATCGAAAGCGAACGGGACGAACGAGAACAGTCTCCGTCTCGTCCTCGGGTCGTCGCAACACTCGGACAGCGCGCCACTCCTCGGCCGGCACTACGCCGCCTCGCACCTCTCCCTCCACAGCGGCATGCCCGAATCCCCGCGCGCAGGACCCTCACACGTCTCCTGGAAGACACCCACCCCGAGCCTGCTACAGCAGCAACAGCCGCGGCAGAGTGGGCAGGAAAGCCCCGCATCCTCGCACACGCAAGTGCCCATGTGGGGCACACAAGGGATGAACCGCACCGCATCCGCGTCCTCGCCCTCGCTCCTGCCGACACCCCTGTCGACTGCATCCACGTCGCAGACGTATCGGCCGAGCTCAGTGGGGAAGCGCAGCTCGCTCTCGGTGGGGTTCACCGCGGACTCGGCGAACGCCTCGGAGGACTCGGACGGAGACAGCGTGCACTCGAGCCGCAGCGCGAACGTGCCGAAGCCGCTGTCGCCGATACACGAGCTGCACCACTTCCCGCCGCAGCGCATGGTGTCGATGGACAGCGGCCTCCGGACACCGGACTCGACCAAGACCTTCGACAGACTAGGTGAGTACCACGCACACCTTCGCGTGCTGTACAGTGTTCAATCCGGATGCTGCGCAGGTGGGGTTTCCCCAGCACAGAACGCATTCCTCAACCGGCCCCTGAAGCGCTCCACAAGCCAAACATCCAACAGCACGTTCCGGTCCAACATCTCCACCGCCGCACCCACTATCCCACCCCTCGATCTACGCCCCGACTTCCAGAACGCAGTTGGTGTCCCGCATGGGCCTCATTCCCCCGGGCTGCTCGCCCCACCCCCACGGAAATCTCGCCTGCCCCCGCCCGCGCTCCCCACCGTGATCGGGAGCCCCATCCAGACAAACAAGGTGTCCGTGATCTACGAGGACGGCGCGTCCGCGCGCACGAGCGCGAGCTTCATCACCGCGCCCTCGCTCAACTCGCCCGACGCCGAGGCGGGCCCGCCCATCTTCGTTGCACACGACTACGCGCACTCCACTGGCACAGACGGCACGGATACCGAAGAAACCGACGCGACGCAGCGCGGCACCCGGCCGCTCCCCGCGGGCCTGTTCGACGTCGACCTGCTGAACGCCGAGTTCGGGGTCGTGCGCCCGACCTCCCGCTCCAGCCTGCGCCCCCCGACCGTGAGCACGGGCCCGGGCACGCCGCGCACGTACACGCGCAGCGCGTCCCCAGCGTCGAGCTCGGAGTCGTTCCTCCAGCGGCGCTGGCTCAAGGGCCTCTCGTTCGGCTCCGACCGCTTCGTGCTGCCCCCCGGGGCCGTCCCGAAGCACAAGGCGCAGCCGAGCCACGCGTGCATGCTGTTCTGGCTGGGCTTCGTCGCGCCGTGGTGCTGGCTCATCGGCGGGTGGCTGCTCACGCGCGCGGGCGCAGTCAGCACGGACGGGCTCGCGGCGGAGACGGGGCCGGTGCTCCCGCTGTGGCACCGGCGGAGGAAGAACAGCGGGCCGCCGCCGCCGCTGCCAGACGCGAAGGAGGGCGAAAAGCAGGGGGCGGGGAGCGTGCCTGTTCCGGAGCGGGTGAAGAGCGCGGCGGAGCGGCGGATCAAGGCGAAGTCGTGGTACCCGCTCGTCGCGCCGTCGCTCGAGTCGCTCACGCCGTCGACGGGGAGCGGGACGTCGACGCGGAAGCTGAAGCGGTGCTTGCCGAGCTCGAGCAGGCGGGGCGTCGACCCGTGGATCCAGCGGTGTCGGATGGCGGCGGCGGCGAGCGGCGTGCTCATCTTTGCGGCGTTCGTGGTTGCGATCGTGCTTGTCGCGGGGGTGCGGATGTGAGGCTGGAGGTGGAGTGGCTCGTGAGTTGTGTTGCTGCAGGTCGCTGTGATATATATCCCGTTAAATATTCCGTCCTTTATAGTGGCCTACATGTCTATGTACTGCGGGTGTATGTAGCTCTAGCCCGGCCGCTCTATAGCAGCGCCTTCGGTGTGCCATATCTGCTGTTCAAGAACTCGTGTATCTCTTTCGCTGCAGAACCCCATCAGTATCTCGCATCAGCAGCTCCCATTCCTACCACTTACCAAGGTCGCCCGGGGCCTCTTGCGTGATGAGATGTCCCGCCGAGAACACCCTGACATGCGACGAGTTCGCCGGCCGTCTATACACAGTCTTCCTCCGTAGCTCGTGCTCGCTACACCCAGCGCGCATCAGCATCCGCGCCCAATCCGGCCGTGCTCTCACATTGGGACTCACTGTGCGGTAAGCTTCCCCGCGACGAGCCAGCGCAGCTCGACGCGCTCGTCCAACCCCGACAGCAGCTCGAAGCACTCAAACGGCGCGTAGTTCTCCGCGAAGCACACCGCCTCCTGCACCCCGGGCATCTTCAGCTTCAGCTGCCCATCGGGCCCCGCGTGCAGCCCGCACTCGACGTAGATCTTGAGCACGGCGGGGTCCCACGCCGCGAAGAAGGGGATCGCGGAGAACTGCTGCAGCGCTTCCTCTCTTTCCGAGGGTGTCAGAATTATACGTTCATGAGGCGGGAGAGGGGCTAATGGGGCTGGGACGTACCGGGAGGACCAGCCGTCGCGCCGCCCGACGGCGCCGAGGACATAGTTGCGCGTGGGCTGGGTGCTCACTGGTTCTGCGTACGGCGCGGGGAGGATCATGGCGTCGACTAGGACGATGTGCTTGAACAGCACAGGGTGCGAGATCGCAGCCCGGACGCTGGTGCATATATCAGGTCTGTTAATGCAAGTTTGTCAAGGAGCTAGACGACCTACGTGCTGCATGCGCCGAAGGAGTGGGCTACGTATACGATGTTGCGCCCTTGCAAGCCCTGCGCGAGGCGCTGCTCGCTTTCGGCCTGGGGCAGACGAGGCAGGTGCGTCGGGAGAGGGTCGGCCGACGCGGATGGGGGCAGGTAGTGCCAGAGGAAGTTCAGGATGTCTCTGGTGTTGTCCCGCCAGTCGACTGTAGTACGTTCATCATCATGAGCATGGGCATATGCGCCAAAACAAAGGGGCCTACAAATGCCATCAAGCTGGTCTCGGTTGACGAGCGCAGCGTCGCCGTGGTTTCTTGCCTCCCAGAGCCAAACCTCGCTGATCACGTATTTAGCGTGAGCCTCATGAGTCTCTATGAGACGCTGCAACGCAGGCTCCCAAATCTACGGAAGAAATGAATATAGAGACTTCAGAGCATCAAGAACCACATTTTCGACCTACCTCTTTGGGAAACCCGTTGGCGTGAGCGCAGAACAGCGTGAGGCCATCCGCAGGGTCACTCCCGCTCGCGTGCTGCTTTCTAACATAACGATTCACGCAGTTCCACATCGACTTGCGCCCCAGCGGGAGGTGGTCTAGCTCGCCACGCCATTGCTTCTCTTTCACGTCCAAGATGGTCTCCGCCGTCTTCTTGGCGGACGCCTTGAACTCGTCCTTATTGGGGGACCATTTCGGCAGCGGCGGGAGCGGTATGTCCGGGGTGGTCCGAGGGGAGGCGCAGGGGACGAGATGGGTGGAAAGCGTGAACCACGCGTCGAGGAGAGAGTTCCGCGGGGGCGAAGGTACTGGGTTCGGGCGTCCGGCCGCTTCTGCTCCCGAGGCTGGGGCTTCTATGGGCACGAGCTCCTTCGGGTGGCACGTTGGTAGCTGATACGGTTCAGGGGGCGGAAATATGGGGTTGGTGTCCTTCGTGAAGTCCATCGTGGCGGTCCGGCGAGACCTGGAGGTTTGTCAGGGGTGGGTGTTCTGTCCGGAGGATGTGGCTGAGGCAGCGCTGTGCGTGAGACTCCGGGTCGACGTCGGACGTGGACGGTCAGAAAGCTACCACGTTCTGGCTGTTCTGGCAGGCTCTCAGCGCTGTGATATATGGCGCGCGCGATCGATCCACTGGGGGCAGTCTGTGGCGGTAGATGGCTGCAGAGCTAGGCGCGGTGTGGCACGGTCAGGCGGATCCGTAGGCGGCTCTGTGCAAGCCGACTCCCGAGCCACAAATACACGTGGAATCGTATGTTCCTCGTTGAGAATGTTTCCGAATGGCTTTGCCGCTACAACACTCGTTGGTCTTATACATGCATCATGTAATACATCCCAGCTCATCAACATGCATCCTGCATCACCTTCGTGCCTCTCCTGACTTCCTCTGGTCATCCACTCTACATTACCCAAGGAGCTGCTTCGCCCTGAAGCCCGCGCACGATTCAGCCACCTATGACTTGAACATAAAGCATAAGCACTCACGCGAAGGTCCAGAGGTTTTGAGGATTGTTGTACGTGTCGGCCGTGTACGCGAAGCGGACTGTATGCAAGAATGTGGATCAGACGCGCACACGCCGAAGAGTGGTTTGCGCAACTGACAGTGGGGCAACTCTGAGCGGTACTCTGTGGGGACGCGTTAATCATGATGAGCTACACAGACTGTACAACGACTTACCAATGGGCAGCGTCTCGTCGAGGAAGCTGTAGGCTGTTGACCAAGCATGTCAGGTGTGTCCACGTCGTCTTGCATGCGCGTGCTGCTCACCAATACGCCAGTTGTGACTGCGGAGATAGTATCGTCAGCCCGAGCTGTCAGGCAATGACTAGACGTGTGAAGCGTACCGGAAGTCACCAGAGACGAGCCTGATATATCGCAGAATCCACTCGTCAGTAACGTACACCAAGCCACACCGAACCCTACTCACAAATCCGGGGGCGCCAAGGGGTCCTGCAAACCATCATATTAGCATCAAACCAAGCCACCACATGCTCTCTCCGGCACTCACGTCCTTCAGGTTCGCTGTCTTGATCTCCGAGTCGATGTCAAACCACTCCAGCACCTGGTTGCCGGCCATACCTGCGCAGCCCCGCTCAATATCCGCGCACCACCACCGCGATGCCCGAGGACTACGTACCCTTGAACTGGGTCGCGAGCCCGGGCTTGCCGCCGAAGAGCGCGATCTTCGTGTTGTGGCGCTCGTTCATGAGCGTGCTGAACATCGCGCACGTCGACGCGCAATTGCCGTTGCCGACTGTATCCCGAAGGGCGCGTTAGTAGCTGACGACACGACGTCGTTCAGGCAAGACCTACCGATGGCGATTTTGCTGAACGAAACAAGCATTGAGTTGCGGCGTCATCATGCAAGCAACAAGAAACGCACCTCGGGTCGAACGGAGGGTCCTCAGGGAGGTCCACGCTGAACGGACACACATCCTGTGCCCTTCGTAAGTACACCTCTCACGTATTACACAACATCACATCGACTGACAAGGAAGCGCTGCGACTCGACGAACGTCTGCCCGTTGATGACCCGGCTCGACGGCGGGGACATATAGTTGTCCGACGAGCTCCGCTGCGTGTTGTTCAGGAACGCCCAGTTGTCCCCGGCGTAGAACGCGACGTTCGAGTCCAGGCCGAGCGCGATGTCTGACGCGAGGATCTTCTGCGCGAGTGGGTTCGCGCGGTTCGTCGACTGGAAGCCGCTTTGGTACGTGCATTAAGCGAAAGCTGGGGGCGCATTGTAGGGGAGAGATGGCTTACGGGTTCTGGAAGCTGCCGAGGCTCTTGGTGCCTGTGAGGAAGGCGTGCAGGAACTGGCCAAGGCAGACGAAGCCACCTGGAAGGGAGGGTCAGCTCTGCGTGCAGAATCTGGCTGGTAAACCGTGCGTACCACCGTTGTTAGTGAGGTCAACGAGAAGCTGGCTCACGCCCGCTTCCTGGAACTGTGTCACGGTGGCCTGCACGTCCGTCTGGAACTGGTCGAAGTCATCAGGCTCGAATGAGCCCACGAACATCTAGCGAACCACAAAAATATCTCTATTAGCGTCGCCTCACTCACACAGAGCCCCACCAATACGCACCACACCAGTCTTCTTGTCCGGGAGGATGAAGGACTTGATCACGCCCTCGCTGCCGTTAACCGCGGGAAGCGTGGGCTGGAACTCGGAGGGAAGCCCGATCGCGGTCTTTGCGGAGACGTCCACGATCGCGGCCCTTGCGAGCTTCCTGGTCGTCCGTCTCTTCGACAGATTCGCGAGCACCGCGGAGTCTTTGTTGTCGACGCCGTTCGTGTCCGGCTTCGCAGCGCAGTTCACCGCCCAGCTGCACGGCCCGCACAGTCAGCCTCCACGTCCAACGTGGACGCGCGCGTCGACACTCACAAGTCCGCGCCGTCCGTGAACGGCGCCCCGAGGTAGTTCGTGAGGAACGGGACCTTCACCGTCTCCGCGCGCGTCGAGTTGACCGGGATGAGCTTCAGCGTGAGCGTGTTCTGCGTCGGGAACTGCGGGCCCGAGATATCGCCGAGGCGCTGCGAGAACGTCGTGCCCGAGATACGGTAGCTGCTGAACGCGCTGTTCACGCGCACCCCAAGGTCGAGGTAGTTGCCGGACTGCGTCTCCGCGATCTTGACCGCGTACGCGTACGGGTCGACGCCCTCGATCGCGAGCACACGGGCGCCCGCGAGGCGCTGCCAGTCGAACTTGATGGAGTCGAAGAAGGAGGTGAACTCGGTGCCGAGCTGGTTGATGAACGCGACGGAGTCCGGCGCGACGAACACGCTCTGCTGCCCGTTCTCCTCGAGCGTCACGATCGGCGCGGGGAGGATGTTCTGGAAGGACGTGGCGCAGTCGGGGAACCAGCCTAGGGGGCGCAGGCTGAGCGCGAGCTGGGGAGGGAGGAGCGCGGTACTCACGGGTGTGCCCATCGTTGAGCTGGGTGGTGAAGTCATACAGATCCTTGTTGAAGTCAAAGTCCGTCTGTGCGCGCGTTCAGAATTTGAAGGATGGGGGCCACACCGTGATCTCCGCGAGCGCCGAGTACTCACCGCGTAGTGCGTCTGGTTGATCCTCGCGAGCTGCGCGCGGATGTTCGTCGTCGAGTCCTGGAACGGCGCGGGCGACTTGAGGTAGTAGTCCTCGAACGTGTAGAAATCGAACACACGCGAGACCACGTCGAGCACGTTCTGCCGCAGCGTCTCGTTGAACGGGAACGACTTCATGCACGCGAGCGCGTCCGCGGGCGGCACGAACGTCTTGCCCGCGATCTTCAAGCATGGGTCTGCCGCCGCGGCCGCGGCCACAGTGGCCGGGGCGGCGAGTGCGGCGGGCACGGCGCTGAGGGCTGCAGCGAGGGCCGCGAGACGGCCGAGTGAAGGCGACATGGTCCGTGAGCAGAGTGTGTGCAAACGAGTACCCGGGCGAGCGGCAGCGTCCTCAGACCGTGAGGGCACGTCCTCTCCCCGACGGTCCGCGCCGCGTATTTATACATGTCTCGCACTCGTCCGGTCGTCCCTTCGGGCGCGATGCGCTCCGGGCGACGGCCAATGATGCCAGTCTCCAACGCGCTGGATCGCTCGCCGCAGGGTTCCTGGGGTGATGCGACGCCCCGAGAAGAAGCGTCGCGACTCTGATACATAAATCTCGCGATTCCAGATATCGTGTGCAGCGATGGCCCGGCGGAGAGGGAGCCCGCGACAGGAGCATGTGGGCGAGGGGGAGGGTGCGAGCGTCGAGGCTGCGCCCGTCCCCGCGGGGCCATGTGCGCGTGCGCGTCGCGCTGATGACATGGACTGCTGCCGACCGCCTTTCTCAGCACGTCTCTCTCACAGGGGAAAATGCACCGCGATCGTTGGCATCCTTGCATTGGGCGATAAGCGGCTATATAGAACGTCTTCGGCCGTGCTAGGTCCGCGAGGGCTGCTTCTGCTGAGCTGTTTCGCCGCGCCTTCAATTGCGACGTCCTGGTTAGTGGCGTGCACCATATCGGAAGTGGTCGCATGGTAGGCAAACATGTTGTGGATAGCTGTAGAGCACAGTGGACAAAGTTCGTACAGGGTGGTGGTGGTTGCAAGCGAAGAGTAGCACATGGACCTGATTCAGACTTTTGGAAATGCTGGCAAAGTTGCCACCGGAATGTCAGCATACAAGCCATCTCCATTGACTTCGCGCGCCGGAGCTTTATATATCTAAGCATCTCGTACGTATAGGTATGCTAAGAGGCTTATAGAGGCCCATGTACTGACGCTGTAGTCTCGTTGCTCATGCCTTCATTTCGAACCGGAGGCCGAAGGTCCTCAAGTTGAATTCAAGACCGAGGCTTTGTCAGATGAAGCGACGATGACTCGTCCATTGATAGTATACGCTTTCCAATCGCTCTAATCTACACAAATCCAAGTAGTCCTATAGTACAAGAGTGACATCCGTAGGGCGAGGAAATATGTGCGCGTCAAGACACACCTAGAGTCTGAGATACACCCCGGTCCCCTATGACAATGAATATCCCAAAGACTCAGAGCTTCGCACGCGTCTTTGCGCCGGGTGGGGTGATCGTAACCTTGCCCTCCTTCATGAGCTCCTTCAGCTTGTCGCGCAGGAGGCGCCGCAGGAGCTTCCCGCTCGGGTTCTTCGGCACCACGTCGATGAACATCACGCCCGCGAGCCACTTGTACTGCGTCTTGTGCTTCGTGACGTACTGCGGGGCCGTCAGCGAGCGGAGATGGATGTCAACAGACAAGGGCTCACCTCCGTGATCGCGTCGCGCACGCGCTGCTCCTCCGTTGGAGCGCGGGAGATGCGCGCCTGCGTCTCCTCCTTGGGCGTGATGAACGCGAACGGGAGCTCGCCGGAGTACTCGTCGGGCGCGCCGATGACACAGACGTCGGCGACGTCGGGGTGGTCGAGCAGCAGGCCTTCTAGTTCCGCAGGGGCGACTGTATGCGGCGTCAGCGCCGTGGACTAACATAAACGCGTACGCCCGTGACATACCTTGGAAGCCGCGAACCTTGATAAGTTCCTGCAAAGAAGGAATTAGCATCGGATGGTATGGGGTGTCGGCTGCGGAAGGGCCTACCTTGATCCTGTCCACGATGTACAGCTCCTTCTTCTCGTTGACGTACCCTTCATCGCCGGTATACACCCAGCCATCCTTGAAAGTCTCCGCCGTCCTGCGTAATCAATCAGCATCTGGCATACATATCCTACTACCTGAGACTCACGCCTCCGGGTTATTCAGGTACCCAATCGCCATGCTCGGGCCCGTGACCACGATCTGGCCCGTCTCGCCAGGCTTGCCCCACGTATTGTCCGCCTTGAGGATGCGCACCTGCGTGCCCGGGATGAGCACGCCCGCGCTCCCGGGCGTCCCGATGCGCATCGTCAGCTGCGGGAAGGACACGGTCGTGCACGTCTCGGTCATGCCGTAGCCCTGCCCGATCCCGCTGTTTGGAAGCACGCGCGCGAGCTGGTTCGTGAGCTCCGCGCTGAGCGGCGCCGCGCCGCTTGTCGTCATCTTCACGCCGCTGAGGTCGTACTTCTTTACTATCGGGTCCTGGGAGAAAGTGTGAGCTTATGGACGCGGGCAGGGTATGAAGCAAAGGTGAGACGGACTTTGCATAGCAGGACAATCATGGGCGGGACGAGCGCCAGATGTGCGACTTTGTACTTCACGATGCTGTCCAGTGCGTTTCGCAGGTTGAAGCGCTGCACGATGACGAGGGTAGCCTATATGACAATTTAGCGAATCTTTGTAACTGGAGCAAAGACGTAGGCATACCCCGCAAAGCATGAAGTAGTGCAAGCTAACGACGACACCATAAATATCTGAAAGCCTAATCAGAGAGGCCCTCGTCTTGCGCATTGTGTTACGAACGATAGAAAGGCAGAACTAGAGCAGTTATGTGAGTATATGCGTCCACTTCACGAAAAGATCGCCATTGAGCACATACCTCCAAGCACGCGATCACCAGGCGCATATCGCTGCTTCTCTATGGGCGTGCCGACGTCGTGTATATCCGCATATTGCTTCATCTGCACGACGTTCGCAATAATCGCGTAATGCGGTATCATCACCGCCTTTGGCCGACCGGTCGTTCCGCTCGAGAAGAACAGCAGCGCAAGCTTCGTCTTGCCCTCGCCCGGCTTCAGGACCGGCTCGACCCAGCGTTTCGTCTGTGCGAGCCCTTCCCGGACCAAATCGTCGACAGTAAGATGTTGACCACCTGACGGGGTGTCGTAGAGCGCGACACGGTCAAGTGGGATGCCAGCAATGCGCGCGGCCTCGAGCCCGACCTTAAGCGAGTCTGGGTGGATGAAGAGCGCGGTGGCCTTGGCGGTTTGAATCTGGTATACGAGCTCGTCGGCCGTATATGCGGGGTTAGCGCCTCTGTCACGAAAGTGTAAGTACCCGACTGATAGTAGGCCTTGGAATATGGACGAGAACATACGTGAAGATACCGCCAACACGGTGCGTTGCCCTGTGCAATTCGCATAAAATCAGTTTGCGAGATAACAGACTAGGCGGAAGACACTGCGTACCATATAACAACAGGATAATCTAGAGAGTATGTCGTCAATTACACGAGTTATACCATTGCTCTAGGGAAAACACATACCGATGTGATTTGGCCCGTATGCGCATACTGAGCGTAGTAAATAAATGAGCACATGACGCTTTCCAGGACATAACAACGGGGTGAACGCACCAACATCACCATCACCTATACCGTGTTTCACAGCCGTCAGCATTATCGTAATGTGAGGTTGAGCCTGTGTCCACTCACCAATATTCCAACGTATGCTCATGGCGTTGGCGAGACCCCAGACGCGTGCGCGCACCTGGTCGCCGGTGACCTCGCGACCCGTCGCATCTTCGATAAACCATGCTGGCGGGCGTTGATGGAGAGCTTGACCGCCAAGTGGATGGTGGCCGTCAAAGAGGAACTGGGGGATGGTCACGTCGTCGGGAATAGGCGCGAGCGCCCCGCCATCAGCGTACACAGTCGGGATGGAGTCGCTCGTCTTCGCTTCTACCGCCATCTTGCTCGTCTACTTCCGTCGCGTTCTTGGCTCTAAACTCGTCTAGGATGCTGCGCCGCTGTTCCGCACGTGAGGATACGATGGTGAGTGCCCGGGAGATGTGTGCGAGAAGCTTGCGCCTGGGAAGATGGTTGGACGAGAATAGGAGCGACTTCGACGTGAACGCGCTACGCTGTCACCTTAAATGGCGACGGGCTCGCGCGGAAGACGGCTACGACGGCGGCCGGGATGCGCTGCGTAAAGGGGTAAATGGCGTTGGTCACCGGTCGTGTGGCGGGTAGCCCATACCTGAAGCTGGTGGGGGCGATGGTCACGCGGGCCTCAGAGACAACATGCGCATCTCTCGGCTCGACGGCTGCGGTACGTCCCCGACGCCCCCTTCTTCGCCATCATCATACCAAGTGGTGGGAAGAGAATCGGAGGCCGGATCTAGCAAGACCTGAGTCGCCCATCCCGCTTTCCATGCAAACATACGGACCCATACCTCGCCCGAAAGCGGTATAATGTTTGGACTGTATTCAGTCCTCAGGTTTCGGGCCCCAGCTGCAGGGGCTATGTGAGGGTGGCAGACGAGGTAAGAGCGAAGAGTGAGAATGGAATGTCTTGGAATCCGAGGTAAGCGTCCCGCAGGCTTAGAACCTTCGCGCGCTGCGCGACCTCGCCACAAGGTATGTCGATACACTGCACTAGATGAAAGAAGTATATGCAAGTTGTACTCAGAGCAGACATCTATACCGAAAATCCTCCTAGAATGATGATAGAGTATCACTACCAATAAACCTACAACTTCGGCTTCGGTGTGAGCTTCAGCTTGCCAGCCGCAAGGTCAGTCTTCGCCTGCTCGCGCAGAACCCGCCGCAACAGCTTCCCGCTCGGGTTCTTCGGAATCGCAGGCAGGAACTCGATGCCAGCGAGCCGCTTGTAGTACACCTTGTGGTCCGCGACGTGCTGCATTCCCATGCAACGTGGTAAGCCCATCGCTATCACTATCGCACAGGGGGGGTGACATACCTGGAGGATCGCGGTGCGAACCTGCCCCTCCTCGGCGGGACCCCGTGCGATGCGCGCCTGGGCGTCGGGGCTCGGGACGACGTACGCGTACGGCAGCTCGCCAGAATACTGGTCGGGGATGCCGACCACGCACGCGTCCACGACGTCGGCGTGCTCGAGCAAGTGCCCCTCGAGCTCGGCAGGTGCGACCTGGAACCCGCGTACCTTGATGAGCTCCTGTTGGTTGTGAGTTTTGAGAGTCAGCAGGAGAAGAAGATAGCGGGGCAGATGGGGCAGCGTGCCTTGATGCGATCGACAACGAAGACTTCCTTCTGCTCGTTGATCATAACTTCGTCGCCGGTGTGTAGCCAGCTGAGTAAGTATCAGGTTAGTATGCAGAAGCTAATAGCAGGCCAGGAAGTGTGAACGTACCCATCCGTGAATGTTTCTGCGGTTCTGCAGCCAAAGTATACAGTAAGTGTAGCTACGAGGTAAAAGCGACAAGCCCACTTACGCTGTCGGGTTGTTGAGGTATCCGAGTGACATGGACGGGCTCTTGAGGAGCAGCTCCCCAAGCTCATTGTATCCCGCAAGCGTCCCGTCCTGCTTGACCACCCGCGCGACGATCCCTGGCAGGAGCATGCCCGAGTTCCCTGGTGTGCCGATCTTCATGTCTAGACGGAGATGCGCGACGCTGGTCGCCAGCTCGGTCATACCTAATGCAGGTCAGCGTGGAGGATAAGGGAGAATATCTCCGGGAGAAGCGCACCATATCCTTGGCCGATAAAGGGCGCGTGAGGAAGGATGCGGACGAGCTGCTCCGTGAGGTCGGCGCTCAGCGGCGCAGCGCCTACCATAAGGAAGTATGCTGAGCTGAGGTCGTAATTTTTCACTATGGGGCTCTAGAAGATGAAGGTGAGCAGCGTTTGTCGTGGTGGTGTGGTTACGTGGTTGCGAGCTGACCTTGCACAGTAAAACAACCATGGGAGGAACGAGGCTGCAGCGGATCAGCACACAGCTATAGTAGACCAGTATCATACACCTACAATAGATGAGTAATGCGGTAGCGTTGGATGCTCTTGAGCATCTGCTCGAGGTTAAATTTCTGTGTTACCACGATCGTGCTCTGCAGAGAGATAAGTACATGTCCGCAAAAGCTTCAATAGACATGCATACCCCAAAGAACAGGCTGCCAAACAGGATCACATGTAGCCCATATACATCTGTGGGCGTCTGTGTGAGACGTCCAGCCACTATGACTGGTTGTACTGGGACTTACGAAAGAACGGTAGGACTGTGAGAAAACACTGAGTTAGAAACGCGCACTTGCAGGCAAAGTGAATTGTGGCAACACACCTGATAGTGTTACACTTCCCGGCCTGTATGCCAGTTGCTCTGGGGGTAGTGTCTTGTCGGTGAGTCTAAGGAACTGTGCAACCTGTACCATATTGGCGATTATACTGTAATGCGATATCATCACTGCCTGTAAAATGCGATCCTATGTCAGCCGTGACTAGAGATTGAGTACGGCGTCAACAACCTTAGGTTTACCAGTGGTTCCGCTTGAGAAACAGAACAAGGCCAGCTTCTTCTTGGCTTCCCCCGGCTTCAGCCGTCTCTCGGTGAACCGCAGAGGCCCCTTCAATCCCTCGGTAACCAAATCTTGTACATTGGCCTGGGAAGACCCAGGGACCGGGTCAAAGAGGACAACGCGTCCTGCGGGCAACCCGACGATGCGCGCGGCATCTAGCGCCACGGAGAGGTTGAGCGGGTGGACGATGATCAATTTAGCCTTCGTGGCCTCTAACTGATATGCGACCTCTTCCGCGGTATACGAAGGATTCGCAGTTCTGGTGTGTTCAGTAGAGTGCGGCGGGGGCAGCGCAGTAGGACATACGTGACAATACTGCCAAGCTGGTGCGTCGCCCTTCATTAACCTCGTGTGAGGATGGCCGGTCTCAATCGGAGCATGCTGTACACGCACCAAATTGCTGCACCATAATCTACGTACGCCGCGTCAAGCTGAGGACTGAAAAATAGAAAGACTAGAACTGACCAACATGATTGGGGCTGAATATGCACACTTGATAACGCTGGTTAGTACAGGCGAGCTACCACCGGTTATGCTGAACCAAGGTACATACCGACGTCGTCCTCTCCTGCAAGCGCGGCGAATCAGAGTCAGCTACGCCCACCACCGAAATCAACGGAGGCGCGTCACCTATGTTCCACCGAACCTTCATCGCATTCGCCAGGCCCGAGATCCGAGCGCGCAGCTAGCACGAGGACCATCAGCATTTCGACTTCAGCTATCCGAGAATAACTAACCTCCTTCAGTTTGATCTCTCTGCCAGTCGTCTCGTCTATGAACCATGGCTGCTCCGGGTTTGGGACCGGGCGAAGAGGGTGTTGTGTGTCGAGTATGAACTGGGAGATGGTCAGGTCGTCGGGGATGTGCGCGAGCGGCGCGTCGCTGCCATGTATCTCAGCCATGGTCGATGTCGGTATCCGAGGGCCGACGGTTCGGAGCTTGTGCGCGTGCAATTGGAAAAGAGCGGGGGGTTGTGCGCGAGCCCGCTCTCACTGAGGCCCTTATATACTGGCCGCTTCCCAGGTGCCTCTGCGTGGACCCAGGCACATGGTAATTCAGCGCAGCGCGCAGGAACTCACCCGCGGGGGCGCTCGAACCACGCTGATCATGTCTCTGAGCTATGCATCGCACGCACATTGCTTCCAGAAGGCAGGACCGGCCCCCTGACTAGCGACCGTACTGTGAGAACGAGAGTGCGCCAAAGACTACGCACGCTGACGTGGAGTGCCAAGCAACCATTCTACCTGGATATGCACTAACCTCAAGGTGGATGTATTCAACTGGTGAAGTGCGGCACTGACTGCACTTCACCTATGTACGAATACCATTCATCGATATCTGTCACTTCTTGGAGGCGGCTACCTGGACGCCTGTCAGTGTCAGATCACCGAGGACCCATGCGCTGCTCTCCGCTTCGCCATTTCGTATGACGGTCCGAGGTTCGCGCCGAAAGACACCAGAAGCAGGGCCTCTTGCACATACCCACATTACGCGTTTGATGTCCGGTCTGCCGTATGTCAGAAGTGATGTGTTCTGCTCTTGTGATCGAACAGCTGGCTCAAAGCTGGCTTGATGCAAACAGGGCCGCGGATCTGTGTCATGCAACTTCCTCCGCCCAGGACAGGACGTCGTCCATGGACAAACTATTCACAGGCAACAATGATGTAGTCTATGGAAAACGCTGAGCATCGCGGAAGGACTGTTGAAATTCGGATGTAAGCGCACCTGCGTCGTATCTGAACCTGACGGCTCTGGCGCTGGTTTAGTAGCCGCGGGGTCTGCCTCGGACGCTGCTCCATGGGAAGCCAGACGAAGCTCTGCTAGTTGTGCCTCCAGGGAATCGCATTTCCTTAGACAATATTTAGCTTCAGTGAAGTTTACAAGTGGTGAGGAAACCGCGCGTACGCATGGATGGTTTTAGTCTCCTCCTTTCGAAGCTCGAGCTGACGGCGCATCATAAGCTCTAGGTTTCCCCTAGCTTGGACAGGTCGGAGGTCATTCGCAGCAGCCATGATGTTCTGCGCCAGTATGTTGATCCACTCGAGGTGCCGCTTCCATTCTGGCTCAATCTGGGAGGAGGCTGTAGGTGGCGGCAAGAGGAGCGAGTTCAGCAGCTTAGAATATGTGACCAGCAGAGAGCGCAGGATGCTATTGAGTGCTGGCCGGCGGTCTAAAACCAAGAGCGTCAGCCCAGGCGGCACATAGTGAGGGGTCGTATGGGGAGAACGTACCGACGCTAGGGTCTGCGGGATAGAGCTGGTGTCCGCCCAGCTCAGCTAGCGAAGGTATCTTCTCCTTGATCTGTGCGACAAGAGACCTCAGGATAGCTCCAAAATATATACATGCAGCATACATACAAACCAAGTGTCGCCGAAGACGGTGTAGTGCCCCTCCTCCAGTATCCAGTCGACACGAGGCTTCTCCAGCTGCGCGATTGGCCAGTCGGGCACGTCCGTCTGGTCCGAGAGCACCTCATACTGGTTCAGCGCATATAGGTCTGCATCTTCCCCTTGACGCTCGCGCAGCAGCTCGAGGAGCTTGAGGTTGTGAGGCGTGTAGCGTGTATAGTGCGAGGGCGGAGACGGGAACGGGTTGCGCAGCTCGGTCTCCTCATCGTCCATGACGGTTCAGTAAGTGGTTTCCTAGCGAGGGCGTCCCAGGTGAGTCTGAGCAGAAGCGTGTGGCCGCAAGGGCCAGAGTGACATGAGGGTGAGAGGACAAGCCACCGAGCGCGCGAACACCGCGACGCGACTCAGGCGCCGGGCGCGCGCCCATTGTCGCGTCTTGCCTCCGGACGTCCACGACCGTCTTGCTCGCGCGCGCCCTTACACACCCATAATCATCTCACGCGTCTACTATGGCTACAAGAAGAAGAGTGGGATTCAGCACCTCAACGTCCGAGGCGTCGCGGCGGCAGTTGATGCAGCCCGTCCCCTGCTGGGAGAAAGTGTGGGGACCGCCAGACGGCGCGGCGCCCGGCTCGACACTCAAAGTCTACAAGTGGGTGCGAACGGACAAAAAGCAGGTATGTATGCGCTTCAATCCTGCGCTCCCACGACGCGTTAACCATTGCCCACTCCCACAGCAATTTAGCGACGATGAGGGCGAGGTGGACCAGCCGCTCGCGCCCATCCAGCCCGAGGAGATCGAGGTCGTCGACGGCGACGACGACATGGACCAGGACGAGGCAGCAGGGTCTACCGCCCCAGACATGACCCCCGGGCTCATGTCGCGCGACGTCTCCGAGCCCGCGCCTGCGCTCCGGGAAGAGGACGACTCGGCCAAGCCGTCCCCCAAGCCGCACCCACTCTCCATATCCTTCCAGCCCCCGACGCCAACCCCTGCGCCGGAAGACGACGACGACGTGCTAGACGAGGCGCTGCGGCCGCCACCGGAGGGCGACTTGGGCGCGGACATGAGCCTGGAGCTGGCGGGGATGGGGCCGGACGGGGAGGCGTTCGAGGATGTGGGGGATTTGTCGCAGCTGCAAGAGACGGACGCGCTCCTGGGCGGGGCAATGATGGACGAGTCGATGGAGGATCCCTTTGCTGTACCGCCGTCATAGCAGGGAGTACCTGGACGTACAATGTTTGTGGTGTATTTGTATGTGCCAGTACTTATCGCCTGTTCCCTCAACTTGCTCTTGGTATTTATCGTACGTCCTGTGGCAAATATGGCACCATATATATCCACGTATACATTCGGGCCTTACCAGTCGCGACGACTAGCTCGAAGTCACCGGTTAGTATCCTGCTCAGAAAGCACCACAGCTCTGAATCAAACACGATCCACCACCTCTGTCACTCGCGTCGTATAAGTACTGGTTAACGTCACCGCCACAACCTCGCCATCTGGTTGAAAAGACATGTATTCGATATGTTACAATAAACGATACAACTGATGGTGTCTAACGAAGCGCCAGTATGCGGAGATGCCAGAGAGAAAGTACCGGACCCAGGGAGAAACGGGGCGCCACACAGCGACGAGACACAACGTACACCGAACGCACGGATGGACTGGCGGGAGTGGAGGGCGAGAAGATGATAGAACGGTGGATCCAGATACGGGGGGTGGGTATCGGACGCGTGGTCGGAGGTCGGGCGGCGGGGGAGAGAAACAGAAACGAGGGGTGTGGGTGCCGGTGCGAGGGTAACGGGGTAGTAGGGAGAGGGAGAGATGCGAGCGGAACGGGCGCCGGCAGGGGGAGCGGGTGCCCGAGAACAAAGCTAGCGAACGCGAATGCAGATGCGAGATGCAAGAGACGGGACTCGGGACTCGGAAGACGAGAGAGAGAGGGGGGGCCATTAACGAAGAGAGAGAGCGGCGCGAGTTATAACCCAACAAGGGGTATGCGGGGGTACGGTTCCTGTATGTCCAAGAATTACGGGCGGCCCGGGGGCCAATGAGGTATCGTGCGTAGAGCGGGTGTGGGTCTGTACAGGCGTGTATGTGGCTGCCCCTACGGCGTCGCAGGATCAGGGGGGATCAGGGGGTCGGAGTGCGGGGAGGATGGCGGAGGGAGGGGGGTGCGGGAGCTGATGCGATGGGTGGAAGAGGGGACAGTGATGAGGGGAGGAGGGGGGACTGCGAGCCGCAGGGTGCCATTGGAACCATGAGAGCGAATAACGTAGACGATAAGAATCCAAACCGTGGATGGTGTGCGTGAAACGATCGTGAACGAGTGTCGACGGGCGTGGCCCAGAGTCCGGTATCCGGTATCCAGAAAAATCAATCCAGCGAGCGGGCGGCGGTTCAAGGCGACCCATGCCCATACGCCCGCAATTTTCGGAGAATCGCGTCCATCTCCGGCTGCTTCGAGCGGTCCAAAATCTGCCCGATCGACGGCGACGCGCTCACGCGCGAGCTCGTCGTGTAGCTGCCCGAGCCCGTCCCGGACGACGTCGACGAGGACAGCGAGGAGCCCGACAGCCGCCGGTGGAACGTCCGCGCACGCCCGAGGTCCTCCTCAGACCGCTTCGAGAGCTTGGGCAGCGGGAACTCCGCGTCCATGCGTGGCGTCTCGGGGATCGAGGAGAGCGCGGAGGAGAGCGTGGAGAGGGAGGGCAGCGAGGAGAGCGTCGAGGAAGAGAGCGTCGAGCTATCAGAGCGCGCGTGCGGGTCGCGTTCTGCACCTGGAGACGACGGCCGCGAAGCCGAAAGATCGATGCCAATGCCGAGCCCAGCTTTCGGACCTGAGCGAACGACCATTGTCCTGCTGCCAACGTTCGCAGCAGGAGACCCGTTGTTCGACACAGGAAGCACGGGCGAGCTCGTCCGCCGCGCCTGCTTCTGCTTGGACGAGCCCAGAGGGAGGTGCGCGAGGGCGTCCGGCAGGGTGTTCGACCGCTTCAACCGTGCCGTAGGCGACATCCCCGCCCTCCCCGCCGCGTCCTGCAGCTGCTCTTCGCTGTTCGTCGGCGGGCTCATGGCGTTTGGCGCGATGAACTGCGAGATCGTCGTTTGCATCTCGTACAAGCCCTCCTCCGTGCTCCCCGACGGTGAGTCGATCGACATCCGCACCGAGTCCAGCACGCCCGGCGCCCGGACTGGCGTCGGGCTCCCGCCAGTCTCCGGGCTCGAATCAAAGCCCATGTTCAGGTACGTCTGCGGGCTCGCCACGCTCTCGCTGCACGACCGCTGCCTCCCGCGCGGCTCGCTCCCCGGCAGCGTCGAGCTGTCCGCCCGCGCAGGCGCGCCCTCCCGCCGCTCCCCCTGCGCCTGCGCCTGCCCTCCGCTCTGGCTCGAGTTCGCGACGAGCCAGCGCAGGCCCTTGAGCTCGCGCTCCCGCCTGCGCGCGTCCTGCTCGAACGTCTCGATGCGCCGCAAGAACTCGTGCTTCTCCATCCCGTGGCGCTCGGTGAGCGTGAGCAGGTACGCCATGAGCCGTGAATATTTCGCGGTCTGCGTGCGCAGCGCCTCGCGCAGCTCCTCTGCGGACGCGTTCTCGTCCTCGAGCACCTTCTTCACTGCGTCCTGCCGCATCGGCGTGTGCGATGGCGACATCGCCCGATCGCTTCGTGCGGGCGACGGGGGCGCTTCGCCGAGCGAGCCGGACGACCGCGTGGACTCGGTGGGCGCGGGTGGGTCCTTGGGGGGAAGCGGCGGAAGGGTCTTTTGCGGGCTAGGCGGCGATGACGCAGAAAATCCGCTAGTCCGGGAAGTAGATGACAACAGGAGCGGCTGTAGGGGTGCGCTAGAGGGTGGCGATGGCAACGGCTCGGTCGGAGGTCCAGTACTGGGCGGCGTGTGCCAGGTCCGCAATAATGGCGGAGGGACCTTCTTCGTGGTCGGGACGACCGTAGTCTTGCTGCGCAACAGGGCGGAGACGGTGCCATGCGAAGACGTAGTACTCTCGTTACCCGACTGCCCCGACGTCGATGGCGAGTCCGAGTGTGCACCCGATCGACGTACTCGCGGAAAGGTCGCCGAGACGGGCTCCTGCTTGGGCTCCTGCTTCGGTTTATTGAAGTGTAGCACGCTTACGTGCCGCCTCTGCTGACGCTCCTGCATGAAGCTGCGACCCATAGACCCTAGCGCGCCCTGATGGCTACCGGACACCGTGCCTCGTCGTTGACCTGCGGGCTCAGAGGGACCGATCTCGAAGTGGTCCCGACGCAATAGGCTCTCTTCCTTGTACGAGGATGCTCCCTGTGGACCATCTACCGATGGAATCGGGAATTGCATGGATGACTGTACAGAGGTCATCGAGCCGGCGTCCGACGTAGGAGAGTCGGGGCCCGTTCGATCGGTCGCTGTGCTTGGTGACGGGGTGGGCAGCCCGCTTTGGCTTGGCCGACGCGAAGTGAGGTGACTAGGGGGGCGCGGAGCCGAGCGCGGCGCATGGAAAGCATCCGTCCCCTCGGCAACGTTGTGCGGCGGGGATATGGTGATGATGGGGCGGGAGGAAGACGAGCTGGACTGCTTCCGTCCATGGCTGTCGTTGCTTCGCCGGCTGTGCTCGAACGAAGTCGACTTTTGCGTGCGGAGGTTGCGGAGGGTAGCGGTTGGAATCCCAGAGGGAATTCTCTGGTGGGTGCCTGGACGCGGGGGAGTCGCTGTCTTCGAAGACTCGCCTTCGAGCTGTGGGAGCCCGAGTGAAGGCGGGGACACATTAAGCGGCGGAAGGGAAGCCGGTGCTGTGTTCTGCGATGACGCGCGTGCGGCGGAGCTGTGGGTAAGAGGTCAGCATCAAGTCATGCGGTAGACCGAGAGATATGAATGCACATCGCAGGATTCCAGGGAGGATTAAAACCAGGCGCCCCTCATCGATGGATCCGCGAAATTACGTGGTCGACCATGAGGCGCCCCGACCGCAGGATCAAGTGCGCAACTTCTTACATGACCCATGTTCAACAAAAAGCAGTAGTTTTTACAAAGTACGCGCATATATGCAGCTGTCTGGTGGTTAGAGCTCTGTCAAATATCCACAAGGCTACGGAAGCAGTCCGGCGCGCAGCCGCAGCTTGCCGCGAGCGTTGAATGCCGGGCGCCAATGCCACCTGGGCTACGCCAAATTGGGCAAGAACAATCAACAGCCCGCAACTTGAAGAGTCCAGGCAGACGGAGAAGAGATGATAGACGAGCAAACGCTGCGGCTAGATGACGGGGCGCATGCGGTACGGCGCCAGAAGATGGCAAGGAAGACAGGCGGACGCCATCGAAGACCGCGCTATCGACGACTACCCGAGCAAAAATGAGGGGGAAGCTTACCCAGCTGGAGGCAAGTGACTTGGCGACGCGCCGATGCTGGGCACGGGGGGTAAGCCCTCGTTCTTCTTGTCCCTCTGTGCAGCCTCGGTCGCGGTGCGAGCGGAGGCTGGAGAGGCAGCGCTGGGCTTCCTCTTCCTCGCGAGGAAGGAGAACTTGCCCTTTGGTTTTGTCGGGGTGGTGGGGTCCGCTAGATGGGTCGGAACAGGCATAGGCAGCTGCGACTCCGCGTTTGATTTAAAGTCATGGCGTCCGCGCAGCAGGTCAGAGATGTCCGAGGTGCGAGAGCGCAGACGGCCGCCAGGAGAGAGTGCGGGGGGCATGGTGAGCGAAAGAGAGGAGACGAAAGGAGGGTGTTCTGGCTAGACGGCGGACATTCGACGGGCAGCGGGACGGGGAGGAGAAGAGGGCGGGTGGGAGGGAGTTGGAGTGCTTATGACGGGCGGCGGGGGCGCCAGCGGGGACCGGACATGGGGAGTGTGACTGGGGAAGCCACGGCCGGTCACTGTATGCGCGAGCCAGCTGTGAAGGGAAGGGAGGACTGACCGTACGGGGCCCTTCACGCTAGTTAATTACCGTCGTGTAAGCCTATCCGACCCTGCTATTCGCCAATCAGTCCACAGATCCGGATCGTAGCACATCACCCTCCCCCGCCCGGGACCCGGCCTGCCTTTTGCGTGTTCCTGGATATTAACTGCCCATCACCGCGGCCACTTATTGCACTCACTCCCCGAGCCCCCACCGCCTTGTCTCGACCCCGGGTCTCATTCCCCCTTGTCTGCACCCGGCGAGAAGATGATCCATCTCCACGAAGTCTTCTCTGCCCACTCGCCAGCCACAAGGGTGCCTTCGCGAGCCCTCTGCTCAGCGGATGCAAATTTGCTCGCCGTCTGATGCGCGAAGCGGCTGCGCCCAAGCGCGCTCGCGCTCTCGGCCTGCCTCTCTCTCCATGCGAATCCCGCCGCACTGCCAGCGCCGAACCGCTTCGTATCAAATCCAGTCCCAGATTTGGGGTGCGAACCTACACGGACCGCCATTGGTGCATATGTCTAGCCAAGTTCTCGCCGGATCCCAGCTGAATTACGCGGAGTCCGAGCAGATGTCCTTGGGCGCTGCTCAAGACGCCGGACTGGTCCTTTGACCCAGCTTCGACCGCCCGGTCCACTCACACGACCGACCCTTCAATCTGGAAGCTACCGTGACATCGTGCACAGATATCGCACGGATCCGCTGGTATCGCTCACCGCTCGAACTCAGGAGGCCTCGATACATAGACCATGACGCGCGCGCTCAGATTGTACCTCAAAATCCCATCCAATATTATCCGGGACCGGGGAACGGTGACGCATCTATACCTTTTCCTGAGGTGCGATATTGTCCTCTGGCTTACCTGACGCGGCACAGATACGAGCATTCGCACTCTACGGAGTAAAGCAGCACCATACCGACTCACCGAGCCTACGCGTTTGCACCAAGCCATACACGCGTTGCTAGGAAGATAAAGTTGCAGGATATAGCACATCCAACTTGAAACAGGGCGGCAGCAACCAGCTGGCACAGCCAATCCCTACGGGTAGTGGTAGCGCAGGGCCCCAGGGATTTTCCAGGCCCAGTGAGGGTTGGTGTCGGAAGGAACCAAGTTCGCTCTCCCAGTTAGGATTTTCCCGGAGGCCCGAGTGAGCCTGCGCCTCACGTCGGTCACGACGACAAGCCCATTGAACACCGAATTGAAATTTCCACCTAGCGCATGATATTCGCCGGCCCATCCCGCGGCGCCGCGCGTCTTGAGGCGTCTTGCAACTTCGCAGCATGCGCCCAAAAGCCCACCACGGAAGTCAAAAACACACACGATAATTGAAAATATCAATCGCACAGACGCACCAACTTCCAGCTAGCCCCAGCAGGCAAGTCCGCACCCGAATCGGGCCCCGCGCTCCGCTGATCTCGCATCGGGGGCGACGGGGCGTGGCTACCAGTCGCCAGACGACCGCGGGGTGCGCGCGCTCGCTGCCGCGGCCGGCTGATATCCTGCCCTGGATCTCCCTGATGCGACTCCCTGCGCCCTTGTGGACATTCGCCCAACGCGGGTGGCGACCACGCAGTCTGGGCATCTCCCTCGCGGCCTAGACGGGTGCGTTTTCGGCGCTGCCGTCAGCCCTGGAGGGAGAAGCACTAAGGGAGCACGCTGCGAGACGCTGCGGCTTCGCGGATTCCGGAAGCTGGCGCAGCTCGGGCGGTCGCTCCGGGTCAGCGGCGTTGATATGGCGCGGTGGTGGGGGCGGCGGCGGCGGCGGCGGCGGCGGCGGCGAGGAAGACTGGAGTGTTCGCCATTGAGTCCGTCAGCGACGGGGACGGACACCTCGCAGGGAACAAGAACCTCGTCTGAGTCCCATCGCGTCCGCCCAGTCCACCCTCGCGCCATCACGAACCCCAAAAGAGGCCTTGGGCGGTTTAATATTCACTCACCTCCGCGCCCTAGAAGACAGACACCGCCTCTGGATCTGTTGTGTGCGCCAGGGAAGCCCCCGCGTGAGTGCGGTCCGGCGTGCCACTGCTAGGATTCGGAACGCGGAATTGCATTACTTGGCTACACGTACGCGTCTGATACTGATACAGCATAAATCATTAAGTCTTAGTTACCGCCTCCGCGCGCGCGCCCGCGGCCGGGGTTTACAGTCGATACAGCCCCTGCGGGTTCACCCACGCGAACGGCAGGAAGTCGTACGCCTCCCGGGGGTCCTCGCAGGTGCGCGGCAGCAGCGCGGCGTGCAGCAGCGGCGCGTCCCGCAGGCGCTCTTCGACCTGGAGGTGTTCCGCGCGCGGGAAGCGGCCGGCTGCGAATTTAAAAACGGACAAGGACCGTGGTCAGCGTCGAGCGTTCAGTAGCCGCGTGCCCGGTCAGCTCACCGGTCAGCAGATCCACGCGGGGTTCGCGAAGCAGCACGTCGAAGACGTTCGCGCTAGAAGACGATGGCGGCGACTTAGTGGAACGCGGCGGGGCGCACTGAATTGAGCGGGCTCACCGGTGGTCGTCGAGGAAGTACGTGTGATGCCGCAGGTTGCGGAGCTGCCAGCGGAAGCAGGGCGAGATGGCGAGGAGCTGGGAGGTCCAGACGCGGCGGTTAGCGGGATGGCATGGCGCGGAAAATGGTTGGGGCTCACCCCGTTCATCACGCTCTCTTCCTCCTTGGAGAGGTGGCAGGTGCGGGTGATGTAGGATCTGCCCTCCGCTCTGGCGTCCCACGCGACGTACTTTGCAACCTTGCTCTCATTTTTGAAGAGCAGCTGTGGAACCACTCGCTTCAGCAGCGCGTCATACGTGAGCCCAAGGAGAGAACATACCTTGCCAGTGACCAAGTCGTACATCAGGCATCCGAGCGACCACCAATCGCACATCTTCCCATACCACCTGTGCTGCGAGACCTCCCAGGCCATGTACGGCTCGCTGCCCGTCTTCTGCTGCGCATACACCGAGCCCTCCTCGAGCGGCTCGTTCGAGGGGCTCACGAACGCCGTGTTGAAGTCTGTGAGGCGGACGTTGCCGTCCGGGCCATCCAACAGCACGTTCTCCGGTTTGATGTCCCTATGAATGATGCCCATGCGGTGCAGGGCATCAATGCCCAGAGCCTGCGCGGCAAAACAATGTTACGTGAGTGGGCGGTCCGCATAATGAACCTGGGAACGCGCCGTCGGCGGAGCACGCACCAGCTGCGCGACCCAGCGCCGGGTCAGCGCCCTGTCGCATGGCCCGTTGATGACGCTGAGCAGGTCACAGTGCATGAGAGGCTGGACGGGTGTATTTTCAGTGACCAGGACTCTCAACGATGCGCCGAGTATGCAACGCACCATGATGTGGTAGATCTGCTTGTCGTCCTGCAGAATCCCGTGCAGCTCCATGAGGTGTTGGGCGCCGCGGCGCCGCGATGCGGTGGCTGCTATGATCTTGTAGCAGAGAAGCTCGCGCAGCAAGCCGTTCAGGTGTATGCCCGCTTCGTCCGCGAGCAGCCTCTCCTTGTCCGCGATGCGTACACACACGAGCGCGCCCGAGCCGGTGTCGTGCGCGGCGAACGCGCGTCCGAATGCCCCGCTGTTGAGCGTGCGGAGCAGCCTGAGTGGCCCGACGCGCTTCGGGGGGAGCTGGCCTGCCGGGCTCGGATGGCGCGGGCGGGCACTGGGCGGAGCGGGAGGCGACGGGATACGCGTCCTCGTCACGTACTCCGGATACCGCAGAGGGTGTTGAGGTTCCGGGGATGCGGAAGGTATTTTGAAACGGACGGTTGACGCGTTACGCGGCGCGTAGTACGCGCCGGGTGCGTCGAAGCCCGGGTTCGTGTAGATGCTGCCGACCTCCGCTTGGATGGAGGAGAGCGGCTCGCGTATGGGCCTGGTAGATGCGCCCGTGGCTTGGGGACGGGCGGAGCTGGATGGTGTCGGGTCCACCATCGGAGGCATCGGAGGCAGCGGCTTGGACCGCGAATGCTTGAGTATGCCTTGGAGAGGTTGCGATTGCTTTCTCTTCGTCGAGGGATTTGTTGGTCTAGGAGGTTCGCTGTCGCGGTTGCGAGCCCAAGGGAAGCTCACTGAAGGCATTATGTAGGAGGTGACTTGGGACAATGGGTAGACAGTGCGCCAGGAAATGAACTCGGTGTGAAGAGTGGGAGGGTTGTTGGATGGTCCATGAGAGCCATGGCTACGAACTTATAAAAGACCATGGCCACAGTGCCAGTGCAAGAGCAAAGCGCAAGTCGTCCGGGCCACAGGCCACAGGCCACAGAGCGTGGGCGGCGACGAGCAAAGGGGCCACAGCAGGGAGTGAGCAAAGTGCGCCGCGCGTGGAGAGCATGAGGCTAACGTCGGGATCAGCGGGCTGGCTCGGGGCGCAGTCAAGCCAAAGGAGGTGCCGCACGAGGTGCTTTGTTGGCTAGAGCTGCGGGCCACAGGATGAAGGCACAATAAGAAATCACTTGAGACAGCCTCTAGGTGATTATAGGGCAGGATTTGGGAGCGGCCACAGTAGAGGAGCCACAGACAGAGAGTTGCAGTCGAAGTAGCCCAAGCGTGAAACAGATTCGGAGGGGAGGGAACAAGGGGAGGGCATATCGACATCGATGTGGCCTCCAGCAAGCTGCCAGAACAATGTGCCTCGTGGTGGACTGTCGGGATCATTGCAGGCCGCGCGTGCACCCTGGCCACACTGTGGCTAGCTCAGCATGAGCGAAACCTGTTCCTGGCAAAAAGAATTGCGTGTTATATGTTGCTACAGAGTCGGCTTACTCTCGTGAGCCAGGGTATCTACCTGCAGGCATATATCTTCACGTAGTTGATTGTAGACTGAGATAACGTCCGAGTGTCTAAACTTGAGACCTCTGGGTAGCACTATGGATATCGATAACGCAAAATGGTCAGTGACTACGTCCTTCATTATCATCGGTCGTGCAATGCGAACTCCAACAATCTTTTTCCCAAGACGAACGGTGCGTTCGGCTCGTCAAGTGTCACAGCTCGGAGAGCGAGACCGTATGCACATACCATTATTTGATGGAGACTTGTCGGCCGTACTTCGATAGGTCCTGAACACTTTGCCAGCCGGCGTCAGCTTAGAAATTCGGATGTACCTGCATGAGAAATATTCAAGCGACTCCACAGAAATTCATAAGCAGCAGTGGGAGGGTGTTCATCGTTCATCATGGTGGGAGGCTGAGAAATGCAGTTGCGCGACGCACCGGATTCACTACGCACGTGGGCGACCGCGGCGCGATGTGGCTGAGATTCCGATTTTGAGCAGGTCGAGTCAAGCGTGTGCATCTGTCTGCACTTACGACAACCACCACCACAACCACCATGAGGTACTTTTCGACTCGCGGCGCGGACCAATTCCTGTCTTTTGAAGAGGTGCGCAGGGAAATTCATATTTCTTACTCATTACCGCTGCTAAACGCCAGTTTTTCAGACAGTTCTCGCTGGACTCGCCCCGGACGGCGGGCTATACATCCCCGAACACGTCCCCACACTGCCCGAGAACTGGCAGACCGCATGGAAGGACTACTCCTTTATTGATCTTTCTGTCGAGGTCTTGTCCCTCTACATCTCGCCTGAAGAAATCTCCAAGGCAGAACTCCGGGCGCTCGTCGAAAAGTCATATAGCACCTTCCGCCACCCGGACATCACTCCGCTCAAGAAGCTCGACGAGAAGACATACATCCTCGAGCTCTTCCATGGACCGACCTTTGCCTTCAAGGACGTTGCGCTTCAACTTCTCGGCAACCTCTTCGAGTTCTTCCTCCAGCGTAGGAACGCGCGGAAGGGGCCTAGCGAGAAGCCGGAGAAGTTGACGGTTGTGGGTGCGACAAGCGGGGACACTGGCAGGTAAGCACGCATACATCTCATACCAGTTACTCCCCCTTCAACGCACATGCTCCAGTGCGGCCATTTACGGCCTCAGAGGCAAGGCGAACATCTCCATCTTCATCTTGCACCCTAAGGGCCGGGTTTCCCCCATCCAAGAAGCGCAGATGACCACCGTTACGGATGCGAACGTGCACAATTTGGCGGTGCACGGAACCTTCGACGATTGCCAGGTATGTGCGCCCCTTCCTTCTTCGCGTTTCCCCACCTGAACTCTCCTCAGGACATCGTGAAATCGCTATTCGGGGACCGCGAGTTCAACGCGACACACAGGCTCGGCGCGGTCAACTCGATCAACTGGGCGCGCATCCTCGCGCAGACAGTCTACTACTTCCTCTCCTACTTCCACCTGCAGCGCCAAATCCCGAACGCAGAGGGGGTTGAGATTCAATTCGTCGTCCCCACCGGCAACTTCGGCGACGTCCTCGCGGGCTACTATGCGAAGCGCATGGGTCTTCCGATGGGCCGCCTTGGGGTCGCGACGAACGCGAACGACATCCTCGCGCGTTTCTGGAAGAGCGGTGCATATGAGAAGGTCGACTCGGACAAGAGCGCGCCCGGGGAGAGCGCCCCAGTGGGCGGCGCCTCGGACGGAAAGCAGGCGGCCGATGCGAGCGGGGTGCGCGAGACGCTCAGCCCAGCGATGGATATCTTGGTGTCGAGTAACTTCGAACGACTGTTGTGGTACCTCGCCTACGAGGACGCGGCTCAGGGTGCGGATGAGGGGTCGAGGAAGAAGGCTGCGAGCGCGACGATCGCAGACTGGATGAGCAAAGTCAAGAGTGACGGTCGCGTGCAGGTCCCGGTCGCGGTGCTTGAGCTTGCGCGGAGGGATTTCTTCGCCGAGCGGGTGTCCGACCAACAGGTATGTCAACCATGTTCGTTTGCGTGCGCGTGTTCACCTGGTGTATGCGCAGACCCTGGACACGATCAAGTACTACTTCGAGTCGGACTCGCACTACGTCGCGGACCCCCACACTGCCGTCGGGTTGTGCGCTGCGCGTACAGTATCTGGCCAGAAGTACGGTGTTCCCCAGTGATCCAGCTTTGTATTCACGCTCATCACCATTGTCGTATAGCCCTCCGCAAACGCGCCAGATCGTCCTTTCGACGGCACATCCCGCAAAGTTCTCAGAAGCGGTCACGTGCGCATTGCAGAACGCGCCATCGTTCGACTTCGAGCGAGACGTACTCCCGCAGGAGTTCAAGGGTCTTCTCGAACGCGAGCGCCGCGTTATCGACGTTGAGGCGGCCCAGATCGACCTGGTGAAGAAGGTGATCGAGAAGTACGCCGTCCCCGCGGGCGAGGTCGGCGCGAGCGTATAACCGCGGAGGTCCTGGACCTCTAGCAAAGAAAAAGACCCCGTGCATATGAGGGGCCGAGGATAGAAGAATAATACAGATGTAACATTGGGATAGGTTCGCAACAGACTATCGGATCCTGTTGTATGTTTGCGGTTGGGCGACATGCTTAGACTCTGCCGTTCTGAGGTAAGCCTCTCCACTAGCCTAGCATACTCGATGGGTTCTCACCCGGGTGCCACTCGTAGATTGACTTGCGCCAGTGTGCGACCGGTCTGGCCTGCACAGGACAGCGGAGATCGTCCAAATGAAGCTCTCGGGGAACGTTCCACCCCGAGGCCGAGTTCTCTGGGCGAATGGGGACACGGCCACAGAGTCTATATTGCCATCTTCGCCCCGCTCCCGTGCCGCTGACTTCTCCCCAACGGATCTTCCCTTGCTCGTCCAATGACCACCTGCTTGTACACACGGCCACTATCTTCAGGGAACACCTAGCACTCGAGCCCTCTCACGGCAGTCACCAGTGGCACAAACCTCCGCAATCCTGTGCCAACCAAACACTCTACCGAACGTCGTCGGACATAATGTGCTCGGCTGTGGCGGGCTGTTCAGACCTATAGAAAACTGAAAGGCGCTGTCCGGAGATTACTCTCGCGCATGTTTGGGTTGTGCGCTCCGCGAGTACTTCGCGTGTGTCGTGCAGCTCTCGAGCATGTCCACGCAGCATTTGCGCAGTGCCGCATGTTTTCCTATACCCAAACATTGTCGCCCAGGCTGGAATTCCAGTCCTTGTCTCCGCTCCCCAATCTCAGCTAGGGCTTTTGTGCGGGTTGACCCTTCCCGCTACCTCCCCAAAGGTGTTTCTATTGTTTCTCTACTGTTGCCTTGGTTTCGCATTCTTTTCTTTCGCACTGTGCCGCTTTGTGCCGCTGCACTGAACGTGTGCCGCGCGACTTTCTCATGAACTCGCACAGCGCCGGGCCGCTCACCCGCATGGCAGCGTTGTGGGGCACGGGCGCTAGGGAGGCTCGGTTGAACTGGTTCGTCGACATCCCGACCGTCGACGGCTTTCTCCCTCCTCCCTCCGCCGACGACGCCCTCGTTTGTCCCCATCCCTGCTTTGTTCGTGAAGATTGCACTCACGCCTATTCTCGGTGGCTGGCTTCTCTGAAAGCTAGGTGTTCAGCATACCCCGATTTATAACTCCAGCGCCAGCAACAGCGGCACTGCTCCTTCCCCCTCTCTCCGAGTCACCCCACGTCGTGCTCGCCCACCAGGCACCATCTCTTGCCATCTCATACATCTATCTCCTCCTCTCGCTGAGCTATCGAGCTACCTTGGGTTCTCCCTTGCGATCTAATCAGCCTGCACACAAGCCTCCGCCGCTATAACTTATCATTTACCTCACGCTATGGCATCCGCATCCACATCATCTCACGTACCCTTCCCAAGCTACGATGAACACGCCTATGCGTACGGCGAGGAGGCCGACAGGCAAGCGTACCAGGACCACGCGGCACCACGCTTCAGCTACCTGCTGACGTCTGTGCTGGGCTCTCCATTTCTAACCACGTCGGAGCTCCCCGAGGACGCAGACACGGCGTACGCGCCAAGCATACCAATGGATGCGATGGACCTCGATGGGGATGCCGACAATGGAGCGGACATGGAGGACGTCGACGGTGCGTTCGCCTCCGTGCCGCGCTCTTTCACCGTCACCCGCCCACCGTCGCCGACCCCGAGCTTCCGCACGGAGACGTTCTCCATCGTGAACTGGAACCCGGAGCTATATAACCTCATGCTCCCCAACGCGGATGGTACCCCGCGCTGCTCGATGGGCTTCCTACCTTCAGGCCGCCGCACCGTCGCGGGCTACCCGAGCGCTCACTGGATCCCACATAACGCATCATCGCCGTCCCCGATGAAGCCCTCCCGCAGTCTAACAATGGGGATGGGCATCTTGCCCCGGATATGGGATGCTCTCCGTGAGGGCTCCCCGGTGAAGAAGGGACGTCGTCGGCCGGGGCTGCCTGCGTGGCGCGACGCGGGGACGGATCTCGAATACCACTCGGATGGCTCGGTTGATTACGCGAACCTGCTGCCACTGGACGGCGAGGAGGGCGAGCTCATAGACGACGAAGCGTGCTTCATTGACGTCAGAGCTATCACTGGCATGGGTAAGCGTCCTACCATCCTCCGCACGGGTTACAGGGGCTCAACGTTGTTCGGCAGACATGATATCACATTTGCCACTCGAGCTTTCATTGGAGTTGCTTAGCTACCTCGACCTGCCATCTATCCTAGCTTGCCTGCGTGTTTCAAGGTATGTTTGCTTGCCTCCATACCGACCTCGTGCTAATTATGCGCCAGAACATGGAACCACCTTGCCCGCGATAACTCCATATGGCGCGTCCTCTTCTCACTGAAAGAGAAAGACGGGTGGCGCGTGGACCTCCGCCGAGCGATTCGGCCTGGTTCTTCGGCGCAGTCGGCCATGCCGTTGTCCGCCTCGCGGGCGATGATACCTGCTCCATTGGAGATCAAGTGGTATGAGCTCTACCGCACGCGGACCGAGCTCGATCGCCGCTGGTCGAATTATCCTGGCGCAGGGCTGAGCGCAGACCTGAGCGACGATGCTGTTGCGGAGGATAAAGAGGTGACGAAGGCTTGGGAGCCCAAGGTCATGCGCATCAGTGGGCACAGTGACAGGTAGGTTTGCGGCCAAACACGCCTTTCGTCTTCCTAACCGTGTCGGTTGTAGTGTCTATTGCCTCGAGTTCGACTCGTCGCGTATAGTCACTGGGTCGCGCGACCGCACCATCAAGGTGTGGAGTCTGAAGACGGGGAGGTGCCTCGCAACATTTAGCGGACACCGCGGGAGCGTGCTCTGTCTGAAGTTCGACCGCGATTGGGACATTGGAGACAATGTGCGCGGGGCAAACGGGATGGAGGTCGACGACCCGTTGGCGCCAAGAAAGGGGTTCCTCGTCAGCGGCTCCAGTGACTGCTCCGTATGCGTATGGGACCTGTACGCCCACCCGCAGGAGAACGGAGAGTCTGAGATCACCGCGGAGGTGAAGGCGGTGCTCAGAGGCCACAGTGGCGGAGTGCTCGACCTCCGAATCGATGCCAAGTGGATCGTCAGTTGGTGAGTGTCCCATATTTATGCGCCTCCCTCCATGTGCTGACGACGGGGTTGCTGCGCAGCTCGAAGGACGCGCTTATTCGAGTCTGGGATCGTGAGACCCTTGAGCTGCGTTCTACTTTGCGCGGACACGAGGGCCCCGTGAACGCCGTCGGCTTGCAGGGTAACCGTGTCGTCAGTGCCAGCGGGGACGGCAAAATGATCCTGTGGGACGTTGCCAGCGGCGAGCGGTTACGGACATTTGAGGGTCACGACCGCGGTCTCGCGTGCATTGAGTTCAAGGTGGGTTTTGCGCTCCTTGTGCCCAAGTTTAACTGTCAGCTCACCTACATGTGCAACAGGATGACCTCATCGTATCCGGCTCCAACGACTGCAAGATCAAAGTCTGGGACGCCAACACCGGCACATGTCTTCGCACACTCGTCGGGCACGACTACCTGGTCCGCGCTCTTGCCTTCGACCCGCGCAGTGGGCGGCTCGTGAGCGGGAGTTACGACAAGACGGTCAAGGTGTGGGATCTGCATTCGGGGAAACTCGTGCGCGAGTTCCGCGGATGTCATGTGAGCCACATCTTCGACGTCAAGTTCGACCATTGTCGGATTGTCAGGTGCGTTGTATCTCTCGCGTTGTGTGAGTGTTCGGAATGCTGACACAAAATTATGTAGCACATCGCATGATAGGAAGATCGTCGTGCTCGACTTTTCCGAGGGGCTCGACACGAGCCTATTCGTCTAAATGTCAACGCGGAAGGCCCATGACTTGTCGATACCCCTTCTCGGACCTATTTTACCCCTTCCTAATGGACACACACACCCTCGTTTGACATTCCGCCATACCCGTGGATCGACCAGTACGACATCGACGCTGTCTCTGCTGCGCTTCTTGTTTATCCTGTCTATCTTGCACCTCTCTGTTCACTTTGTTCTGCGACCCCCGGATCCTCTTTCGTCATTTCATTTGTGTATAGCTCACGCACTTTCCCTTTCCGCACATGATACCCCCACCCGCACGCATGGAGCCCTCCCGTCTCGTTCAAGTTCGCCATCACATATCTCATTCGTTGGTATTTAAGCAGGACACTGTTGTGTGTACGCTGTATCTCGCTGTATCTGTACCAGTATACATAGGAAATCCGAACTGTCTTCACATCCGCGCTTCAGGCCGTTCTACGAGCTTGCAGGAACGTCCTCAAGTTGTTCTAAGCGAGGTGCTGAGGTATGTGCCTGGTACAATGGGCGCCTACGCGCCCACAGCGCGCGCTGCCCCGCAGGCGAGGTGGCTGCGAACCACCATGTCCTCTGCCGTCGTTCCTGGTGACGATCCCCGCGACGCCTCTGCGGAGGCTCCGCTGTCTCTGCCCGAGAAGTGGCAGACTGACTCATTCGGTGCGCACCTGTGTCCGCGTCGCTCACATATGCCCAGTACTGACCAGGTGCCGTGACGCGATATAGATGCGCTCTCGTCCTCCAGTACGCGCTACCCTCCGCGCGGACCATGCGCATGTCAGCTAACACGGAGGCTTTCCCTATAGTGATGTTTGTGTCTGGTCTGATCATGGTGACGCGGAATCGGTGCGTCCACATACACGTCTGCTGGCCAACCCATCCCGACCGTTGTTCTGACGCGCGAACGTCCCCCCTCTTCCCCGCACCCCGCAGGTACCTCGCGTGGCCGTCCCTCCTGCTCTCCATCAACAGCGTCATCAACCAGCACCCCCTGCGCATGAAGGAGGGCGCACAGAGCAACATTAGCGTCATCATGTGAGTCTCTGTTCTTGCTGCCCGTCCTCCCCACTGGTGACTGACCGCGCGCATGCAACGCGTACAGGCTCGGCATTGGCGCACTCATTGCGTCGTACCTGCCGCTCATCCTCATCGGGCCTGCGGCGAAGGTTCCCCCGCCGTCTATGTGATGTATCCGGGGTTTGGATGGAATATATATTCGATTGCACGAGCGCGTTCGGTGCTGCAAGGGCACGCGGCGCGAGCCGAGATTGAGATACCCCCATTATTCGCAAGGAAGCAGTAAGACATGCTTCGCCCTGTAGTCGTATTAGGGGCAGGCTTGTTGACTTGCCTTTGCATGTGGAAGCTATTGGCGTGTAGCGGCGCGCTATGAGACGTCGCGGTTCCCCGGCGCGTTGCGGGACTGATTTACGAATAACGTTGACCTGCAATGACATTGTCGTTTCACATGGAGGAATCGCTGCATTGACACACGACAGTGCTGGTTCATTCCGGTGTCCGGTAGGAGGTCATAGTCGAGTATATGCGCCTCAAGCACAAGACGACCAATGAGCAGACTAACTCTGCGCACTGTACCGCAGTGCAGCGACGGAGACCAATCACTGATAACGGGAACAATTCAATCATACACGTCGGAGACCATAGCAGCGTAGCCCTTGACGCATACCCGAGAGAACATCCGAGGGCAACGAAGCACGCACGACAGATTTTGGCAAATAGATCATTGCAATACAAGCGACATGCATGACATAGTGATACAATGCCCTAGCGACCTCGACGCTGTGACCTAGTCGAAGTCCTAGCACTCCCCGGACTTGAAGCGCAGCAGGGGATGCGACAAGAGCGACATGCCTCCCCGAACGTCGAAGAGTATGGCACTGTCCATAGCGCGCCTCCGCTTAGAGTGGCATGACGCCCCTATTTTGCAAGCCTAGCGGCCAAGGGCGCGATTACTCTGATAGACGGAGAACTCGTCAGGGGGGAATGACTCCGGAGCGGGTCAAGAAATACGCACTGGAACGAGCCCGCATTTTTCTGCGTTTGCGACGGAGTCTGCGGGACCTCTTTTTCTTCCACTTCTCTCTCATACTGTTGAACAATGATCAGGAGCGGAAGCAAAAGCGGAGGCAAATGCGACATACGTTGCTCGTGATAGAGTGGACTACCGAGCCTGCAGTCGCGGAGGCAGTGGATATGGCAGGCTTGTGGAACTGTACAGTTCTGCTTACGTAGCGCTCTCACGAGTGTCACCGAATTGAGAGTCAGCGCCACTGCCTGCATGGCTTGACCACTTGGGACACGCGCAATGGCGCAACGACCCAAAGTCCCAGCTGCTCTTCATTCTGAACTCACGGAGTACTCGTCTCTTCTGCGCGCCTTGCGGACTAGCAATACCCTCGACCTGGTTCAACACCTCGCGGAACCTCCTTCGACCGGCTTTCATGCGAGCTCTGACTGGGACGATGTGTCGCTCCCTGATGAGGACCATCATGAAGTTGCCAGTGATCCTCCCCTGACGGAATCTGCCTCTCAGGACTTGGTCTCGAATGTCGGCTCCTCTATACAGTCACACGGTAGCAGCCAATCTCGTGAACAGCTTCCCATCGGCAAGGCAAAGCAGAAGGACAACTGGACTCGGTGGCCTCTCCTTGCAGGCGATGTGCATGTGCCGGAGTGGGGTCTGCACGATGAAGTCCGTCACGCCGCTCAGGAAGCACTCACATCCTCCCAAGACCATCACGGCGCTGGACCCTCGTCTCTTAAGGATCATAATTCTGTCCCTCCCTTTGACGAAGAGGAACGCGAACATCCAGCGCTATCCCCTCCTGCTCTTCGTGCTATGACTGCTGACTCGGCGGCGTTCCTTACCCGAATACTGGCTTTGCTGGCAGCGCACGTACCTAACACCGAGAAGAGCATGCAGAATCGGCTGCGTCCCATCGATTGGGAGACGGTCATAGACGTTGCTTGCACCCATGGAGTTGTATCTGCAAAGTTCGTATTTACCTATGCTTTGTGCGCGTCCATATATCACTGACATTGATCATAGCATGGCTGAACGTGTTCGTGAGCGCATGTCGCGTTTGTATCCCCTGGCCCGACCGAGCAGTAAGACATATCGTTCACATTATGACCCTGCGCTAACCAAACACCAGCTGCTTTCCGGGTCGGTCGCTTGTCCGCCGCGAACACCAACCTAATCGGTAGACTTGCGGAGCTAGACGCTTCCCTGTTCGTACCCGCCGAACACGAAAGTCAGTCGTTGCGTCGGATATGCTCACTCTCGTCTGACGTTGGTATTTTTGCAGCTAAGCGTAGGCCAAAACGCAGCTCTAAGAAGCGTGAAGCCTCTGCAGACGCCAACCTGCCAGCGAAGAGGCAACGCTCAGAGGACGGCGGATAAAGGCGAACATGTCCATAGCACCATCTTCGAGGGCCCCCATATTGTCCACGCACCTAGGAGGTCACTGAAAGCGCTGTGCCATCCCAGCGTCAGGTACATAATAGCATCGCGTGGAGCGCCTGTACATTGGTGAGTCTCGCTTCTTTTGAAAAGGCCCGCCCTCCCTGCGGCGCCTCGTTATGATGTTTGAGGCATTTGGCTTTAGCAAGGACTGCTTGCGTTGCAGAAAATTATCTCAGCTACCTTCGGGCGGTCTGCTTTGGCAGATACGCTCGCTATATCTGAACTTATCTCGATACCCGCTGGATATGCAAATATGGCACGTTGCTGATGCCCATTCCATGCACAGATATCTAGACCTCATCCGCCTCGAGCACTCCATGACAACATCAGCGCCAGCGCCGGAATATACGGCATGCTATCATCGTGCCAAAGACGATGGGTGACGACCAACATCGCGCGGTCGTCGTGGACGTGGGTACGGAGCCGGCGTGCTCGGGTAGTGCTCACGCGGCTTTATGCCACACATAATCAAATTGGGACAATACAATGTATACACCATCCTGTACAGTAGGCTACCTCACAACGCGAAATGCAAACACAGGGCAACGCGAATCTGCTTGTACCGCGACTTCTATCCATCCTTTCAGGCGCCGGCCCAGGTTCAAACGTTCACAGGGTGGCCGCTACCGACGTGTTCAACGTCGGTGTTACCGTGCAATATCAAATTCGACGCGCAAAGCCCAGGTACGACTTCCAGCAGAATTTGCATTGCATGTCTCGCGCCTTGTGCACACATTCCCCTGGGTGATGTCCTGTCAAAGGGGGCGCTTTCGCATGCTGCATGCGCCAGGGGGATGCCATAGGACGAGAAATACCACAGCTGGCTCGAACCGGCTCGAACACCCCGACCAAAACAGCTATGTATACGCTAGCGCAGACATGATCGAGTATCGCAATGATGATTAACCACGACGCTCACGGAAAGCTGTGGCTCGCCATACACTCCGCCGGACTGCTCTGCACTGCACATGTGCTCCCTTCGGAGTCTATACAATGCGGTGCAAAACGCACTTTCCTGCCCAGCCGTTGCGTGTTTGGCAAACCTAGTGCCCCTGGTAGACGTGAGCGCGCCGCGTAGGTCGGGATAGGTGGAACGCGTACTGAAGTAAGTATTCGGGGATGTGGTGCCCCTATCAACCATGGATGACACGGTACGCACTAAAGTAGCACGCGGCTGCGCAGGCTTGCCCGCGGAAAGCTAGAGCTAGACGCTATCAGAGTTCAGACGCCACAAATACCACCGACCGTATGGGGCGGGCGTCGTGCCGTCGACAGCGTGCGAGCCCGCCGTCCACGATGTCCGTCCCATGGCCATAATCTCTGTTCGAGCAGTCACGAAGCACGCCTGAAGGTAGCACTTGTGCTCAGAATTTCCTTTTGTACGACATTCCGGTGACAAGTCTGGACACCTGCGCGTGCCGACGGGGGCGGGGGATGACCCAGATGATTCGGGCTCGGCAGTATCTGCCGCTGCAATGCCATCCACTCGCCCGCCGGACAATGTAGTGGATGCTTACTGGGCGGGGCGGGCGGGACGACCGAATGCAGATGGGGTGGCGCGACGCACCTGTGCTGAGGCTCGGCTATGTGCAGCCTATATATGATGGCTGTTGGGGGCGCGCACGGTGGACAGCCCGGGGATGTGCCGCAGTGCGGGCTCTCGGCCAATGATGACGTTGTCAATGTTCGCAGCACAAGGCCGGTGAGGCTGTTGTTGCGGACTTTGCGTCGGGACGATTGCTCGCCGTATTGCTCGAGTTGACGGATGTCGGTTGGACGAGAAGCACGGCGGGGCTTCTCTCATCGCGATGAGATAGAACGCGGTCGCACGAGGTACAGTTCCTTCCTTCATTGCATGCGCCCTGGCAGGGAAAATGAAATGACCATCTGTCAGGCTAGTCTAGAGTTTACTGCAAAAGGTACTGAGGTCTTAAGGTCTGAGGACTACTCGTTCAGGAGCAGATCAATGCTTACACCTCGCTGTAGTGGTTACTGATCAATGGAACGACGGGTTTGCCCGGATATCAGCATACCTACCGTTAGCTTAAGATCGACTTCAGCCTCCTGTGAGGTCTCGAACCGGGAGCCTGAAGATCCCGCTGTTGTATGACGAAGAGACAGGCGGCGGCGGGGAACGGCTTTGATGGCGCGCGAATATTTGGGGCCTGATATACGGCTTGGTGTTACCCTACATTCGTGCAACAGACGGATCACGGTGCGCGCGTGGGGCGGCACGCCCTACGTCGCGCTGAGCGATGCCTCGTCCGTTGGCAAGGGCTTCGAAGGTCGGAGACTGCCAAGTAGCTGAGGGTGGTCGCGGACGCAGGTGATTGGGAGGACGGAAGGCAAGTAGAGCACATGGGTGGCAGTACAGAGACAGCAGCTCAGTCTAATGTAGCAGCGAATGATTTGATGGCGCATTGTCGGGTCGTGGCGCCGGTAGAACGTCCGTGCGCATTTTCCCAAGATGCTGGCTGCGAACCTGCCAGGTTGTCCGGCCTTGGGAAGAGTTGGCTCTCGCGGGATGCGATGGCAAGCTGGAGAAGGTTGGAAGAAGCTGCGGCGATGGCAGCGTCGGGATGCCGTATAGGATTACGTAATAAAAAAATAAGCGGCCATACAAACGCAAACAAGATGTTAGCGGGCAAAGAGGAGGCGCCGGACAGGATGATGGTCGCAACTCAGACGCAGGCGGCGTCAAGACATCGCTGATGGCCCAAGTCAATATTACTTCCCTTCCCTCCTCTTTCTCTCATCCTCCCTTTGCTCGACGTCCTCCAAGACTACCTCGCCGTCGCGCCAGGTAGCCTCGCTATCCGTTTCTTTCGACCCCATCTTATGTCTGGTTCCCTCTGCGCTCCCTTCCATCTACGTCTACGTCTGCTTCCCGATGCTCGCGTCCGTCTTCGGCAAAGGAACCAAAACCTACAGCCAGAGCAAGAAGAAGTTCTCGACGATCACGGGCATACGTCGAGTGCACTCTCCACCTTCCCCCGCGTCATTTGTGTCCCCGGAGATTGTCGAGATCAATGAGCAGGGCCCATTCGGTGGGTCGTTCTCAGAAGACCGCGCGCCCAGCTTCGAGCGCTCTGCTGCCGCCGCCGCGTCCGCTGCATCGCCTCAGCTCCAGCTCGAGTTCGACGACGGGGAGCCTCTCTTCCCGCCCAGCATTCTCTCGCAGACACAGCCAGGCAACCGTACCCCACCCAAGCGCAACGTCTCTCTACCAAACGGAGGAAAGAATGGTTCAGAAGGAAGCAGTTTCGGATCCCGAGCGCGCGGGCCAGGGTCCGAGGATAGCACCATATGGGAAGAGCCATTACAGGTACGTTGCGGATTCGTCGCGCCAGGGGCATCGTCTCGTGTGTGAAATGATTTGTTGCACGTAACTTGGTGGCAGACGCCGCATGTGCCCACATAGCAGCGCCGTTGTGGTCTGCGTGGAGCGAGTGTTTGCACGAGATGCTGCTCCTGGTGTCTGCAATTTGACCGCCTTCACCACACGTTGCTAATACTTCAACAGCCGAATCGACTGCAGGTCGACACGTCTGTGCAGAACGCGCGTAGCTTTGAGGATATCTCGGAAAGTGTCAGTATGCCTGATTATACGCACCAACTGTCGTGCTGAGAAGCGTCCACAGAGCGCAGCGCACTCCATACGGAAGCCTACTCCTTCGCCCATCAAGATACCGAACAACTCAACCAGCGCAAAGATCAGGGTGCAATCTTCTGCAGAGGAAAGTGCTGACGCCAACAAGAATGTCCCTCCACCGCTTCCGACCAAGAACAGCCGTCCACCAAGCCCCTCCTCCGCGATAACAGATGACATCTCGTCAGCTGTGTCCGGCACGAGCATGGCTCGCGCACTGGTCGCGACATCGTTCGTGTTATCCAACGAGTCGCGCGCCTCAAAGTACAAGTCTGGGATGACGCGCCAGGACTCGGCCACGCTTCCTCGAGGCGAGCACCCTTTGATCAATTCTCCCTATATGCGCGAACGGCGGGCGAGTAGTGGTGAGCCTAGCAGCGCACGATCATCCTCCGTCCCCCCGGTTCCCCGACTTCCGTCGCGCGCGGAACTAGGTCTTAGCATAGACGGCGCGTCAGGATACAAGAGCCAGCGCAATTCGGTGTCTCTCATCCTCGATAGCGGGGAGAGCGGCCAGCTTGTACCGCCGCCGCAACTGAAGCGGCCGAAGAGCACAGGTCGGCTACGCATGGAGCAGACGATCAGCATGCCGCCCATTTCTCCGATCTCCGAAGCTTCGTCGCCAGCGCCCTCGGTACCTGAAACGCCAGGGCCGGCCGTGCTGGGCACCACAAACGTCTCTAACGCGTCGAGCCGATCGCTAGCCAACTCTCTCGCTCAGCAGCGCGGGCTCAACCTTTCGGAGGGCAACACCAGTTCGTCATCTCTCGGCACGGAGGCGTCCAACCACGCACGCGCCGCGACGGAGCCCGGGGGAGCTTATAGCTCTGCGGGGGAGAGGCGACCGTCGAATGCGTCCAAACCCAAGGGCACGCTCGCTGCAGGGTTTGACCGGAACGGCGCAGCCATGCCGGGTACCATGCGGTCGTCCGGCGCGTTCGCAGTAACAAACGGTCGTCTCGCAGTGACGCGCACGGCATCTGAAAGCGGCGTATCGCGCGGCCAGACGTCAGGGCCTACCAGGCCTGCCGTCCTGCTTCCCATCGGCGAGCGCCCTTCTTCGGTGCTTGTACCCCCATCTCCCCAGCCTTCATTGGTATCCAATGTGGTCGCGCCAACTCCCACCTCCACGCGCGTGGGGCCCATCATGTTGGCCGCTGAAACCCCTGTCGACTCGCCCGACCTGCTGGACAGTTTCCCGCTCCAGATCGCGCGTGAGCGTTCGGCCGGACCTCCGCCTCCCCTTCCATTGGGTCGTCGCTCAGAGGAGAACAACTCTATTCCGACTCCGTTGCAGAGCTCGAGCGGCGAGTCCATGTCTGGTGCGTCGATGAACCGGCAGACGTTCCCGGAGACGCCGAACGCGTTCTCGCCGCTTTGGTCGAGTACGTTCGCGTCTCCTCCGACTAGTGCGCCGCGCAGCTCTATCGACCAGAGCCTAGTGGGGCGCAACGGGAGCATGATGCGCGCGTCGGGTCTTATCGACATGACTCGCATGGCGCCGCGGGGTGGACGTACCATCTTCTCGAAGCCGTCTACTCGCGCATCCCGTGTGCCCCCGACACCGCCTCTCACGGGGGAGAGCACGAATGAGTCGCAGCCAGACAGCCCTGTGCTGGAGGATCCGCCCGTTCCGCTAGCGGTCAAACGCCTTACGGCCATCGAGGAGCAGGTCGCGTCGCGGAGTGTGTCGCAGTACTCGACTATCCCCGAGCCGCCTACTAGCGGCGCTCAGTGGGAAAGTGAAGCGTTTTATGTGCAACAGCAACGGGTTCAGCAGCAGCAGGCAGGGAAACCGCGGGGCGGGAGGGACAGGTCCGAGTCCGTATCTGCTCATTCACGAGACGGCAGCGTCGCACCGAGCCAAACACAGAGTCAGACAACGCAGACGTCGTCCAACCCGTCCGCTGCTGCTCAAGCCAAGGCTGCCGAGGCGTCTTCCCACCGACGTATGCGCTCTGTAACGAACCCGGACGAGCCACTCGCGTCTCCGCCACCATCGTACCCCGCAACTTTCGATCCTATCCCGCTGCTGCATCCTCGTACGGGCACGGCAGACTCGTCGGAGCAGTCCAACCGTTCGAGCATCAACTCCAGTTCGACGCATCTCCAGGCGTCCTCCTCATCGCAGAGCTCTGTTCCGCAGAAGCGCTCGCTCTCGCCATTCCCGTCGCCCCCACCTTCCTCAATACCGCTTCCCCCGTCGCCTGGTCGCTCAAGGATGGATGCACATGCGTCTTCAATCAGCGTGGAGCAGCCCCCGCCTCCATACATGGAGATGCCCCGCAATTCGACACCACCAGCTCCCCCGATCCCTACACCGCCCACCCCTCCGGCACAATCACCAGCCCCCAACTCGCGGTTCGTCATCTCCGATCCCCCAGCACCCCCGGGCACTCCCTCCCGCGCTACGTTCACGCCTGATACGACACCATCAAAACGTCTTCCCCGGACGCGCCCTCCCTTACCCCATGGTCCGAGAGCCCCGAGCCTCAGCTCAGCTGCGGCGCGGATGCGCGCGGGCTCTGTCTCATCGTTGAGCAGCAACGTCGCAGGCGGTTCATCACGGATGATCTCGATGGCGTCGCATACTGCTCCACGCTTCCAGCCTTCGCGCGTCAACTTCCGCGGGCTGACGATGGAGGCGGCGCAATGGACGCTGACGTCGCAGCAGCTGCAGCACATCGTCTCAACTGCGATCCGGCAGTCTGCGGACGCGTCGGCGATCAGGATACTTCCGCAGGAGACGTTGGAAGACGAGCTGCCGACGGAGATGGACCGGCTCGAGGCACGCGCTGCGGAGCTCAAGACGAACTACAAGCTGGTCGTGCGGCGACGGAACGCATCTCTTGCGACGCTCGCGCGAATCGCAGAGGGCACGGAGCACGTCGAGCCGGGCACAGCAACGCGCGTGGCGGAGGAGCTCAGCGATCTGAACGAGTCTCTCGACCAGACCGCGGAGGAGCTGTACACCGTGACGGACCAGCTCGGGCAGCTGGCTCGCCTGCGCGACCTCCATCAACGCAGTGCGCTCGCGATGGCGCTGCGCAAGCTCAACAACAGCTTCCTAAAGCAGGTCGGGGAGGTGCAGCGCCTCCGCGATATGGTGGATACACTCGAGGCGGAGCGCGACGAGGCGTGGCAAGAGGCACAGGAGGTCGCGCAGGAGTTCGACGACTACACGGAGCGCATCATGGTCGAGCCCTCGCCATCGTCGCGCGATGCAACCCCGAGTCGCCGCTCAAGCCGTGTGATGATCGCACGCAAGAACAGCCAGCGGGCGTCCAAAGCTGGTTTGCGTTCGTCGATGTACAGGCGCAGCCAGCGTTCGTCGACGACCAGCAGCCACCGCTACAGCGGTGCGGCGTCGCCAGGCGCGTGGGTGCCTCCCGGCCACTCGGAGGATATCCCGCCGGTCCCGCCCATCCCTCTTCGCAGCGACCTCATCCGCTTCCCATCTGGCGACCTGCCTACGCGAAGCTCTATGGGTACGTCCGCTCGTGCTGGCAGTTTCTCCACCGAGGCTTATTGGACTCTAGATTCCCCATCGTCCGAGCTTCGCGCCATGATTCAGGCGCAGAAGGAGCTGTGCGAGATGTTGGGCATTTCTCTGGAAGAACTCAAGATCACGCATCAGCCCTCTCGCCGCCAGTCCATGTCCGCGCTACCTGGCGCCAAGAGCCCGGTGTCTGCTGCGCCAACGCGACGCAACTCCGACATTGTCACCCCCAACCACCAACGCTCCTTCAAAGTATAGTATACCACGGGCGACGACGTATGTACCGTCCGCTATCTTCTACATTCACGCAAGTTCCTAACCGCACATCATTCGCAGACCTTCATGACTTAACGCTTATTTATTGCTTGGGACCCTCGTTCGTTCTAATCAAGTACAGTACAGCTCCCCCCGGTCCGCGCTCTCATCACCACGTTCCTTTGGCTATTTACACTATTTCCTCACGCAAATACCTCGTCGCATGTCGCATGTTCTCTGCATCTGGACCCCGCTGTGTGTGGCAGATACATATATCCCTCTTGTTGTATATTCGCTGTATCTGTCCACTGCAGATCTGCTCTCGTACGTACCACGTAGAATGACATATGTCGTTGATGCCTATTGCTACCGTCTGGTGGGCCGTGTGTGAAGACCTTCGATGCTGATACCGTTCTACATCGCAAAAATACAATGACCCAGCGTATGGGCAGGTAAAGTAGGAGGTTGTACAGTACAATGTCCGATCGCGCTAGTAGCTAGTCTCATCGCCTGCAGACACGATCACGAAGGTAGGGATATGAGATCCTGGTACGGTGCCCTCTCTCGCGCCCATCGGTCTTCAATGGTCTCTGGCACCTCCATCGTAGTATCGACCCATGCGAGACCCCACGCGCCCCCGCCGACCTTGGCGCCGCCGAGTACCTGCCGCTTCTCACCTTGGGGTGGAAGCGCCTCCCAACGGGCTTGTGTAGGTTGTGTGTCCGAGCGGTCTGAGGGAAGGATAAGGGTGAAGCACACGTGGATATAAGCGATGGTACTCACAGAAGAGAAGACCTGTCTGCGGCTCGTATACGCCAAGAGGCAATTCGCTTTCCCTCGCACGCCGCTTCCTGCTGCCCTCACTCTGCGGTGCATCCATTGCCTCACGCTTCTCACCGCGCTCGGTCCCCACGACGTCGCCGTAGATACCCCCGGCGAGCTTTAGGTTCTCCTGTCGTAGCCGGGTCCAGTCGCTCGTGGCCTCAACGGTGCGCTCCGCCGCCGCATACATCCAGTTCTCCTCGTTCACGCCATCGCGTGTGAGGTACGACTTGCGCACTGCGTTTAGCGGGCCGTCGCTGTACGGGCCCCACCCAGAGCCGCCGAAGATCGTAGTGGGCCCGCCGGCGCGATATATACCGAGCACCGCGCCACTACGATCACCCTTGCCACCTTGCGCTCCGCCACCCGAGGTGCCTGCAGCGAGCGCGGCAGCTTCGTTGGCAGCCGCGGAGGGGTCTTGGAGTTCCCCAACGTAGTCTCCCGGCTTGAGGCCTTTGGCGGTGATCTCTTCAAGGACTTTGTCCTCGTAGTAGTCGTCGACGACCCATCTCCCCCCTACACTAGGGCGTTAGGACGGGAATAAGGTAGTCTTCTACTCCACTTACCAAGCAGCATTTTAGCACCGTGTAGCTTGAACGCGCTGCGCGCAGTGACAAGGGTTACGCTTCGCGTCTTCAGATGTGAGCCGAGCTTCCCTTGCTCGATGAGGTGCTCCTTTTCCCACTGCGACGCGTTCTGTTTCAGTGCCAGAGGATTCCGGCGGAAGTAGTACAGCGAGTCGCGGAAGCCGGACGTGCGCGCCGCGTCAATGGCAAGCATATACTTGCGTTCGGGGTGTCGATTTGGTAGCACAAATGTTTGCGCCTTAAATCTCCTACCTGCGATACGTTTAGTCCGACAGATAAACATGCAATGAAGGGATACTCACCACCAAGCAAGTCACCGTTCTTGTCAATCTTCGTGTCGCCCTTGGGGTCATCCTCGGTGATGTACTCGTCCCCGTCCATGATGTATATCTTGCCCTGTATGCGCTTGAAGGGCCTTCCGCCACCCATAGGACCCTCGCTCTCCTCCTGGATGTATCCCTCGGCGCCCTCTGGGAGCTCAGGCATTTCCACCTCTTCATCCCCGCCACGCTTCGGGAGTTTGATAGTTATACCTCGTCCCCGCCCACGTCCTCGGCCGCGCCCTCGTCCGCGCGTGCGCGGGGTTCCTGCGCCAGAGCCCCGCGGCCGCCCTCGTGGACGCCCACGCGGCCTTCTCGCTGGTGTACTGCCCTCTCCCACCTCGTCGTCGTCGCCGCCCTCTGGACTGTCCGCCTGTACGCTGGGGTCTGCGTCTTCATCGTCCACGTTGTCAATGTCTATAGCTTCGTCGTCGTCTTCGTCTGGTTGCGGAGTCAACGGGACAGAAGATGTCGCTCGAGATGGGCCGGCGCCCATGTCGTCCGTCTGCTCTCCAGGCTCGGTCTCGTCGCCGTTCACATCTTCCTCCTCCTCTTCCCGTAGAGCAGCGACCCGAGTTCGCCGCGGTTTGATGATAATCTTTGTGCTCGAACGCTTCGACGGCGTGTTCGGCGCCATTTTGTGCTTCCTCTTATGAGAGATATGCTCTTGAGAGGTTGAGCAGTGAGAGCGGATGAGAAGGGTTGTGTCCAATCGAGTTTCAGGCGCGTTCAGACGCGTCGCGCTTGCACAGCGTGACATTGGTCACAGGCCAGCTGGCTAAAGCTAAATCACGTAACCATGTGACTGATGCCACCCAATTGGGAGACCCGACACGGTCGCGCGCGTGAGCGCGTCTTGTATGGCCGCGACTTGACCTCAACCACTCACAATCACTTCCTTGACACCATGGCCGACGCCGTAGAGCCTCGCCGGTCTCAGAGGGAGCGAAAAAAGGCCTCACAATTTGTATCTGGTACGCGATACGCGCTTTAGTCATGACTGGAAGTGGCCAATCTTAACACCCGCATACTTCGTAGTTAGCAGCTCCTTGCTCAAGAGAAAGCGATCAGACGCGACAACTGACGAAGAGAATGACCAAGATGACGCGCGTAGCGATGCATCAGACCCTGCCGCTGCTGACGACGAAGCCGACGCGGAGCAAGAAGACTTTCACGCTCCCAAGCCACAGGCGAAGGTGGCTACGAAGCGGAAGGCGAAGTCGATCCCAGCACCGAAGAAGCCTCGTGTACCGAAAACCACCGCACCTAAACGAACCAACGCGAAGACTGCCGGACCGCCGAAGCCGAAGAAACCATCTGTGCGGAAGGGGAAACAAGCGGGAGACGGAGAATTCAACGCGGAGAAAGTGGCAAAGGATAGCAAGATATCTGGAGACAACGCGTTATTCAGTGCGTATCTACTTTTGGTTGACTGCCGAACGTGTCTCACCGGGGCACATCACAAGATGCCCTCATGAATCCCTCCGCCGCGCTCCAGTCCACCGCGGAGGACTTCCTAGAATCACTCTCCAACTCCCCGGGGCCCAGCCTAGCTGAGTTGATTAACTGCATACTCCGCTCCTGCGGCTGCAACGATTCAGTTGACGAAGACCGTGTGGTCGACTATGATGGGGTAGTTGACGCATTGGACGACTTCACGGAAGCGTTGAAGAAGGTAAGTAGAGTGGTTTCGCTCTGTAGTACGTGTCTCACTGTGTGTGTTCCCACAGGACGACACCCCCATCTACCCATTGACTTCCAAGCTGCCAGTGTTCAAGAAGTTCCGCAGGTCACTTTCAGAATTCCTCGAACGCTTCATCATTTCTTCAGCCGAACTTGGTTCGCTGTATACTTCGGACCTTATGCCGACACTGCAAACATGGGTTATCGCCATGTCATCTTCACAACTTCGCAGCTTCAGGCACACAGCCACGGTCATCGCACTGGAGGTAGAGACAGCTCTCTGTGATGTAGCCGCGTCGGTCGAGAAAGAGGCAGAGGTTGTCAGCCGGCAGCGTGAAGGCGAGCGCAAGCGGAAAGCTGCGGGCAACAAGGGGAAGGCCGGGAGCGCACGGGAGTCCGAACTGGAGAAGAAGGCTGCCGAAGTTCGCGATCGCCGGTCCAAGCTAGCAGAGTTCCTCAAGGAGTTTGTGGACGGGTGAGTGTTCTGGCACTCGCACTCAATCACTTCTGAGCGCATATATGCAGCGTTTTCGTGCATCGATACCGAGATCTCGACCCCAATATTCGCGCCGAGTGTGTGCGCGCCATGGGTCTATGGTTCAAGAAATACCCCGGCCACTTCCTCGACGGCGCGTATTTGCGCTACGTCGGTTGGGTCCTCTCAGATGCCCATACTCAAGTGCGATTGGAGGCCGTGCGCGCGCTCGCCCTAGCCTACGAACAGACCGCATACATCGGTGCTGCAGCACTGCAACATTTCGCGGAGCGGTTCAAGCCGCGACTCGTCGAAATGGCCGTGGGCGACATCGAGCTCAGTGTCCGGGTCGCCGTGGTACAAGTCCTGCAAACGATCGACGGTCATGGTCTTCTCGAAGACGAGCAGCGACAACAGCTATGCCTCCTCGTCTATGACGAAGAAGCGCGCGTGCGCCGCGCCGTGAGCGGATTCGTCAAGGGTGTCTGGGAGGAGACTGTCGACGAACGCCTGGTCGGAAGACGGTCATCTGATTCGGACAAGCACAAGGCAGGCGTCAAGGCGTTGGGCATGCTCTTGGTAAACTGGGGTCGCGCGCTCGACAAGACCAGCGGGCAGGGCGATGCAGACTCGGAAGACGGGATGGATCTCGGTGAGGGCTCATCGAAACGAGTCCGGGCCAAGGAGGTCGCTTCTCTTGTGGGCGCCAACCCCAAAGGACGCACCGCACTTGTCGTCGAGGCGCTGTGGGACGAGGTGGACCCTGTCCGTGACTGGGAGACCCTCTTGGACGTCTTGCTACTTGACCACTCCGCCGCGGGCGAGGAGAACTCTCGACCCTCTTCTCGGTCGAAGGGTAAGCAAGCTGCTACTGACTCCGCCGTTGACGAAGCATGGCGCTTGGAAGAAGTGGAAGAAGCGGTACTTCTGGAGCTCCTTGTTGCGACACTTCGCAAAGCGCTTGTCGACGCTGCCAATGCCAAGAAAGTGAGCCTGCTCTTACACATCAACCTCGCGCATATACTCACCTCGCCTGTTAACAGCCTGACGAGGACACAACTTCCTCTGACATCACACGTGCACTGATCAAGGCGCTACCACAACTTTTCGTCAAACATCAGACAGACGAGCGGAGGATCTCTGACGTCCTACTTGTCCCCCAACTGATGAATCTGGATATGTACTTGGAAATGAGGATGATGACGGTGCGTGACATACGACTACCTAGCGAGACTGCGAGACTTAGGCCCGGCGTGTTGCGCTTCTAGGCATACTCAAGCCTATGGGAAGACGTCACGAAGCAGTTCCTCTCCCACTCTTCACCCGTGGTGCTCGCGAACGCCGTCGCGACGATCCGGCGCATGATGGACGCCACCAGCCTATCAAAGACCAACAGCGCCAAGATCCTCGAACTCGAAGACGAGCTCTCGACATCCTTGCGCGATGCTATTGCCGGACGAGACGAGGTCGAAGTGGCGTCTTTTACGGAGGACGAAGTCCTGTCGCTCGGTGCGATCTGCGCCCGCCTAGCCGCGCTCTCTGGTATCCGCGACATGACCTCCTGGGTAGAGGAAGACGAGGGAGGGAAGCAGAGTAGCGCGTGGGATATCGTCTCTGCGCTGGCGGAACGAGGAAGACTAGGATACAAGGAAGAGGAGATGGTGAGAGCGTCGTACACTCAGCCCATAAGGGCGGCAGTTGATGATTGGCGGAACAGATGGTGGATCGTGCGCTGCAGGTGCTCACTTTGCACATCATGTGGAAGGCACGCAGTCTACCCGCAGGCGAGGAGCTCTCTCCCGAGGAGATGCAGTTCCGCGACAAGCTCAAGGAGGAGCGAGATTCGCTGCTTGAGAAGCTGGTGGAGTTCGCCGTTGGCACGCAGTCAAATACGGTGGAAGGCGTCCGGCGAGCGGTACGTATCTTGCTGACGGTTCTGGGTAGATATATGCTCACTCTTTGCACGACAGGCCTTCCAAAACCTCTTGACTTTGCACATCCTCTTCTGTCCCTCGGAAACCACTGCCCCTGATGGTAGTAGGCTGCCCACTGCAGCACTTCCGTTGTCACTCGATGACGAAGTGCAATACCGTTGTGCGGGCTTCGTCCAGGCGGAGATCGAGCGTTATGCCGAGGAGATTGCGGAGGCAGAGCCTGCAGAGGAACCACGTAGCGACGACGAGAGCGATGAAGAGGAGGACCAGGACGAGCCTGAGGAGCAACCCAAAGGGAAGAAAGGGCGGGCTGGCAAGGGCAAGGCCGCTGCGAAAGTAGCTTCTCCCAGTAAGTGAAGCTTTATTGGAATCGGAGCGCAACGACTCACATTAGGTCGACATAGCTCCCCGTCCGGAGTCGCGCTCGCAGTTGGAGAAGGAATACGTCTTCATCGGCGTTGTCACCACATTCCTCCGTGCGATTCGCGCCGGCGTCATTCACTTCAGGCATTCCGCCACGATCCTAGCTCACTTTGGCCGACTCGGACCGACGTTCGATTTGTGCTCCAAGGTCATCATTGAGATTCTCCGTGAAGAGGGCATGTACAAGGACAACGGCGATGCCGTTGTGGCGATCATCTGCCAGGCGCTTCAGGAGGTGAGTACCGTCGTTGTCCGCATCGTTTTAGATCATGACCAAATGTGTTACAGTCTTTCACGCTCTACCTCGACGCGGTAGTGAACACCGAGGAGCATGCGATTGCCCTGGCAAAGGCGCTCTCCGCAAGCTTGTTGATCCGAGGCGCCCAGCTCTCCATCGTGCGGCGCCTCGACAGCAAGCACATCGTCAACATCCACACCACGTCGCTTAACTGGATCGTCAAGCGACTGGCCATGTATGAGACGGCGAAGAAGAAGAAGGCGCGAAACAAGTGCATCGTGTTCTTCCGTGTTCTTATCCCCTTCTGCTCGTCCGTCGACAACCGGGACTCGTTGACGATGTAAGTGATACCTTCTTGTTTACGGTAGCAGAGCTTAACGCCTGGCGAGCAGTAAGGCGCACCTCGACAATCTCATCGCCCAGGCGAAAGTGGAGATATCACCCACCTCCAAGCCATGGGAGCCCCATCGCACATACGAGAAGAAACTGGCAGCTGTTGCTGCGAAGGAGAAAGGTGAGTGTCTGTCTTGCGAGGCGAGCTACACTAGCTAAATGTGCCACATCAGGTCCTGGTGGTAAGGGCCGGAAAAGAAAGGATGCGAAGAGCGCCGAAGTTGTAACAACTGACGATGAGGCTGGGGTCCTGAGCGATGGGGAGGGCCTTGAGGCGCAGGGACGTGCTGGCCGCGGGGGCGATGTCACCGACGCCGAGGGTGGCGCCACCGAAGACGAGCACGACGCACCGGCTGCTGCTCGCACGCCCAAGGCACGTCCAAAACCCCGTCCAGTACGCAAGGGTGCGAAGCCACAGAAGGAGCCGGCCCAATCTCCTTCCAAATCCCTCTCACGCTCCCCGTCACCGACTCCTGCCAGGTCGTCCCGGTCGCTGACGCCACTTTCCTCCGTCCGGGAGTCTGCGCCGCCGGAGGAGCCGCAGGCTCTGGAGACCCCGAAGGCAACGCGCAAGCGCGCTCGGTCGGACGAGGATGAGCCCTCCGAAGACGGCGCGCAAGATACCACGATGAATGGCGCAGAGGAGGCTGAGAGCGCTTCGCCAGCGGGCGGCGCCCCGGTGGCCTCTCAGGAGACAGAGGCCTCCGAGATACAAATCCGCCGGAAGCGCGTCCGCCATTAGTGATACCCCAGGAGACCGTGCGTCTGCCGTTATGCTTATTGTCCTGTACGCACCGTCCGTCTTGTCATCTCTTGCTCTCATGTTGTGCTGCTTGCCGTGCTGAATATAATGCATTATGTATTCGTTCTGCGTCCACGCGTACTCGAGAAGGAGATGGTGATAGGTGAAGGAACGTACTGCGAGGCTCAAGCGGGCCCTGCTGAAACGATTGGGGAGCGGGGTAGGGAACACAAGGCCGCCCAATTACAGCGTGGGCGGGCGCAGCAGTGCCGTCTGGAACGTGCACCACAGAACCAAATACGGTCAAATACACCGGAGGTTTCGACGGCTATTGACAGATGCGGCGAGCATTCCAGCCTCGTTCCGGCATCTGCCCGCAGACGTTGTGAGCGCGACTGACACCTGCATATTGTAGGTGGACATCTTCGAGCGAGTCTCCGTCGCGGAGTATTCAGTACGTTCCACCTTCGATGCGCACGCTACACTCGTCGCTGACATGTGTGATGGCAGATTACTTCGGCGATCGCGCTCGGTCCCTGTGAGTTGGTCGGCTTGTGGGTAGCGCGTCAGCTCAACACGACGCCGCGCTCAATGCGGCATACTATCAGCTCGACGCGCGGTGCGGGTCGTCTCCGGGACGAAGTCGCGAGCTGCGGCATACGACCGGGGCGACCTCGCACCGCCTGCATCCGTCGCTCCCACCGCTGTACGTCTCTTGCTCATATATCCATTATGCGTTGTGCTGATTTAATTAGGCATTCTTCTCATGCAGACCCACTATGCGTTATGCGTGCATCAAGACAAACCCTGTGTGCCTCAAGATTCTCGGGGTAAGGGTCGCGCGCGCGAGGATCGTTGCGTTTTGCTTGAACAGACGCGACATCCGCTGGCGCGCCCGGCCCTGGCGCAGGCCTTTTCGTGGCCCCCGGGATAAGTAGTCGGTGGAAACGGTGCCGCCGACGAAACCAACGTGCGCCGAAGTGAGTAACTCGTAGAATACCGTCGCGTCGTCGCGATATGACATGTATTAGGTTGGTGTCGCTGTTGTTCGAATATATTGTGGTCCATATCACTCGAATATCCTCGCGCGAATGAGACGGCTGATGTTCCGAGTCCAACCATCAATGGCCCGGGTGACCCGGTTCGGCGCTAGAGCACTGTCTCCCAGCTCTCTCCGCTACCACCATGGCCACATGTGCTCCCATGAACGCTTGACCTCAGAATTCAACCGTCGCGTGTGTCCCGCATGCTCGTATCTCCGAAGTACTCTATTTTAACATCGATACTTCCTGCCTGGACCTGCGAAGAACGTCGCCGCCGGCCTGGTCGGGTGCAGTTCGGGCAATATCCTGATATTCTACGATCTCGTGCACTACACCCCATGGAACCGTCTGACGACGATGTGAACTCAGGTCACAAGGAAGAAGCTCGGATGTTGTGCCTAGCCTGCTCCAAAACACCTTCCTGCAGAACCCGCTATGGCCGTGAAGCATATGCATGAAATTCGGATAGCGCGGGTGTTCGAGTGCCCGAGATTCTTGCCTAACCTCCTGATCAACATCCAGCTCACCTCGGTCCGCTATATATTGTGCGACAAACTTGCGGTGATGGACGGACCCCTCACTCACCATGGCTCGTCTTCTAATCTCGCTTGTGGCCCTCAGTCTTCACTGCGCGGCGACGCTCGGTACGTGCCCTCCATTCGTCTTCGTTCCTACGTGTACTCATCGCTATCGAACCTTCATCTCCTCAGCCTTCTCTGTATCTTCCTCGCCGAGCCAGACGGTCAATGGAATCGGCGCGAGTGGCGCGTGGTGGCCCAACGACGTATTCCAGTTCCCAGACAGTGTGCGTGAGCAGGTCGCAGAGCTGCTCTTCGGACAGTCTGGTGCCGGCCTGACGTCGTATCGCTTCAACATCGGGGCAGGCGGATCCGGGGTCAGCAACCCGACGTGCGTCGTTTCTCTGCTCGCGATTCTTTGACCCTGAACGCGCCATCTTTCCCTCCTAGCCGCGCCCCTCAGACTTTCTACGTCTCCCCTGGCCAGTATAACTGGTCCGCCGACGCCGCCGGTGTCTACTTTCTGCAGAAGGCCGCGCAGGCCAACGTCCCCCAGCTCACCGCATTCATCAACTCTGCGCCGCCGGCCATGACGAGCAACGGGCGTGCCTGCGGGGGGAACCTCGTAGACGCACAGATCCCAGCGTTCGCCCAGTACATCACCGACGTCATCGCCCACTTCCGCGACGAAGGCATCCACTTCACGCATGTTTCGCCGATGAACGAGCCCGACGATGTGCGTGACCGCGTCCCATGTGCTCGCGCCCGGGCCGCGCGGCGAGCTGCCCCTTACTGACGGCCCGCTCCGTTTTCTAGACGTTCGGGTCGTGCGGCCAGGAGGGGATGCAGGTGACGCCGCAGCAGCGCGCGAACGTCGTGAACACGCTCCGGACGACGCTCGACAACGCCGGGCTGCAGTCCGTGGGGATCATGGCGGACGAGTCGAGCAGCACCGGCAACTTCCTGCCCGAGGCGTCGCAGTGGCTCCCGCAGGTGCGCAAGGGCGCGCTTGCGGCGGTCAGCCACCACCAGTACGGGTTCAACAACGATGCGACCGTCGCGCAGCTCGGGTCGACCGGGCGTAGCCTGAGCGGCGTCGATACGTGGTTCACGGAGATCTGCTGCTTCACCGCGGCGAGCTCGAGCCAGAAGAGCAACCCGGCCGCGGCGTTGACCTATGGCGCGGCTTACGAGTGAGTGCATTCAAAGATGTAGCGAACTAAGGTACTGATAGGTTGGGATCATCAAGGCCGACGATGGTGGGCGCACTGCAGCTTGGCCAGCTGGTGTATCAAAGTTTCACTCAGGCGTAAGTAGGTCAAGTGCACTTCACGAACTTCGCACTTACCCTTCAAATAGTGAAGACGCGCACTTCGACTTCTGGACCGCCCTGTCCAGCGGTATCGGCTGCACGCCTTTGAACAACCCCTCTTGCGTGACGACAGCTAACACGAACGGATGGAATGACGGCCTGGTCAGTCGATAAATGCTTCCTCGATTTCTTGAGCCGCGACTGATCTGTTCTTGCCAGGTCTACTACGACCCCTCCTTCGCGTCGAACCACAACACGGCCCTCTACCAGACGAAGCGCCTCTTCCTCATGAAGCACTTCGCACAGTTCATCTGGCTCGGCTCGACGCGCTTCGGCGTAAGCGGCCTCCCATCGAACGTCGTCGGCATGGCGTTCAAGAACTCGAACTCGCACTCGACGCCGATCGGGAGCGCGCGCGCGTCGCTCATCCTCATGAACATGGGCACGAGCGCGACATCCGTGACGCCGTCGCAGGCGGGCCTCGGGAACTTCGCCGGCGGCGCGGTGACGAGCCCGAGCACGGACTGGCAGACGTTCGGCGCGTCCAGCTCGGTGTCGCTGCCTGGACTCAGCATCACGACGCTGCTCTTCAACTAGGGGTGGAGGCTTCAAGGCGGTTCTTGAAGGTGTCTCGGCTGCCCAGGTTCAATTGAAGTTGTATATTCCTGTGCATCATCGACGTTATGCTAGTACATGGAGCTTGATCCGCCGGGACACGATGTCTTGCATGTCACTACCGATGCGCTTATCAAACACACCTCCCCAACCTTTTACGTCAATGCACAAAGCTGTAAATACAAGGTTAATATGCACGTTGATTCCCGAAAGCTGAACTGACGCGCCCGGTTTGCATCCTACAGCCTCTTCCCTCCAGACCACCACCACTCAGGCCCACGAGCCCCAACATCATGTCATATGCTGCGTCTGTCGATGCACTGTTTTCATGCGATTCCCCTCCCCCATCGCCCTCCGACGACGAAGCTCTTGGATCGTCCGACAGCTCTTGTTATCGGGCTCTGCGATGTGCGGAGATTCTCGACAACGTTTTGGAAGAGTTCAATTCACGGGATCCGATCGACAAGCGGCGATTCTTCCTTGACGTCGCCCTTGTGTGCAAGGCCTTTCTCGATCCTGCGATGGCCGTGCTTTGGAGAGAATTGCCGTCTTTATTACCCCTGTACAAGGTACTCATCCCCGACGATGTGCTGGAGACCCTCACCGCATGCTGGACCAACTTACCAGATAGCGCCCCTGTGAGTAGCGTTGCACCATGTTAAACTTTGATCGCAATCGTGCTAAAACGTATCGCAAGCAGCTTCAAACGCAAATAAACTCCGTACACAGTCCAGGATCAGAACGATGGGCGAGGTTTATGCATTACGCTGCGTACGTTCGCACAGTGTTACGGATCGAGCTTAACGGGTTCGAGACCGAGCTCTTCCGCCTTCTGGCTGGACGTAACCACGGGCGATTAGTCCTGCCATCGCTTCAAATACTCAACTGCGAAACACCCCTTCATCAGACGTCGTGTCTCCATTCCCTGGCTTTATTCTCCTCCCCTACCGTACACACTCTGGAGCTCGTCAACAATAATTCCTTCATCGTGCTCCTCGACCCTCCCGGCAGCCCCCACCACATCTTGACCGGAGCCATAGCCCAAGCCTTCCCCTCCCTACTGTGTTTGGACCTCACTCTCATGGAACCGCCGCCAGAAGACGTCTCAGATTTCATAACCGGTCTCACCGTGTTAAAACAACTGCGCGAACTCAAGTTGCACTGGCCCGACTGCTCCCTCGACCCACATCGTCTGCGCGAGCTCCTATTCGGGCTCCCCCACCTAGTGGGCCTGGACGCGAGCATCGACGGCTTCTCTGACGTACGGCGGGGGCAGTTGGACCGCATTTTTGCGCCTTCATTACGCCGTCTGAAGTGCAGCGGTGCATGGGACGATATCGTGAGGCTGCCCTTCGCGCTGAAGTGCCCCGCCCTGGACGAGCTCCGCCTGGCACTCCATCGCCCCAGCCCCTCGACGTTTCTCGCGGCACTCTGCCAGTGCGTCCATGGGATATGTGGGCAGGCCTTTGCCCCACGCCTGCGCCTGCTCAGCATTTTTGCGACGGGTGCAGCGCAAGCCCCCAAGCGCCGGTCCATCGCAGACATCCTTGCCCCCCTCGCCGCGCTGGAGTCGCTGGAGGACTTGGCACTTGAGGTCGTCGACCGGGGCGAGGGGTCAATGTTGCTCGTGCCGCTCGGCTCGGACGACATCATGCGTACGGTTGCGGCTGCCCTCCGACGTGCCCGGCGCGTGTCTCTGGTGGTGCGGCATGCGCAGAGCCATACTATGCACAGTCGCTGGACCCGTTCCTACGAGTATCAGGATCCTAACACGCCGACGCTGCGCTCCCTCGTCCATTTCGCGACGATGTGCCCGCGGCTCACCAGCTTGGCGCTGGTGCCCGTCTTCGTTCCCCCTCTCATGCTGATGATAGCGGGCAAAGGCATGCCTACGTGCAGTGCGCCCAACTTGAGGGAGTTGCACCTGCACGCAGAAGAGGAGGTTACGCGTACGAACGCGCCGCGGAGCTTGGCCGTTTATTTGGACAAGCTCTTCCCGAACTTGGAGATCTCCGCATGTAGGTTGCAACCTGATGTGAAGGACGTGCTGCGTGAGACACGGAAAAGCCGGACGGCATAGGTGGGGGCACAAACTTGTGCCCGCTACCAAAGCCGACAAGAGGTGCATAGCGATCGATACGATGTAACGTATTAGTCCGCCAGTGTATAACTTCTCTTAGACACATACCATCATTCCATGCTTCCTGCATCTGTCGCGGTAACGGCGATGGACCATGACGGAATCAACATAACACGGCGAAAGCGTATTGTACATTGCGGAGACGAGGCGACGGCGACATGATATACACGGGATTGATAGCGATCTAACGGCCGTACCTGCACATCTATCAGCATCGGTCTGTGCTGCGGTGAAGCCGGAAACGTACTTCTGCAGCTCCCATTCTCTGTTGTCTAGCGGGCAGACGTTACGCGTTTTCAGCCAGCGCGAGATGCAGTGGAAGTGGAACGCGTGCTGCGACGGCCAGAGCGCCTGATTAGTACGCGGGGAGAGATGGATGAGGTGGGGGCTCACGTTACAGATACCCCAGGCGGCGTTGCACTCCTCGCTGGTAGCGGAGACTTGGTTCGCCTGGCAATCGATACCTGAAGGGACCCAGACGGTTAGAGGACGCGGCATGGATACGACTGGGGGACGTACAGAGATCCATGATGTGGTTCCTGCAGATCGCGCAGTTCTCGACGACGATATCTGGTGAAGCGTCTGTGAGTGCTGCCACTCGTGCTTATAAAGGACGTCGCGTACCCCAGGCCCACAGGGAGACGGCGTTCCACTAGACACACAATCCAGATGAGATATACATTGCGCAGGCAAGGCAGGGGATATATGGGAACGCACCTTCTTGACCTCGAATCGCTTCTTCTCGCCCTTACCGTCGTCCTTGGTCTTGCCCTTGCCGGTGGACTCAGCCGCCGCGGGCGGGTCCACGTCCATCGCTGCAGCGTCGGCCATGTCTGTGTTTCGTGTCTAGTAGGATAGAGCGAGTCGTGCCACTGGGTTTGGGGCTGCCGCGATGGTGTGGAGGCAACCTGCACTCCTCGCAAGCGCACGCCACACAAGCGTAGTGCCCGAGTACACCATGGTCACGCAATAGTCACACAGTGACTGACTGTTACGGTCCTCATTAACTGCCCGGGACTGGCCCGGGCTCTTCCACGAACCACGACCACTGCTCTTCTACGAATCACGACTACCACCGCCGTAGCAGCTACATCGGAACACATAGCAGAAGAAAGAATGTCGGAAACGAACCAGCAGCTCACGCAGCAATTTCTCGCTCGCTTCCAGCCTGGAGTCTCTGGTCGGCACGCGTCTCCTCATCTGGTCTCATCTGGGTCTAAACTGCCGCCACATCAGAGCTCCTTGGCCAGCTAGAGGCTATGCGGAACGGTACTGCAACCACAGACGCTATCGAGAAGCTCGCGATTGACGCGGCGAAGCTGAGGAAAGACCTCACGGACGCGATTTCGTTCATTCCGGGCTACGATCAGCGCCAGTGCGAGAACGTAAGTCGTGCAATTTGCATGATTGCATCCGCGCGCAGAGCTGACGCGTACTCATCGCAGAAACTCAAGGACATCGAGGCGCAGATAGAGGCCTTGCGCGTTACAGCGGCCCCGAAATCGAAGTTTGCCTTCAAGCGTAAAGCTGCGAAACCCTCGTCCTCGGTCATGACGCCTGTTGCTCCACCCAAGCAAATAATTGCTGGCGAATCGACCGCAACTCCTCCCCAGGATAATTCACACTCTTCGGGACTATCGCTGTCAGGACATACGCACGGCTATCTGACAGTTTCTTCACTCTCCGCACCTTGGTCTGCCGCTTCGGATCTGACGATATCGGACCTCGACCACTGTGTGGTGAACCTCGTACCCTCGCGAGCGAACCCAGACGCCCCTGCCGACCTCGCCTTTAACGCTCTCCATGTGCGGAACGTCACGAATAGCGTACTTATACTTCCCGTGATCCCCGGCAGCGCACTGCTTCACGATATGAAGAACTGCGTGATCGCTCTAGGTAGTCGACAGGTAGCGCAATTAGTCCTTCTATGTGGAACTTGGATGATCTAACTATAGTTTCCCACTTGCGATTGACAGTTCCGCATGCACACATCCTCGGCTGTGGATGTGTATATTTCCATCGCGTCAAATCCAATCATCGAGCACTGCTCTGCGATCCGGTTCGCCGACTATCCATCATGCTTGCTATCCCCGTCGGCGAAAATAGCCCAGGTATGCGCGTTTCTATGTGGGACGTCCGGAAGACTGATCACGATGACCTGCAGGACGCGAAGAGCAACTACTTGGCTGTCCAGGACTTCTCGCATATCCGGGCGACCCCCTCACCGAATTGGTTGCCCCTTCCTGAAGGCGGTAGGGTCGCGGATGACCGATGGCCAGTTTCCCGTGCGGACCCGAAGGAGGTACTAGAGACCCTTCTTCCCGCTCAATAGACTTATTGTTGCTATCGCTCTCGCGCGGACCCGAGTAACTATTTGGGCCTGCAGCGCCATGGCGATGGACGGGATGAATGCCGTACAGCAACAGCGCCAGACCCAGTGCCTCAGTTCAGGCAATGTGGGCGATGCGCCACCCACGTCAAGGGCGTCCGCAGAGTGCGTCTTCCTCGACAGTTCATCCGTCTTTCCCCTGTGCTGGCATACGTTTTCCCAGAGTTGCCTTCCTCTGTGTGGAGCATCTCCTTCCTTGTTCTACGTAGGCAGGGCCGCACCAAGTCCTCGCGGTGTTCTTCCCTGCACAATGGCCCTTCGTTGCGAGGGTCTACGTGTACTGCCCCCGACATTTCTGGAAACAGCAAGACCATCGCCACGCCGAAACTGCGTGTGCGGCCTCGCTTGTTTCGACCTCAGGCCTTTGTCTCTGTCGGGCTGCCGGGGATGAGACTCGGCCAATACGCGTATGGCATGGACCTCAGACGAACTTGAAGAACGTATAGCAGACAAGCACAGCCCCTCATGAGGATTATCAATAAACGATGCTGCGGAAACATCGATCTCGAGGCGTTGTGCATCGCTTCGAGGCGCGGCAGCCGGCACACCGCCGCTTCATACGGAAGTCGCTCGGCTGCCCCTGGAATTATGAATATTGGCATGGCTGGCCGGCGTGGGAGCGCTTCTGGGGGCCAGAGGCGTCTCTCCGCTCGCGTGCCTCGTCGCAACCTTTGTGGCACTCGGACGCGAGGCAGTGCATCGTCTTTGTCTCTTCCGCTCACTGTACTTGGCTTGTGGTCCGCACCTTCGTTTGCAGCCATATCTACCTGCTCTGTGCACTGTCAGATACCTCACACGAACCACGCTCGCATTGACTGCGGCCGATCTGACGCTGCTCTGGACTGGACCCGACCAGCACCACCACCTCAATATCCTTGACTTTGTGCGGACACTTTCGCGGGTTAGACGAGCAGGATACTCATTGGGTTTATGTCAGGATCGCACCCCTCTACATTTTTGAACCATGTCCGGGCTCGATGATCTGTGCGCATGCCTCGCCGTATGCTGCACTTGCTTCAGTGAGTACCCCGGCGCCTTTCTTCCACATACCCCGGTGGTCTCGTCCCTCAGCGATCGCAACCACTCACCAAATGTTGATTCTGTGTGCAGCATTCTCCTGCAATGAAGCCTCCGGCCTCTTCTGTTTCTACAGTACGTACCCGCTCTCTCTGCCCGCTCCAAGTCCACCCTAACCGCGCCCTCTCCGTACCACAGAATCCTGCAACTGCTGCACGCGTCGTCACATGGACGACAAAGACTTCGAGCGCACCGTCGAGGAGCTCTACGCACACGGCAAAGACTCCCCCGACGCCCCCGGCGGCCCCGGCACGCAGACGCACGTCCTCGAGCTCCAGCCGCGCGGCGCGAGCAAGGGCACGGACGGCTCCGTGAGCGCGCAACCGGCGCCTCGCCCGTCCATGGAGGCGCCCCCGCGCCCCTCGCTCGACGGAGCTCCCGGGGCGGAGCGCATTCCTGGGGAGCCCCGTGCAGAGCGCCGCGATCGCACGCGCGAGTGGGTCCATGCGCATAGCGCGTCGGAGCCCGGGATCGGCGCGGTGAGGGCAAGGTCGCGGCCGCGGAGCAGGAGCCAGGCGGACGGCGCGGCGCAGGGGCAGGGGAAGGAGGGGCCGAAGACTCCTGGGGGGTCGATGCGCGCGAAGGGGAAGGAGCCGCTGCCGAGCGACGCGCAGGCGTATGTGCAGTCGTGGAAGCGGTCGCAGGATGGGGGACCGCGCGAGGGCGTGGAGGGAAAAGTCGAGGAGGCCGTGCCCATGCCCGTACCCGTGCCAAGCGTGCATAGGGAGGGGAGCGGGAGGACTCGGCGGGACGAGCAGGCACTGGAGGAGGGGGAAGAGGAGCGGGCTGGGAGGAGCGGGACGTCGCCTCCGCGGCTTGATATCCCCGCGAGCTTGCGACCCGGACGGCCGTCGTCGTGGACGCCCTCGCAGCTGCAGCTCGAGCCGCAGGCGGCTGCTGGGCAAGCGGGGGCAGCTCCCTAGAGTGGTAGGGGGTTGGTATCTTGAGGACTTGTTGTGGTTCGGTTCGTGTGCATCTGCTCTCTCGTTGTATAGTGCTACATTCATTCTGGGTTTACGTCGCTCTCTACTAGTACCGTCGTTTCGTTGTCGCATATGGGTTCGCAAACTGAATACATACATGCTCGCTTTGCTCGTACGAGTGCGACTCGTGCAAGCCAAAGAGATACATGCAGAGCGGGGACCGCATGCATCGGACGTGGACGTGTGTAGGCGCCGATGAATTGAGAACCAATCCACTCTCCATTACAGCCTGAGCGCTGTGTATCGCCGTTACAAAGCTCACCGTGATTTGCACACCACTGTGTTCTTCATCTGCAACTGCCCATTTGTCAGAGACCTACGTGGGGCTCAACACGAGGATGGGTACGCGTCGAGATTCCAGACTCTCAGCGGCAGCAATGTACTCAATGAAGCTCAACACGGGTCTCCGCCTCCTCGAGGCTCGGCTTCGCGAACGTTGTCTCGCCGCGACTTTTTGGCAGAGTCGCGTGAATAGAACGCACGAGGTTCGGCACGAGAACGCGCATGTGTCGCAGCAAAGGCCATAGTCGTCCATGAGCGGTAAATTCGAGGAAGAGATTCGGCGCATACGTAGACATAGTACCGCAGCACTGCAGATCACGACTGCACGATCCCATATCGTCCCTTACTCTCTGAGAAAACCTACTGCGTGACGGGAATAAACCAGCATGAATTGGGAATACCGTAGACAGGTTTTGCGGTATGTTGGGCCAGAAAACAGAGATGAGGAGGACGAGGACGAAAGAGAGAACCGCTGCAGTCGGGAGACATGTGGACATGCCGACGTCGATATCCCAATTTAGCAGCGGCATCTATAACCTTAACCCACGCGGTGCCCATCACGGCAACGGCCCGGCGGGGGATTTCACCCGCGTCCAATGGGAACGCGCTTACGTTACGCTGTCCCGGAGCTCCAATGGATGGAAATAAGCCGTGGTTCTCGTCCTCCTCACACACCTTTCTCTCCTCCCCTCATCTTCACCCATGTCCGGCCAGTCCCCAGTCGCGCCCGCCGTCCCCTTGCCTCACCGCAGAGGATCCACCACCCTCGCGAACAGCAAGCCACCCGTCTGGTCGATCAACAAATCCGTCGGCCCGCAACCCGCCCCGCTCCCCGCGAAATGCGACCGCCATGAAACAGTGCGCTCAGGCGTGTGCTGCAAAGAGCTCAAGGGCGACGATGAACGCACCTTGATTGACCCCGACGTGGTCCGCGACGTGTAAGTCCTCATATCTCTGTCATCCGTCCCTAGACGGCCATGTCCGCGAAGCCCGGTTTGCATTTGCTCGACGCGCTTGGCATGGAGTTTAATCGAGGTGCAGTCCAAATTCCTGTAGCCTATACCCCCCAGTCAAGTCTTCTTTATCTCCCTTCTGCTCTTGGTAGACCAGATCCCGACGCATGCCGCGGGTTATGGGCTGCGAGGGACATTTCTTCGGGAGGATGGGGGTGGCGGCACTCGCTGCTGCGGTATCGCTTCCACGGGCCGGGTCGAAGTGACAAGCAAGCTGTCTCATTTTCCTCCTGCTCGTCCAATGGCATGTCGCTGGTTTGAGTGGTGGCATGATAGAATTTGGTAACGCTCCGATCATATGCACGTTCCTGGCGTCTTGCGCGTTCCGTCATGTCCGTTACAGTACTGACAGTGCAAAACCCGCAGTGTGATTGGCCTATCCGACGGCCTGACAGTGCCCTTCGCGCTCACGGCGGGCCTCTCCTCCCTCGGCGAGTCCAAGCTAGTCATCCTCGGTGGCATCGCGGAGCTCATCGCCGGTGCCATCTCTATGGGCATCGGCGGCTTCCTCGCAACACAAGCCGAACGCGACCACTACCGCTACCTCCGCAAATGCACATCCGCGCGCGTCCTGCGTTCATGCGACGGCGAGATGGAACGCGAAGTACACGCCGTCCTTGGCCCCGTGGGCGTCGACGAGAAGGTCTCGCGGCAGGTCGCATCCTGTCTGCGGGACGTCGAGTTTAGCTCTGGTCCGTCCGACGAGGGCGAGTCGAGCAGCGGACACCGATCAAATCGCGCAAGCACAGCGAGCGACGCGACGCTCGCTGCGGAAGAAGGCGGCGAGCTCCGATGGTCGCGAGACGTCGGCCTCACCGCGTTCCTGCTCAAGTTCGGCGAGGGCCTCGAAGACGTATCCACCGCGCGAATGTACGCCTCGGCATTCACCATCGGCATGGGCTACCTCCTCGGCGGCCTCATCCCCCTCCTCCCCTACTTCTTCGAGCCCATCGCGCACATCGCACTCATCTACTCCTGCATCCTCACCGGCATCGTCCTCCTCATCTTCGGCGCGGTGAAGGCGCGCGTCACTGGGGCCGGTGCGGGCGCGGGCGGGTACGTCTGGGGCGCGGTCAGCACACTCCTGGTTGGGGGCGCAGCCGCGGGCGCTGCGTACGGGATCGTCGCCGCGTTGGAGGGATAGCCGCACATTAGGGAGCGGTTCGGACGTTGGTCTTGGGGATACACGTGTACGTTACAGGAAGATTATTGTAGTGTTTGTGCTTGTTTCACCCGAGCTAGTTCTTCTTTCTCACTAGACATACTTCACGTCTCGGCTGTAGGATCCGTTCGCTAGGCCTTCACGGTTCTCCTTTTTTTTCCCGTTTTTAACGTAAGTTGAGAAACGGGAGAGAAAGGGATCGTGAGAAGCAAGGGCTCCCTCTTCAGTGTCGCTACAGCGGAGGAAAAAATCCGTCGAGGACTGATAGCTGTGGGGATTGGTCTTGGATATGTGTCTCATCTATGTGTAGTGTCGCTCGCGGATCCACAGCTTATAGCATGACCCTGGCAAGGACCTTTCATTCTCAGTCCTTTTTTTTTCTACAAAAGACTCGAGTCTTTTGAAGAGAGAAAAAGGAGAATGGTGGTAGGGATTTGCCAGCGGCCATGCGGCCATGTATGCACCTCATTTCTGTACTGTAGGATTATTGCTGGACCGTCAGACCACTACCTTCGCAGTTCCTTTTTTTTCCGTTTCTAGCTGACAGCGAGAAGCGGGAGAGAAAGGGACGGCAAATGGCAGCGGGGGCAAGTCCCTCCTCCGTGTCGTCGTAGTGTTGTTCGAATGGACCGTGCTCGCATATTAACTGGTGCTGCTTCACGGCCTCGCCCACAGCTTCTGCTCATGACCGTAGAAAGGATCCCTAGCTGCCCTTGTTACTTTTTTCTCTCTTGTTAATGCCTGACAAGAGAACTTGACAAAATGACGAAGGCGTTTGAGATCGACAAGCAGGTATGCTGCGTTGTCTACGTGTATGTACACACTGACGCAAATGTATCGGGCGTTTGGCACAGTGGTAGCGCGCACGCTTTGCATTCAGACATGCGTGAGGTCGAGGGTTCAAACCCCCCAACGTCCAGTGTTTTTGCTCCTCTAGGCTCGGTCCCAGCTTGGGAGGGCAAACTTCAAACGTCTCGCAAACGGCGCCAGATTTACACAAGATAGCAACCCATGTAGAGCAGTGCAGATACAATGCAAATAATACAGACGCGTATGATACCAGTACGCGGCAAGGAAGAGAAGAATGCGCCCGCCATCGACGCTACTTCTCGTCTCCGAAATACTCCTCCACCAGCGCCTTCTTCCTCAGCTCCAGCAGGAACTGCTCCATCTCCTCCCGTGTCGGGAGTTTTGGCGGCATGAGGATCTCCGGGGAGAGCACCGGAATGTACGCCGCCGTGCGTGTCGCGTGCGCGAGCATTGCTGCATCCGTAGACGCGTCTGCGTCTCCTGCTGTCCCTGTTGGTGCGTCGGCACCGTCTGTGCGCGCACGCTTTGCGACGTCGGAGGGGGCGGCTGCGGACATGTCGACGTCGCCGTCCGTGTCGCCGTCGGGGGCCTTGCGCTTCGCCTCTGGGGGCGCGGAGGCCTGGCTCGCCTCTGTGAGGAGCGCAGATAGCGGTTTTACGGGGCGGGAGAATGGGGGGATGGGGTCGTCTGTGGGGAGGCCGAGGACGGTCCGGATGTGGGTGTATGCGTCTTCCCACTCTACATCTACTGTCAGCATGCACCCCTCACAAAAAGACATAGAATCGACGTACCCTCCTCCTCCGCGTGTGCCTCATACTCGAGCAGCGTCCCATCCGCCTCGTCGAGGTCGCCAAAGTACCCAGGGCCCTGGTTCGTGAACTTCTTGTAGTAGCCGTGCACCTTGTTCTCCTCGTCCTCCTCGGACTTCTTGCTCGAGAACATCTCCTTCACCCCAGGCAGCTCCTTCGCGCGCCCGAAGTACTTGTAGCCCTTCGTGCCTGGGACCTCCTTCCCGTCGTCGTCCAGCATCGCGACATTGCGCCGGTAGTTCGCGCCGCCGAGCGCGACGATCTGGTTCTCCCAGTGCCGCTTCTCGCGCAGGAGCCGGTTGATCTCGTCGTTCAGGTCGCGCACTTCGTAGTCTGTCAATCCTGCTGTGGGCCGCACAAGTTCGTTAGCTGTTTGGGCATCCTGAGGAGCATAGGCGTTCGGGGCGAGGGCAGAGCGGGCAGTGGAGGAAGGGTGACGCACAGTCCTGGATTTTGGACACCTTTCTGCTAATCTCGCGCAGAATCTCTCCTCGCCACCGCTCGCACTCGCGCAGGCTCTTGCACGCGCTCGCCATGCGTGGTCTGCGGTCGCTCCGCGTCCCCAGCCCGAGCTCAGCGGCTTGCGCCTCGCGGAACCGGTAGAGCATGGACTGCGCCTTCTCCTCATTACGAGCCTACAGAGTGAACGTGAGGGTTAAGAAATTATCGAGGGCCGGCCGTGAGTACGCGTACCATTTTGCAGCAGTCGGACTAGGGGGGATGGGTCTGAGACGATGGTGGAGGCGTTGAAGCTGGAGAGGCCCCAGTCGACGGCGCCTCATCGCGAGCGTTGTCTGTGATGGTACGTGACGTGTGTGACAGTAACGCCCGGCTCGTCGTTGTGTTTGGGGTTGCGCACGTCGTTCAACGTCGGACGAGCCCCATCCTCCAGCCTGCTCCCCCGGATACTGCCTAGCGACGCTCGTACCCGTCTGAGTTTCTGCTCTCTGTGTGTCTGCTGTCTCTGCTGCCTTGAAATGTCTCCTCGTACGCCTTGGCGTCAGAAACAATCAACTGTAGGCTCAGTATCGTGGCGCGCATCCTCCGCTATGGGCATGCAAGTCTGGAGTCGACAGCCATAGTGGATTTTGCGGCCGTAGTGTTGTGGAAAGGCCATTATAACCTCCCGCAGAAGTTCCCGGACCCTCGATGGGAGTGGGAGTGTCTCTGGAGTGTCTCGTGCAGGAGACTCCCCTTCGCGGGCAAAGGTGAGCTGCGCTCCCCCCATCCCCCCTCCCTCTCCCTCTCTCTCCCCCAATTGCGCCCGGTGCCGAGTTCCAATCTCGCTCCCGAGCCTCACCCCGTACACCGTTCGCACTCGCATCCCTACCCTTAGCTCTCGAGCCCCCACCGCCCCCGAGCTCGCTCCCTACTTTCATCCCCCCTCTCCCTACCTTTGTACACTCCTCTAACCTTGACCCCCCTCCTCTTATCCACTCCCTCTCCTCTCTAGTAGCTCCCCCACGATGTATATCCGCTACTACGCTACCCACGCCCAATGAGAAACACCAGCACGGGTTGTGCCACCCGGTACCTTTCGCGTTGACGCCCTTCATACCTGCAGGCGTTGCTTCTTCAATCTCCAGGGGCGCACAAACACGATTCACAGTGGTGCATCATGTCCGAAGTACATCTTCCCCGCACACCCGGGTCTGCACGCCCACGCACACCCAATCTCCGTCTCTCATGTCGATCCGTCGTCCTTCTCGGGATCGGCGTGCTTCTGCTATGTCCTGAGGCAATCTATGCGTCGAGTGGCATGGTATATCGCATTGCCTGGTGTAATTAGGCGTACTTCTGGACGTGGGCAGGACACGGGTGGCACTTTCGGATACTAGGACTGTTTCAACGGCAGTTGGGCTACTTTCCCTCTGCGGCGATTTGTCCTGAGGAGGCGCGCCGGACCCGCTGCTCCGTCCCACTCCCTCATCGTCAGTATCGGTCATTTTTAAAGGGGTACACTATGTGTGTTTTTCTCTTAGGTGTTCTGTTACGCACAGGGTTGCTCTTCATCAAGCACATCGGAACGGCTTGCTCAAGAGAAACTGACGTTGTGCGCTACCTGTACGTTGTACATAGACGAAATATATGCATTTTCTGGACTTGCAACATCTACACTGCGATGCAGTGTTGTGTAGTGACTGGTTGAGGGGGTGTTGGGTTGAGTGGGTGGGGGTGGGGTGGGGTCCTGCTAAACCCCCGCCGTGTACTGGGATCGGCCATGAACAAGTGAACATCTGCACATATTCGGATCATGTATTGCTCCGGGCCCGATGTCATCGACCTTTGCGCGGACGCTGCGTCAAGATCGCGATCGCGATGTCATGGTCCGAGCCATGACGTCGGCCCGCATAATGGCACGTGATATGACCTAACGCACGGGTCGATCGCGCAATCGTTGCGTCGTGTTCAGCAGGGATCTCAGATTCCCCCCCGACGTTCGGGACCGATCTATTTAGCGCTCACAACCTACCGAATCGATCGATCGATCGGGCGCTCGAATTCGCAGAGAGGCGTGGCCGTTCGCGCTGAGGTCTGCTCCGCCCCCACTTGGATCCCCCACCGACTCTGCTTCTCTGCGTCGGTCTCTTGCAATGTGTATGCATTCATTCTACTCTCTCGTCCTGCTCGACGAATGCGATTCCTTCTCCAACATGCGGAAGGGATAATGCAGCGGCTGAACGTTCTTCCACATTCCGCAACCTTCCAAAGGATGCAGGTCTGCAATCCTCGAGTGCGAGACCGTGCCCGTGTCCTGAGTGGCACCTCCACCCATGAAATGTCAAAGCACCGTTGCACCCCCGCGCGCTCGTATGCATTGGCTTTCCGAGGTGCGTACATATACGCCTGCAACATATAAGGGCCCCTATGTGCCACCGATCCCCTCTCGTCGATCACTCGATACACTCTCAAACTCTCCTCGATCGCTCCCGCCGGCAAGTTCCCGCCCTTCGAAAATAGTCTTCCGCCTTCCAAGCCCGCCCTTTGCCTCGCTGCCGCCGCCGTTGCGATAGCAGGTCTCTATCGTCGTCCACCACCACCTTTTCACCATGCATCTCCCCAAGCAGCACCAGCGTCCTGGCGTCAATGGAAACACGTCTGGCAATCAAGCCGTGTTTCGTACCTCCGGCCATGGGTTTTCCAAGCTGAACCTGTCGAGGGCGTCCATGCCCGACGACCTCGAGATTCTCATCGTCAGTCCCAGTCCCTTCCCTTCGCTCTCAGTTTCATCCGTGCTCATCGCCAATGCAGGATCGCGAGAATAACAGGACCTCCATCACGCTCACCTACCAACATGGGCCCAACGGCGAGTTACCCATCTCGCTCCCTGCGTACGTCCCTCTCCGCCCCACTGTCCCCCTTATCGCCTGCTCACTCCCCGTCGCAGCACCGAGTCCACGCGCAGCCGCCCCACCGTGCCTATCCCGCGCAACATGAGCTCGGTCAACGACGCTGCCGCGCCCTCCAACCTCGCCCGCCAGGCCGATCTCAGCGGGTCCCCGTGCACCCGCGGGTGCGGCGAACGCGTCAATACTGGATCCCAGTGCGGAGGGACGCGGCCGCAGATTCCCCTTCCACGTCTCAGCACTCTGTTCCCTGACGGCATCCCGCGTCGCGTCGGCCAAGAGGCTGCGGGGAGCGCGAGCGCGTCTCCGGTCAGGCCTGCCAGCTCGCAGGCTGCGTCTGCGCTCGTCAGTGCACCGAGCCCGACGTCTGCGTCGCCGCCCGGCACTATCAAGAAACCCGGCGCGGTCAAGGCTGAAAAGACCCTCCCGAAGCGCAAGAAGTACGTCCCTCCCCGCCCCGCCCCCTCCAGTAGCAGCCGCTGACCATGCACACAGAGCACAGAAGAGGCTGTTCCCGAACAAGCACAGTTTCAAGATCCGGAACACGAAGAAGTTCACGACGTTCTACGGCCCGACTGCGGCGACGCGCGCGCTCACGGCGCCGCCCGACTTCCTCAGGCCCTCGCGCGCGTTCCTGTACGTGCACCTGTACGACGGCGGCGCGAGGGGCGAGCAGAAGCAGATCTGGATGTACGTGGGCCCGCGGCGCACTGGGTTCTTCGCGCGCGGGGAGGCGGGGGAGGATGGGGAGGAGGAGGAGGGGTGGCGGATCGTGCATCCTGGGTGCGAGCACCCGGACTTGCCGGGGTACGTGTTGCACGTGCGCAACGACGGCAACCCAAGCTGGATCACGGCGGCGTCGGCGCAGAAGATTGCGAGCGAGAAGAGGAAACAGGAGCGCATGGATAGGCGCATCTGAGCGGTCGGTGAGTTCTTTGCCTATAATGTGCGTGAATTGTAACCGTGCTGACTTGGCTTCTCGTTTTGCAGAACATAACACCGGCATCGCGCTGCAGCGAAGGCCGCGTCTTGCTCTCTATATAGCTCGTTCCCAGCTTCCTCACTTACTATGCTACCCTCTCCACGTTCGTTTATGCTACTCTCTCCACGCTCGTTTATGCCTTCCTCTCCACGTTCGTTATATGCTCGCAATATGCGACTGCTTGTATGCACACTCCTTCACGAATATGATCTATGCAAATATGCCTATATCCCGCGGTGTGATTCCGGTCTGAAAACGGCGACGACGAGATCACATTAAGTTCTACAACGTCTAGCTCTCATACGCATCGACCGTCACCCTGCGAACCCTACGGAATGTCCCCTGCGCAGCAATTCGCCCCCCCCCTCGTACTGATGACTTGAGAATGTACCCGTACTTCTTCAAGGGTACCTCGAGCCCGCCGTCTCGGGATGCGTCCAGCTACCGATTGATTGGTACGTAGCATCGCGTCTACGTATCGGTCAATGTCCACAAGTTCCAATGTTTAGCACTTCGCTCAAGTCTTTTGGATACTTTAACTGGGCAAATGATCATGATCATGATCATGATCACTATGCTCACCTATTATGATCACTATCATCACCTACTAGGATCACACGCTATGCTCAGCAATTGTGATCACTACTTATGATCACTCCTGATCACTCTCAGTAGGACCCCGGCCAATCCACCAAGAGCTCATATGCCGGAATCCCCGAAAATGGGCCCGAAGGGCCCGAAACTTACATGAAATTTAGGTCGATTTCCCCGAAAATGGGGCCTCCAGCGGCCGGGGTTACATCCCTCCCCAGCCCCGAAAACAAGCCCTCGCCGGGACAATCATATGCCAGAACCCCGAAAGTAAGCCTCGCTCGGCCGACCAGACGGCCGGGTCCCCGGCTGGAGACAGAATTTACCCAAAAAGCGACGGAATCAGCGCGTCGCGCTCTGTTTTCAATCGTTTCCCCGCCCAACCAGTAAAGGCCCGCCGGGCCGAGAAATCGACCGGGCGCCAAAAAGGCGCCTAAAGCCATGTTACATCCATTTTACCCCCGAATCCGGCGCAGCCGGCCGCAACTTATGTGAAAATCCCCGAAAAACACCGGATTTGGTACCCCCGAAAACGGCCCAAATGGGCCTCCAACCGGATGTGAGCTCTTGGTGGATTGGCCGGGGTCCTCTCTCAGTACATACTACTGAACGGCAACCTCCGGAGGGTTCCCCATTCGTCGTGATCATGATCACTCGCCCGATCCACCGGTCGCTGTTCGCCTCCCGCGACTGCTCCGTCAGAGCGAGCGCGCGCTCTTGCTCTTTGTTCGTGAACCACATCATCGACATCCTGACCGCAGGACGTCTGCACGATGCGGCTAGCCTCCATGGGCATAGTGGGCCGGAATTTCATCCGCGGTTCGTCGCGGGACTGTTCGTGACGAAGCTGGCTGACGACATGGACGCACTCCACGAAGCGGGTGTCCAGGGCTCTTCACGGTGAGTACCTCCGTGTTGCTTTCTCCTTCGACCCTGCACTGACACGAGGTGACTGCGTGCAGGATTTGCGTAGGATGCGGGTGGCCTCGTGTATGAAAAGAAGCGAATACCTACAAAGTAACTTGCCTCGCCGAGTGGCCCATTAAAAACATGCGTCCGCGAAGCCAGAAGCCCGACTCGCGAAGCGCAACGGTACCTATCCTACGCTTATCGGGTGGCACTGTGCAACTCCTGTTCGGTGGGACTTACGGCGTGCTAGTGTCACTGACAATGGCCATTCAGTCTGAGGACTCTCGCCTGCTCGAAGTTTCAGTTAGCGGGGAGATTAGTGGGTGGTCGAGCGCCCAGCAGCCCTCGTGGCCCCTAACAAACGGAATGCAGAGGACGTATTAAAGTGGCCATATCTCGCAGGAGTATCCCTCGTTCCCGCATCCCCTTTGACCGCCGTGGTATCGTCGATCCGCCGTACCCTCGTCGTCGTCACCATGCAGTTCCCGCACCCCTTCACAACGCCCTACTCCTTCTACGCCAGCCCCTTCGTCCAGTCACCGTACGCGAGCGTCAGCAACGCCGAGAACCAGCCTTCCGTTAGTCCCCTCCCCTTTGTACACGAAGATACGCCTGATTTAACACCTCCCTATAGGCATCGCTCGCTCCCTACTCCAACTTCGGCGTTGTCCAAAGTGGTCATCCCACTGCCGTCACCTTGTGAGCTCTCCTTTCTCTTTGTCCGAGCACCTCCTCCTATACTAATCCGCGTTTCTCGTAAAGCCTCATCCCTCCAGGAGCCAGCACTATCAACTTCACATGGCGGGCTGAAAATCCCGCCTCCACGATGCCTCCCCAGCTCCCTTTCACGAGTCCCCCGGATAGCACACACACCTCCCCGCGGAATCAGCAGGCGCACCCCGGGCATGATGGCGCAGAGCACGACCCTACCATTCGCAGCACGCTTAGACCCTCCCGCCTCCCGTCGCCCGCTGACAGCGTGCGCAGCGCGGTGACCTACGCTCCCCCGCCTCCGCCGATTGCTGAACCTACCACCACCGCCGATAACACCGCAGAGGCTGATACTACCGTCGCAACGGCGGGCTCTGAGCGTCCTGATCCTGGCCCTTCGATGAGGACTTCGCGCACACGCTCACCGTCCGACGCGGGCAGCCCTGGCGCCGAACGGCCTCCGAGAACCAGGTGCGCGTCCTCATTGCCCATACCGAGTTCGAACGGGTGTTAACATGTTGCCCCTATATTCAGAAGGAAGACATACTTCTCCACCGAGCTCTTCAAGCGCAAAATCAACAACATCGATAACGAGTACACGCAGTGGTACGAGTCCGACGCGGACCACAAACGCCGCGCGCCCCTCGAGCGCATCTGCGACCTCGTCGACCAGCGCACGCGCACCGGGCGGCTGTACGTGCACACGCACGCGCTGGGCGTACAGGCGTGGATGTGGGCGTACGAGCGGGGACCAGATGGGGTGAAGCCTGAAGGCGCGCGGAAGGAGTGGGTCGAGGTGCAGGTCGGGACTGCGCACCCGCGCCTGAGGGGGTATGTGCTGCATTTCCTGGGTAACGGGGAGCCGCGCTGGGTGAAGGCGCACTCGGCGGTGACGTATTCGATCAGGAGACGCGCATCCGGGGCGGGGGACGATGACGACTACCAGGAATGAATGCGCGAGTTCTGGAGACCGCGTACGCCGTTGACCTGTCCTGTCAGGTAAGTGGTATGTTGCGTGAATGTTCAGGCGGTACTGACCGCCGCGTCGTCTTCATAGGCCTACTTCATAAGAAGATTCGATTTCTATGGTCCTATATCGCCCAGCTACGCATGTAAAACATTCGAACATCAACTATTGACCTTTTCGTCTCCATTCCCTGTCGGCCGCGTCAAAAGTTTGTGTACAGTTATAGTGCGGTCCCCATCTCAGGAATATCCAAGGTGCGCGATCAGTATTGGAAGATTCAACTGTGCCTTCCTCATGGCTCCTCTACATTTTCCGTATCCCCTGTTCCCCCGACTGGGTAACGGTAAGAACCTCACCCCTGGGCGCGCTGACTCGGATGCAGTCATACAGCGCCATACCCTCGCGGCCGTCGAATGGCCTGGGATTAATATGCCATTATGAGTAACTCCCGCCATTCGGCTTTTGCCATGGACTCCCCCCGCATGTGGTCCCCCGCAAATCCGGGGTAGGGCACTGGGCAATGGGCAGCGGGTACGCGGCGGGCCACTCCCCATTCCCGCGATCACATGGATTGCACCTATCGAAATGCAGACATAAGCCACAGGTACGATAAGCTCGGGCTACCCGTTGATGTTGTTGCGGCGAGTTGTTACTGACGCCGAGGGGATGACGGGAAAGGATGATCTACGCGCGATGATGGCGGGTCCTGGGAAGGGGGGGGCGGGGGCGGGGGGGAGGGTCGCACCGCGCGTGGGGTATGCCTTGACTTGATATATGCCAAACAACCATTCCATCTCTACCGCCTCCAACGGCGAAAACAACGAACGCGTTGAACGCGTCGGACGCGTCGAGTGCGACGCGCCTCCCAACCAGACCGTCGTGAGTGCTTTTCGACGCGTATTTGTCCTCAACGTGTGCACTAACGCGTGATATTCGGGTAGACACACCGATGGGAGATCACGTACACTTGCACCGGTGGGGACGAAGCTCAACCCCCCTTCCGACCTGTACTTCTGTGAGTAGTCGCGTCGCTCCGAGAACGTGCATGAACTTACCTTTCGATGTTACGCGTAGATACTCCCGTCAAAACGGCTCGAATGCCCCTCCCACGCTTCGCATGGCGGTAGAACGGACCGGAAGTCGAGGAGGGTCACAGTCGGGAGCCACGACCTCTGAGAACAGAGCGCGTCCTCCACAGACCGAGGTATCACGCCCTGCTCAGGCGGGCACTGCTTCGAGTTCAAGTAGCGTGGTGAGCTACGCCTCTGCACCTCGCACTCCCGTCAACAATCCCGCAAGCCGCCGTCCGACGGCGTCCCAGTCATCGCAGGGCAGGTCGCCCCGCCGTGCCCGCCGCACTGATCTTCGGCGTTCCGCATCCCCTCCTCCCCGCGACCCAAACCGACGCCGGCTTGCTAGACGTGTTGGAGAACTGTACGTTTCTTTTTAGTTGTCTCCCGTGTGCGATCGCCGCGGCTGACTGTGTGATTAGGCCGTCTTGGAGACCCAACCTGAACACACGCAAGATTCGCGGGTGCGACGCATCCACGGAGTGGACCGAATCGCATAGCGAGCATCCGCTACGGGCGATGCCAGCAGCCCTCCTACGAAACCCGCGCGACCTGGACGGGCTGCCCATCCCCACGGGACGCCTACACGTTCATTTCCACAACCGCGGCTCGCAGACATGGATGCTGGTACGGCGCAGAGTCGCTGCGCGCCACAGACGCGACTCCGAACCGGGACCAAGTGGCCACCCTTCCCAGACAGCTGTTGCCCAAGAGGGGACGGCTGGCGCGAGTTCCGAGCCCGTATATCGGCGCGAATGGATGCCTGCGCGAGCTGGCACCAGGCATCCGCGCCTTCCAGGGTATGTGCTGCACTTCCTGGACAGGGGCGAGCCGAGCTTCGTCCGGGAGGCGTCGGCGCGCGAGTACGCGGCGAACAAGAGGAAGCGGGAGAGGATGGCGCAGACAACGTGAACCACACGCTCGTCCGCGTCAATAGTCAGATAAGCAAGCCGTTTCCGCCTGCTCACTTTTTTATCACCTCATGTCTATCCATGTCATCCCTCCACCAGTACCATATGTCTCTCTCCCCTATCATTATGCACTTCCTTCACATCAATCCCACACCGTACTACCCCCTCACTTCACTGTAATAGCCATGTACAGCCTTTATGCCTTCAATATACCACAGCATCCATGGACATTGAAGCGTGCCCTCTCCGTCGGTCGCGCCTTTACATTCTCTATCTCTGTTCTCAAGGCGAAGATTGGGCGCGTACGCGTTGCAATTGCAGGTACGGAAACGGTCATAAGCCACAGCAATGATACGCGGGGCTGCCATCAAGCTGAGTGCCGCTTCGCGCGCGAGTCGTCTCTTCATCCGCTCCTCGATGTCACTGACAGCTCACTCGCTCAGCCAGCAGGATCTATGCTACGAAACAAGTTTACCTCTTCCGCGTTCAACAGCGAGCACATCGAACGCAAGCCTACCCCCAGCCAGACCATCGTGAGTGCCTCTAGCTCCGTCGTGTGAGCGCTTAGTAACAGCAGTGTGTGTTGGCAGGTGCACCGATGGGAGGTCACCTACACCTGCAACCCTGGGGACGAAACTCAGCCCCCATCTCTTCCTGTTGTTGTGTGAGTAGCTCCTTGTCCAAGGGGACTGCGAATTTAAATTTCATGCGTAGATACTCTCGCCAGGGGGGCTCGGATGCCGATTACCCCCGTCCCGCTTTGCACATTGCGGTAGAAAGCGCAGATGTGCAAGTAAAGCGCGAGCCAGAAGTTGGCGCCACGATCCTTGGGAAACGGGCCCGCTCTCCTTCACCTACCGTCGCGTTGCGCTCCACACAGGCAAATGCTGTTTCTGGGACGAGCCGCGTGGCGAGCTACGCAGCCGCCCCTCATTCCCCAGGCAACGACTCCGTTCTCAGCCGCCAGGCTGGCCCCCGTAAGTTGCAGGGAAAGTCATCCAAACGTGCACACAATGCCGACCGTCGACGCCCCGCATCCCCTCGCCGCCGCTCGGATGAAACCAGGATTACTAGTAAACGCGCCGAAGATATGTACGTTTACTGCCTGGCTGTGTACCACGTACTACCGTTGTGACTGACGCCGCGGCTAGGGCGTCTTGGAAACTCAAACTCCGTACGCGCAAGATCCGTGGATGCGACGAGTCCACAGAGTGGTCCAAGTCCCGTAGCGAGCACTCAATCCGGGCGGTACCAGACGCCCTCTTGCGACACGAGCGAGGCCAGGACACGCCGCTCTCACTGGGGCATCTGCACTTGCACATACACAAACGCGGTGTACAGACGTGAATGCTGGTGTCGGGCGCTGGTGTCGGGCACCGCCACCGTGCGTCGCGAACGCGACTCTGGGTGGGGGTCTGCGGGCAATGCCCCCAAAGGAGTGCGAAGCACGAACCCCGAGCCGTTGCGCATACGAAAATGGGTACCCGCAACAATTGGCACGAAGCATCCATGCCTTGCGGGATATGTGTTGCACTTCTTGGATAGCGGCGAGCCGGGATTCGTCCTGGAAGCGTCGGCACGCACCTACGCGGCGGGGCGGAAGGAGCGGAAGAGGCGGAAGAGCATCGCGTAGACGGCGTGGACCGCATGTTTGTCATGGTCCGACTCGCGCGCGACTGCGGGCGGAATGCCCCCCTTCCGCACTCAGGCCGCTTTATGTTCCTTCGCAGCGGTGTAGTTGTGTTTCTACAAACAATTGACATTCACTATCGACGAGACGTTCCCTCACACACCTGATTCATACCACATGCTCCACGGCACAATCTACAACGAGCGCGGCACACCAGGGCACACCTGGACTGGTACATGAATACGTTAAGGCTGATCAAGCATGTCAAATGGCGATTACCTGAGGTTAGCTATTGTTCGGTGGCCCGCCACTGCTTTCCTCACGACTGTCCGGGTTCCTCAAGGGTAAGTGTGGTGTGTACCGGGACCTACTTGTCTAATTTAGCAATGAGCGTATTGTACACTCGGAGGTGGGCGTCCACCCGTCCCGGGCCCGCGTCCGCCGCGCGGTTCAGACGCGGCTCCGGCGTCCGCCCTGGCCCCTCTCGCCTCACACTGTTGTGTATCGTTCAACGTACGTCCCGAGAGCCCCTCACACTCGCCCGTATACCCGCCTTATAGACTACTTCGATCAGCACGGGGACTCCAGCGAGCATGAACAAAAGGCACAGTGTGCATGCTCGGCGGCCTCCGTCCCGTGCGCCGTCCTCCTGCCGCCGTCCCCGAGGTGTTACGCCGCAGTACCGCGCGGCGCAGTGGATGTTGACCATACCACGTTGGGGGGACAATAAGCCACATTATGGGCATATATAAGCTTCGCACCCCGCGAGCTTCTTTTCCCCGCCCCCTTCCGTTATCGGACTCACCGTACGCGTGCGTCGATCATCCCGCCTCCCCCATTGTCGCATACCCTTTCCGTCATGCAGAGCAGCACGTCGCCTTCGCCTGCCGCTGCGCCCACCGTTGATACTCGCACCACGAGCCTGCCATCTGTTGGGGCTAACGTCACACCAGACTCAGGCTTCCAGACGTCCGTCATCGTGCACACTCGGGTGAGTGCAGATTTACTCTAGATACAAGCGCTGACCGAGTAGAACGCTTCGGGTATCGTTGTTGTCGACGATGCCCGTTATAGACGACCAAAGTCGAGGTCAACGTAACCCCGCAGGACGCAGCAAGTACGGCCGAGAGCCCGGCTGAGGGGGTCACTATGTGAGTATTAGCACTCGTATCGGAACTTTTGTGATACTCACCTTCGCCCGAGTAGTGATGTAAACGGAGGAGTCGCCCGGATTTCCTTGCATCCAAGGATCAAAGGCGCCGATACCTCTCCTCTGAACCAAGCTGCAGGGAGCTCTAGCCCCAATGTTGATATTCCATACCCTATGTGGGAAGCCGCCGCGTCCCCTGCAGGCAGTGGGGTGAGCTACAGAACCGCCCCAGCTTCACCGGTGGGCATCAGCAACAATAGGAGTCCTTACCGTACGGCGCCGGGGTCGCCCGCAGGCAGTACGGCCGGCCGCATTCGCCGGCGTGATTCATCATCCCCTTTCAATCGTGCATGTCCGGGCAGAGCCAGGTCATCCGGGAGCATTGACGAATTGTATGCGTGCCTCTCCTGTCGTATATCTTCCTGTACTGACTGTGGCGGCAGCACCTCATGGAGTCTTGTCTTGCGACGACGCAAAGTCAACGGCCTCAGCATGCACACGGAGTGGTACGAGTCGTGCGGCTCGCACGAAGTCACAGGGCCCCCTCTGCCTTTGCTGAAGCTCGCGCGGGACCCTTACGAGCGGCCCTTCCCGGTTGGACGTCTCTATGTGCACATCCTGCACCAGCCGGGTCGCCGCAAGGCCGTCCGCCGCACGCAAGTGTGGATGTGGAAGAAGATCGCAGTACGGGGCTCTCATGCAGTCGGAACACAGGGCGCGGAGGGCACGGGCAAACGTACCGTAGAGAAGTTTGTCCCTATCTTTGAGGAGCACAAGCACCCGGTGCAGAAGGACTTGCAGCTGCATTTCGCGGAGAATGGGCGGCCCAGGTGGATTCGGGAGTCGACGGCACGGAGCTATGCATCCAAGAAGACAAATGGCATAGATGCCCGTGTGGAGCGGATCCAGAACCGAGGCCAGTAGTCGCATCCAAGCCCTGTAATAGTAACGCGGTCAGATAACCTGGCTTTATCGGACACCTCGCACTCACCCCGAATGCCCTTCATCCCTTCCGACTATTTAATGCCACTTCTCGACCTCGCATGGCCCTAAGGGTTGTCCGGTCGCTGTATTACTATCAGTATGTGCTTCCACAATGTATCTTGCCAATAACATGGTGCTGACCAGGGTGTACTTTCAGCTAATTTAATTTTCAAGTCCCTGTCGTTATTACACCAACCCTCATTCAGTCCCTTCTTACCTGTCGGTATACGTCCTTGGAACCGCCCATTTGTGGATATCCTACTCGCCTCCTTCTGTCCGACACATTGATCCCTGGCGGAAATCCCCGTGTAGAATAGGTACCGGCTTGCCCTCGTAAAATAGTGACTTGCGAACGTTACGACCCAATTATGACCTTATGACCCATGTATTTCGACTGAGTGCATTCTTGATTGACTCCGGCGGCGAGAACAAATTGACAGGCCTGCTGAGAACGTCCGTGACGGTGTGTATCACCGAGACTAACAGTATGATGTTGCTGAATTGTTGCCGCCGTATGGGTTCATACGAACTCTGTCAGGCTCCGCGCCGAAAGCAGCGCTTCAGCCCCCCGTCCACACAGGGTAGCCATGTCGGGCCTGGAGGCGAGTCCGAGGCAGCCAAGCGGACGCCCTCGAAATGGCGCACTATTGAAGAGATTATTCGCTGTTAAAGAAATAGCGTGGCTTTATCATTCCATGATCTAAAAAAGACATCATGCAAACGCAGCCTCCTCAGCACTCGCCAGCTCGCTGAAACCATAGTCCTCGCCCTTCACGAAGGCACGCGTGCACTGTGCCATTGTGACCGAACTGTGCATAATATCAGCGTTCATGTCCACATCACATTGAGATAGGGAGAGGGAAGTACTCACGCTCGTGAGATGGGGTCCGTCTGGTAGAAGTTGTCGATGGGCTTCTTCAGGGGCGCGCCGGAGACCTTCGCGCCGGCGGTGCCTGCGGCGAGGGTCTTGAGGCCGGCGAGGGCAACGTCCGTGGACGTCGGCTCGAGGGTGTCGTAGCGGAGGAGCGTGGGGGAGATCTCCCACATGCGATCCCGCAAGCTCAGGATGTCGTCGTACGGTAGCGGCGACCCGGTCACCTCAGACAGAGCACTGTGGCAATCGTTAAGGCGCCGCTTTTCGCAAATCGAAGACGTAGGAAATGCACGTACCGGATAATCTTCCAGTCCTCACGCGACGCACCCGGAGGGGGGACAGCAGCCCGGCCAACTTGCGCACGGCCCTCGGTGTTCACCCACGTGGTGGCCTTCTCAGTGTAGGCGGAGCCGGGAAGGACGACGTCGGCGAGCTGAGCACCAAGGTCACCGTGGTGGCCCTGGTAGACAACGAAGGCATCCTGGGGGATGTCCTTCGGGTTGACCTCGTCGGCGTTGAGCAGGTAGACGAACTTGGGCTTGGCTGTTGATGCCTTCTTCGAGGGGACAAAGCCGATATCATATGCAGCCGCACGGGAGGCAACCTACACAAAACAGTCAGTGCATGCATACCGCTGTAGAACACGCAAGACGCTTACCCGCTGGAGGACGCTGTAACCGTTCCACTCGGGGGTAACGAGCTTCTCCTTGTTCGCGTCGACGTACTTCGCCAGCGCGTTGTAGATGGCAGCACCATCCGCATGCTCCACCAACGAGCTGCCGACGATGATCAAGGGGCGCTTCGCCGCCTTGAACTTCTTCGCAAACTCGCCCTTGCCCGCGACAAAGTCCGCAACCGCCTTCGCGTCCGCGCCGAGGTAGTCGTACCCGTAAGTCGTGTCCACCCGCTCGCCGATCAGCCCGACCTCGAGCGTGGTGTGCAGCCAGCTCTTGCGAATACGCGAGTTGAGGACCGCCGCCTCATGCCGGGGGTTGGTGCCGACGAGAAGGATGGCGTCGGCCTGCTCAACGCCGGGGATAGTGGCGTTGAAGAGGTAGTTTGACCGCACGTCCACTGCGTGGACGGGTGCAGCGTGGCCGCCGACGTGATCGAGGGCGGTGTTGTCGGAACCCAGACGGTTGACGAAGTCCTTGAGGGCAACAAGCGACTCGGTGTCGGCGAGGTGGCCGGCAATGGCCTTGATTTCATCGCCCTTGGCACCAGAGCGAGCGAGACCGTCGGCAACGGCGGAAATCGCGTCTTCCCATGACACGGTCACGAAGCGGTCGCCCTGCTTGACAAGGGGCACGGTAAGACGTTGGAAGCGGAGACCGTCGTGCGCGTAGCGGGTCTTGTCGCTAATCCACTCCTCGTTGACGTCGTCGTTCGGGCGGGGTTGGACGCGCATGACAACCACGCCGCGAGAGTCGACGCGGATATTTGAGCCAACGGCATCGAGAACGTCGATAGAGTCGGTGTGCTTGAGTTCCCATGAACGGGCATGGAACGCGTAAGGCTTGCTTGTGAGCGCTCCGACAGGGCAAAGGTCGACGATGTTCCCAGAGAGCTCGGAGTTCATCGTCTTCGCAACGTACGTGCCAATCTGCATGTCGTTACCACGTCCAGTCGTACCGAGCTCCTCCACACCGGCAACTTCGTTGGCGAACCGCACGCACCGTGTGCACTGAATGCAACGGTTCATAGAGGTCTTGACGAGAGGGCCCATGTCCTTGTCCTCGACGGCGCGCTTCCCCGCAATCTCGTGGAACCGTGTTCGGTCGGCACCGTAACGCATGGACTGGTCCTGGAGATCACACTCGCCACCCTGATCACAGATGGGGCAGTCGAGTGGATGGTTGGATAGCAAGAATTCCATGACACCCTCGCTATAAACGCATAAATGTGGGTCCTATCTCAGAATACGAGGAATACTCACCGAGCTTCATGGACCAAAGGAGTGTTCGTCCATACCTTAGCGCCAGGCATGGCAGGCATGGCACTATGCAGAGTTCAGGCAGGACAGAAGCTACACGGGCACTATGCTCACCAAGAGGCGACAGGTTTTGGGGATCGCTCAACCTCAACCAAACACATACTATCGACGAAGGTCAGCCCCGAATAACGAGACAGACGTTTTTGGCATTAGGTACTCACCGGCAGTTACCAGCGATAGCTAGTCGGTCATGGTAACAAAATCTGCACAGGTGTCAATTGTGGGGCACAGCGCGCGGTGCAGGTCAGGCCGACCTTGGTATTGTTGCACCCGCAGCCTCGCAAGCCTGGATGAGTGCAGAGCCTACAGCAGCCACGTTAGCAGAACGCCCACCAACCCGAGGAACAGCATTGGACGCGTACCTTGGGGGACCGTCACTTCCTTTCCATCGACAGTAAGAGTGATGTCTGCCCTCTTCGCCGGCGTCGAAGAGAACGTCCTACGACCTGGAAAAATTGGCAGAGCCCAGGTGAGCAATCACGAACCAGCTTGGGGAGGACGCAGCGCACTTGGGCGAGTCGACGCGGAGGGGGCGACCTTGGCGAGCACGCCCGCCGCCGAGGGCTTGGAGGCCGACGAAACGAGCCGCAGCATGGCTTGCGCCGGGAGAGGACTAGAGGGGTATGGCGGTAGAGAGTAGGAACGTCGGCGATGTGCGCAACGACGAGGAGAGGGTGAAAGACGCCGTGCTCGTCGCCCAACGCGATGACCAAACTCCGGATTTGGCCGAATGGCAACCGCGCGTCGTTGATTGGCTGGAATTTACCCGCGCCGCCATTGGCTTATCCCCGCTGGGCCGCGGCCCGTCTGTGCTCGGCTCTTGCGGGGCAAAGGCCACGAAACATATAAACATGTGTAGTCAAGTCAATCCACGACTAATATTATTGAAGAACGGTGAATAGCAATTATCGACGTATGATACATTGCTACTGATACAACAACATGTCCGCATTACCAGGCCGCGAGAGAGCAGAGCACAAGCAAGAAAACCAGAGAAAAATAACTTCACGGCACATACACCACCATCAGGACGTTCACCACCAGCTTCTCAATCTCCCCAAGTGCCGACACGAAGGGCACGCGCTCCTTCGAGACGATCCCGGGGAATATCACAATGTCGGACACGAGGACAATGTCGGTGTCGTTGATCGGCACCGCGCCGCTCTTGACTACACGATGCCGCAGGTCGTCCGCCTCGTCTTCGCCAGGTTCTGACGCCGAGCTGAAGGGCCCACGGATTGGGGGCAAGCGTGCACCGCTGAGGACGGACAGTGGTTGGCGAGCGACGGACGCCGTGGGGCTCTCGGCCGCCTCGTTGACAAATTCGACAGTCTGATCCACGGCCCAGACGTATCCACCGGCAGTCCAGCGGAGCTCTGGCGCGAGCTTGTAGAGCTTCAGCGCGTGGTAGAGGATCGAATCACCGCCCTTGAGCTGCAAGGAGACGTAAGTGGTCTAGAACCGGGGACGAAGAAGCAGCAACGGGAGACGTACATTGGGCACAAGCGACTCCGCCAACACCTCCCCGGGGTTCACCCCATACTCCCCCGTCAGGTAGAACGCGATGCGCCTGCCGCGCGACATGTTCAGCACCGGGGAGAGCAGGTCGAGGAACTGATCGCTCGGGTTGATAAGCGGGTCCGGCTGGATGCCAGCGGGCCCGAACGACTTGACCTGAACGGCGTACGCGATCGTCATGCGACACCCGCTCCGCACAGGCTGGATCTCGTAGTCGCTCTCGGACAGGAACGCCGCCCACTCGAGGTCGTTGCCCTTCCCGCCCCGTCCGTAAAATTTCTCCTCCATCCCGTCATGGCTCCGCACCACGAGGGCGCCTCCGCGGAACTTCACTGGAAGCGTCACGAGCACTGTGGCTACCCGATTATCGAGCGGCCGCGACTGCGCCGTAATTCCGTTCCCCTTCGGCCAGATCTCGAGCTTATCCCGGACCGCCGTCAGGTAGTGCCCGACTGGGAGCGCCGGGAAGAGGGTATTCCGCACCGCCTCAAGGATTGGGTGGTTCGCGAGCTCGAGTGTCGCGGTCAAGGGGAGGCTGGGCGGGTAGAACAGGGTTTCGTTTTCGGCGTAGCCACTCGCCGATGGATGGGGCATGCATGATGCGATGAGTACGTCGAGCGCAGGGGGCATATCGACATCGACATCGATGGGAAAATCGAGCGAATGGCTGATACCGCTCTGATCAGCCACATCCCACAGTCAGAATCGTGCATCGCTGACCAAGGGAGCTAGCACAACGCACCTGAGACCTGAAGAACAACGTGAGGTTGGTCGGATCCATGGGGACCCGTCCTGCGACCGCGAAGGGCCGCCCTTTTGCGGTGACCAGCGCCGATAGCGCTGCACGGTACGCCGCCTGAGTGTCGTACTCTGGGTCGGAACCGCGTCGCCGAGGCTTGTTTGGGGAGAAGGGGGCTTTGCCAGACATGGTGTGCTCGACTTGGAATTCGGATACGCTCTGGGTGCGGGGTACTGGGAGATCAGGGTAGCGACTAGGGCCGGGTGAAGACATATTTGAGATAGTCGAGAGAGGCATCATCGGTGCTTAGACACAGGCAATGGTCGTCGCAGAATGAAGAGGGGGACAAAGAGGCGCAAGGGCCAAGAGGCTGCGGGTTGCAAGGGATAATAGCCTGGTGCAAAGCGTAGGTAGCGCGGCTGGGCCCGTGGTATCAAGGCGTCTGCCCGCGGCCGTGCGGGTCTTATGACGACAGCCTGCAGAACATAAAGCGTGCGCGATCACATCTTCTTCCCGCACACGCACTTGCAACGTGTTTTCCCAGATGGCACATCGCCCCCCGGCCCATTCACTGCTGGCCTGTGGCTCGGCGGACGCGATCGCGAGATAGCAGATGCGCGCGCCCTCTGGGAGGCTGCGATTCAATCGCCTGGACCCTGATACCCCGGGCGCAGCAGGCGCACGCCCTGGGAGACCCTTCCCTAGCGTTCCTGTGTTCCTAGCGGGTAGTCAGCGTGCTGTGTGCGTACGTCCACATAACGAGAGCATACCGTCTGCCGTCGTGCGGCGGGCGCAAATCAATCCGGACATGTCTTCGCAGCTTCGCGTGGTCCAGAGCATCTGGCTACGGCGCCGTGGCCAGTCTGCGGAGGCAGCGCTCCACGCTTGGGCCACCCAGGGAAGGGCCACAACAGGCTTTCGCGCGAAGGCCACGCGGCACAGGCGTGTTTGCATAGAAGCTGGCTGACCGACGTGATTCTCATGTCGTCCAGGCTGGTTCTTGCTCCGGAGAAAGTCCTTTGGGTGTCCCATCTTCCGGGAGAAGTTTGAAGATATCCAGATATCCCGTCGGAGCTGCCAGATCATAGGGATAGCGGTGAGTGTGTTATTTGGCACATTGGTGTTCCGAGGACCGACAGCGCCACATATGCGCTAGGATGGCCCTGAGAGACAGTCCACCAGCACGCAGAACAATGAGATGGCAAGGCTTTCATGCGGCATGGTGGTGGCAAGTAGAGGTGTGGCAAATCCGTGAGCGCCGAAGCTCCACGATTGTTCTACATTTTTGGGTGATCTACGAACTTTCGAAAGGTCGAGGAGTGCGTTCAGATCTCAGGGTCGCCGTTGGCCCCGCAGCCCACACAACTCCCGCTATCACGAGGCATGCGATTACCCAGGACTCTACGATTATTTACGGCGGCGGAGCGCGCGGACAGCTGGTAGTACTACATCCTATGCTAATTCTATGTGAAACGTCCCGCAGACCCCAGGAGCAATGCCGAACCCGCCAGCTGACCAATACTTGCGTCAGTGGTCGGGGGCGGAGATGACCACGAAAAGGACGGATGCCATGAAGGCGCCGTGAAGAGTGGAGAGAAAAGCTTAGGGGGTGAGCGTATAGCTCATCGCGTCCCGGTCATCCGCCCACAGGCGCGCGTACTCGAGACACAGTCGGTAAACGTATGCTGCGGGGAGTAAGCGTGGTGGTCAGCGGAGTGTTCATATGAACAACGCGAGGCGGCAGGGAAGGGGGGGCAAGCGACACGCCAAAGTAAGGTACGCACCTTCCATATCGACCCGTCGTACGATCGTGCGCTTCCACTGCTTGCCCGCGCGCGCGATCCGACGCAGCCTCCGATCGCCATCGACGGTCCTGCGCTGCTCTGGGGGTATCGATAGCGCCGTCGCGTTCGCGGCGCGGAGGGTGGACTCTGTCGCGCCGGAGAAGAACGCGTGCACGTTGTAGATCTCGGAGTACGTTTGTGAGATGGGGATGTAGTGCAACCTTTGGGGACGTGTCAGGTACGGTCACGAGAAAGCGGAGACGGTACGGAACAAGACGCACCACGGCTGTATCCAGTCCGAGAAGAACTCGCGGTAGACAGTGGACTTCATGACAGCACTGTCTGACTCCATGAACGAGAAGAATCGGCCCGAGTAGCCCATTCCATCGAGGTCCACAATGTATTTGTGCTTCCAGTGGTCGCCGAGGTTGACACCCCCGTCGTCGACGCGGTGCTGCTGCACAAACGTGTCGTGGCCGCCTGGGAAGTTCTCCGCTCCGACGACCTTGACGAATGCCACGTCCATGACCTCATCGTTCAGTGCCGCAGCGGGAACATCGGCATAGATATAGTTCGTCGACCCGGGCGGATCGGCGAAGACGACCGTACGGTTAGCCGAGGACCGGTCGCTTGCGAGACGCACGAATCTGAGGCGGAAGCGAGCTCGCACGAGGCCACCCCGAGAGCTACGAACACGACGCACCTATGACGCTGATACTGTGCAGCGAATCCAGGAGGCGAGCTGCCGCCACCCGTTGAGGCACCCCGCCAGAATATCTTATCGCTCTTCTCGTCCCAGGGCGTCTCCATGTCATCCACGGGCTTGAGCTGCAAGTTCACGGAGTCCCACCCGTAGGTATACCGCCGTGTCTGCGCGTAGTAGTAATGGCTCGGGATCCGGATGTCCATGTATCCGGACGCTTTCGCGGGCGAGAACATTGGGAAGATTGCGGGGATGGTCCGCCAGTCGGAGAAGAAGTGGCCTTGGTTGTAGTGCGCCCACGGGTTCGTGCAGAAAGAGTAGTTGCCGGCGGTACTGCGGGCGAACACGAATTCCTCGCTCCGTGCGGAGAGCTGGCTTGTTTTGTGTGTCGATGAGGCGCGGAATGAGCTAAATAGGCGGCGGGCGGCGGTGCCAGGCTCGCATGTCCGCCGGAACGCCTCCCAGACGTTTCCCTCTCCGTGCCAGTCAGGGTGGTGGATACCACTGAGCTCATTACGGACCGCGTCTAGAGGCGGGAAGATGGTCAGCGCACGCTCTGGGGCACTCCGTCAGGCTGTATCCAAAGGGACGCGATGTGGTCCACACGCTGGGCTTCCTGCTAACACGCGTTGCACTTGTTACCGTAGCAGTGCCGCCGTTTTCTCAAGATTTCTTGAGCCGTTATGTAGCGTGGTAATCACCGAGAATGACGCGACAGCCGCTTGCGCACCTTATATCCGCAAAGGGTGTCCGTTGATTAAACACGAAACAGTGCGTACTCACCGAGGTTGGACTGCATTGTCAGGTTAGAGCGTACTCTGCTCTCCCATGGTACGAGGATTCGCCCTTCAGCCATCCCGTTGACCGGAAACTCGAGATCCGGCAACTGACATCTTGTTAACAAGACTTCGAGAAGGTACGCTGCGGTCATCACGTACCTCGCCCTGGAACTTCTCCACCATGGACAGCAGACCTTTCGCGCGTGCACTCACGTCTCCGGTTTCGTAGCCATCCAGAAGGTTCACTGCGGTCGCGTTCCCCGATTTGACGCGTACAACATCGACAAACGGTAGGTGGCCCGCCTGCGATAGCTCAGCAGAATATATACGCTAACATTGCGTAGTCACTCACCAAGCCTGCGCGCCATCGCATCTGCTCTCCAGGAAGTTCCCAAAAGGGCGCGAGGTCTTCGTCGATGTTGTCGTACTCGTCAATCATGAGCACACCGTTCTCCTGCGCGAATGCCCACCAGCGGTCGAACCCGCGAGGAGGTTTCCGGTGGTACCGCCGCTCGTACTCCTTCACCGCGTCCTCAAGCGTCCTGCTCTGTCTTGATAAGACGTCTCTGAACTTCGTCTCCGCCTCCGCCATGAGCTTGGGTATCGGGTGCTCCTTGATTGTTGGCCTCGCGCTTCCTCTGCTGAAAGGCAAGTAGCGGGAGGTAGACACGACCAGGGAGTTATCGGGAAAGTTGTCTGTCTGCTGCCTACGCGCCGCCCATAGACCCCCTTGCATGAAAGCAATGATAACAGCCGTGAGGAAGAGGAGGCCCTTCTTCTGGCCAGAGAGGCCTTCGTACATGATGGCAGGCCGGGCTCTTCGCGTGGTCGTGAGTGTTGATTCCCAGTTTTGGACCTCGACGCCGGGTCGACAGCACGAGTCGTGGGGTTAATGAGCGGACTGGTTGGGAGGGAGGAAGAGGGGAAACAAGCAGTTCAGGAACAACCTGTTCGCTGTCCCGCCCGACCGCTGCTTTCCGCCACGCTGGACTAATTAATTACTACATTGGGCGCATACTGGGCGCCTGTATTTGCTTATGTCAGGCAGCGGGGCGCCTACCGGCCGGATGAGCTCAGACTGCGGCGGTACGCCCATGAGTTAAGACCACCTCCTCATCTCTGTTCTTTACCACCATGAGTTCCCCGATATACCCTCATAGCCCTCATAATACTGCTGGTGCAGGCCCCAGCCATCCAAATACTGCTTCATCTTCACGCGCATACTATCGACCAGCTACTATTGCCGAACTTGCCGCCAAGGCCCAGGAGAACCTCTGGAATGGAAACCTAGGCCTCAAACACTGGTTACGCACGGCTGAGAAGGCTCGGAGAACAGCTGAATCTCTAATACAGGCCCACGACTATGAAGCCGCATTCGTGGAGTACGCGAAAGCCGCTACGATCGTCCTCGAGAAACTCCCTACCCACAGAGAGTATCAGACGCTGCTGAGTGCCGATCAGCGAAGTAACCTTGGAATGGTCAGTCGTCCGTTACTTTAATGGCATCGCTGGGATTTGGGGAAGCTCTGGTCAGTGTAGCCTGGCAATGTGGCAGACGACCCATCGCGTAGGCGACACAGCACCGGCTTCTCGTACCATCCCGATCGTTAACCTTTATTGAGGCACGGCCGGACATATCGTCGATGTGGCGGCTGTGCCCCATGCATATAATCCGACGGCATTTGGATGAGTTTGAAGCCTGGATACCTCAGTTGCCCCCCGGGGGTTGCAGAAGACTTGATCCGAAGCTTGTTGCCTTCGACCTCATCCGGTAGGCGCATCGACTACTTCAACACATCTGCACCAGCGATACATCTCGGCTTGTGGTCGCGCACAGGAGTGTGGTATATGCACGTTAGTCCATACCTTGGCTCTCTAGCAAACCGGGTGCCATATATCCCGAGCCAATGGAATGATCGAAGGCCAAGCAGACAGGCGGATGAGGTGGGCAGAACTGTGTTAGATGTGACAGACATGGGTTCCTCGCCGCTCTTTAGTGCGAAGAGTGACACGTTGCCAGTTGGACGTGGCGGAATCGGCGACGGTTATACAGTCGCGTACGCACGCCGGGATCGCTAACGTCACCACTCAAGGTGGGGGTAGGTGGCTGCGCTCGCGAGACGGTAGAGCTTGGCTTCTTCTAGGGTAAATGTGGAACTCACGTAGCGAGATCGCCCCTGATTCCTTCCATTGTGGGAGTTAACGGTCTAGGCAGAAGCTGCGCAAAATCGGTACAAGTATATGGCGCGTGTAAGACAGTCTAAAGATTCTGGGTATACTCGTTACGCTGGGCCTACAGTTTCCATGTTTCGGACTCGACTGGTTTCCAGGTGTCGTTTCTTCGTGACTTCCGCTGCGTGTTTGCGCATCGTTACTGACACCATCATCCATACAGAATGGCCAAGACATACTCGATAGCTTGAGCCAGCTGAAGCCCATACTCGTCGAGCGCTATGATCAATGGCAAGCGAGCCAGCGAAACACGCCAGGATCAAGCCGGGCTTCATCGGCAGATCCGGGGCTCAGCCGCGAGGAGGAACGCGCGCGAGAGGCACGGGAGGCAGCGAGGAGAGAGGAGGTCTGGAAGCAGGAGGAATATGTCCGCAGACAAGCGGAGGAGCGAGAGCGACAGGCGCGCGCCGAGCTTGCCTGGCAACAGTCCGGGGAGGCCAGAAGGGAGGACGTGGGTGCGAGACGTGCGGCAGAAGCGAGGGCGTTAGCAGAAACCGAGCGGATCTCGATGGGGGAAAGGCAGCGGCGAGAGGACGATCAGAGGCGTTCACAGGCGGATGAAAGCAGACGAGAGGAGGACCGCTCAAAGCGGAGGGTAGCAGACGAACGACGGGCACAGGAGCAAGATGGCATCGTGCGTCGACAACAGGAGGCGGAGGCGGCGGCGAGAGCAGCACGACGGGACATTGCAAGGCTCACACCATCACCCGCAGGAGGCTCATCGTATCGTCCGACGAACGCAGATGCGGCCTCGAACAATGCGCCGCAGCCACTGTATGCTCCACAACCGTCGCGGCCTCCGCCTCCCTCGCAGCAGTCGTCGTTCGGCGATCCATACGGCACGGGCAGCACTGTACCTGTCATGCCGCTCGAGAGCCCGAACAAGTACGACGACGACTCTTCCACGGATGCTGAGGGTGTCGAGCGGAAACCGTCCTCTCGGTCGCAGCGGAACGATCAAACTCCGAAGGGCAGACCGATTGTCCCAGGGTAGGTTTGTCTATCGTTATTGTGCGTCAGATACTTAACGGCTGCTGCAGGGCCACGCCAGAATCGCTCTTGACCACGACTTCTCCGCCACCACCAGAGATGGGCAGCATCAGATATCCCTCCCTCATGTCGCAGCACCAGCTGAAGCAAGGCTACGCGCCGTCGCTGCAGTCGATGTTTGCTAATACGCATATATCCAAGACCCCTCAGGCTGATGCCTCGCTCCTCCTGTTTGAGACAAAGCAGCAAGCAGCAGCCAACGGCTTCTACTCGAACCTCCTCTCCCACCAACCAGAGCCTGCACCGGTCATTCCCCCTTATCCACCACACATGCCCGTACCAGACGTCCGTCGGGTCCCCACCACATACGCGCACCAGCACACGCAGTCACACGGCGGCATGCGTGGGCCCTCCCCCAACGGCTCGCGCGCATCGCCCTTCCCCGCCCCTTCCCCCACACGAGACGTTGGCCACCGCTCGACCATGTCTACGACGAGCACTGCGGGACGGATCGTGCCCGGGAGCGCACGCGACACGCTCGTGCAGGAGCTGCGCACGATCAAGCTGCCGCGCGAGTGCCTGCCACGGTTCCTGTCGATCGCGCGCTTGAACACGTTGCAAAACCGCGAGACGTGCGGGCTGCTGCTCGGGAAGGACCGGGGTACCAAGTATGTCGTAACGACGCTGCTGATCCCGAAGCAGCACTCAACGAGCGATACGTGCATGATGGACGAGGAGGAGCTCGTGCTGCAGTTCACGGAAGAGCGGCATTTGATCACGCTCGGATGGGTGCGTCCAGTACGCGTTTTGGGGTGCAGGACGTACTAACGACTGCTGCGTCTGCAGATACACACGCATCCTACGCAGTCATGTAAGTGCTTCATCGCAGATCCCGTACGGGACGATCCTCATACGAAGTTTCATAGGCTTCATGTCGTCGGTCGATCTGCACACCCATTCCGGCTTCCAGCGGATGCTCCCTGAATCCTTCGCGGTCGTCTGCGCGCCGTCCTCAACGCCACAGTGAGTGGCCCCTGTACCTCTTTGACGCCCATGTACTAACTTCTATCTATTGGCGCAGGTTTGGCATCTTCCGGCTCACAGACCCTGGCGGCCTCCAAACTATCCTCGAGTGCAACGCGAAGGAGGCATTCCATCCGCATCCAGAAGTGCCTATCTATACCGTGCGTGTCTCCCGCTTCATCCTACCACGATTGCGCCTGACCCTTTGTGATCTTGTAGGATTGCGACAACTGCCATGTACAGATGAAGGACATGCCCCTGGAGATCTGCGATCTGCGGTAGCGGCTTGTCATACTCGGAGAGGAGGAAAGTAGGATTTATTAATTGTCTTTGCCATCTGTGTCATCTAGTTGTAGGCCCTCGTGTATGTTACTCTTGTTATGTATCGAAACGTGATTCATCCTCAATAGTACACGTCCAGCATGTGCGCGCGCGTCCCATGCCGATGCATTCTCGCAAATTTCAGTGCAGGCTAGGACCCGTCAAGTCCAGACCTTTCCGCCAGTGAACTGTATAGTGCAATGGTGTAGCAAGCTGATATATACAAACAATTTCAATGTTCGCACATCGAAAACCCGAGTTCAAATACTGCTTCGTTATGCTGCATCATAAAGTCAGCCCTCTCCTCCATAAGATCTGCGCGATACTCCTCGGCCTCCTCCCGAGACATCATCCCCACGGTCGCATACTCCGCGATCATGTCGAAAAGCTCCACGGGCAAGCGTAGCAGCGCAGCAGCACGCTGCATCTCGTCCATCGCCCACTCCGCTTGCTGAGGCGGGACATCACTTGTCGAGAGGATCCGCGTGAGCGGGTCGACCAGGAAGAAGCACAGAATCTTCCTGTACCCGGGCTTCGTCGAGTCCGCGAGCTCAAAGCCGTCCACACGGTGCTGGTAGATGTTCGGAAACGCGACGCACTTGTCCTCTTGCGCGACGATGTGCCCGAGCTTCTGGTTTAGTGCATCACCCTGGCTGAAGCCGTACACGGTATGGTACCCGATGTTGTCGTTGTTCTCGTAGTCCATCGACATTCCACAGTCGTCGCCGCTGCCGACGACCGTACGGAATTCGAGCCGCGACTCGGTGATGTTCTCGCAGGCATAATAGTACAGGCCCGTCGCAACGATTTTTTCGTTCATCATGCCCTCAACGTGCCATGATCCACCGGGGTATTTCGGGGTTTCCGGTGTGAGGACTATGTTCGCGAGCTTCACGATGACTTGCACGGTGCGCCCGCCGAGCTTGAACTGGACACGTCCTTCGTCCCTGGGAGGAGAGAAGGGCTCCGGGTCGGGGACGTGTGGCCACCTCTCGTACTCCTCTGGTTCCCCTTCAGCAGCCTCGTCGCTGTCGGATGCATCCGGAACGTGGCTATACCAGTCGAATGGATCGGCAGTGATGGCCAGCGGGGGTTCTGGACTGAGCGTGTCTGAAAGCACCTTCTCGAAGAGAGGCACGAAGCGTGCAAGAATGGAACAAATGGCGGGATAGAGTGCGTGGTGGTGGATGGGGTGGAGGTTGTTGATGTAGGATAAGGCCTCGACGTTACCAGTCTCGGACACGGTAAAATCTGTGGGGAGCCATTGATGCAGTAGCGAGATAGCGTACGAATCATATTGACCTATGTACTTGGCGAGATCAGGCCGGTGCGTGGTGTACTCGTCCTCGCTGATGAGATGTACCGGATTTGCCCCAGTGGGAGCATCGGGGGTGTGGACATAGGAGCGACCGATGCACAGGCAGTAGAGCGAGGGGTGAGCGAGGTCCAAGACCTGATAGTCTGAGCCTGGGTGCCAATCCTTCTTGTCATCGGGAATATCCTCGAGGACAGCTGCGCCTGAGACGAAGGCGGCTTTGAGGTCCGCGGGTATGAGGCTCTTAGACTCGTAGACTTTCGGAACAGCCGCTGCCTAGGAATCACGAAAAGGTGAGCACGAGCATCAAACAATGCATAAGTGACAGGCTCACATAAATGTCTGTGGCGGGGTCGCGCTGATCAGCCTGGTGCTTGAGCTGGGCAAAGATGTAGTCCAGTTGCGCGTTCGTGATGGGTTCGCGCGGCCATTGCGTCTCTCCGTACTCGAAGTCGGAGCGCTTCACGCCGTTCCAGAGTCTGTCAACTGAGACGCGGTCCTGCTCGACCATCTCGGCGCGCCATTTCGCGACGAGCTCCGCGTCGTGGACCTTCTCCCACCAGTTTGGTTTCGCGCGGATTATCCCAGAGAAACGTCGCATGCGCAGCTCGACGAGCGTGATGGGGTCCCGGTCGTTGAAGACGAACGGCGAGGGGAACTCAGGCTCGGAAAGCGGGGCATCGTCCGTGTGCGCCGCGATCTCGCTTATCTGCACCATTGTCGGAGAGGCACTATGCAGGGAGAAGAAGTCAAGGTGTGAGATATGCGAGTTGCGTTGCTCACGATCCGACTTTTGTACGAGTGCCACGAAAGTATCGTCGTCCTGATAGAGCGCGGTTCACCATGATGGTGGTTCATACGTGTCTTGATCGGAACCTGATTTCTGCGCATTAGCCGCCTCACTGACGCCCGCCATAATAAATGCCCAGAATATTCCGCCAAGGCGGTGAGACCTGGAGATGCTTTGAATAAGTTATACGTCTTTTCCTGTTGAGAGGCTACCGCTCGTTGGCATCCGTACATTAGTATATCCATTACGCGCGTATACAAGAATACAGTCGTTCCAGTCGTAGCACAGCATTATAAGCAAGCAAACAAGCAAAAGAAAATCACACCTCTACGCAGACACTCACACCTTCTCGTCGTCCAACCTCTCCCGCGCCTCCTTTCTCCTCGCCTTATCCCCAAGCCGCAAGGCGCGCTTCTCCTGCCTGAGGCGTTCGCTCTCCGCGATGCCGAACCCGTTGCGGAAGATGGTGCGGACCTCTTCGAGGCTGAGACCCGCGGTCTCCGGGAAGCAGCACACGACGAAGAGCCAGCCGAGCAGACAGAGCCCGGCGTAGAAGCCAAACGCGCCGGCGGGTGTGATGCGGTCCATGAGTGAGAGGTACGTTGCACCGATGAGCAGGTTGCCCGCCCAATTCGTCGTCGTTGCGAGCGAGGTACCGATACCGCGTACTTCGAGACCGAAAAGCTCGCCTTGCTGCCAAGGTACGTTCCCAAGGCCAGTCGCGTACGATGCGACGTACACGATCATCGCGAGGAGCACAATTGCGGACCAAGTCGTTGAGTATTGCGTGCCATCGACGAGGTTCCCACCCGTCTTCTTCGTGAGGACTGCGCGCGAGGTGTTAACATAACGTCTTCCTTTTTGACATAAAGTGAGATGAATACACACAATGGAAGGCGACACTAGCAAGAACGAGGCCGACGATCATGCCGGGGGCAGACCAGAGCATGATCTTGCGGCGGCCAATGATGTCGATATACTTGAGCGCGAGGAGCGTGAAGATGAAGTTCGTGCCCGAGACGATGAGTCCAACGGCGGTCGGCTGGTCGAACCCAATTTCCTTGAACAGCGTAGCTAGAGCCCACGTTAGTTCCAGGGGCATTTAAGCTAGGGCTCTGGAGGGCTTACCGCTGTAGTACATGAGCTGCGACCTGCATGTTAGCGATGTGAATGAGCGGGTGTCATACGATATGACTTACGGTGTTGAATCCACAGAGTTGCTGGAAGGCTTGCATACCACAACCGACGACTGAAAACCATATGCGTACTTAGCCCCGGATGCGTGGGACTCTGCGAAGACACAACTTACTGAGCGCCCTCCGGTTAATGGGGTCGGTGAGAATAAGCCGTATGCGTTGCCAGAGCGTCGTTGTGTTCGTGATCTCGACGCTCAGCTTCACCGCTGCGGCCAGTGTCCGCACCTGAAAGATCACGTATCGTAAGCACCGGCTATATGCGCCTCTACAGACATATCCGGGAACGCACCTTGAGGTCAACTTGCTCCGGTGTAGCGAACGCATATATTTTCGTCATGGTCCCACGCGCCGCCTCCATGTTATCCCTGCGGATCATGATACGCGCTGTGTCCTTCCAAATCAGCCCCTGCACACAACCCACGCATCACACAAACTGGCGACTTACGCGATTCGGGGAGGAAGAACAGGAAGAACGCCTGCCCGGCCGCGGGCAGCGCTCCTAGGCCGACCATCCAGCGCCACCCGCCGTGCACGTTTGCGAATGCCGCGTCTATTCCGTAGGCAACAACTTGTCCGCCGGTGATCATGACGACGTTCACGACGACCATGCGGCCGCGCAGGCGGGTCGGGGAGAGCTCCTGGATGTACAGAGGCGCGACACATGCGGCGACGCCTACACCGATTCCGATGAGGAAACGGCAGCCAATCTGCCGCCCAGAGCCGTTTGAGCATGGGTTCCGCGAGTACGCGAGGACTCGGAGAGTGGGGAAGACGTACCATGGACCAGACGGTGTGGGAGACAGCTTGTCCGATCGCACCGCCAATGAAGATGATGTCCGCAATCCCCATTACAGGTCTCCGGCCGATGAAGTCACTCAGCATGCCCGCGGCGAGTCCTCCCAGGAGCGCACCGAGGGTAGTAGAGGAGGTGATGAGTTCCTGTGCGCATATAATGAGACCGTTGAAGATATACGACCATAGAAGACGCACCTTCTGGCCGGACGAGAGCTCCGCGGGTCCTAAATCCCCTCCGATAGTTACCAACGCCCCGGAGATCACACCGGTGTCGTAACCTGCACTCGATATTGAGTGATGCTGATTTTGGCGGGTTTCCCGAGTGTGCTTCCCACTCACCGAAGAGCAGACCCGAAATACTCGCGCATGCGACCAGCAGCCACACAAACCATGTCGTTCGCTCTTCGCCCTCGGCGACTACAAGGGCCTCGGAGATGACGCCGGAGGCCACCGCAGAAGAGATTCCCTCAATGTCTTCGTAACTGTAACTCAAAAGCCCATTAATACCTCCGAGGTGGGCCTCTTCTCGCACGGAACAGAGGAAGAACAAGACCACACTCACGCCTGGGCATCTCGTGCTTTCTCAGAGCCGTTCGATGCGCGATCCATGGCCAACAATCGTTCCGCCGCCGGGTGTGGAGATCGGGGGTCTGGGAGATTCGTGAGTGGACTGAGCAGGTGCGGGGTAGGCAGAACGTACGCGTGAGTGCAGTTGGACGTCGGGGTCGAGCAGCGAGAAAGCATCGGACGAATAAATAAGGGCGACGACCCCAGACGGACTCGCCCGCGTGAACGCTGATCAGAAGATGGGGAAAGGTTCTCCCCGGACGGCCGGCAGGAACCCTCCTCCTCTTTTCCTTCGTCCACTGCGACGGAATCGATTACCCGCTCGCGTGGCACCTGCTTTTCGCCACGACCTCGGCGACCGGTCTTCAAAATCTGCTGGAGTCTGCTCGTCGTCTGGCATGCCTTGGTCGACCTTTACTGCTCTGCATCTTGCGCGCTGAAAATCAAAGACGACGGATTCCGGACCGACTCAACTCTCTTTCGACTGCGAACCTGTCATGCTGTACGTTGCGATGGTCACAAGACCGGCCTTGGGTGGCATATGAGGGACTGCATGAACGTTCTGGTGTAGAAACGGGGGAGAAAAAGGACGCTGGGGTGGGAGACGGCTGTCCCGTGCTGATTGCGACGCAGCGGTGACGTCGACAAGGACGCTCGCCACGCTCTGTACGAGCCCGCACGGTGGCAACAACTCAGCCACATCCTATCGCCACTCTTGGCGATGGACGCCACGAAGGACGCCCGCAGCGGTCCCGTCTACGTGCTCTCGTTGCTGGAATCAAGATGACATCCGTTCAAGTCAGAATTGGGTCGTAGCGTTGGTAAGCACTGTACAAGCTTTGAAGTATACTTTACGCGAGGCCTCCATCAGGGAATGAGAGATACATGCTAGTAGGTGATGGTGAGGGTTTGAGTGCGGCCGAATACAATAGAACAGCTACATGGACCTGAAGAGAACCCGCTTCGAGATCATTGGCACGGCCTCAATTGGCATGATCATGAACTGTGCTTACGCTGATTTACAGTATGCAGGTCAAGCCTTCGAATGTATGAGGTCGAGGAGTTGGCTTTAAATAGTTGAATAGTGAGAGAAAAGATGCAGGGGAAATTTCGAGGTGAGTGCGAGAAGTTCCGTGCAGCCAGGTTATCTGACCAAGTACTATCGTCAGCGCGGGGAGTGGGCGACGCTACGACTACGCTCTTCTTTTTCTCTTGAGAGCATAGGCCTGCGCCGTTGCCCTCGGAACCCGCCCGGGCCATCCGCCTTTCGCCACAAACAGTTCCAAGTCCTTTCGCGTCGGATGCTCGTTCTACTCGTAGATGCGGATGAACTTCCGTACGATACGCTAACCAGTGCCCCGCGTCCCCCGTGCGCCATCTGGAGCGGTGCGTACGGTCAGTCTCTTTCACATCCATACCTGGGAACGGGATATCAGCGCTTACCAGCATCGCGGCGGCCTGACTTGTGCTGGATGTGCACATAAACGCATCCAACAGGGAAGGGTCTGTCGTCCGCATCGTACGCACACCTTAACAGAGACGCAGGAGGCCCTCCGACCAAACGCGTACCCTGTGGTTCGTACCACTCTGTATACAATCCGAGGCCATTTGCGCTTGGCGAAGGGAAGACATGTTAAGACACACACCCGAGCTTGGCCGGATACCTGGGAGCCAGAGCCCGGTCCCGCTGCCGCTGCAGAAGACTCCCGCTGTATAGTCCGTCAGCGGAGGTGACGCTTCCTTAGCGGTATCTTTCTGTGTGTGTTTGATGTTCACAGCGAACCCGCCGTTGTGGGTTCGGAGTTGGTCAACATGGTCTTGTACTAGACAGTCCGAAGGGATAACTTCGAGACGGTCATCGTGGGGGTCGGCTCCCGGGGTAGGCGAGAGGGCGGTCAGTGCCCGACGTGAGGCCGTTCATATCAAGTAGTCCGAATGAAGCTTCCTTAACGAAAGAAGGGGCTCTGCAGCCTTCGAGACTGGGAGACCGAACAGCGGCGCGATCGTCATTTGGCACTTCTATTATACTTGAAAACATTCGATCAGCCACCTTGCAGGATCCACTTTGACGTCGCTCCCAACACCCCTGTATACAGATAAGTATCCCTCGAAGATCGAGAATATATGACCGTAGTCGTCTACGTATATATACCCACCCACACTTCTACCAGGATAGTGGATGCATATCTTCTATATGCATTTAGCGCAGAGGAGTCGTTTGGCATTGGGAAAAGCCATAAGATTAACCTTCTGTTTTGAATATCTTTGCTCAGGTGTGCTTCTATTCTGACAGACATCTTGCTCGGAACCTTGTATATGATCGACAGCATAAGTGCACCGGGTTTCGAAGGGAAGCGCCTTGTTCGGATCCAATACATCGGTCTCTAGACTACCCGCGCATGCATAAATTGTCGCTCTCGAATGACTGGCTAGTTCTTTCCCCTCCCGCCCCCCGCTCCCAATCACCCTGATGCCATTCCAGCTCCGTTGCATACCAAGGCTCCCTCCTTTGTGACATGTCAGTTTTTCATCAGTACGCTCTTCCAAGAAGCATGTTGCAATATCGGCACACAACAACGCTTTCCAACTCCTGGCTCGTGGAACTTGATAGCTCGTCATGGCTGTGAATCGCTCTCGATCCATTAGATGCTAGTGCAGCAGTCATCTAACGCCTCACAAAACCTATTCGTTGGCCCTCTTCTCGTCTGCTTGCTTTCTGACTGGTGAGTACCATCTGTGGCTATCGTTCCTGATAGTTACTGATTGGGTGTGTGACGGGATGGATTGGTAGAATGTGACCATCGGTGCCGGCGTCGGCGCGTCGGGAATAGCGTGGGAATATGCTGATGGGACCTGATCGCGACAAGGGAGGGGGACAAGCGCCGGCCCGATGGCCTATTGTTTGAGCGTGGGAAACGGCGGGGGAGACAATGACGGGCGTCTCGGTGCGCTATTGTCTGTGCAGCAGACGAAGGTCGATTGTGCATGCAACAATTGACAAAAGCCATGGCCCACCTAGCATGTTCGCTCCCCCTTCTTCACTCCTCACTCTTTCCTTTCGTCTTCGACACTTGCATCCAAGATGCGTCGCCCGACGGACCTCGCCGTCGACACCGGCATGACGACTTCAACGACTAGCATGACCCCCAACGCATCTTCTCTCAACCTCCCCCCCACTCCTCGTTCCGCCACCACCCTTCACATTTCTCCGGTCGAGTCGACAACGTCTATCCCGGAATGCCCACAACCACAGCCGTCCCTCAGGCTCCTCTTCTCCCTCCTTACTCGTCGCGACTTCTTCGTCCTCATCCTCCCGGCCATCCTCACCTCCGTCTTCGCCGGCGGTGTCGCGCCTTTCATGACCTATGTCATCGGCCGCTCCTTTGACTCCTTTGCTGCTTTTCCCACTGGTCCGAACCCCTCCGACGACGCCAAGCACCAGCTTCTCCACGGTGTAGGCCTCGCAGCCATCGAGCTGGTTGGTCTTGCGGTGGCTGCTCTTGCCATCAGCAGCGTAACGTCAAGTCTCTGGATATGGACTGGTGAGCGGAATCTGGTTGCTGTTCGCAAGCGGATATACGCCGCAGTGACTCGCAAGGATATGGTCTGGTTCGACACCAAGATGGGTTCAGAGGAGTCTGTGCAGGCCGTCGAGGGAGACGGCCCGATCGGCGCTGGTGGCATGATGGCGAACTTTGCTCGGTGAGTAACATTTTCATACTTCTAGTCCTTGTTACTGACGCGTCGCAGGGAAACCGACGAGGTTCGCATGGCCTCCTCCCTCGCTGCAGGGATGGTCACCCAGTACACCACTACCTTCATCACGAGCCTCATCCTCGCGTTCGTCTGGTCTTGGTCCCTCACCCTGGTCATCCTCTCGGCCGTCCCGGTCCTCATGATCATTCAGGCGCTCTCTCAGGGCTTTGTAGGACCCCGTCTCGCATCCGAACGCGTTCACAGCGCGTCGGCTGCTACCTTGATCGACCGTGCGGTTGCGGCCATCGCGACTGTCAAGGCTTTCAACGCGGAGGTTCACGAACAAGAGCAGCTGGACGACATGGTCGAGAAGATTCGGAGCGCAGCCGTCAAGTGCCATGCTGTGTGGGGTCTCAGCTCTGGGGCGTCGCAATTCGTGATGATGGCCATGTTCGTGCAAGCGTTCTGGTTCGGCGCCAAGCTCGTGCGCGACGGTTCCATCTCCCCCGGCACGGTCATGTCCGTATTCTGGGCGTGCCTCATTGCGACGAGCAACCTCCAGATGTGCATCCCGCAGCTGATCGTGCTTACCAAGGGCAAGTTCTCCATGGTCGCACTCCTGACCCTCGCGCAGTCCCAATCGCAGGAGCCCGTTCCCTATGGCGCGTCCATGCTCTCGCCAATTGCGAAGTCTCGTCGCCCGTCGATGTTCAGGAAGATCCGGCCCCCTCACTGCCGTGGGCACTTCGAACTCTCCGAAGTCACGTTCGCGTACCCCTCGCGCCCGACCATGCCCGTCCTCCAGGACATCTCGATCTTCCTTCCCCCTGGCGAGATGTCCTTCATAGTCGGTGGCTCGGGCTCGGGCAAGTCAACGCTTGCTCAGCTTCTCCTGCGCATGTACACTCCCCGCGCTGGCTCGATCTTCCTCGACGACCAGGAGCTGTGCTACCTCGACGAGGAGTACACCCGTACTCACATCGCGGCGGTGTCGCAGAACTGCATCCTGTTCGACATGAGTGTACACGACAATATTGCGATGGGCCTCGCCGGACCTGGGAACGTCCGGAAGCCTCAGGACGTGACACGCGAGGAGGTGATGAAGGTCTGCCGCGCGGCGCTCATGCACGAGTTCGTGCGGGACCTCCCCGACGGGTATGAAACCCAGCTCGGTACCAATGGCGCGAACCTGTCTGGCGGACAGAAGCAGCGACTCGCTATTGCACGCGCATTGTTGCGCAACCCCACGGTCCTTATTCTGGGTGCGTTTAACTCAACTCGACTAAAGACGCGTCTTACTCACGTGACCGCGTAGATGAGGCGACGTCCGCGCTGGACGCGACCTCCCGCATCCTCGTATTCGAGGCGATCAAGCGCTGGCGCCGCAACATGACGACGATTGTCATTACCCACGACCTCTCGCAGATCGAGTCTGACGACTTTGTGCATGTCCTCAAGGACGGCTGGATGGTCGAGCAGGGTTTCCGGCACGAGCTCGAGGGCTTCGAGAGCGAGTTCCGCCGTATGGCGCGTACTCAGACGGCGGAGGGTGGCTTCAAGGAGAAGGAGGTGCTCGACGAAGCGACCGAAGACGTCCCGATCGAAGCTATCCTCGAACGCCAGGACGAGGAGAAGCAGGAGGAGCTGGAAGCGGTCGGTCTGAGTTCACGCGCCCTCAAGCACCACAGCCTGGCACCCTCCACATTCCGTCCTCTCACCTTCGGCCACTGGATGCTCGACGCCATCGCAGAGCTGACGCAGGAGGAGCCCTCAACACCCGTAGCAACTCGCCGACAAACACAGCACCGTATCAGCCGCTTCGTACCCGCGGACGCGTTCCCTCAGGTCGCGCCCAATGACACGGAGATCAAGAGGATCCGGCGCAAGACGCTGCACATCGACATCCCTTCAGTCAGTGTTCCTGCCCCCTTGGCGACGGCGGCGAGCAACAGGCGGAGCCTGCAGTTCACGCCATCCAGTCCCACTCTATGCTACCACCCCTCTCCGAAGCAGTGGCCTCAGAGCATGATCGAGGACGACGACAGCTTCGACGCCGAGAAGGCAGCTTTGGAGCGTAGTGCGACCTCGGCAAATCAGCGCCGTTCCCGCGAACAGCGGCGAGTGAGGCGCAGTGTCCCGCTCTCCACGGTTGTAGTGGTCAAGCCGGAAGCTCCCACTTCTGAAGACGCGCCCGCGCAGGACGCGGAGGTGCCGCTCTTCAGGCTCATCCGCGACATCTTCCCCACCATCCCGAACAAGTTCATCCTCTTCCTTGGGCTGTGCATCTGCCTCGCGAGCGGGGCGATGACGCCTATCTTCTCCTTCCTGCTTTCCCAACTCTTCTTCCAAGTCTCCAACGGCGCACGCGACGTGTCTATCATCAACGAATACGGTGGCATCGTCCTTGCGGTCGCCGCCGCGGACGGCATTCTCATGGGGCTCAAGGTGCTCGTGATGGAGAACGTCGCGGTCAACTGGGTGACGCGCATCCGTCGTATGTGCTTCGGGCGAGTTCTCGCCCAGGACAAGAAGTTCTTCGACAAGAGCGAGAACAGCCCCTCCAGCCTCGTCCAGGTCTTGATCAAGGACGGCGATGACGCGCGCACGCTCATCGCGAGTGTGCTTTGCCAGGGCCTTGTTGTTATCGCAATGCTTGGTGTCGGCCTCATTTGGGCGCTCGTGCGCGGCTGGCAACTTACCCTCGTCGGCTTTGCGATCGCTCCCGTCTTCGCGGTGACGATGGCGCTCCAGTCTAACCTCGTCGCCAAGTGCGAGGTGAGGAACAAACGCGCGCGCGAGGAGGTTGCGAAGCAGTACTACGATGTGAGTTCACAATCCACATTTTTTTTCAGATTGTGCAAAGACGCTGACCCAAATCCAGGCAATCTCCAATGTCCGTGCGATCCGCTCCATGGGTTTCGAGGATGCGTTCCGCGACCGGTTTGACGTCGCCGTTGAGTCGGCACTTACCACCGGCGTGCGCGGCGCGTTCGTCGAGGGATGCACATACGGCGTTGCCAGTGCCCTCATTTACCTCGCGGAGGCGCTCCTGTTCTACGTCGGCGCTGTCCTCATCGCCAACGGCACCTACTCGTACCTGCAGATGATCCAGACTCTCCAGCTGGTCGTCTTCTCCGTGTCCATCGGGTCCCAGCTCATGGCTTTCAGTACGTCCTTGATGCTCTCTTTGGTCGATCTATTATTGACGATTTCTTCTATAGCTCACCGCATCGCCAAGTCTCTCCGTGCCACCCGCGACTTCCACCGGCTCTTGAACCTCTCCACTCTCACCGACGAATCTCGGGGCGTCCTCCACCCCAAGATCGGCGGCGCTGTCTCTTTCAGCAACGTCTCCTTCTCCTACCCCGAACGCCCCGATGTTCCCGTTCTCAAGGACCTCTCCGTCGAGATCGCCGAGAATGAGTGTGTCGCCATCGTTGGCTCATCCGGATGCGGCAAGTCCACCATGGCTGCACTGCTCCAGCGCCTGTACGAGCCCGCGACCGGTTGCATCAGCGTTGGCCCTCATGCCATTCGCTCCACCGAGGTTCACCACTTGCGCGACCACGTCTCCGTCGTCAGCCAGCAGCCCAACCTCTTCGACGCATCAATAGCGGAGAACATCGCATATGGCAACAAGTCGCTGTCGCTGTACGACATCCAGCGCGCGGCGATGGCGGCGAACGTCCACGACTTCGTCCAGTCGCTACCCAAGGGCTACGACACGCCCGTGGGCGAGAACGCGTCGCTCATCTCCGGTGGACAAGCGCAACGCCTGCAGATCGCGCGGGCGCTCGCACGGCCCGCACGCATCCTGATCCTGGATGAGTGCACGTCCGCGCTGGACGGCGCGAACCAGGCGGCGGTGATGGAGACGCTCCGGCACGCGAAGCAGGGGCGGACCACGCTGGTCGTGACGCACAAGCTGCAGATGATGCGCATGTGCGACCGCATCCTTGTCGTGCACGACGGCGTCGTCGCGGAGCAGGGCACGTACGAGCAGCTCATGGAGCGACGCGGCGTGTTTGCGCAGCTCGCGAGCGGCGGCGAGTGGATGAGCGACTGAGCTCTTCCTCTCTTCCTTTTCCTTTACATCTCTTTTTCTCTCTCATCTTTCTTCCACTCTTTGGATACTGTAGCATTGGATATCTCCCTCCACATTATCACCCTCACCACACTCACCGACCTCACGACCCCTGTTACCAGATAGCGAAGTATAACTGGCCGTACTACTAGTACCTTCGACCTTCGAATTACTCCTGACGCGTTTACGGCTGCAACGATTACCCCCCTCACTGTAACATTATCACCTCATTAGCACTTACGTACCCTGTATCCATCCGCATGTGATAGAGTCTTCATGGACCGAATGAATTGACGATTGTTTCCACTATACGTCCCTGTGTGAAAAGATGAACGGTTCTCGTTGTGACACAAGACCAACTCGCATGTGGGAACACGAACCCTTGTATACTTGTAGATGCAGACTTGCGACTGCATACGCAGCAGGAGTCTCCGAAGAGTCTAGCTACGCGGGGTTTTGAATCAACATGATCTTTCTCGTCGAACAGTACGTCGATGTAATGGGCGCTTCGCGCGCCATTACTTTGCTTACATAATCGTACTGTACACGTCCGTCGCGCGTCCTCGACGCGCTCCTTGTCTTCGCAACGCCAGTAACACGCAGCCTTCTCGCTTCCTCACGCGTCTTGACTCTCTGAGCGACCGCCGCGCGCCTCGTTCCGCCCGTCTCACGCCGCCGCGCATTACAGTCGAACAGTACGTCGAACAGTACTTGGTTCGTGTCAAATATTACACACACTCGTAGTAACGATGCCAAGTACGTCCCAAACACCACAAGAACAGCCTAAAGTACAGTGATCACACCCGCAACAACACCCACCGCGAAGCACACCAGCACCGACGCATCCACCCCCATTTCGAGCGCCCCGTTCGTGCCCTGCGGGCTAATCACCTTCGTCCCGTTGGCGTAGTTGATGCCCGGGTCCTGGCTCCACGGGTTCGGCTTGCCCTGTGCGGTGAGGTTGACGGGCGCCGGCAGCGCCGTCGCGGTGAGCGTGCTGTTCACCCCAGGGGCGACGAACACGGGCCCGCCGCCGGGGCTGATCCCTGAGGTGTTCGGGGCTGTGAACGGCTGGTAGAGCGCGACGTTGAGCGGGCCGGGGATCGTGCCGGTCAGGTTGAGCAGCGCTGTGGGCAGGCGTCATGTTAGCATTCAAAACGTTCCGACTGGCATATTACTGTCAGGGAGGGAGCGGGTGAACGTACGGATGGCAGGGGAGTCGCCGGTGATGCCGTTGTTCGTCCAGTTGGAGGCGTTCGCGACGAACTCGAAGACGTTGTTGAGCGTCACATTCGTGTCGCCCCGGCCAAGCGCGCCGAGGCCCCAGTTCGCTTCGACTGAGGAGAGCGCGGAGTAGTGCGTGTAAAAGGTTGAGTCCGTCTTGCCACGCAGCGCGGCAGGTACCCCACCGCCGAGCGCGAGCGTGTAGATGCGGTTGTTGATCGTGTACGCTGGTGGGCGGGAATCAGCCTGCTACCCGCGGGGATCACTTAGAGAGAGGGGACGCACTTTCAGTCTCGTCGAAGGTGAGGAGGATGATGGTGCGGTTCGTGTTGAAGTGCGGGTCCTGGAGAAGCGGGAGGAGCCAGAAGTTGAGCCAGTCGCCGACGAAGTCGATTGTCGTGTCGTGTCCGTCGTTCACGAGGTTTGGCGTGATGAAGTTCCATTGCGGGATGACGTCCGCCTTCAGGTCGTTGGCGAAGTCGTTAACTGGAGGCAGAAAAGCAGCCCATCAGCACTCTCGGCATTGAAAGCGCGTCTGGACTTGGACTAACAATTCCGGATACGGAGTGCACGATCAGAGACGTTCGCGACAGAGTCGAAGACGATGAGGCCGTTGTGCTTGCGCACGTAGTACGTGTAGTTACCGTCGTTGCCTACCAAAATGAAGCTCGATTAGCAGAGGCCTTTAAGCTAAGCGAGCCACTGAAGCCGTACTCAGGTAGTTATTTTGTGTGAAGTTGAAGCCCTGTCTACATGTTGAGCAGTGTTCGCATGAGTCCTCGATGAATAGTGCATACCGTGAAACCATCGTAGGGCATGTTCTCTTGGTCTAGTACACAACATGAGGACATAGGGTGACAATGTGGACAGATCGCAGGTTGCGCTTACAAGACGCCCAAGAGATGTTCTTCGCCTCGAGAAGGTCTACGATGGTCGAGACATTCTGCGGGATATGGTCTGGAGGATTGCACTATCAGGAGCAGTGATCCAACAGATGGTATTGAACTAACAGAAGTCGTCATCCGCCGCCCCAAAGAAGTCACCGCCTACGGCGGCGAGATAGTTGGGCTCCGAAGGATGGGTGACGGCGTAAAACTGATCGAACAGCACGCCCTCCTTGCTCAGGTTTTGGAACACTGGTGAAGACGCGGCCGTGTCATCTGTGCACGCAACTGTCAGTAAATATCGCCAACGTACGCCAACGAGTACAGGATGCCGCGTACAGTCGGTGTTCTCGATCCAGATTTGGATGAAGCGGTCGAATGCCTTGCCCTTGACCAAGGGCGTGTTGGAGATCGTGCCGTTCGTCTGTCCGGTGTAGTTCGCGGAGGACGACTCAGGCGACGCAGCTGGCGGTAAGAAGCTCTGCGCGATTGCAGCGAACGCAGGAGTCGCGACGGCGAGGGCGGACGCGAGGGCGAGCACCGAGGGAGCGACGTACATCGTGCGCGGCGTCGACCAGCTGACCGAGGAGACCGAGTTCAGACGCGTCTGCCGCAGGGAAGACACGAGCGATCCCGTTCATTTTGACGAGGGTTTTATGCCGGAGGGGCCTCCGAGCCCCGAGCGTCGACAGCGGCCAACGTTCGAAGAGTGAGGCGAAATTGTCTGCACTTCCGGAAGTTGATGGTGTGCCTGTGAGGTCGCTGAGCTCCGCATTTCCGGTATCTGTACGTCGAACCTGGCAGGGATCGCGTCCAGCCCGGTCGAGCTAGATTGATGGGTGGGGTCGTGTGCCAGCATTCGTCCCGGAGGAACCGCGGACGTCTGCCAACGCGCAATGCGGCATGTGGTACGCGACGAACGTGCGTCGCCGGAAAGGAAATGCGTACGGGCGGGGGCGGATATCTTGAAGAAGGTGCGCCGAAAGGATGAGATGCGCGCGCAGGCCATCAGCACGTTCTCCTCTTCGGCACTTGGATGCCAGGGCGCGACACCGACGCCACCCTCCCCAACCGCTCGCGATTGCGCTGCGTGCGCCGCGACCACCGTGCTCGATGCTCGATCGACCTCTTTATCAGAACGCGACCATCGAGGCGGTGATATCGACCCAGCCCGTATGTTATTTTTACATCGACAACAGGTTCGCCGCTCTTCGTCGCCGTCCGCGCCCAATCGCGCGGGGCCTCGTTCGTCTGTTCAGCAACGCAAAACCACATAATGCAAGACACCGAGGTCTGCCTGTCACGGCTGCTGGTTCCCCGCATTGGCACATTGGTCGAGCATGTATTGCGGGATCGCGAACTTCGCGCTCTCCGACGGGAGGACGTTCACCTGGAACAGGAGCCCCGCGGCCTGCGGAGACCAATGAGCACCGCGCGATTACGTGCATTGGTAGAAGCGCTCACCATGTGCCACTGGATGTGGCAGTGGAATGCCCAGAAGCCGGGGTTGTCCGCGACGAAGCGCAGGATCGTGTAGGTGTACGCGGGGATTACGAGGGTATCGCGCCTGCGTAGTTTGTCGTCAATGTACTATTCCCGGAGAGTAGCAGAGAAGGACGGGGCTTACAGCATCGGCGCCTTGTTGTCAAGGGCTTGGTGCTGGTATCGTCCCGCACCGGTCCCGACGATCCAGAACTAAGCACATACAGGTTACGAGGACTGCTGTCAGCATTGTCCAACTCTAGGTGCTTCCAGCAGCAGATACCACGCACCTTGTGACCGTGCAGGTGGAACGGGTGGTCCCCGTCGTCCAGGTTGTCGATGATAAATTCGACGATGTGCTCTTCGTCGATCGTCGTGACCAGTTGTGAGTCCGCGAGCGTGGCTGAGCCGTCCGCAGTTTGGTTGCCCAGATGCGAGAATAGGCTCGATGTGCCCTGCAGCGGCTCCCAGGACTGTGCAGAGACTGGTCAGCTCCTGAGCTGGCGCAAAGAGGGTGATCATGAACGCACCGTGCTGTTGATGAACGAGAGGAACTGGGACAGGTAGTTCGGCCCGCCCGTGTACTGCATCGAGATAGTGAAATACACGCTGCTGCAATGGCTGTCAGTTTCGTACCTCCCAGTGACAACGAAAGGATAGCTCACAAAGTAGCATTAGGAGCAGGTCCGCCGCCAACAGGAACGAGGTCATCCGTGTCGAGGTCACCCGGAGAGCCATTTGGCAGATCGGGAGGGTTATCGAGGAGCGCGACATCCGGTATGGCGTCGTTGTCCACCCCATAGCGCAGGATACCGCGCACTTCCGTCTGGACTCCCGGGTTGTCGTACTGCAACATTCATCAATATCGTTCTCTGTTTCACGTCAAGCAACAGCTTGAGCCGCTCACAGTGAACGCATCCTGGTCGAGCCCCGCGCGCATCCAATACGCGCCCGCGCTGCCATTCGTGTGCAAGAGCACGCTGTATCGCTGCGCGACCGCGACGGACACGCTCGCTACGTCGAACGGAGTGACGGGTGTGCCGTCCGCCTCGATCACGGTGAGCACGTGGCCGTCCACGGAGAAGAGCATCGCGACAAACGAGCCCGAGTTGATGAGCCGGAGGCGATACGTCTTGTTGGCCTCGAGGGTTACATTGAAGAAGGAGCTGTTGGACGCGCCGTACTGGCCGACACCGTTGATCGTGCCGCCATCCGGGACGGGCTCGTTTCCAGGGGTGCCCTCAATTCCCCCGGGCTACGCGAAGTCAGCGTATACGGGGGCAGGGCCGGTCGTGTACGTACAGTGAAGTAGAGGTTGAGGAGGGCGGGGGAGAATCCGTGGTAGAGGTCCGCCATCTGGAGAGCGAGGTCGCCGTCGTACGCGGGGACGGACTCGTTTTTCGCGTGCACGATCACTATCCGCGCGGAGTAGGTAAGCAAGGGAAGTTTCCCGCAGGACACAATGCCGCTCACAGGCTCCCGTGATTCCGTCGGTGTATTGTGTTCCAGCATCTGCTCGTCGCAGTTGTTAGGGACGATGAGATACACGAGGTACTCTTTGCTTACGGGCGTGCCACCAGGTGCTGCCGACATAGCCGTCGAACTACGTACACTGGGTCAACTCGGAGCGAACGTGCACAATGTGGTGTACGTACTGTGAAGTTATAGACCATGGACTCGCCGGGAGGGATGCCACACTGCGTAAGTATCTGTTCAGCTCACTCAAATATGAGCCTAGGATAAATGTGTACCTGAGTGATCGCCAAAGTGCCATCATAGAAATTGGTGTTACGCCTACGTGCATCGTGAGGACTCGGAAATGCAATACACTGATGCCTGGTATTGCATCACTTACTGGAATAGCCCATGCCAATGTATCGCACTGTGAGAGGGGATCAGTCTCAGTAGGCTGAGTGAAGACAAATTGTCAACGAACGTTGAGTTGGGGAGTTTGTTTGTGACATTGACGACTACGCGATCGCCGGCATTGGCTTCGATGGTGGGTCCCGGAAACTGGCCTATATAGGGTCGTGCCTCAGCTCAAGACCCATCTTCCACTGCCCGCAGGTTGCAGAGACCAGCGCTTACCATTGACGACGAGCATGAGCTTCTCGACGCCGTCCGGCGCGCCTCTACGCTCTTCTACGACAAAGTCGTAGTTGCGTGTCGTAGGCGCTGCATTCGCGATGTCCATGGAAAGGAACGCGGCACTGGCATCTGGAGTGCCCACTACCGCGAGGCTACTTGGGATGCTGCCATCGCCGCCAGATGTGCCTGCGCTCGCGCTCGGGTTTGAGGAGGAGTTTTGGCCGTGGTTATGGCGTAGTCCGAGTCCAAGTCCTAGCCCGAGTGCGAGAGCTAGAGTTACAATTGCTGCTGCTGCGACGCCCAAGACGAGACCACGACGCGAGCGTGTTGGGGCGCTCCCAGACGCATCTTTGTTTTGCTCAGACGCGTCGTGAGCGGCCTTGTGCTCATGCGAGCTCGTCTCCGAGGAAGACATGCTGCGAACGATGACCCTAGCGGGGTTCCCGGTGGAGAAGGCGAGGTGAGCCGCGAGACGAGAGAGAGCCCCGTACCTCCCCAGATGTAGAGTTCCGGCATTTACGGTGTATCGCGCGTGCAGACGCGTCCTATCTCGATGCGAGTCCCAAATTACCGGCCTCGGAACGGAGGGCCATCAGGCGTGCGTCGCTGGTCGAGCATCCAGGCACAGAAGCGAGGTATTTCCATGGACTCGCTCTGGCAGCGAACCATGCGCTTCGGGAAGGAGCATGGGTGGTATCGCTCGGGCGCACGAACGTGCGTCCCACGGTTGCCTTTTCTGCCAAACTCTGAGGCGCGTGCTCTGCCTTCTGCGCGTTCATTAGTTTCGCTATTGCTGGCAAAGAATCGCCCGAGAGATAGCAGGCGCGCAAAAATGCAGCTTGTGCTGTTGGAGCGAAGGTGGGACTGCGTTTTTTTTGAGAACGTCAACTGAACAGGCACTGCCAGCGAAGGGAGCATTAGTATGTATAATCAGTAATGCGGACAAGACTGCTAAGACTTACAGGCAAAAGCTGTAGCATAATGTTTCCAACAATTAGCGTGAGTCACTTCCGTGCGAAGAAGTGGCTTTCTAGGCGTTTTTTTTTCAGGTCATCACGGTTCGAAGGGAGTAAGCAGCGAGCGGGCTGGATCATCCAAAGCTCACCGCTCACCACGCAATGTAAGCGCTCACGCAGTGGCAGTGTCCATCCCGTTTAGGCAATTTGATTCTGCTCTACGAAACGTCCAAGTTTTGGCAGCTGCTAGCTATGGGCGGCGGAGGAGGATCCGCTCAACCTGACGATTGCAGTTGTAGAGCGTTAATTATATCATTCACATATCGGCGAAGGAGCAGAGTCATGTTCATCGATGATTCCTCTGAAACGGAAGGTTTGACTACGTATGATCCTCCCGACCATACAAGAGTCCCACGATGCGACGTTTCAGCCAAGGCTTGGTAGGCGTATGTCCGGGGGCCGCTGCTTGTGAAACAGGTGCTTGTGCCGTAGCATGTTCTTGTCATCGACCTGCTGGGGCAAGCCCGCGCGGACACCGCGCGGAAGACACGCCTGCGGGCCGTACGCGTGTTCAGTCAACATCCAATGATAGAGCCGTGACACGGCCGATCGTACTTGACTCCCACAATTGCATGGCATGAAGGCTGAAAATAGGTGTCAGTATGTATAGCCGCTGGGCGCTCTCGACATGTAATCTGACTGCTCGCAGCTGAGCAGCGTAGTATAGTCATCATGTCTGCGCCATCAAGACACCTATAATTACCCTTTCGCACTCCTTGGCTTGGACTCACTGGGCCCAGAGCGTATACACAGGTATTTGGCTGTCAGTCAAGCAGCAGCAGGGTGCTGATGGTATCCGCGATGTGCATAGATGTGTGACGGAGGCTTACTCACTCACGGCGTCGGCTATACATGCCCGTTGGATTCCAAGGAAAGCTCGCCGATAGTCGTCATCTCCTCACACGATGCACGTCCATGCCCCTGCAATGCGCCAGAGACTCACCTGGGGCTGCGTATCACAGGGGACGTGATTGCGTAGTAGTGGAGCGCGCACGGGGTGCGAGAGTGGGATGATCAGCACGCGTTGGTTGCAAAGAGGACAGGATGATCAAACTTCAGCGGCTTCTGCACAAAGTAGAGAATGAGTTCAGCTGGATAACGGAAATTTTGTCAGGCGGCTCGAGGATGGGTGGTCTTGTGAATGTGGACGAAACACAGGCGAGACTCAGAGTCGTCTGAATCTTCGGCCTGGGCGCACTTGCGGCGGAGTCCGGTTGGAGATCGAAATTCCCTGTCGGGGATTGAACTACACACGTCGCCGTCGCCGCCATATTGAAACTCCGTTGCGAGACCTGGAGGAGGCGAGCTCGGCGTCGCTCTCACAGCTTGCACACTGCCATACCAACGGCGCCGTTCGTCCGTCCTCTCCCTCCTTTTCTCTCCTTCTACCATCTAGGAAGCTTCTAAACTCGCCCGGGGGAGTAGCCTCCACCATGAATCGGCAGTCGACGATGCCGCCGCAACAGCTCGAGTCCGTCACGGACCTTGCGACGCTCTCGCCGGTCTCGGAGGACATCATCGTGTCATGCATCCGCGAGCGGTTTATGAACGACAACATCTACACCTCCATTGGGACCTCTGGACTCGTCGCCGTGAACCCGCACAAGTACGTGCCAAGCAACTCGGACGCCGTCCTGCACAAGTATGCCGCCGAGTACCGCGACACCTCCCCGGACAACACTCGGCTCCCGCCCCACATCTTCCAGCTCGCGAACAATGCGTACTACCACATGCGGAGGACAGCGCAGGACCAGTCCATGCTCTTCACGTACGTCCTCTCTCCATGTTCGTGTTCAGACGAAGGTGTGGTTGGGCGCTGGAGGAGGGTTTGATTGGAGGGCGCCGATCACGGCGCCGGAACGCACTTGGGGACAGGCTTGTTGCTGGGGAGTGTCTGCCTGGCACGATCTCCTGGTATACGGGCATTTCGGTGGCTGTTCCAATTGTGGAGCGGGTTTACCCACCGTCTGCCCGTATTTCCGCATCACCAGTCAAGCCGCCACATCCAAGAATACAGCTGCTTAGGAAAGGTTAAGCCGTTTTGTGATCGCCTCGCGCTTGCGGCCTTGTTTACCTGGCGGGGCCGAACAAATATCTCATAGCCAATGGCTGAGGCAGCTCGGGCGGTCAGTGTGGTTCTCACCAGCGCTGTCGGAGCCCAGCGCCGTAAACCTGCCACATTTGGGTGTGCGGACGCGTGCCGCCTGGTTGTTGGACTGTGGAGGTAAACAAGAGCTACAATACGAGCGATCTGAGAAAAGGCCTATCGTTTTCTAAGCAGCTGTATCCTTTCGGACCTTCATGCTCAGAGGTGTGCTTGGCCTGGTGAGGCCTTGATTAGACTCCACCACAGGTTGGACCCAATAGTCAGACCTGGGGGTGGGGCTAGCACATGAGGTCTTACCCTAGCTGCATTTTACCCAGTTTAAAATGAGGCCTGGCCTGCGCATCTGAGCTCACACATATCTTTGTCACGCTCTCTCAAGACTTATGATTACATGCTCACCATACCTTTAGTGGTGAGACAGGAAGCGGGAAATCAGAGAACCGCAGGCTCGCGATTAAGACCCTCCTCGAGCTCAGCGTCAGCCAGCCAGGCAAGAAGGGCTCAAAGCTCGGCAACCAAGTGCCCGCGGCAGAGTTCGTGCTCGAGGCGTTCGGCAACTCTCGCACGTTGTTCAACCCCAATGCGTCGCACTTCGGCAAGTATACCGAGCTGCAGTTCACGGAGCGCGGCCGTATCAGCGGTGTTAAGACGCTGGACTACTACCTGGAGCGCAATCGAGTGGCGGGAGCACCATCGGGCGAGCGCAACTTCCACATCTTCTACTACCTCGTCGCCGGTGCGTCTCCGGAGGAACGGCAACACATGCACCTATCGGACAAGACCCAGTACAGGTATCTGGGTGCCCGAGTGCCGGCGGCAAGCGGGCGGGGAGCGAACGCGAACGAGGACGCGGTGCGGTTCGATCAGCTGAAGGTCGCGCTCAAGAACGTCGGCTTCTCCAAGAGGCATGTGGCCCAAACATGTCAGCTCATCGCCGCGATCCTCCACCTGGGTAACCTCGAGTTCACCGTGGATCGCCATCGGAACGAGGACGCCGCCGTGGTCCGAAATCTTGATGTCCTCGAAATCGTCTCCGAATTCCTTGGCGTCCAGGCCGCCGCGCTCGAGGCTACGCTCTCGTACAAGACTAAGCTCGTCAAGAAGGAGCTTTGCACGGTCTTCCTCGACCCAGATGGCGCCTCCGACAACAGGGACGAGCTCGCAAAGACCCTGTACTCCCTCCTCTTCGCGTGGCTGAATGAGCACATCAATCAGCGCCTGTGCCGTGACGACTTTGCGACGTTCATCGGCCTCTTCGACCTGCCGGGTCCCCAGAACATGACGAGCCGGCCGAACTCGCTGGACCAGTTCTGCGTGAACTTCGCGAATGAGCGCCTCCTCAACTTCATCCAGAAGAGGCTCTTCGAGGCGCACGTTCAGGAGTACAACACCGAAGGGATCTCTCGCTTTGTGCCCCACGTTCCCTACTTCGACAACTCCGAGTGTCTGCGCTTGCTCCAGCACCGTCCGGGCGGACTCATCCACATCATGGACGACCAGGGCCGGCGGATGCCTCGGAAGACCGATCACACCATGGTGGAGGCGTTCACGAAGCGTTGGGGCAACCACTCATCCTTCAAGGCGGGCGGTATGGATCGTCAGGGCTTCCCCACGTTCACTGTCAACCACTACAGCGGGCCTGTTACCTACTCGGCGAGCGGCTTCCTAGAGAAGAACTTGGACGCCATCAACCCCGACTTCGTGTCGCTGCTCCGCGGCACGAGCGCGGGCACAACCGACGCCCCCGCTGCCGACGGTTCGGGCTCCATGAACCCCTTCGTCCGCGGTCTCTTCTCCGCGAAGGCGATCGCGACCCAGGCACACCCACGCGACGAGGACACTATCGTCGCCGCACAACAGCCCGTTAAGCCCATGCGTGCGCCGTCGACACGCCGCAAGAACACCATCAAGCGGATGCCGACTCTCAAGGAGGGCGGCGACATCGACGAGAAGGACCGCGAGGAGGACGAGGGCCCCACTCCGGGCGGAGCTCCTTGCGTCGCCGGCGAGTTCAGGCAGGCGCTCGATGTACTATTCGAGACGCTTGAGGACACGCAGTCGTGGTATGTATTCTGCATTAACCCCAACGACTCTCAACTACCCAACCAGATGGAGGGCCGCTCAGTCAAGGCGCAAGTACGGAGCGTCGGGCTCTCGGAGATTGCGCGCCGTTCCGTCAACGTGTTCGAGGCGATGATGACCCCGGACGAGTACACTCAGCGCTACGGGGGCCTGCTCCAGGCTGTGGGCGTTTCGGAAGGTGACTCCCGCGAGCAGGTTGAGCAGTCGAGGACTGCTCTGGGCTTGCAGGAGCGCGACGTCGTCCTTGGGTTGTCTATGGTACGTCACATCTGCATTTGTCGTCCGTACTTCCTTAACCATGCTACTATAGGTCTTCCTTTCGCAAGCAGCGTTCCACCGTCTCGAGGATGATCTCCGTTCGAAGGACACCGAGGAGCAGAAGCGGAACCGTATGCGCGATGCTGAGGCGGAAGCCGGTCTCGACCCTCGTGACCTAGGTGACCCCTATGCTCCCTACCAGGTCCCCGGCGCAGAGAACTCTCCCTACGCCGGTGACTTCGGCGACCCCTTCGCGACTTCCAACCAGGCGCTGCCCCTCGTTCAACACGCCTCTCCCTTCCAACGTGCTGACATGTACGATGATTACGACGAACGGAAATCCTTCCGTGGTGACGACTTTGACGGGCGCAGTGCTTACACGAGCCAGCGCGATGACGCCTCGGTGTCTAACTTTGGGACGGAGTCCTACGCGCCTTCCCGCAACATGTTCCAGAACACGGACGGGAAGGGCCTTCTCGACAAGGAGGCGATCGCTGGCGAGATCCAGGAGGGCGAGACGACGGAGGTAGTCAAGGAGTCCTCCGCACGCCGGAGATGGGTACTCCTTTGCTGGATGCTCACCTGGTTCATCCCGAACTTCGCGCTCACGAAGATCGGGCGCATGAAGCGCGACGACGTGCGACAGGCGTGGCGGGAGAAGCTGGCGATCAACATGATCATTTGGTTTGTCTGTGGATGCGCGATCTTCGTCATCGCCATCATCTCGCCCCTCATCTGCCCCCGCGAGCACATCTTCAACAGCCAGGAGCTCGCGGAGCACTCCGTCGAGAACAACCCTAACAACGTGTACACGTCCATCCGCGGCGAGGTCTTTGATTTGACATCCATCGCGGCGGACCACGAGCGTACGGTCACTGTCGTCCCGGCGAAGTCGATCCTCAAGTACGGCGGTGCCTCTGCGGACAACGTCTTCCCGGTTCAGGTATGTTTGCTGCAGTGTCGGATATCCAAGGTTACTCACTCGTTCCGCAGGTCAGCGCGCTTTGCAACGGTATCTCCGGAACGGTCAGCCCGTACGTCGTCCTCAGCTCGAGCAACAACACGGACGTCAACGCTCAGTACCACGACTTCCGCTCCTGGACCACGGACCCTCGCCCTGACTGGTACTTCGAGTCGATGACCCAGATGCGGTGGCAGGCACGTGTCGGCTACGTTGCGTACAGCTCCAAGCAGCTCAAGTCCATGGCGTCTTCGGGTAACTCGGTTGGTATCTACCGCGGCTTCGTGTACGATTTCACCACCTACACGAAGAGCCCGCCCTCTGTCGCCACTCTGCCCAACAACGCGGTCGCCCCCGGAGACATCGACACGCAGTTCATGCACCAGTCCATCATCGACGTCTTCCGGCACAGCGGTGGATCGGACGTTACCAAGCAACTGGACGGGCTGAACATCGACTCGGACACCCTGAACAGGCAGCGCGTCTGCATGCGCAACCTGTTCATGATCGGCAAACTCGACACGCGTAACTCCCCTCAGTGCCTCTTCGCCACCTACATCCTGCTCGCGCTCTCGATCATGATGGTTAGCGTTATCGGCTTCAAGTTCATCGCGTCCATCAACTTCAGCGCCTCCCGCGCGCCCGAGGACCACGACAAGTTCGTTATTTGCCAGGTCCCGTGTTACACGGAAGGCTACGCGTCGCTCAAGAAGACGATCGACTCGCTCGCGCAGATGAAGTATGACGACAAGCGCAAGCTCCTGTTCATCATCTGTGACGGTATGGTCGTCGGTTCCGGAAACGACCAGCCCACTCCGCGTATCGTCCTCGACGTCCTCGGCGCGAACCCCAACGTGGACGCGGAGCCGCTGAGCTTCCTCTCGCTCGGCGAGGGTGCGAAGCAGCACAACATGGGCAAGGTCTTCTCGGGTCTGTACGAGACCGCCGGTCACGTCGTTCCGTATCTCGTTGTCGTCAAGTGCGGCCGGCCGGGGGAGAAGTCCCGTCCTGGTAACCGTGGTAAGCGTGACTCACAGATGGTCATCATGCACTTCTTGAACAAGGTACGTCGCGTGGATGCTTGTTTTCGTGCAACCGCTCATTCCATTCTGCATAGGTCCACTACGGTACTCCCATGAACCCGCTCGAGCTGGAGATCTTCCACCAGATCAAGAACGTCATTGGTGTCAATCCGACTTTCTACGAGTACGTGTTCATGGTGGATGCCGATACGACGGTCGCCCCTCTCTCGCTGAACCGGCTTGTCTCTGCGTAAGTGTCTCACTACCCTGAAGCTCATCTTACAATTAACCTGTCCCGTTCAGCATGATTCACGACAAGAAGCTGCTCGGTGTCTGCGGTGAAACAGAACTGGCGAACGCGAAGCAGTCACTCATCACCATGATGCAAGTCTACGAGTACTTCATTTCCCACCACATGGCGAAGGCCTTCGAGAGTTTGTTCGGATCCGTGACCTGTTTGCCCGGTTGTTTCACGCTCTACCGCCTCCGCACCCCGGACACCCACAAGCCCCTGTTCATCAGCAATCAGGTGCTCGACGACTACTCGGAGAACCGTGTCGACACCCTGCACATGAAGAACCTGCTGCATCTCGGTGAAGATCGTTACCTCACGACGCTGCTGCTCAAGCACTTCTCGAATTACAAGACGCAGTTCGTTCGGGACGCCCACGCATACACCGTCGCGCCCGATGACTGGCAGGTTCTGCTGTCCCAGCGTCGTCGCTGGATCAACTCTACGGTGCACAACTTGGGCGAACTCGTCTTCCTGGACCAGCTCTGTGGTTTCTGCTGCTTCTCTATGCGGTTCGTCGTCATGATCGATCTCTTGTCCACGATCATCCAACCGGTTACTGTGGCCTACGTGAGTATTTCCTACTCGTCCTCGTCCAAGCTACGCTAACATTCTCACAGCTCGTCTACCTCATCTACCTCGCGGCGGGCGAACACTCTCAAATCCCTACCCTGTCTATCATCCTCATCGCCGCTGTCTACGGTATCCAAGCACTCGTGTTCATCTTGCGTCGCAAGTGGGACATGATCGGCTGGATGGTCTTCTACATCCTCGCCATCCCCGTGTTCTCGCTACTGTTGCCGTTGTACTCGTTCTGGCGCATGGACGACTTCTCCTGGGGTCAGACACGTGTCGTTTTGGGTGAAGCTGGCAAGAAGATCATTGTTCACGTAAGTAAAGGTGTCGTCCATATGATTGACATTGTTTTACTTATGTGCGACAGGATGAGGGCAAGTTCGATCCTCGGTCCATTCCTCTCAAGTCTTGGAACGACTACGTAAGTCGAGTCAGAATGCGGGCCACGAGCAGTACTCATCATTATAATAAAACAGGAGAACGAGCTCTGGGACAAGGAGTCCAACCACAGCATCGGCTCATGGGTGCCGCCCACGAAGATGCGCAACGACGGCTACGCGGAGTCTCAGACCGCGTCCGTCTACGGTCGCGAGACGATGTACGAGCCCGCGATGTCCCGCGCGTACTCCCCGGCGCCGTCACAAGCGCAGATGATGTACCCTCCCCCCGGGTACCAGTCTGGGCGCAACACCCCGCTGTCGCACGTCATGATGCCGGGCGTCCTGCACCAACCGATGCCCTCACGTCCAGCAAGCAACTACCTCGACGTCCAGATCCCCGCGACACGGAGCCCAGACGACCAAGACTTCATGGGCGGCCCGTCGGACGCCGAGATCGAGCACGCTGTGGAGGAGCGCCTCCGCAACGCCGATCTGACGACGGTCACGAAAAGGGAGATCCGCCGACGGCTCGAGGAGCAGTTCGGGATGGACCTCTCCGCGCGCAAGCGGGTGATCAACGACGCCATCGACCGCGTACTGCTCGCGCGCGCAGGGTAATCGTGCCTCGGACGCTCGTGTTCAGACAGACACTATTGCTAGTTATGGTTATGCCCCTCCTCACGTCACGCTTTCGTACACTTTCCGCCTATATCTCCATCTCTTTTCTTACAAGGATTCATCGCAGTACGGACATCTCGGACTCCCGCTCGTCGTCGCATCTGGCATTCTCTCACTCGTATAATCCCCAGTCTGCGGCACCACTGTCGCGGCCACCACCACACCCATCATCCATGTACTTTGCTACGCGTATTACCTATAGTAGAGCATGTTTGCGTCGCGGCTAGCTCGGACGGACGTGAATTGATTCCTGCATACACTGCAGTTGAGCAACGTGGGGCTGGAGTATGGATTTGGATGGGAGTGTGAACATAGAGGCCTCAAAAGTAATGAGACTAAACCAACTTAGGTTACAATTAAGCTGGGCGTAGGCGTACATCCTGTTCCTAGACAGCGAGAAGGAATCTTCTTAGTTTGAGAACGTTACATTGGGGCTGTTCGCTGGTATTGATGCTCTCTAACTCACTCGGTGTCAAGCACTGTCCAGAATCCTCCGGGCGTGTTCTGAGCGGCCGAGATGACAAGGGCGTATATCCATTGCATCTGTCACTGGCCTCGGTGTACGGTACCAGACATAGCGACAAGTTGTGATACATGGAGAATCTGAGATTCAGCCGTTGGTACCACGACATGGATCGCCGCCAAAACCGGCATCAATCGTAGCGTGTACGGGTGCATAGGGCGCACCGTGAGTGGCCGGTGTTTTGCAAAAATCCGGGGAGCAGCGGTTGGCCCCGGTGTCCAAGCCTGGGCGCAAAACCGGTCGCAAATCCAAGCAAGTATGGGCGGTTGAGGGTCGAGCGTGCCGGTACAGCCATTCAGCGGCCCTTGATAGAAGTGTCGGTCGCATTGAAAGATTGGCGGAGGTCGAATTTGACCCCGACTCACAGCTCGGTCTGCCGGATCCATGCCTGATATCTGCAGATCCCCCTGCTCAGTGCCATGATATTTCTCGCCACATCCTGCTTGATAGAGCGCATCTGCTAGGGACTCCCAACTGAATCTTCGTCCGGTAACCGTGAATTCGCCGAAGCGCCGCGACCACCGCTAAGCCGTAAACTCCCATGAGCGGGGAACATCGTTACTGACAGCAGGACCGCGTGTCTGCACAATCGACGCAGGAATGTCCAGCGTGGGTGAAGTGGGGGCTAGGATATCGCCGTAGAGTAATGCAGACCGCCGCGGGGCTGTCCCAAGTTTGATGAGTGGGAACGCACCCGTACTACTATTCGGGGATCATCCACTAGGTTGTGCTCTCCGCGTAAGGGTGTGATAACCACAAAAATAGGTTTTCACTGAACTTACAGACGGTCAGAATAAATAGATAGGAGCTGACCATCACGGTGCCCTAGACGCGGCGTTTTCGTAACATGCTTCCCATAGCTAGCCTGGTCCGAGCACTTCCCGCAGCAATGTGCGGCAGTCTGCTCGCAACGTGAAAGTAAGCCAGAGGTCAGACGTGCGAGCTACGCATGCGCTGCCGACGGCGTCGGACGAGAACGTGCTCACCAGGTGGTAAGAGCATAACGACTTCGAAGCGTATTTCGGTCCGTCGCGCACGCACGAAACGCGAGGCGCCAGGAAAAACGGTTCGGTACGCGGTTCCACCCATGCGTATTTCGGGCTCTCCGTGCCGTGCCCCGCCTTCTGTCTTCTTCGATGGACGTGGGTTGAATGCATGTCGTACGATACGACCGCACGCCCGTGTATGGATCTGGCGCACATACCTGCACGCATCGACACTCGAGACGTGGATCCCATCTATCCCACCGTGCGGGGGTGTCAGTGGAGAGGCCGCGGGTATGGAGCAGTGAATGAAACGGTGCTCACTCGACTAGGCGATGTGGCCGAATCCGAAAAAGGTCCGTAGTTCGGTCTCTTGCTCTGCTACTTCTGTCATCGTTAGGGAGGCATGTACGCACGACAGCACGGAGTGCTCACCTTTCCTGCAGGGGGTTGATGGAACCCAATAATCAGGAGCGGCATCGGATCGGTGCAGTGGCACCGAGGCCCCGGATGCTTGTATGGCTGCGCAAACGCCACGGCTGTAAAGACGGCTGGCGCCATCCACATTACTCGTTTCGCAGTACGCAGGGACTCGGTCCCGCGGTGGTCGCGGTGGGCGCGGTGACTCGGGGCATGATCCTTGACACCGGCCCCAGTGCAATGAGTTCGACGAGCCGAGCGCTGAGATAGAGCCCGCCCGTACCCGCATGAACATGTCAACCTGAGTGGAAACGCGCGCTGCAATCCGGACCCGAACACGCACCTAGTCGTCAGCTCGAAGGGGGGCGCGCGGATCGTCCTCTTGCATTCCTGCTGCCCTTGCGCCGGCAGGAGGCACGCTAGGAGCTGCGAGAGCGCTCGTCCGGGGTCCTGCAAGCAAGCATGGAATCCCCCGCAATTAGCGATGGCGAACTTTGCAGCGGGCTGTGGTTCCGAGCTCCGCGAACCCGTTGAAACCATCGTGGGGGCGGTTCGCGGTCCCCACTGTAGCGCCTTCGAATTCGATCGTGTTCGTGGTCCACGGAACGCTCTCCCTATAGCATGTGAATAGAATCCGTTCCTGAGGCTGTACCGTAGCCTGAGCATGTCCAGCGCGACGGCGGATGGATGCCCGGAATGACGCTGCGAATATGAACGAGCATGGCTGTGCGGGCGCCACGCCTCTTTGTAAGTATTAGCTGCCACGCCGTCCACATTACGCACTCCCTGGCTCGTAACGTCGTGCACCCGGAGGCGTCCATGGGCGGCTGCCCGGAGCACTATCCCTGACGCCCCCGTCTGGTATAATGGAATCGCCGTAACGTCATGTCCAGTCTTCCCAAGCCTGCCTGCCTAAAGATAAAAGGCGATTGAGTTGCCCGCCCGTACCCGCGTAAGTGTCACGATCGCAGGCGCCAGAGTTCGAAGAGACGGCGTACGACGGTGATACTTGTCCATATCAGCACCGTTGGATTCCACCGCGGCGCCAGCCTCGAATTCACGAGCTCGCTCCCGCTGGACGTCGTACGATCCTCGGGCCGCTGCGCGCGCGAGCAGAGACGCGGACGCCCGCCCGGGGGTGGAATTTGGCAGACGCCACTGCGCCCGATCCCGCCTGGGTGCGGACAGGAGCGCGCGCACCGCCATGCATACTGCCGGAACGCTCAGGCTCGACGCTCGATGGACATTGAGTGCTTGCAGGTGCACGGACGACCCGGACGGAGGTGGATCAGTGCGATGGTGATGACAGCATCCGGGCACCGAGGCAGGCCGGAGTCGAGCGCGCCCGGAGATAAGTAACGAGTATGCACTGGTGCGACGGTCGGGTTGGGGCGCAGAACATGTTCGTGTTGGATCTGATCCTCACGCTCTGTGGGGGGGCTTGCAAGTAAGTAATATGGTGTGCGTGCGTTCTGCCGTGGACGGGTTGGGACACGTACGTACGTGCCCTGATGCGGTGTAGCGTTGGCGCTGCGGCGGTTGTGGTTGCGACTATGATGTGCGGTCGCGAGGCGCGTGCGGAGCAGGTTGGCGAATATGAACATCCCGAGCCTGATTTCGCTTTCCGGGCGCGCCCAATTCAGTGTCGAGGAGGATTGCTGCCGGCGGGGAGGAGATCGTGATTCGTTGTATACCGTGCTGACCGTAAGCACCCGGCGGCCGCTGACATTGAACACCCCGCGTACCCGCGCACCGCCTTTGCCCCAGAGGACGCCTGAAGGTGATGTCGAGATGCCAACGCGATCGCGCCGTCCGTGGAGGTGCTTGCGTGTATACGCGTGTGTACGGATAATGCAGCGGCCCTGGAGGCTGTCGCTGCGCCCGGATCGGGGCGGACAGTCAGATGCCAAGAGCGGATTACGTACCCGGGAGCCGCGCGCGCCTGAGGCTTGTGTGTCCCCTCGGCTGACGGGATCAGTGACAGCCACATCGATCCATCTCGATCACCGACCGTGCTATAGATCTCGCCAGCCTCCACGCTCGTACATGCACTCTACGATGGCCCTCGACTGCGCCGCTGGGCGTGATTAAGGGGAACACGCACAGCGCACTGCGCCAGTAGAAACGAGATACATGTTTTAGACGAGGACGCGTCCGTGTGTGCCGCAAACCCGCGAGAGACCGTTGCGTCGCGACACACGAGCTCGGCAGTGGATTGGAAAGTTACAAAGCGCATCAGCGGTCGGTGCCTCGAAGGACCCTGTTTTTGATTCCCGGCGGGGCGATACAAATTAATATCTTATCTGATACAACGCGGCTGCACGCCGCGCTCCGCAGGATGGACGAATTGCGTTCAGATGGGCTCAGATCCCGCAAAATGGGCGTAGCGTGGTTGGAGTGCGAAAGCCCGAGGTCGGGCGCGGGAAAAGGGAGTAAGCAGAGGGGGAGAGCGAATTAAGCTCGAGCGTACGCGTATTCGGCAGGCGGCGGCGGTAAGCCCGCTGAGCTCAGCCCCCGCTGTCCGGTTTTCTCGGAAATGCCGTTCTGGGCGAGTGGGCCTTGTCAGGGGGCTGACACGCGCGACAGCTCACGCCTTCTGCGCCGATTCGCGCCTTCTTTCTCTCGCGCGTCGGCGCAAATCGCGGGACACGTCGGGGTGTGATGGCGCTGGCTGCAGATTCGCAGTCAAAGAGACGACCGGCACCACCGCGCGTGGAGGGAGGGGAGTGCGGGGAAGGCGGTAGGGTCAGCAGGAGGCGTAAGCGGGGGCACGGCGCCGGTATCACATGCACCCACGGCGCGGGGATGGCGTAACGGCCTGGCTCGCGGAATGGGCTGTGGGTGCTAGGCGCCTCCGCTGCGAGTGCGAGCATCGTCGACGCCTTCCGTCCCAAACTGCCCGATCACTCGACCGGTGCGCGCCGCGCGGCTGGCTGCTTACGCCTGCGCTTGCGCTTCGCCAGCCGCGCGCGGCCGTAGCCTATCCGCCCTGCCCCATCCATATATACCGCCCGCCGCCAGCCGCCGTTCCGTAGTGTCTCTACTTTGTAGCCCCTCCCTAATTCTCTCTCTCCCTTCCCGCCTCTTCCGCCCCCTCCTCTCCCCTCACGACAATCTAACCGCTCCGCACGGAGTCTCCCACACACATGGTGGACACCGCCCACCTCGAGTCCCTCGAGGGCCAGGACAACGTGCCCGAGCTCCCGACGCCCACCCAGATCGCCGCAGGCCACGCCGCGTTCAACGGCAGCCCCGAAGAGCAACATCAGCGCTCGCCCAGCCTCGCGCACTCCGACGCGCCGTCCGCCTTCGGGCACCCGCTCGCGCGCACACAGAGCGCCGCGTCGCACGTCGACATCGGCCACTTCGACCCGCAGGGCGTCGAGCAGCTCCGCCGCACCCTGTCAAGACAGTCGCAGGCGCACGCGGACGAGCTCCGGCGCACGCGCACGAACCGCACCGTCGACGAGAAGAAGAGCGCGCGCCCCCCCAGCCCGAGCCCGAGCTCCGACGAGAGCACGCTCGCGGGCCCCATCGACGGCGCCGGGTTCGACTTTGAGAAGGCCCTCCGGGGCGTCATCAAGAAGTGCGTGTGCAATCCCCGTTTCCTTTTTTGTCCGTGCGGGCGCCCGGGTGTGGTCGTTGTGGGCGCCCGGCGGTGTCAATCTGCGAGAACGCCATCGCTGACCGGCTGCGATCCGTGTCCGCAGGCTGAACGAGTCAGACATCAAGCGCAGAGAGCTCGGCGTCGTGTTCGAGGACCTGCGCGTCGTCGGCGTCGGCGCCGCGGCGTCCTACCAGCCGACGTTCGGCTCGATCCTCAACCCGCTCAACATGCTCCAGGGCATCCGCGCGCAGATGCACCCCGCCACGCGCGACATCCTCTCCGGCTTCGACGGCGTCGTGCGCCCCGGCGAGATGCTCCGTACGTCCCCCTCCTTCCCTCCCCGGCCCCTCCCCGTGCTGACCGCCCCCCGCGCAAACAGTCGTGCTCGGGCGCCCCGGCTCGGGGTGCAGCACGCTGCTGAAGACGCTCGCGAACCAGCGCGCGGAGTACCACGCCGTCGAGGGCACGGTCGCGTACGACTCGCTCACGCCCGACGAGGTCGAGCGGCACTACCGCGGGGACGTGCAGTACTGCCCCGAGGACGACGTGCACTTCCCGACGCTCACCGTCGACCAGACGCTGCGCTTCGCCGCGACGACGCGCACCCCGCGCGCGCGCCTGCCCGGGGCGTCGCGCGAGGACCATGTGTCGCGCACGGTCGAGGTGCTCGAGACGGTGTTTGGGCTGCGGCATGTGAAGGATACGCTTGTGGGCGATGCCTCTGTAAGGGGTGTGTCTGGTGGTGAGAAGAAGCGGGTGTCGATTAGCGAGGCGCTCGCAGCTCGCAGTCTCTTGAACTCGTGGGACAACTCCACCCGTGGTCTTGAGTGCGTCTTCTCCCCCTCTCCTCCCCTCGCATATAGCGCATATATTGACGTTTTGCGACAGTGCGTCGACGGCGCTCGAGTTCGTGCAGGCGCTGCGGATCGCGACGGACATCGCGCGGCAGTCGACGATCGTGGCCATCTACCAGGCCGGCGAGTCGCTGTACCAGCACTTTGACAAGGTCTGCGTGATCTACGAGGGCCGGCAGGTGTTCTTCGGCCCCGCCGACAAGGCGCGCCAGTACTTCATCGACATGGGCTACGAGCCCGCGAACCGGCAGACCACCGCCGACTTCCTCGTCGCCGGTGCGCCCCTCTCCCTCTCCATCTCCCGCCGCGGATGCTGATTAGCGTTCCCCCGAAAATGCAGTGACCGACCCGAACGGCCGCATCGTGCGCCCCGGGTTCGAGGCGCGCGTGCCGCGCACGGCTGCCGAGTTCGCAGAGCACTACAAGCGCTCCGCGTTCGCGCGCGAGAACCGCGCGGACATGGACGCGTACCGCGCCGCGTTCGTGGGCAAGCCCGAGCGCGCGGACGCGTACCGCGCGAGCGTCAAGGCGGAGCACGCGCGGCACGCGAGCAAGAAGAGCCCGTACATCGCGAGCATCCCGATGCAGGCGCGCGCGCTCATGACGCGCCGCGTGCAGATCATCCGTGGGGGCGCGGCCGCGCAGGTCATCCAGCTCTTCTCCTTTGTCTTGCAGGGCATCATCGTCGGCACGGTCTTTTTGAGGCTCAAGAACGAGACGACGACGTTCTTCAGCAGGGGCGGCGTGCTCTTCTTCGCGCTGCTGTTCAGCGCGCTGTCGACGATGGCGGAGATCCCCGCGCTGTTCTCGCAGCGGCCGATCGTGCACAGGCAGAGCCGCGCGGCGATGTACCACCCGTTCGTCGAGGGCCTCGCGCTCACGCTCGTGGACGTGCCGATCACGTTCCTCACGATGGTCGTGTTCGCGATCCTCATCTACTTCTTGGTCGGCCTCGAGCAGAGCGCTGCGCAGTTCTTGTGAGTCCCCCACGGCTGCTTTGTTTTTGTGTTTTTGTGTTTTTGTGGGGCGGTGCTGATGCGGACGACAGCATCTTCCTGCTGTTCACGTTCGGGATGACGATCACGATGAAGGCGTGGTTCCGCTCGCTCGCGGCGCTGTTCAAGAGCGCCGCGCCCGCGCAGGCCATCGCCGGTCTCACCACCCTCATCCTCGTCCTCTACACCGGCTACAGCATCCCGCAGCCGTACATGATCGGCGCGCTGCGCTGGATCACATATATCAACGTACGTGCCTCTCTCCCCCAATCTTTCTTGGCGCAACGGTGCTAACCGCTCGCATGTAGCCGCTGAAGTACGGCTTCGAGGCGCTGATGGTGAACGAGTTCCACACGGTGCACGCGGACTGCTCGGTGCTCGTGCCGCAGGGCGCGGGCTACGAGAACGTCGGGCTCGCGAACCAGGTGTGCACGACCGTTGGGTCGGTGCCTGGGCAGCTCACGGTCTCGGGCATGGACTACGTCACGCTGTCCTACGGCTACACGTACGCCCACCTCTGGCGGGTACGTCTTTTTCTTCCTTACCGTGTGTTATGTGGGGCATATACTGACGGGCGATGCAGAACTTCGGCGTGCTCTGCGCATTCGGCATCGGCTTCATCGCGATCCTGCTCGCGCTCACGGAGAACAACACGAGCATCGCGGGCGAGACCGCGGTGATGCTCTTCAAGCGCGGCACGAAGACGGACATCGTCGAGGACGCCGCGGCCGACGAGGAGAAGGGCAGCGGCGGCGCCGCGCCGAGCATCGGCACGCACCACGACGCGGAGGCGCAGGCGATCAAGGAGGCGACGCACACCGTCACGGACGTGTTCTCGTTCCAGCACCTCAACTACGTCGTCCCCGTCGGCCACGGCCACACGCGCCGCCTGCTCGACGACGTCTCCGGGTACGCCCCGCCCGGGAAGCTCACCGCGCTCATGGGCGAGTCGGGCGCCGGCAAGACGACGCTCCTGAACGTCCTGGCCGAGCGCACGACTGGCGGCGTGGTCACGGGCGAACGGCTGATGAATGGCCACCCGCTCCCGGCGGACTTCCAGGCGCACACGGGCTACTGCCAGCAGATGGACACGCACCTGCCGACGAACAGCGTGCGCGAGGCGCTGCTGTTCTCCGCGTGCCTCCGCCAGCCGCAGTCGGTGCCCCTTGAGGAGAAGAAGGCGTACGTCGAGAAGGTGCTGCAGATGTGCGGGCTCGCGAACTACGCGGACGCCATCGTCGGCTCCCTGGGCGTCGAGCACCGCAAGCGGACCACCATCGCCGTCGAGCTCGTCGCGAAGCCGTCCCTCATCTTCCTCGACGAACCGACCTCCGGCCTCGACTCGCAAAGCGCCTGGGCGATCACCAGCTTCCTGCGCGACCTCGCGGACAACGGGCAGGCGATCGTGTGCACGATCCACCAGCCGTCCGCGGAGCTCTTCCAGGTGTTCGACCGGCTGCTGCTCCTCCGCAAGGGCGGGCAGACCGTGTACTTCGGCGACATCGGCCCGCGCGCGACGACGCTCATCAGCTACTTCGAGCGCAACGGCGCGCGCAAGTGCGAGGACAGCGAGAACCCGGCCGAGTACATCCTCGATGCGATAGGAGCCGGCGCGACCGCGACGACGGACGTGGAGTGGTACGAGGCGTGGAAGAAGAGCGCGGAGGCGGCGGAGTCCGCCGCGGCGCTCGAGCGCATCCACGCGGAGGGCCGCAGCAAGCCCGCGGTGCAGGCGACGCTTACGAACACGTTCCCGACGACGTGGGCGTACCAGCTGTGCACGCTGCTCCTGCGCGACGCGCAGGCGCACTGGCGCGACCCGACGTACCTCATGGCGAAGGTCGGCTTGAACATCGCGTCCGCGCTCCTCATCGGCTTCACATTCTTCCACGCGAAGACGACCATTCAGGGTACCCAGAACCACCTCTTCGTGAGTGCTACCGTTCTCTATTCGTTTGTGGCCGTACGCTAATTCGTTTGCTTTGCTAAGGCGATCTTCATGTCGACCATCATCAGTGTCCCGCTCTCCAACCAGCTCCAGGTCGCGTTCATCGAGATGCGCAACGTCTTCGAGGTCCGCGAGCGCCACTCCCGCATGTACAGCTGGTCCGCGCTCGTCACGTCGCAGATCCTCATCGAGATCCCGTGGAACATCCTCGGCTCGTCGCTCTACTTCCTGTGCTGGTACTGGACCGTCGGCTTCCCGACCGACCGCGCCGGCTTCACGTACTTCATGATGGGCGTGTGGTTCCCGCTGTACTACACCACGATCGGCCAGGCCGTCGCGTCCATGTCGCCGAACGCGGAGATCGCGGCGCTGCTCTTCTCCTTCCTGTTCTCGTTCGTGCTCACCTTCGACGGTGTCATCCAGCCTTACCGCGCCCTCGGGTGGTGGCAGTGGATGTACCGCCTGTCGCCGTACACCTACCTCATCGAGGCGCTCCTCGGCCAAGGTACGCAGTGTTTTTTTACCCTCACGCGGACATGTGCTGATGCTTTCTCTCTCAGCGCTTGGGAAACAAGACATCCATTGCTCCGATATCGAACTCGTCACGATCCAGCCGCCCTCGGGCCAGACGTGCTCGCAGTACATGGGCCCGTACATCGCGAACGCCGGCGGGTACCTCAGCAACCCCGACGCGACCAGCGGCTGCGGCTACTGCTCGTTCGCCACCACCGATGCGTTCCTCGAACAGAGCTTCAACATCTTCTACTCGCACCACTGGCGCGACCTCGGCATCTTCGTCGCCTTCATTTTCTTCAACGTAAGTCCCCCTTCACTGACCGGCTGGTTGCGCATGGTGCTGACATGGGCTGCGCACACAGATTGCTTGCATCTACTCGTTCACGTACTTCTTCCGCGTGCGCACCGGCAGCCTCTTCGGCTCGCTGAAGAGCCGCATCGCCGCGCGCCGCGCCAAGTCGTCATAATGGACTCTGCCCCGACCCTCGTTCCCGTTCCCTGTCCATTTCACGCTTCCATACTGCTACTAGAATCCACATCGCATCTACCGTCCATCTACCCCTACCCCTTACCCCTTACCCCTACTAGATTAGACTATGAAATCCCACTAGTCGATCCGCATGCTGCCTGCTCCTGCTCCATCTCACGACTCGCTCAAGAACTGAACCGGGGGGGCTGAACGTCAAAGAAGAGGTCATTTATTCCATCTATCATCTGTCTCGTCTCTCAATCATATTGCTGCCTCTTGTACGATCACACTATTACGATATCGTTACGGTCGATTATAGAGATGTATTACAGACAATCTCAACGTCAATGCACATATAGCGGTTTAACATCTATCTTTCGTCCTCCTATGCGTGTGCGTCCGGCCAGGCGACCTAGATGATTTTTGTTGCGGTCCAGAACGAGGCGTGATACACGTATCCGAGCATGCTCTGCGCGTTGTTCGTGTATGTGGTGTCGATCGTGCGCTCGTTCTGCGATGACACCGGTCAAAACCTGATACAAGAAACGGTCCGCACAGGACAAAAGAGCTTACAGATATTTCGAAGCCGATGGAGCGTGCGAGGGCCTTCACTTCGTCGAGCGTAAGTTCGATAGACGGGTCATTCGTCGTGTTGTTCTCCCAGTGCCACAATAGGGGTCCTGTCCGCCGAGTGTGTATCAGCGGCCGCCGTGGCGTGCGTGCGGTGGTGCGACTTACCTAGATTGATCCACACGCCACCGGGTGCGAGTATGCGGTGGATGATACGGAGGTAGTTGATGATGTTCTTCGCCTGTGTGGTGAGTGTCAGTTTGAGTGCGACTGCTACCGAGACGCGGCCTTGGGGGCCGAAAGAAGCGTACTCACCGTGTCGATGAAGAAGCAGGTGAGGACGGCGTCCCACTGCCCCACCTGCGACTCTGCGTCATCGCCCTCTTCGGCGCCATAAATCTCCTCAAAGTCTCCTGATCGCGACCGTGTTAGTGGGTACGCGCCCGGGCTAGAAAGGTCCCCAACACTTACCCGCCACTAGGGAGAAGTCCGAGCCTGGGGCCAGACCAGATGGCAGGACGTCCGGTATGCGGATTGGCCGGAGAAGACCCTCGCTATTCAGGAGATTGGAGAACGAGTGGATGTATGGGTAGATTGTGTGTTTGTTGACGGCGTCTGTCCTGCGAGTAAGAAGGCATCTTGTAAGTACCCCCCCCCCCCCGATAGCCAGCGGAGTGCGCTTACCTATTTAGCATATGGAAGGAGGCGAGCAGCATGTAGTGTGAAAACTCGTTTCCCTGGCACGCAAAGCCTTCACGGGAGCGCAAATGTGAGGCGCGTCCGACGATAATGTAGGAATACCTGTACCTAGGTTTGCCACATCCCAAGCCAGTCTTCCGAGTCCTGCCCCGGGAACTAAAACACGAAAGTTCCCTCTATAAAACTACCGTTGTCAAGCTGCGAGGACCGGTCAGCAAAACAGCACCTACCTCTCTTCTTGCGGGATGTCGGAGAAATGCTGCAACAAGGCCTCCTTGATGGGCTCGTAGCAGACGTCCCGCTCCGCTTTTCCCTGTGTGAGCAGTCAATATCAGCCTCGGATACCGATTTTCTCGCGACGAGTCATATACCTCCTCGCTCCAGTCACGGACGAGTTGCTTCAGCGTGCTGCGCAGCTTCTCCATGTCGTGTTCAGTGGGTTTGTATCGCCGCTTTCCGCCCCGGCCCTTGTCTGTTCTCGACGAGCCATCCTGAGGAGAGTCATGAGAATGAGAGTGCCCTCCCCCATGCGAGTGTCCCCGGTGGGGGTGCGAGACTGAATGGCTATGACTTGATCCTGAGTGCTCTTCATATAAGGTCAGCCTCATATCAATTAGCACACGGAAGACATCCAGTACCATGGGAGTGTTGGCCGCGTCTCGGGTCATGTCTTCTTGAGGATTCTGGCTGATCCGCGCTTCCTTCTACCGGGTCCTCAGCCAGTTCCTGCCCGAATATCTCGGGGTTCGCGGTGAGCAGGTTCAGGAACTCAGCGTTCGCGAGGATCGCGTCGTCCGTCGCCGAGATCCGCTGCTTGTACCCGATCTGCTCGAGCAGCTCGCGGTCCTCGATCGGGATAATGTGGATGTCCTTTCGGCGGCGATTGTTCGCGTTCAGCTGAGAGTGGCATGCTGAGCACTGCGATCACACGAACTGACGAAAGCGACTCTTACGGCATACGGAGCATACTGCTGGAACGTCGCTATCACATTCGCGAAGTGCGTGCGCTCCTCATCGATGTCTGCTTGAGTGAGTGGCATCTTTTCGGATCTTGGAGGTGTGCAACAGAAACGGGTGGCGGATCCGCAGCCACTGCGGTGGCTGCGATGACTTGTGGTACCGCCCACGTGTCCGACAAGCAACCCAAAAAGGCAGCCTTTGATTGGTTTGCGAGCTCATCCAGTCTGATTGGAGCTTATTCGAGACGTTGGAGGGATGGACTCTGGATCCATTCAGGCGCGAGAGCATTGGATATTTGTGCGTGCTCGCGAAGCGATACCACAATTTAACTCTAGACGCCTTCGGACCATAACACTAACTTTAGCAAGAAGATTGGCAGCACCTAAAAGTACTAAGTAGTAGTACAGCGGCTCTGATTACACTGTCAGTTAGAAAGTCCGTACATGAAGAGTTTGGACGTGATGCAGATCACTTCAATCCAGATACAGAAGCATGATGCTCCGGCCAGTGGTAACGTAGACTCCGTTACAAAATCTTACACTTCAAGCAGCTGCCATAACGGTCCTTAATAACTTCCTATCCTCCGCCCCCCTCAATCAAACGGCACAGGCCGGATCCCAGGCCCAGACAACAGCCCGCCCTCGACCCGCTTCCTTGTCTCCTCCGCCTTCGCCGCCGCGAACACCGACGGCACCGGGATCCCGCAGCAGTCGCCCCACCCGTTCTCGCGCTGGCCGACGCCGCCGAGGTCGCCCATCGCGTGCGCGTGCCCCCAGTGCTCGTCGTTCTGCCCGGGGGAGCCTGCGGGCAGCGCGGGGAGGGGCCCGTCCCAGGCGAGGAGCGAGCCGAAGAGGAAGTGCTGCATGACGGGGAGCTTCCCGAGCACCTCCGCGAGGTACATCTTCGTGAGGCCTGAGTTGACCTTGTCCCAGGTCTTGACCTAAGGCGGACGGTGAGGTGGGTGGTGGACGAGTAATGGTGAGGAGCGTACCGCAGAGATGTCGTCCAGCATAGGCGAGTGCCATCGCAATGAAGCAGTCTTGATCTGGAAAACCGTTAGAAACCATGGGTGGTCATTTGGCAGCTCCTTACCGAATTGATGAATTTGATGCACGCAAGATACATGTAGTGTTTGGAGAATTCCTCCACCGTATCACTGTCATGTATTGACTTTGGACGGATGTACTTGTGCCCTGAACGTGTATGTCAGCAGTGCCAGACCAGATTCAACGAGTAGGTACCCACCTTGCAGCTGCGCTGCACCCCATAAGAACGGCAGGAAGTGGTAGTCATCCAGGCCCCACACGCCGTGCGATCCTGCCGGCTCGAGCCAATAGGTCGACTGCAGTACGCGCATGACCTCGATATACCTGATGCATACATCAGCTCCACAGCCGGCATTCGTAGACACCCCCTCAGCTCACCGCCAGAAGACCTTGGTCACTAGAGCTGCACGGTCGCTCTCCTGGAATACGCCCAGTTTATCCAGGCATATCCTGCACAACCTCCCCATTAGCCACAAGCCACATATGCTTAGGTGGGGCGGACGCACATCCAACACAAGAAGTTGAGCTCCATGCCGCTCCCATAATCGATACGCGTCCGGTTGCCCCAGGACTCGTCAAAATACACAGTCACTTCAGGGATCGCGTCCTCGGGAAGACCGGGAATTGTGCGGTGCAGCTCAGGAGCAATCTGGCAGCAGCAACACTCAGTCACCCATACGCGTCTAGAGCGGCGGACCAAGATGCAGGCAAGGAGTAGGGTAGCCGCAGGGTACGCACCTCCGAGATCTTGTCAAAGAACGTCCTGAACGCAGGGTTTCCAAACCGCGAGGCCTTGTTATCCACAGGGGGAATACCGCGCGCCGTCTCCGCAACGCGCTCAAGAATATCCAGCACGGCTTGCACGCCCTGAAACCACTCGTTACTCCACCGCCCGCACGCCGACGCAACCGACGGACTTACGCACAGGAGAGACAGGGCACTCGTCCGTGAGCTTCACACCGACGACAGCCGCGTTCAGCGCGTTGATGTACCCCACGATCGTCTCGTGCGTCTTGGACTGCTGGAACGCCTCGAGCTGCTCCTTCGTCAGGATGATCTTCCGCGGCGGGAAGAAGCCCGTGCTGGTCGCCTGTGTCGCTTCAGCAGGCGGCGTATGCGTGTGTTCTGTAGCATTCGTAGAAATCGTTGTCGAGTCCGACATGGTGGTGGATTGGAAAGCAGAGGTAGTGCGGACCCGTCTGGCCCAAACCGGGTCCGACCATAGGGGTGGCGCGTAGGCGCCCGCTCTCCGCGCGAATGCGATCGGCTTACGGGCGCTTGCTGAACTTGTTTTCATTCACGCCTCGTTCTCGCCTGTGCAGCCCATTCGCTTGTGGCTTTCCCCGTCCCTCTCTTCCTGCGGCTGGCTGTTTCATACTCTGGGATACCTTAGCGACACAAAATGCCGACACCAACAGCGGTCCTGCAGGAGTCGCTCGAGCGGCATAATGGGGCATTCGAGTCTCTCCTGAAGCTCATCCCCGCGAAGTACTACCTGGTGGCAGATGACGCCGACGAACAGGTGCGTTCGGATGTGCAGCCCACGAAGTTGCGGAACAGCATGTAACATACATGTGTGGTGTAGATGGCGTCGAAGTACATGAAGAACAGCAAGAAGCAGAAGGCCCCCAAGCAGGCCATCAAGGATGCCTCGAAAAAGGCCAAGAAGCTGAAGGTAACCCTACCCCCTCGCGCATACGTACGTCCCTGAGTCTAATACCTATACCCCAGCTCGACCCCGCAAACAACAAAACCGTGCTCGAGATCCAGAGCGAGGCCCTCGCCGCACGCGAGGAGGGCGCCCAGCAGCCCGCGCGCGCCGCCACCAAGGGCAAGCGTAAAGCACCCCCAAGCGACGACGAGTCCGACTCCCCCAACGACGAGCCCATGACCGAGGACGACCTCGACGACGAGGACGAGGGCGCAGGGGAGCCGATGGACGAGGACGGGGCGCCCGTGCCGATGCCAGAGAGCGGGGGCATCCAAGCGCTGCGCGACAAGCTGCACGCGCGGATGGCGCAGCTGCGGAACAAGGGCAAGGAGGGCTGGGCGGACAGCGGGTATGGGGGGAAGCTCGGCGGCCGCGACGAGCTGCTCGAGGAGCGGCGGCAGCAGCGCGCGGCGATGCGCGAGCGGCGGCGGAAGGAGACGCGCGAGAAGATCGAGCGCGAGAAGGAGCGGAAGGGCAAGGGCAAGGCCGACAAGGGCAAGGCGAAGGAGCAGGAGAAGCAGAAGGGGACCCAGACGAAGGTGCGTGCTCTCGGTTCTCCCCTGCGCATGCGGCGCTCATCGGTTTTGTGTGCAGACCCAGCTGCTCGTGCCCGACGACTCAACGGGTGTCTCGTCGAATCATGGTCCCAAGTTCACCTCCGTCACTTTCTCCGCGCTCGCGTCTGCCTCTGGGTCGTCTGCGCCCAAACACAAAAAGAACCTCCCGACGACCGCGTCCAACCCCACGCAGGCGCTGTCTCAGCTCATGGCGCACAAGGAGAAGCTCGCTGCACTACCAGAACAGGAACGCGCCGCGCGAGCGGAACGCGAGAAGTGGGACAAGGCGAGCGCGCGCGTCGACGGTGTGAAGGTGCACGACGACGAGGGGCGGCTGAAGAAGGCGGTCAAGCGCAAGGAGAAGGGGAAGCTGAAGAGCAAGAAGGCCTGGTGCGTATTCCGACACGCTCTTTCGGGATCTTCAATTTGGGGTCGCTCACGCGCGGGGTTTTTGCAGGGACGAGCGGAAAGAGCAGGTCGCGACGACGATAGCTGCGCGACAGAAGAAGCGCACAGACAACATCGCGGGGCGGGCGGAGCGCAGGAACGACAAGCGGAAAGGTGTCAAGACGAAGCCCAAGGACAAGGGCCGGCCAGGGTTCGAGGGCAAGTCCTTCGGGAAAGGCAAAGGGAAGGACAAGGGGAAGGACAAGGGAAAAGCTGGTGGGAAGAAGTAGTGTCTGCTTCCCGCTACTCACGCCCATGTTCTCTGCCACTACTACCTTTACATCTGCTTCATTTCTACGGTGGTCTAGTGTGTGGCTGAAAGCTATACGAAACAAACTAATACGGTAAGTGACCGGTCACAGTGTCATATAGGCATCGCATCCTCCACCATCCGCCCGTACTCGCTCCACCCGTCTGTCCACAACTTGAACCACAACGGCGCGAAGAGCAGCCCGTGCGCGACCCCCACAGTGACCTGCGGCCACGTATGGTGCCCGAGCCATATCCGCGACAGCGCGATCGTGCTCGCCAACGGCACCACCACCAGCGGCGGCAGCACGCGCGAGAGCGCGGGCGACGCGGGCAGCGAGGGGTGGATCGGGAGGTACGCGCACGCGAGGGTGATATACGCCGCGAAGTACGTGATCACCGCAGAGTGCGTGCTCGGCATCCTGAGACGAACTGGTAGTCAGCAGGAGGACTGAGGTTGGGTGCGCAGGTATGTAAGGACACTGACCCGTATGTCTTCTTCCGCTTGCCGTTCACTGTGATGACCGGCCGTGGTTGGCGGAGGCACCGCTTGAGGACCTTGACGGTGAGCGAGCAGAGGACCGCACCCGCGGTGAAGTACGCGACGCCCGCGGACCGCGTGTAGAGCAGGACGCCCGCCGTCAGCGTCGTCACTATCGCGTTCGTCTGCGAGATATATTAGTGCGGCGCACGAAGACGGCGGGGAGCGAGGACGAGCGGGCACCTTGTCGAGCGCATACAGCCACCAAGTCATACGTCGTGCTGGCGCGTTTTTCATAGCGTCCCAGCGTGGTATGACCGTTTGAGGACTCTTGACCGTGACTGCTACTGAGACCAACTGGTGGTGGTAGAGAGCAGCTCAGGAACACCAACGGCGGGCCTCTAGAAGTGGTGGCTGCTGGAAAAGCTGCCGACGTCGCGATCGCCGCGCGCGCTCGCCGCTATCGCGACTTCGCGTTCCACGAATGTCACCTTCAGGCACTCGCGGGTTTTTGTTCATGTACATATATCGCGCAGCGCGCCTGAATGTTGGCCGCACCATTATAACGGATGTATATACCGTTCCCGAACCTCAGATATATCCAATGCAACCACCCCCTCGCTCAGTACACACTACAATGACCACCACCGCACTGCGCTAGCCTTTCACGATCCCGACAGTGACCTCCGCCTCGCCCTCACCCCCCTCCCCGCCGCGCGTCCCAAAGTGCAGCGCATGCACGCACCGCTCCCACGCCCACCGCGTCAGCCTCAGCACCTCCGCGTCCGCGAGGTCGTGTCGCACATGCAGCTCGAGCGTGACCACGAGCGACTGCGCGGGGCCCTGCGCCTTGTCCGCCGCCGACGGCGCGGCTGCGTACGGCGACACCGCGTCCCCGTCCGCGAGCGCGAGGCTCGGCGTGAGCTGCCAGATGTGCGGCGCGGGGAGGTGCAGCACCCGCTCGTCGCGTTCGATCTGTCGCAAATGTAAGTGGATGGACGATGAACACCGCGGTGTGGAGGGATACGTACCTCGCGCATGGCGCGGAGGAAGGCCTCCATTCGCCCGCCCGCGAGACCCCGTGCTGGCGACGTCTGCAGCAGGACGGCGCCGAGTTGGACCGCAGCGCGGTACGCTAGTTTGAATGTCACCACCGTCTCTACCCCAGCAAGGATGAGATCAAGTGGTCGGTGTTGACGTCTGCAGGAGGTTCAGTATACTGGCAATTGACAAAAAATGTGACCTACGGAGGTATCGATATTGCAGTGAACAGCACACATGAGGCGAAAAGCACCGGTGCAAGTGAGTAGGGGTTGGTAAGGAGGTTGTTCAGCAAAGGAGGGTATGCCAGCGTAGACGCGCGGTATCGGGAACGAGCCGGGAGCAGGGATGCTAGGGAGGGGATGTGGTTGCCTGCCGCTGCACAGTTCTGTCAATACCCCGATACGACTGGACCGGTATGATGCAGCAGAGAGCACGTACTGCTGACAAGCTTGGAGTGGTTGTTGAATGAGATAGCAGTAGTCAAAAGCGAAGCGAAGGTGATAAATAATAGGCGAATAGGGAACTCGATCCTATCCGCAACTCAGTACCACAACAACGCAGAGTTTTCGACGCACGCACCCAAACACAGAAGACACTTCATCCCCGTGATGATGGTGGTGCCCCTCACCGCTCGAGAGCAGGATATGCTCGAGCGTCTCCTTGCAGACATACACGGACGTGAAGATCAGGTAGACTGACTGGGCAAACGTCATCACTGTCTCTATCCGCGCATTTCTGCGTGGTGGCGTGAGCGTCAAATGATCACCGCAGGGCATGAGTGACGACATACCCATAAGGTCGACGCGTCTCCGCACGCATATCGGGTCGCGCGAGGTGGTTTGGCAAGATGTGCCCGAGCGCGACGCCAATCGCGTCGAACACCACCCAATACCCCAGCCCCGTACACGATAGCGAGCCCACCTGCTGCCCAGTGATCCACAACCACGCCCCTAATGCGAACTGACCGACTGCCGCGCATACAGGCCAGGTCGAAGAGCCCGGCGACGCGCGGATCTTACCTATGGGGCTCTTCGCGCGCGTCTTCGAGGCCAGTCCATTCGTGACATGCGCGGCCTCCTGTTTCTCCGCATTGAGAGACGGGCTGCTCGGGAACGGAGATATAGGAGCCCACGGGCTCATGGGCATCGGGGTGGGCTGCGTGTGTAGTTCTCCCGGATCGCTCTGCGCGCCAGGTTCGAGGAAGGAGAAGAAGTTGTGCGAGAGGGAGTGCTTGTGGTGATGCCCGCGCCGCGACGCCCCGCCGGGCGACGCCGACATCTCTGCCATAGGGTGTGTCCCAGCCGAGGGTGGACGTGCACCGAACGTGAAGCCTTCGCGGAACGCACGCTGCCCAGGTCCGGGTGACGCACTGGGAATGGGAATCCCCTCGTCCGTAGCCGCCGGTGCCCCGAAGTCAAGTTCCTGCGCGCCATCCTCGGCAATGCTGGTGGAAGGAAGAGACCCCGGGCGCGGGAAGTAGATGGAAAGGTTGCGGGAGTGGAGGCGCGAATGTCTCCGGTTATTGATGGGTGGTTGTGAAATCTTGATGCCATTCTCCGGAGGAGAAGAACCTGGTTGGTACAGTTCTGGAGCAGTGGAGGAAGAGGGGAGCTTATGCGAGGGAGGTATACCGAGCTGATTAGAGGGGAAGGATGATGCGAGCGGGGAGGGGGTGATGGGGGAGAACGGGCCTGACACCGAGCGTGTACGCCCATGAGAGGAGGGTAAAGAGAATGACTGGCGCATCGGAGAGGCTTGATGTCGTCCATTTGGGGGCGCATACAAAGATGCACTGCCGTTTGCTAGGGGCTGTCTTGGTATCGAGAAAGTAGTGCGGTATGGGCCAGCGGATGCTGGCTGCCCGGGGAAAGATTGCGACATGGGCATGGACGGCGTTGAAGTAACACGGGAGCGAGCATGGGGCGGCGCAAGCTCGCTGCTGTCGTCCGGCGTAGGGCCGTTGAGCGTGAATCCCTGAGATAACGGTGCCGTGGTCGGAGGGGATTGGGGGGCCGGAAAGCGGAGCACATTGTCCTCGTCTTCATCCTTGCTCGACTTTCTCCTATGCATGGTCCCATTGACCGGGATACCCGCTGAGAGCGCCATATTTCCGCTTCAAGCTGGTCCGAGGGGTCGCTGCACAAGAAACTGCAACAGGTCACGAAGTACGAGAGGCTTTACTTCAAGTTGAGTTATCGCTATAAGCATAAGCAGTAACGAACGCACCTGTAACCCTTTCGCAGCAGCCACCTGGGCTCTCAGTCAGTAGCAACCGCGGGGCGGAAGGAGGGTGGTGAGGGAGAGAGACTCAAGGCAAGAGCGGGAGCTTGTCAAGCCGTGCTCTCTAAGTCTTTCCCTCCAATCACTTGGCCTCCTCGGCGTCTATTACCCCGGTTTTGATGGCCATGTGCTTGTATTCCTTCGTGCTGTGTCCGCTGCAGCCCGTTCTGTCGAAGCAAGAAACATCCATATGCAAGTGGTATGAAATACATGAAGGTATATGAAGCAGAGAGCGCATGTGGTAAGACAATTCCATAAAGCGTGGCATAAGATTCGTCAGTCGTAGATTATAGCAGCGCGTCGTACACGTCGTCAGATCGTCACTCAGAGTCGGTAGAATAGAAGTACAGTCAGTGTCCGTCACGGCCCCTCAACCACGATGTATTGAGTCACGAGGCGAGCGAGGTCCAAACAATCCGGGGCTGCCCTGAGGGGGTGCCAGGAGGTGCTCGACCTGCTGGGGAGGGGGCGATGGCTGGAACGCAGGGTTCGCTGTAGGGCAATCCGTGTCAGCGCGCGTAGAAGTACCCTTCAAAGGTAGACTTACGAAGCCAGGTCGCCCACGATTGCGTCTGCGGTACCGCCTCCGGTGGGGGAGGGGGAGGGGCAGCAGCAGCCGGTCTCCTACGTCGGGATCCGCGGGTATTGATAGACCTCCACGCGCTAGGTGCTGGCTGGGGCATTTCAGGCTCGGGCTCTGGAGCTGGCGCCGGCTCCGGTTGCGCTCCGTCAGTAGGAACACAAGTCATGGCGGGTTTCCTGAAGAAAAGTCAGCATCACACAGCGTAACGGATCGATGAAGACCTACCAGCCGGGGTCGAATTCGCCTCCAGGGCCATACTTCGACTTGAACTGGAGAAGCTCGCCGATTGCACTGCGACAGAGAGTCAGCACCATCACAAAGGTTAATCGCATGTCACTCACTATTCGAGGTTACGCTTGTCTTCACGCAGCTTGCCGACTTCGCTCAGCAGCATGCGAACTTCGGTCGCCAACGACCGGCTGAACTCATCGAGGTACTGGTGGCAATGTCACGACGATGTATAAGGTCACACGGAGAGACACTTACGCCTTGCACATTGTACGGCACTTGTTCGTGTGCTGTGGCTTTCACAGCTTCGATGGTTTCTTGCTTGCGTTGCTCGCAGTCGGCACGCCATGCTGCATTCAACGGGTAAGCCGCGCCTCGAAGCACCGCAGGCACCGCGCTCACCTTCCGCCATGTCTCGAATGGTACCCTCGTACGCTACCCGCTGCTGCTCGATGGCCTCTAGCGCAGCTCGTTGATCTGCAGCCGTCTCAATCAGACTCAGTATATCTTTCAAACAAGGAATCCACATACTGGCTCGCATCTCATCCAAGAGGTCTGCTTTGGACTGCTCCTGTGCCGCCAGCATTGCCGATTGCCCTTCCAGAATCTGCTGAAGCATGTTGCGTGTCTGAGCGTCTTCGGCGTCCTTCTGGTCCCAGCGATTCTGCTTGAACTCCCAACGCTCGTCAGTGAGCTCGCGCTTCCGTGCTAGCTCGTCGCGCTGCTCGGACACTAGGTTCGTGATGTCACCAAGCTGAGCCCGCATAGCCTCGTCGCGCTCCAGCATCTCGGCCCGTTCGGTCTCCCGCCGCTCCGCCTCTTCCGCCTCCCTTGCCATCTTCTCATCCTCAAGCTCCTTGCGTACAGCGCCCAGTTCCGATTCCAGGGCACGTATGTGGGCTTGATACTCTGCGTGCATGCGTTCGCGCTCTGCCGCCGCTTCGGCCTGAGCACGCTCCCTCTCGACTTGGGCCGCCTCTCGCTCTCGTTGAAGCTCCTCGCGTTCCTTGTCGACGGTGTTACGAATATCTTCGGCGTGACGAGTGGCAGCCTCGAGCATCGACGCCGCTAGGAGCTCTGTCTCCGCTGTGCTCGCGGGGACGACCGGCTGAGGCTGCTCCCCAAGTGGAGGGAGAGCAGTCTCTGGTTCTGGCATATCTCCGAGGACCGACGTGCCCGGTGGGGGGACAGGCAAGGCACCCTCCGTCATGCCGGGCATAGTGCCCAGACGTCGCTCTAATTCATCCCAGATCCCGTCGCGGCGGGCTTGTGCTTCCTCGTCGCGTCGTGCTTCGTTGTTCCTGAACATGGTCTCGCGATCCTCTTCGTTGGCCTTGAAGTTCTCGTCGCGCTTGACCTCCTCCTCCTGGAGTTCATCGAGCATGTGTTCCATCCTATTACCGAGGTCGTCCATGCGCGCCCTTGCATCCTCATAGTGGTGGTGTTGTTCAAGGTCAAGCGGGCCGCCGGAGGGGTAGCGCTCTTGAAGATGACCAGGCGGTATAGGTCGGGCGCGTGGTGATTCGGGATACACAGTTCTTGCAGTCCTTTCAGTTCTTCCAGGAGAATATGGAGGCTCCAAGGGAGGGGGAATGCTGACGGGGGCCTCATGCGGATGGACATATTCCCCTCCGACGTCAGGAAGAGTGTCAGCTATTGGATGAGCAGTCTCAGCAACTGGAGGGGCCTGACTGGGCAAGTGCGGAATGATGATATCGTCCGGCTGGCGCAGTTGGTCGGTGTAGCTGCGCTCTGTAGCCGCCGTCCCTGCAAGAGGAGGCCCTGTAGGTACATACCCAGGAGGACGATGCGTCGTAGTAACGCGTTCCGCAGTAGGAGGCGGGGCGTGGCCACCTGCGTACGATTAGCATAAGAAAACTACATATATTTGCAAGTCACTTACGCCCACTACGATCACCACTGACGGACCTTGGTCTTGATCCTGGACCATGTGGTCAGTGGGTGGGACATATCACAAACAAATGAGAACTATATACCTGTGTGCTCGTAATAATCCTCTGCGTCTGAGAGACCATCAGCACGACGAACACGATATCGTAGCCCAGAGAAGACTCACGCGGGGACACACTTCTTGAACGCCCGTGGGGACTGGCCCGTTCAGACTCAGCGAGGCTCAGGGCAGTTGGTGGACGATCACTTCTAAGTCTCGTGACATGCGGCCTGCCGTGCTCGGTAACTTCTCTTTCGGTGGCAGGTCGACTGCGAGCTTGACTGTGAGTACGACCGGGAGGTATAATGGTATGCCGCTCAGGAGACCTAGAGAGGGAACGGGGAAGATGGCTTGGCCCTGCCTCACTTTCGTAGAATTGAGAACGAGAAGGTGTGTGCCCCGTTCTAGGTGGAGGGATCGGTCTGCCGTCGTCGTCGTATTGGGAAGGATGTGTTGTTGGGAGCCTTCGACCGCCTTCGCTGTAATGTGAGCCCGGGGGACGGTGGGACCTTCCACCGTCATCATCAACGTGGGAGGTGGGGGATCGAGGAACTCTTCGGCCGTCGTCATCACGGTGGGATGGAGGGGACCGATAGCGCCTGCGCCCAGCTTCGTCGAACGACGGTGTCCTTGAACGACCTCTGTAACGACGCTCAGATGGGGACCCATGTCGCCTGCCGTGACGTCGGTCATCCTCCGAGTAACCAGGAGAGGGTGAGTGGTAGCGTCCCCTTTGCTCTCCATACCTGCGCTCGTCATCCCTTGGATAGCGACGAGAACGGTCCCTGTCTCTTCCGTAACTGGAAGGATAGCGAGGGTCTTCCTCGCGGTAGCGGTCTCCCTCGCGGTAGCGGGGTGAACGGGATCTATACCGTCTATGACCCCGAGAACCATCACGAGGCGAACGGGGCGAGCGCGATCGGTAGTGACGGGGCGAACGTGAACGTGAACGGTGGTGACGGGGTGAACGTGAACGTGAACGTGGGCGATCTGACTCCCTGTAGGGAGGATCGTGCGAGTATCCTCCGGTTGGGCTTCGCTGTATAACGACGGTGTGTGGCTGGTCGGGATGGCTGGCAGGTCCGGCTGAGGGGATCAGCACTTGTGGTATAGTGCCTGCGTGGGGTGGGCCAATGACGATAGGTGGTTGTTGCACGGCGTGATGGTCGGATGGAGAATGATCACGGAGAGTAGGGGACGACGCCCTATGGGATCGACGACTACGCTCCGAAGGACGTCGCGATGTTGAAGGTACGACGATGGTCACGGGCTCGTGTTCTCGTGGAGAACGACTGCGGGTGCCACGAGAAGATGAGCGCGAACGTGTGCGCGAGCTTCGCGTACGAGACCCGTGGCGGGAGCGGTCTTCATCTCTCACAATGATCTGCGTGGGCTGTGCTTGTCCCGGGATCATAGGCGGATACTGCTGTCCCGGGCCCACAAGCGGATACTGCTGTCCTGGACCACTAAACGGCGGAGAGGGTTGTATGATGTAGGTCGGCCCCGGTGCTCCCGCTCCTCCCGGTGCCTGACCAGACTCGGACGGAAGGATCTGAATTGTCTGGGGGGCACCAGCAGGCGGGTGTTCACCGCGATACTCTGACCTGGGAGATGCTGGCCGAGAGGGATGAGACGGCGTGTGTGCTGCTGGCCGCTCTCCGACATCGCCCTCCGTCGCAGACGGCGCGTGCGGGCGGCGATGAGGATCACCTAAATCGTGCTCGGGAGTATGAGGGGCGTGGTATGAGGAGGAGTGCCCCGGGGAAGACGGTTCTTCTGTTGGAGCCGGCGCAGAGTGCACTTCGACGACGGTGGGCTGCATGGGCTGCACTCCGGGAGGCGGAAGTACTGTGATGGGCACCTGCGGTCCAGGGAACCCAGGTTGCATCTGCTCTCCAGGAGGAGGAACGACCCTATACCGCTCTTCTGTCCGGTCGCTACGAGGGCTGGACGACCGACTGGATCCTGACACCAACCTCGGGGGTACAAAATCCCCTTCATCCTCCGGGGACATGGGTATACGGTAAGTGCCGGGAGGTGGCATAGGTTCTGGAGGCCCCGGATATGGTCCGGGAATAACAGGCCCAACGACAGGTGGGTAGAATGAGCCAGGAGGAGGAGGAACAACCGGTGGCGTGCGCTCCCTAGGGAATTCAGCTGGTCTGCCTTCACTTGAATATTCACCTGGAGGTGGCTGGTATCTCGGAGGAAACTGAGCTCCTGGGGGAAACACCGAGGGAGGAATCACAGTAGTAGTAATTCTTTCCGGGCCCTGCTGAGAACCGCCTGCACCTACATTTCAATGAGCTCGATGAACGTTGCCATTTGAGCAACAATATATGGAAGCACGTACCGTCACGTCGCAGAGTATGGGCGATCTGGTTGAGCAACGGAAGCACCTCGTCGCGTGTTTGCTCCAACCGCGCGGACACACTCTGGATCTCCGCATGACGATCATGTACATCCCGTTCGAGCCACTGATTGAGGCCTCTGAGGTAGCTGATGACCTCGCTCTGCTGCTCTAAACCTGCAAGTTGTCCAGAACGATTATCCTTCGTGCGAGGTCAATTTCCATTACAGCATAATGAGTGTTAGAGCTCACTCTGAGCAGGCCCAGTATGTCGTTGAATGTAGAGGGAAGTTGCACAATCGTCTGAATTATTGACGGTCAGGAAATGTCGCAGATGTGTCAGGGGTAGCACTCACAGGTCCTGCAACGACCGGGATGGCTTGTGGAGGCTGAGGGGGGTACATCATCCCAGGCGGTGGTACCGCAGCTTGCTCCTGACCCTGCTGGTCGCCTGGAGCAGGTCGATACCAGCTCGGCTGATCTGGTCCTGGAGGGCCGGTATCGACAGGTGCAGGTGCAGTCTGTGGCCTCGAAGGCACGTCCTACGCAGCGAAGAGTCAGTAAAGATGCGGTAACGAAGCGTCTCCGGCGACCGACCGTCTCAGTATGGAACCACCCGTCGGTGCCCGGGCGGCGTCGTTGACGCAGTTGCCGAACACGTTCGTCATAGTCAATGTCGTCACCACTTACAGGTTGTACTCCCATGCGAGCTCCTGGTACAACAGGAGGTCGGTCAACAACACTCTCATTCCCTTCCGAGGGCGCAGCGTCTTGCCCCACCGTGGTTTGGCCGGGCGGTTGACGAGCAACGCGAGGAGGCCGCGGTGGCACATAAGGGTATCGTGTGGTGGCCGTCGGAATTGTCGGTTGGGCGAGCGGCACTGTACCGGGGCGATCGGGCACGGCGTGCTCGAACGTGGGGCTGGCACTGCGTGGACGAGGCCTAGGTCCAGGACGGTAGATGAGAGGGATGAGGGGAGGCGGGCCTTGTACAGGCGCTTGAGCGGGGGGTGGTCCAGATATCAAGATCTCCATGAGCTCCTGGTCGAAGGTTGAGCCCGGCACATGAGCAGTTGGCGCGTATATGGTGGGCTGGTCCGCACTGCGAGCCTCTGCATCTGCCCGAGCTTGGTTCAAAAGACGCCTCACAGTGGACGAGCCGACTGAATCGACTGCAGAGCCCTCATCTTCCGCGGGAGGCGCCGCGCGCGCGCGATCCAGGAGGCGTCCAAGTGTGTCCTCGATACCCCGCAGTCTGTCCGATAACTCGCCAAACCGGTCTGGGGGCGGTGGGCCAAGCGAACGGTCGTGGAGGTCATCCAAAAGCCGGTTCGTTGCATTCTGCCCATCCAACATGGAGGCAATCTGCTGGCGGATGGCGTCCAGACCGTTGCGCAAGTCGCCAAGGTTGATCTGCGGCACAGGCCTCGCGGTACCACTCGAAATAGACGACGACGAGGGGGAAGAGGACAGCGGAGGCGGCGTGGGCGTTAAGCTGCGCGCCTGAGGAATCGCGAGCCCGATGTCAGATAGCTGGGATGGGGTAGCCGACGTAGGCGGATACGATGTCGGAGACGAAGCCTCTGAGCTCTCAGGCGAAGAGGAAATGGGGGAAGACGAAGGCCAGGACGGAGATCCGGGATCGCCCATGGGATACGTCTCGGACTCCATCAAGCTCATGTCGTCCGAGTGGTGCGATGAGAGGAAGGACATGGTGTCGCTCATCGTGTCTGGGGACGGGATACGAATAGGCGGGGGCGACAGGGAAATCGCGCGCACAATCCTCGGACCCTCCCGGGGGATCGCAGGCGTAGCCCTCTCGGAACGGGACGACCTGTCTGAGGAGATGATGCTGCTACCTCCCACGGACATGTCCTTGCGAGGAACCGGGGGCGGGATGTCGGGCATTACCCTCTGTCTCAGAAGATCCTCGAGATCCTCCAGCGTGTTCTTGATGTCCTGGATGTTATCGGCCAGGTCCCGGGCCTCGGCTCCCCTCGCGTCGTTGGCGTCGTTCAAGTACTGCAGCAGGCGGTTCACATCATGTGTGAGGATATTGCTTGGCGCATCCGACGGCACCGTCTCAATGGTCGACATGATTGATGGAATGTCTCCCCGAGGCGTTGTGAAGCTGACTTGGAACGACGGTGAAGGCGTCGGCGGGACAGGTGACGGGGGGAGGGGGATCATCAGGGGTGACACCTATAACATGACGTGAATACCGATGTCAATTCACAGATTTTGTCAATACTAGACTTACCGAGTCTGCACGCCTGGGCGATTGGGGAGGACGTAAAGTCCTCTCTGTCGCCGGCACCGAAAGCAATGACGGCTCCGTCTCAAGGTCCAGCTCGAACTCCGAGGGCGCAATGCGCGAGGAGCTCATCGACAACGACGAGACCGTGGACACACTGGACGGAGTCCTGGTGAGCATTCGGGCCCGCGGCAAGTCCGTAGGCAGCAGCGACGGAGAAGCCACACTTGGAAGCAACGAGATAGTAGACTGCGTGGGGGTGAGCTCCAGCGACGCGGACGACGATTCCGACATGGGCGACGACGGGCTGACTTCCGTGATCGGCGTAAGCATCGAATCCTCGGACGATTCGGGCGTGCCACTCGGGCGCAAGAACGACGTCTCGAAGGACGTGTCGGGGCCTTCTGCAAGTGCCAACGACGCCATCGACGGCGACGCGCGAAGCATCGACGACTCGTAGGACTCGTCCGACTCCGCTCCCCACTGAGACTCCGGGATTGCAGGACTCGACGCAGTAGTCGGCTGCTCGATGGTCGACGGTATGGTGGGCGTGAGCTGGCTCGAAGGCGTCGGGGTGACAGACGATTCCGTAGGGCTGGAGATTGTCGGCTCAATGCTCATATCCAGCTCCGACAAAGGCAGGATCGGAGACGGGCCCGGGATAGACTCCGTCGTAGACCACTCCGTGCTCGGCTCGATAGCGGAAGGAGTTGGGACGCGTCCCAAGGGAGAGCTAGGTGTCAACTCGATCGACGACACCGTTGGCTCCGTAGGCGAGAGGGGAGGCGAGGTGGCGCGCTCAGTCAACACAAGCTCGGACAGCTCACTAGGGCTGTACGTCGACGGCGGCAGAGGGATGTCCACCGGGTCAGTATCGACCTCCGGCTCGATGTCAAGCTCGAGCTCCCTCGAGATAGGCGACGGCGCCGACGAAGGAATCGTCGGGATCTCCGAGGGCGGGTTGATGCTGATCTCGTCCGCCTCCGGCATCCTGTACCGGCCGTCCGCCGTCTTGAACTCCGTCGACACGTCCGATGCACACAGGTCCGCGGTGATGTACTCTGTCTCCGGTGGCGGCTCGCACAGCGGCGCAGTCTTGTACTCGGTCTCTCCGCGCTCCGTGGGGCACGTCTCCGCAGTCTCGAATTCGGTGTCGCAAATGATCGCCGTCTCGTAGTCTGATATCGAGGGGATTGTCGACAGACTCTTGAACGACGCTGTAGACGGCGAGTTCGGGACGGGCGTCCGCGCAGTGTAGTACGTCGATCCCTCCGTGTCGCTCTCCGACCGCGGCTCGTCTTCCGAGGAACGCGTGTATGACACCACTGAGCGCGTCGGGGTGACAGAGCGGCTGCGCGTGTCCATTGTGGGCGTCGTCGCCGTCGTACGCGAGTAGCTTTCAAGCGTGCTCAGACCGGCGGTAAGCGATCCACTCCCGTACGTCTCTGTGTTGTACGTGAACGTGCCCGAGTACGTTCCGGAGTACGTTCCCGAGTACGAAGCCGAATTCTCCTTGTCCGACACCTCGTCCGAGTCGCTCGGGTAGGAGTTGGTGGTGTACGAGCGGGACCCGCGGGGGGTGCGTCGGCGCATGCCGCCAGAACGTGTGAGGCCGCTGCGCGAGGGCGACGTGGAGCTGTACAAGCCGTCGGTGAGCGTGTCCGAGTCGTGAGAGTCCCCGAGCATCGAGGCGGATGTCGTCCCGCGGTAAGAGAGCGTTGAGGGGACAACAGCGGTGCCGGACCCGGACAACAGCTCGACCGTCTCGTCTGTGAGCAGTCCCGTTCCAGTCCGAGTCTCGGTTCCAGTGAGAGCGCGAGTGAAGGACGACGACGAATAGAAGCTCGATGTGGGCGTGCGCGTCGCAGATCCCGAGGCCGAACCCGCGCTGAAGAACGCGTCGTCAGAGACCGAACTAGCCGTCTCGGACCCTCTGCCTCGACCGACGCTGGGTGGCGGAGACAAGTACGTTGCGCCTCCCAACCTCGGCCCACTTGAGATGGTGACCGGGGATCCATCGCCGACTGCCACCCCGCCCGCAAGTCCCAGGCCAAAGCCCAGTCCGGGGCGTCCCTCGCGAGCCCTGCGCACTGCTGACGCAAACTCCTCGTCCAGATCGGTGAGGGAGCTCGTGCGGCGCAAGGAGCTGCTGCGACTCGGCGCGATGACGCGAGGGTCGCCAGGATACAGGTATCCCTGCGAAGATATTGCCCCATCGTCCGTAGCACGGGTGCGGTGGGCGGACGCAAGGGACGGGCGCCGCGAGAGCGAACTGGATCCAGAGAGTGATTGAATGTCGGAGAGTTCGTCGAGTGGGGGGACGTAGACTGTCGAAGCCGAGCCCGACGCTGAACCGGACTGCGACGTCGCTGTACTCGACATCGACTGGATGGTGCGGACGGAACCGGCCGGAGACCGCGTGCTAGAGCGGTCGGGGATAGTCACAGCGCGATCCAGTACCTCCCTACAAACAGTTGCTCGTTAGCTCTCTTCGACCCCGAGAACACAGAAAGACATACCAGATGGCGCTGACCCAGCGCACGCGTTCTCTTGCGCTCTCCGCCCCCAGCCTCTCGATACCATCGCCGTAAAGCAACTGGAAAGGACACAGTGTCTCCATCAAGCCCATGTCGCCCATCTGGCCCGTGGACTCTGCTGTCTCACTCTGAACGCGAGCCGCGATCGTGCCGACATCGTCTTGAGCTGTCGGGTGGAGCGGCGAGGGCACCGAGCGCACTTCGATGCAGTTCAGTAGATCAAGGGTCACAATACCTCTACCTCCCCCGGGCGCAATCCACGAGAGGAGAAGCATGTGCGGATAGAGGAGGGCCTGGCACCGCTGCCATCTGTACGGCGGAGGGGCGTGGACGTTGAGGTACCACAGCAATCCAATCCTTAGCGGCTGGAAACAAAGCAAACATGTCAGAATCGCGCTCACTGCATGATCAACATAGGCAGGTGAAGGGCGAGGAGAGGAGCACAGAGAGATAAGATAAGGTTGATCGTGCGGGCAACTCACCTCCTGGGCGTCTCCCGCGTTCGCGTACTGGCCGAGCTCCGAAAGGTCGAATGCAGGAGGAAGAGCGCCGCTTCCGCTCATGCTTGCGTCCCCACTCGTGCTCATCTCCGCGTCGTATCCACCTCCTTCGACTCGGCGGCCACTTTCGTCCAGTCCGCCAAACGCACGGTCTCTCAGACGCGCGTTTCCGCGCTCCGCGCGTCTGCGTAGACTGAAAAGACCGTCTCCCTGGGTCGGGGACGGAGACGTGTTGTTGGACCGTACGGACTTGCCAAGGGACGGCGTGCGTTCTTTCCAAGCTGCAACGATGTTCCTCACAGACGTGAGCGGCGACCGCGGAGAAGTTTGCGGCCTGCGCAATGAGGATGCAGTCGGAGTGGCCGTCGTGGTGAATCCCGAGCTCGTGAAGGTATTCGTGTTGGTGTATGAGCTGGTCGCGGTGGGACCGGTCCCCGTGAACGTGCTTGGACCACTGCGCGTTTGCGTGAACGTTCCGCTGCTGGTAGGAGGATATCTCGAGTCGGCGGATAGAGATGTGGGACCGCGAGGCGGGGGTGAAAGAAGAGAGGACATTGGGCCTGAAGAAGACACCGTCGAGCCTGATCTACTCTTGGTGGGGGACGACGGTCGCGAGCTGTAGCCGTAGGTCGAAGTCCCGTATCCGGCCGTGCTGCCATATCCATAACCAGTCGTAGTTGCGGTGTGTCCGAACGTCGACATGGATGGGCTCATCGTGGTCGTGTAGGGGCTGGGAGAGCGAGGTGCGGGGGAACGCGGGCCCATTGGGGCAGAAAGCGTACGCGTATGCCCGAACAGACGGGGGGATTCCCTGCCCGTGGTAGTCTGCTTCTCCTCGAAAAATGCGATCAGTTCTCCAGCACGGCGACCGGGGACGTTGAGGACACGCCCTGGGGTGTGAGCACCGGGAGTGCCACTGGGGTCTGTAGCGGCACGAGTATGGAGGGAGGGAAGAACTGGAGAAACTCGTCCTTCCAAGTTCACCGACCGCCTGCTCTCACCAGGGATAGAGTAGAGCGTGTTCGGCCTGCTGCCCTGGCCACTTCCAGACTGTGCAAAGGACGTCGGACGCGATGGGTTCTCGGTATGCTCAGAAATGGTGCTCAGAACCCTACGCTCCCGGTCGAGAAGGGTGTCCGCGAGCGACCGGTAATCCCCCGACAGATAGGTGGCAGGAGTTGCAGACGTAGTAGCGCTGTACTGGCCGGTGTACGACGAGGACGTTACGACAGACGAGCCCCCGCGGGACCACTCCGTCAGTGCGTCTTCAGTGTTGGCGATTTCGTCGTCAACCATGCTGAGGGCGGCTTCCACCTCAGCCGCGTCGTCCATCGAGTTTTCGTCGGAGTAGGTGTAAGTGTCGGAATCCCTCGACGAGGGTGGGGGGGAAACGAGGATCCTGCGCATTTGACGTGGCGAGGAGAGCTCGGTGTCGTAGTTGGAGCCAATCGGTGTTACTACGAAAAGAATGTCAACACACCATACGCACGGCACGCGTGCCTCGAGGCATCAGGAGTAATGCAACAACCACGCACTGGAACGTTCAGAAGACAGTCTGGAGGAAGAGTAGGGGGTTTGTGTGGGGGAGAGCGTGGAGAAAGTTGCCGTGCCAAAGAGGGGCGACCTTGGCTCCCCGCTCGAGGGATTGGTCGAAGTATAGCTTGTCATTTGGTGAGGTCAAGCCAGAACATGGCCCAGAGGTGAGATAATCGAAAAGCAGCAGCAGGGTTGTGACAGCGTCGAGGACTAGAGCAGAGCACTGCGGCGAAAAACGTCGGGGAGGTCTTGAGGGGCTCCTGATGGCGCCGAGGGCTGAACGGACGGAGAAAGAGGTGCTTTCGAGGCAAGCACGGACCTGTACGCGCTGATGAGCGCTGGTCCCGCTAGGTTCGATTCGCTGTTCAACGCCGCTTCAGGGCAGGTCTTCACGCGCTCGTGTATGGGCATGTGATCGCGTTAGAGTTCGAGCTCCCACCCGCGCGTCTCCCATCGCTGACGACCCTGGAAGGCGGGATGACCGTGTCTGTTTGGGCATGCGCACTGAGGTAAGTATGTTTCTGGTTCCGCTCAGGAAAGAGCACATGGGATACTCATCGTCCTCCTAGCACCCCAGTGCTCCCTTCGTCAATTTGGGCTGATCTCTTGCTCGTCAGAGCAATCCTCTTACCCCTCGTTGCAATTGCGGAGTCGTTCGTGCTCGATCAAACCAGGCACAACGGGAATGCTTGTCATCTGACGAGCAAGTACGTGCCTCTTCGGGCGCCGTTCGAGTCTCGAAATTCGCGCGTTGCCCAGAGCGCACTGGATTTGGCGGTACTTGACAAGGTAAGGGTATGAGGATCAAAGCGTCGACGCTATTTCGCCATGCCCCCACTTTATATATTTCAGATCGGATTGTCTTCACAGAAGAACTTACATATCACAAAGTCGACGTATGTGTTGCTTAAGGATGCTTCGGAAGCACCGTGAAACAGTGTGACGTCATGGACGAGCGTACTGTAGCTCGATCGCTAGCGCTGCTGTCCAAAACATGACTGAACCTAGATTTTCGGTACGTTTGTTTTTGACATCGAATATATGACCTTTCCCGGGTAATATGACGTCGGTGTTCGAGTCCCCGCCGCGTGTGCCCGCAATCAATATGTGGACACTGGAGGCCTGCATACCTACACTGGCATATGAACAGACTCAGAGCAGCTCGCATCTAATGATATCATAAGCGATCGCTCTGCTACATAGGGGCCCAGCGCGCTGGTCTTGAACATAAACAAAGAGCATGTTATTAAATCCGTCGCCAAGTAGTACTACGCACAGCCCGGAAGGTGTAGTAGAGACGACGAGGTTAACCAACTTCCAGCTGTGTGGCCCAACGCGGCATTACTGCTGCTATACACGTGTTACGGGCCGCGATTGCGAGACTATATAGCCTGAGTGCGCAGTACTGCGGTTAGAGTTCAGTTGAGTCGAGTCCGCCGGCCGCAGGGTCCGCCTGTCACGGCGCCGTCACTCAGCACAGCACCACCAACTGAACGCATACAAGAAGCTGCTCGGAACCTCACACACCCCCACTCGTATACAAACTCCTCAACGCAGACCGTCGTCGAATATCGCACGAAACAAACTTGCACCATGGCATCCCAAGGTGCCGATGACTCGATTGGAGGCTGTTGCTGTGGGTTGCATACACGTCCCGACAGGGAATAATAGACTTCATATAACTCACCTCGTCGTTCCAACAGGTATCGCTTGTACGACCATCTTCGAATCTTGGTGCAATCAGAGTACGCCGCGTCTCGCGGCAGGGTCCTGTACTCGAGTTGAAACGTGCGGCTAACCGTCCTCTGACAGAGAGCTATGGGTCCGGGGGAAGCACCAAACAGGCCGGGTGCTGCACTTCCTGCTGTTCGAAGTCTTTTGACGAAGACGAATTTTCCAGCGGCAGAAAGGCCGGGCCCAAGACAAGCTCGTCGCAGCCTGCGCCGCAACAACCCATGTCGGACAAGCCCGCAGCCACCACCCAGCCGGACTCCAGTTGACCGTGATGTACCGTCCAGCCTTACATTATAGACGATACCCGGGGATCTACAGGTGAGTTGTTTGGGCAGATGTGGCGGGCAGTGCAGCAAGCTCAAACATGCCCTAGTGGACAATTGGCACTCGCAATGTTTTACAGCCCCCTTAATCGAAACTTCTACGTTACGCATTCGTCTCTCAAGCTTGTACACTGTCGCTATGAGAAGCGAGGGTTGGTTCCCGTATTTCTCGTTAATGTTTACGCGTCCTGCATACATCAACTTCGGGGATATGTACTCTTGAGTCCATCTACGGCCGCAGACGGTGTCCGAACTTGCGGTAATTCGTAAAAGAGCACGCATTTTGTCAAGGACGCCAGTCGGATGTCTGCGCATCATCACACGTACGGGCGGAAAGACAGGTCAATGCAGAAAGGTTCCGCCGCCGCCGCGAACTTGGGCGGTTCGCGTGCGTCCACGTGGATCGGCGTCAAGTATCGACGTTGCTCGCCCTTCCGATTCCGACTTCGTCTTGCCTTTCGTTCTGCACTGTGTCTCCTCAGCCTTCCCCTCTCCTAGACGACACGACGCCGTGGTACAATACTCTAAACCGCTATAATGAGTGCTAGGACCGTCTGTGCAATTAGGTCTGCGGTGTTGCACTCGATTCGCCGTGCACCACGTCTCTCTAGCAGCGTCGTTCTCGTCAGGCTACGGACAACAGCACTTCCACGCTCCTCCCTTCGCGCTCGGCCTTTGAATACCAGCGCAAGAGCTGCATCACTTCCCGCCGCGTCCGTCCCAGCACGCACATATTCTTCCAGTGCAGGCGGAGCGGTGCAAACACTCCCCGACCCCGACCGGCCAGACCTGTTCTACCACCTCTTCCCCGCACCCACCAGTATATCCGCCTCTGCCCCCGTCTTTGCGCTCTCGTACCTTCCGGAGTCCCCTCCATCTGTTCTGTCTTGCGCGGTTATTGGGTGGCTACCTGCGGCCGGGTCCGGAGATGAGGCCGGGCTAAATGACTTTGTCGAGAACGGTACGTCTCCGTAAGCCGTGTACTCGCGGCACCTACACGCAGCTGTCTGTTCGAAACTTTGCTCGTTGACGCAAATACCCGATGTAGAACGGTTCCGCGAGGTCCTGCACGGCGCGGTACAGTCTGCGCTCCGAGACGGCGCAGACGAGGTGCAGAAGAACGGCGCGATCCAGACGCGGGAGGGCTGGATGCATATCCATGGTACGTCACCATTTTCCTCCGTAAAGGACTCCATGCGCGGGTTCGTACTCCCTGATTCGTTCTGATATATTCGTGCTTTACAGATAGCCGTAATTTGCCCGCGCTAGGACGCATCGGTGACCCGGACGACATCATCGCGTCTGTGCGCGTCGAGGACGGCGAAGTGAGTCCCACTTGACGCAACTGTGTCCTCCTGGAGCTGACGTTGTCTCGTTTTAGATTCTGGCCGATACGTACCAACCAATGCCGTCATATCGTCTCTGCACAGCCGACGGCGTTTTACAACTCACCGACGGCCTCATGGCGCGCCTAGTGGAGACGCTGCAGGCAAAAATACGCGAGGAACAGCAATGACGCACGAAGGTCTCTCTTCCGAGGCACCATGTAGCTTGAGATGGGTGCAGGCACACCGGACATACGGCGGCCACATGGTACTGGTATTAATACTCATCTCGTCACTGCGTCTACCGCCTCACGTGAGGACAGTGCGAAGTCTGGAGGATGGGGCTTGTCGATGACACAGCGGTACGAGGCGGTAAGTCTATAGGCCCAGTACCTTACTCAAACCTGTCGCTTTGGTGGAGATGGAGAGGGGGTCTGTCTAATTGGGATGCTGATGGTGTACCTCGAACACACTATTATCCACATCGCGCCATTGTCATGTCGGGGCTCGCAGCTATGGACATCTGACATCGTCCGCGGTCCATATACTCCGTACATGCTCGGTATGATGCTCCAGCCTTCGCGGGAGGACCGGAGAGAGCGTGGCGGTCAGCCGAATTTGATGATGGAAGTCCGAAAACATCGGGCAATTGGCACAGTGGTAGCGCGCACGCTTCGCATGCGTGAGGTCCAGGGTTCAATCCCCTGATTGTCCAGTACAGTTTTTGTTTTGTTTCCGATTAGCTGTTCTGAGGGCAGTCGTGTCGTTATATGAAGCGCAGGATGAGAAGCAATGATCTCTATGTCATTGAACGGGAACATGAGCTCAGTCGTTCGCAGCAAAGGGCAGAACACGCGAGGAAACCGATCCAGTGCACTGCCGGCACGGTGACCTCGGCGACTCCGGCGGTCTCACCGTTAGTGCCACTGTCTCTTGTCCTTGTCACTGCCGCGCCTCTGCGTCGACCGCAGCTCTCCTGCCTCTGTACTTATTCTCAACGCCCATCTGTCCCCTCTGCTGTCTTCTCGCTCTCTCACGACCTCATCGCGTCCCCCGTCGCTTACGCCGATCACCCACGACCTCTATCACGACTGCCGTCATGAGCACCCGGCCACCCCCACTGAGAGGTGAGGATTACGCGTTGCTTCGACACACGCCGGAAGGGCGTGGGGCACGTCGCGCAGTACAAATCAACTGACTGGTTGCTCGTGCAGCGGAGGAGCGCCCTCCTGCATACAGAATGGTCACCCGTGTGTACAGTAGCAGCCTACGACCTGTAGTCATAGTCAGTGAGTACTCCACCTACGCTCGTTGCGCATCGGCCTTGGTATTGACGTTACGCGAAGTCGGAAGCTTGGCGGCGATATGGACTCTCATATGGTAAGCAGGCTGTTGCTTCTGAAGCTCGGAGCACCGTTCGCTGACGACGGCTTGCATGATTGTAGGGCTGTGAGTACTACCTGCTGGTATGTCGATGCGAGTTTCTAAGCGTTGGAATTAGATCCCAAGTTTCCAAGATATCAACGAAGACAAAGCGAGTGCGTACCTTTCCCATATGAAGGCGCCCCGATGTTCTTGCATGCTGAATGACAATCGGGCATATATGATATCAGATGGGCAACCGAAGTTCGCCGTGTTTGACATAGTACTTGGAACAATATACTCCGTGGCGTGCGCTATCGAGGTGTTTGGTGTCATCGCGGCTACTGTGGTATGTTGCACACTTCGAATTGACATCAATACTATCATCCTAACTCGCCGGGCACACAGCAACGGCTGCCTCTAGTACGACTCTATGCCATGCTCTCACTTGTTGGTTCCTTGGGTGTAGTGGCAGCCGGGTTCCTGCGCGTCGTCATTCACTTCGTGTACAAGGTGCGCAGCCAGGAATGTGGTGATTGGTTAAAATACTGATTCTACTCTGATCCTGTAGAGTGGGCTGATTGACGAGTGCGAGAAGATCGCACAAGGGGAGGGAATCGATATCGTGAGTTCCAGTACCCGCGCGCGAGGGATAGACTATGCTAACGTCTACGCAGCGCTTCGGCATCTGGTTCCACCACTTCAAGGAGAAGCTCACAGCCCCAGAAGCCCAAAATTGTGCGTACCAGTCTCAATCTGTGAACTGCAACAGTATTGAACTTGCACCACTTCAGTCTGCAATAGTGCTTGGAACAAGGACTCGCTCAGAGAGATTCTCTTCCTCATCTTCGAGATCCGTACGTCATCTGCCCATGCCTCTTCCCTTCAACGCGTCTAACGAACTCCTCTATTATCAGTCTTCTCCATCTTCTTCACTATGATCGCGTTCGCGTACTACCATCAAGTGCAGGACCCCACCTCGGCCGCGAATGTCCAGCGCGCCCCCGCCCCAGCCGGGCAAGGCTACCCCGAGCACTACAACCGCCCGTACGACTCCGACCCATACGCCCCTTCATACGCGCCGTACGACGCCGCGGCAGCCGCTGCGCCGAGCTACCAAGCCTACGCGCCACCCCCCGGCCCGCCTCCCTCCAACATGGGCTATGGGGTCGGTATGGACGCGGGCGGGGATCACAAGGACACGAAGGACCGGGAGCTGCGGGACGACGAGAGTGATGTGACGAAGTTCGATGACCCGTTCGCGGATTTCGACACTTTGCCGAAGCAGCCGGCGGCGCACACGACGCCGACGCATTGAGTTCGCGCTTGCTGTATGGTAACGTCGCTTCTAGCTAGGGTATGAGGACGTGTACTCATCCGTGTTCTGCAGGACTGGACATTTGCTTTTCTTGTTGAATATGATATCTTTTCTTGTATGGCTCAATGGACTTGACTTCTGACTACGATAACTGCTACTTCTGCTGACTTTCGGATCGACATGCTACATGTTGTGTTGACGACTTAAGCGCGACAACGGCAAATCAAGACGCCCGAAGATTCGCTGAAAACAAACGGGATTCTGGTGTCCAAGGATACATATTAGGTCTACATCGTACAGCGCACACGCTCATAGGCACAGCGTATCTCCATCGTGAGTCTGCGCAACCCGAAGCTTAAAGCTTGTGTTCCCGCGTCGCACATCAGACGCTGGTGGGAGCGGCCCTTCGCTCAGCCAACCGGTCGGTCATAGTGATCGTGATTCCCTGTGAGTAGTTCGTTCGAGATGGCCATTGTGAGCTCATGCGGCGTTTTAGCAGGAACATCAGAGACTCACGTCGGCAAGACAGACTTCATACACGGCCTGGTCGATGTTCTTCAACATGCCCACGCACGTCTTTGCGACGCACTTGTTGAAGGCGGCGAGGATGACTTGGTTTTTGCAGACGCAGACGTCTGTGAATTCACCCGGGCACGCATTGCTAACGTTGACGTCTTTGAGGCATTTCGTCGCACAAGCTGTCGTACCCGATGATCATGATCAACAACTCAACGACAAGTGTCTCCAAGAGGTGCTTAACGTACCGGCTATGGTCGAAAGGCTGCGCCCAGACAGGGAAGGCAAGGCTCTGACGGAGGCAGCGAATAGGACAAGAGGAAGGATGATGGAGGTGCGCATAGTGCTTCAACTCGTTAGGGTGGTACCAAGGAAAGCAGGAGACTCTAGTTGGATCGCTGGGCACTGCAAGTGCTGAAGGAGAGGTTTTATAGCCTTGAAGACGCTCGGTTCGCCCCCAAACGTCCACGTACCTTAGCCGTCTTGGTGAGTACTCGTCGGCCATGACCTCATGTCTTTGCTTTGACCGGGGCGCGCATTTATGACGTTGAATTTGGAGTAGGTTAGCATGGACATTTTCACGGGCCCGAACAAGCTCGTCGGCGAGTATCCGCGTGGTACGTCCCGTTCACGTTAGCGCGCCATACGGACTACACGGGCTTTAGATTTTCCTTGGGGACAGACGGTGGTGACGTCGTCGTGGCGGGCTCGGCGACATGAAGGTTGTGATCTTCGGCCCACGAAACTGACCGCAGCGGTTCCGTGGCCCTTGTCAGTCGGTAGCTTGTAAGACGTGAACTAACACCACCATCGTAAGAGGGACGGCCGGATTTGCGCCGCAAACCTACGACCACAACCAGCTACACAGACCTTCGAAGAATGATCCGCAGGTGCGCGTGCAATAGTACTGTTCGACATCTGAGGGTGTAGGACAAGAACGCCGTACGGTCAAGGTGAACAGTTTTGCAGGTCTATCGTTCAAAATGTTGTTTTTTCTCATTGACTTGCCTTCGACCAGATCTTCCGTTCTGCCGGAAGACTTCAACTCATGGAGGGTGTAGTAACCATAGGTCGATTGCCCACGAGTCATTATTTGTCATCTCAGAGATGATACCGGGAGAAACATGGCGCAAAAAGACACAGTCAAGAGGTAAGTGCGTGTCTTCGTGACCTGTGAGCTGCTTGGTCAGGCCCTGTATGAAGACATTTCACACTCGCGTCCTTCCCCTCGGCGGGACGCTTGCCGCTCGCGGCGAGTTCTGTCAAGCAATAAGCTTGGTATTTGAAGGTCGCAAGACTAAGCGTGTATGGTTATCGTCGCCAACAATTCTCAACAGCGGTATGGTACGTGCAATTTATAATCCACCGTGGTTCTTGAAGTTCATACCCAATTTACAACCATTAGCTGCGATGCTAGTGCGCAAGAGCTAGTACCAATGGGACTTCGTGAATATCCTCAAAGCCATCCCCTCGTTTTGTGAGATCAGACACAGTCCGGTCTAGTCTCGAGCCCGATAATTTCCCCGCCCAGCCACCGCGTAGTACCGCTCGGGGCGTGTGGCACTAGAGTAATGGAGATGGTGTCTCTGGCGCGCCCGAGAACGCCGTCCATGCTGTCGCGACGATTCAACTGAGTAGAATAAGTTGATAGGAGTGCCTCCGGGTTTCTGGGAATACAATGATTTGCCTCAAACCCGGTAGCCGTGGCGCAAGCTCATCTCCTTCAGTTGAGTCGGCGCAGGGGGCCTGCCAGGCATTCGTCTCTTGACGGTATGTTGCATCTCTGCCTCATACGAGCCTAGCGTGTCCATTCTCGAGACTGCTAATCACAAATGTTGTACAGTCGATAAAGGCCGCGTCAAGTCTGCGCCCACGCACATCTGAGGCACGGTGCCAATCCAACTCCCGGACCTCACGTCAAACCCCGCGCCCGCGCATTTGCTCATAGAGTTCACCAAGAAGCCCGACGCCCGTGTTCGATGCGCGCCGCAGCTCAATTGTACACCGTACAGCCACACAACACGTCCTCCCGTGGACATGATACAGATGCAGATGCTGATACCGAGCATTTCCTGCGCACGTCCTACATGTCCAGCGGTACAGCGCACCATCATGTCGAAGCCGCCACTCCCCCCAACATCAAGTAGAGCACAGCGCCGAGCCGCCGCGAAGCCCTTGCTTCTGGCTTCTGAGCTTCGCGCCCTGGAGTTCGTGGCATATATCCGCCGGAGAACCGCCGCCGCCACTGTCGCGGGCGCAACCCAATTCCCTCCAAGTTGTCGCGTTCGCAGTTCGAGTCCAGCGCAGTGACGGAGCCACCCATTTCGGTTGCACGACGCTTCATCCCCATATTCGTAAATCCACGTTAACCGCAAACACCCCGGGCAGGAAAGGCGGAGTCACACCTCAAGCTCAAGCTTCACGTCCAGCTCGCCATTCCGCGCTTCGGCCAGGTACGACGCTGGGAACGCGACGCCTGCGTGACCGCGGCGAACAGCAACAATCGAAGTCGAAGCGGCTCGCCTCCGAAACCTAGCAAGACGCGTTCACCCGCCACCACGGCTGTCTGCTGCCCCCCTCCCCGCCTGCGACCACTGGGGAAGCCATCTTTCTGGAGCCTGGGGGGCGATGGCGCGCTCCCGGTGCGACTTCCCTTCGATGATGCGACTCGCGATTGACGAGCGGTATCACACCTGCCTGAAGGTTGCGGTGCTGGTGGACCGTGGTAGACGGTGCCCTCTAGGTCCATGATCATCTGCCACTTCGAGTTGAAGTACAATGGCACGAGCAGAATTCGTGTATCGTCTTCTGTTATGATATCATACCCCGTTCTGTTGTGCCTCACCGTTCCAGGGAGCTCGACCGGCTGCCTGATGCCGGGATTAACAGACGTGCCATACACGAAGTTGCCGCCTCGCAGGGAACAAGGTCAGGAAGTTCCTGTTCCTTTGCAGATAGCCAAGCCTCCAAATCCCAGGGCAGGCACATGGAAGCGCGTCCCATGCCCGGAGGTTCTGACGAGAGTGGCCATCGAGACCGGGCCCTTCTTCGCATGCGCGCGCGGAGTTGGCACATGGAAGGTCCCGCTTCTTGCGCAGCAGTAGCACATTCAGTCGATACCCGCCAAATGGAGCTACGACGCACGCAAGTGGCCGTTCCACCAGAAACGATTTGCGATGATGATGCAGGTATATTGCGGGGTCAGAGGCATGCTACACGAACGAAACCCATCCAAAGCCAGGGAGGATACACCCGCGCGCGGGACCAAGCGGAACGAGAGAGCTACGAAAAACCAGAAACAGAGCCGGGGGTCATGACTAAAATGCGCGTACGTGGGGGGAATAGCGAACTATATAAGTTTAGTGCGTGCCGAAAGTTCGTTCTCGCCAAGGAGCGTGGGAGGTGGGACTACAGTGCACCGGGTGTGAGTAGGGGCTGAGCGGGGACGCGGTCTAAGGGGGGACGCGGGGAGCTTAGAGCGCGAGGGCGGCGGCGCCGACCGCGGCGAGGGCCGCGAGCGCGTTCACGCCGCGCGAGGACGCAGCGTTGCTGGTCTGGGAGGGGGCGGCCGCAGAGGTGGAGGTGACGGAGGCGCTCGCGGATGCGGACGCGCTGCTAGCAGGGGCCGTCGCCGACGCGGCGGGGGCGCTGCTGCTGAGGGTGACACCCTAGGGGAGAATGAAGGTTAAGAGGGAGATGTACGGAGAGGGGACGGGGTGCTTACCACTGCTGCGCAAGCACTCTGTGCGGCGGCCTCGGCCTGCAGGAGGTCGTTGCCCGAGCACGCGCCAGCGATACAGGTGGTGGTGCTGTTGATGAAGTCGCTGCTCTTGCAGAGACACGCGTCGTCAAGGGGGTCGCAGGTGCCAAAGTCCGCGGCCTGCAGGCAGGGCAGGGAGCAGGCTGGTACAAAGGCGCGCGGCAGTCAGGATCGGCGTGATTGGGTGCGCGCTATGTGGGGCGGAACGTACCGGGGTAGGTAGCGTCTTGCCTGCGGTTGATGCCAGCGGCAGAGACGGAGGCGACGGCGGCGAGGATGAGGATGGCGGAGCAGCGCATTGTGGATGAGTGCGGTGGGCGGGGTGGAGGCGGGCGGAGGAGGTGGGCGGGGTGGAGAAGTAACTCGGTGAGTTGCTGAGGGAAGGGGCGGACAAGGGAGGCTTTATAGCGCGCTCGCGTTGCGGGGACGTGCCAATTGCAAACGATCAGTGTGTTCGGGTCCCTGTGGGAGATCAACCATATCCAACAAACAATCGGCCCAAAGCAGCCTTGCATCGGCAGCCCGTCCGCGTGCGGGCTGCTGCTTCTCTCGCCCTAGCCGCGTTCCTGATGCGTTGTACATCTTGTGGGCGCGCTGTGTGTTCGCACCAGGATCAGCAAGGGGTCGCTGTGTCGGACAATAGGTCCCTGTACGAAACAAAGGACGGGCTGGGCGTGCGCTGGCGAGGGGACTGCCATAAGCGAGCGTGAAAGGGACTCCCATTGTGGGCGGCGTGTGCAAACACCGTCGCGGACGCAAACAACGCCTTCCGCTTTCACCCAGGCACATCCCACCGGCCCGCCCCACGCCGCCATCATCACGTAGCCGCCCAGGGCCCGGCCGGCGTCTTGCTCCTTCTGGCGCCGCCCCCGAAGAACTAGCAAGCACCGGGCAAGCCACCGAACCTTATTTCTGCCGCCACCGCGCGCAAACAACACCAAAGTGCCCGAGTCGCTGCCAGACAGTTGTGCCGTTCCCGCAAGCCTAGCTCACCGACTCCGACATCCTCAAGACATGGTGCGTTGCCGTCCCGCTCTTCCTCCCCGTCGTGCAAAGTGCTGACCGAGTTCCCCCAGGCCCCTTCCGCTAAGACCACCAAAAAGGTGCGCATATTGACCCGCCTGTAACAGGACATATCCTCATCATCTTGCATCCCTCTGCTCTGCTTGGAAATCTTGGTCTCCTCGTCTGCTTCGCATCCTACCCGCTCCTCTGTGCTCGTGAATTCAGACCGGCAAGCAGCGCTCGGCGCTCCAGGATGTCGTGACCCGCGAATACACCATCCACCTCCACAAGCGCGTCCACGGCCGCTCCTTCAAGAAGCGCGCCCCCTGGGCCGTCAAGTCCGTCGTTGACTTCGCGCACAAGGCGATGGGCACCACGGACGTCCGTCTCGACCCCAAGCTCAACCAGGCTCTCTGGGCACAGGGCATCAAGTCCGTTCCTCACCGGATACGCGTAAAGCTTGAGCGTGCGTACTTTTTTTTAAATCGGACATCGGGGTCGTTCTTTTGGTAGCGGGCAGGGGGAATTATTCAATGGGAACTAACGGCTGGTGGATGTGATATACAGGCAAGCGTAATGACGAGGAGAACGCGAAGGAGAAGCTCTTCACCTACGCGAGCTACGTCCCCGTAGAGTCCTTCAAGGTGTGTCCCCTTGCTCTCCTTCCTCGTACCATCTTACTCACACTGCTGTCTCGTCTAGGGCCTCGAGACGGTTGTCGTCGACGCCGAGTAGATGTTCTATCATTTTTCTACCGCTTTGTGTCGATACTCCTCCCGAGCGAGGTGGCGCCCGGGTCGGAGGGAAGGGAAGGAACGGCCCTGGGGCTGTCTGTCCGCTGTATTATGCCTTGCCATGCACCCACACGTACGTACGCTCCGCCGCACGCGCTACTGCCCCCATATGCTATGTCGAGCAACCAAAAACACACCACCGCCATATCAGCGTGTCCACCTCAAAGCTGAAAGCGCACTTCTCCTGGCAAACAGGTATTCTATCTTCGCGAATCTGTTTTTGAGATTTATTTTGTAATCGTGCGTGAATCGACGGGAGTATCGGTGCGGTGCTCGTTCAGGCCACTACGTAGCCCATCATTGGTCGCTGCGGCTCCGTTTTGAGTTTCCTACGCCAAAGCCAAACGCCCCCTCCAACAAGTTGTAACACTATTAATGATGTCGAGAGCGATTGAACGATAACGATGCGTGGCCTATATACAGAATATTGCGTTCTATGGATATGTCCCCAACCCACCGCACAACTCACTCCAGCAGAGCAATCCTGTTTCTCACATTCGTCCGGCATAACCGTGCTCAGACGTACAATAGGCTGCGGTCGTGGCGCACCCTGACCGAGTCCGCGCGCGAGGACTTGTTCGGCATGTGCTCCCAGATGGGGTCCACGTCCGGCCCGTCGAGGTCGCCTGCGCCGTCCCATCCCCAGCACCAGACTGCCGGCGAGCAATATTAGTTTCAAACTGTAGCAGAAGAGACCGAGCGGCAGAAAGGGGACGCACCGTATTCGGGGCCGGCTTGGAACGCGAGCGGCTCGCTCTCCTCCTCGGTGAAGAGGCGGTCGTGGGGCCCGAACCAGGCGCGGTCCTGCGGGTCGGTGCGCGGGTTGTCGGGGAGCCCGCCGAGGCGGACGTACCCACGAATCGCGGTGAGGTTTCGGCGCGAGGGGTGGATTATGTCCCATACACGCTGCTCCGCCGTCAGCAACGCACAGGAATAAACACAGAAGAAGAGCACGTACGTGGTCGTACGCGAGCTTGACGCGGGGCACCATGAGGATACGGCCGTATCCGGCCTCCCAGTAGTCGTTGCAGATGAGCGAGCACTCGCTCGCGGAGCACTCGCCCTCGGTGATGCGCGCCATGCGGAAGCGCACGTGCGGCGGCGCGTAGAACGGCGCGGGGTCGAGCACGGCGATGCCGTTCCAGCAGGACTGCACCTGGATCGGCAGGTGCTGCATGAAGCGCTGCTGCGAGGGCCCGTGCTGGAAGATGGACTCGAACGGCGCGTTCTCGAGCGCGGTCCCGTTGATGTCGCGCGCGACCCAGTTGTCGTAGAACACGGGCGAGCCCTGGCGTGGGGGGCAGCGTTAGTGTGCACAAGTACGGGAGGGGGGAATGGAGGCGTACGAGTTCTTCGTGGTACATGTAGTCCGCCGCACAGGTGATGCCCGCGTTGTTTCTCCGGCTCTGCCAGATGAGCTCGAGCAGGTCGTCCACGCACGGCAGGATGTCGTTCATGAAGATGATCGAGTCGAAATACTCGTTCTCCGCGTCGCGCAGCTCGTGCAGGGGCACGAACGCAGCATTACGCACCTCTGCGAGGTACTCGATACGGTGGTTAAACGCACCGCGCGTGCGCATCGACGTCCGGATCGTGACGCGTAACCCGACGCTCCGGCAGATCGCGTCGAAGATGCGCAGGAGCGCCTTCGTCTGGTCCGTCGAGCCGTTCTCGTAAATTGAAACGTACACGTTGTGATAGCCGAGGATCGCGGCGACGCGGAAGAGCGTCGCGAAGAGGTCCGGGATGATGTCGAACGAGTTGTACAGGTTGATCGCGAAGAAATACTTGTGCGCGTCCGGCCCAAACCGCCGCCCAGACGGCACGTAGTCGCCGTCGACGTTGCTGCCCAGCCCCAATGTGTCGAACCAGGACGAGGACGCGGGCGACTGGTGCCCGATGAGAGACGCGTATCTCTCTGCCGCCTGCTCTTTGTACATTGGCTGGGCGGGTCGTGTGCATTCTTTTGTGTAATGCGGGGAGAGATGGGTAACGAGGTCCAAGACGCGCCGTCGTTGGTCAATCGTTGGCAATGTCAGCGGTGTTCTTGCTGGTGTGCGTGAGGAAGGGAGCACCGGAGCGTGGCGGCCTCTCCATGCTGAAGTAGCGGACTGTCAAAGGGTCAGCATATATACTTGTGAGGTGCGATACACAGGTACGGAAATGCGGCATCGAGTATGTCGACGTCACACCGAACATTCAGACCCAGAGACTGAATAGGAGGACGTGCATTTGTGCCCTCATAAGCAAGCACGTCTCCCTGTTCGACGGTCGTACGATGCGCCGGCACGTCCAGGGCGCAACTCCTATGTACGCCGTCTGACCCTGTGGATACAATGTCTCGGAATGTATGGGCTCGGTGTTCCGGGCCTGTACATCATGAGACAAACGCATACCTTGCATCCCATCATGTTCTTGATAATTCCGAGGATAAGGATATCTTACAGCACCCTTGATGAGGAATGTGCTGTGCCAAGAGCCATAATCCGTATCGAGCGAGGAGCCGCCCGAGGGATGGGCAGGTGCCAACCCAAACACGCGCACAAGGAGAGAAGGTTGCGATGGAAGTGCCCCCAATACAAGTAGACACATTACTCACCGAAGAGAACATTTTGGAGATGAAGAGGCCGACCATAATCCCGACGGAGAGGGCGAGCCATGTCGGGATGCGCTGGAGGGGGTGTTTACTCCTAGGCTGCATTGCGTGCAAGCGTATTCTGAGCTGTCGATAAGAGACCATCGTTGTACAGTACAGAAACGCTCGGTGGGGCTTACCTCTCGAAGACTTCCTGTTCAGCGTGTATACCGACGCGCTACCTCCGACGTGACTATCCTGCGCGTCCGGTGGCTGGTTCTGGTTGGGCGCGGCCGGGGAGTGTGCGGAGGCGCGCTAGCAAGTCTATGGCAGATTAAGAGAGAATAAGAATAGCGAGCCTAGGGTATAGTAGCGCGGAGGCGGGAGAGCGGGAGGGGAGGAGACAGGAGAGGCGGAGGAGTGGTCGGCGGGCTGCCAGAGAGCAAAGTGCCGGAGACGCCCATTTTGTCCCATTTTGGGCACGTCCTGCCACCTTGATCCTCGACCACGACCTCCTCTCCCTCTCTCTCCCGCTCCTTCTCCCCCACCCTCCTGCACCTCCTCGTCGCCGTTTGCGGTGAGCAGCTCGCGGATGCAACGCCGTGCAGGCAAGGCAGTCGCCCACATCTCGATACCCCCCACGCCCGGTCACATGGGCTCCGAGTCTGAAAAGGCCCCTTCGCGTCTGCACCAGAAGAGTCTCGGGGTCACCAACCGCATATGGCTCATCCTCGTCGCCTTCGTCGCCCTTATTGTATTCACGCGCTCTATACTACCCACCGAGACCTCTAATCCTCGACACCGGCTCCTCCACACGGACCTCAAGCCCAAGAACTACTTGAATGTCTCTGATGATTCCAACCCCTTTCCGTTTTGCCCGGCACTGGGTCCGGGCGACGAGCTCGCCTCAAGATATGACCCCATTGCGCTCTCGCAGACACGCTTCCACACTGGCAGTGGGGCGCGCATACAGCGCGTCATCAACAAAGCCCTCGCCGGCCTTCCAGTGACCATCAGTATCGTTGGCGGTTCAGGTGAGCACCTTGCACTGTGCTCTGGCCCTGCGCAGTGTGGCGCCTTGGCCTGCTTCCTCCCTCGAGCTGGCTAGAAAAAGCCCTGTGGTGATAGCGGCGTTCATGGCTGATGCTGAAATAACGCCCTGTGTCAACTGTATGGCGCCGTTGACGGCACACTTCGAACGACTCGTCTCTGGAGGACTTAAGGCGAGGTTCCTCGTACTTCTCGCCTATACATGTCTTCTTGATTGCTTCCTATGGATTGTACCTGAGGTATGACGTTACGAAAGTCGTCTTGTCTCCGTCCGCGAGACGCCTTACGTTCTCTTCATATGCATTTAAGTTCATATGACCTACCCACTATCAGCTTCCAGATTCTCCGAGCACATGCTATGTTTGGCGGGTTCGCTGACGCACGTTCACAGTATCTGCTTGCCATGGTGCAGGCGATGACCCCCTTGCGCCGAGTTGCTATCCTGCACGCTTCTTCAACTGGTGGAACAACGTGTTTCCCCACCCCGCGTCCGAGCTCACAAATGGTGCCATGCGTCGGACAAGCTCATCATATTTCTCCTTCTGCAACGCCCACCACATCCCTGATATTACGGACCTGGTAATCATCGAACTCGACGTCGATGACGCGAAGTAAGTATACTCAGAGTACAATGCAGCAATGGTACCTCTAACAAACGGACCGCACAGTACGGAGGCCTCCATGGACGAGTTTGAGCTTCTGGTCCGGTCAATCATGATTCGGCCAGATTCCCCGGCGGTCCTTATCTTGGGCCACTTCAGCCCACAGGTTGCTCAGACAAGAGGATTCGCTGGCGCAGATCATTGGCACAGCCTTGTAGCACAATTCTACGACGTGCCCCACATCAGGTATGAGCACTTCCTTCGTCGGACTGTTGCATAAAACTTAATCCCAAGAAAGCACGAAGCCTATCCTGTACCCAAGGTTCATGGAGAAGCCCGCTTCCATCAACAAGTACTTCACCGACCCCGTCCTCGCGAACGCGGCCGGTCACGAAGTCATCGCGGACGTCCTCACGTCTTACTTCCAAACGCAAGTCTGTAACGCCTGGGCTTCGGTGATGGGCCACTCCGCAGAAGCGATCCCCTCCGCAGCCGCGCCTATCTATGCAGACGGTCAGGCGAAGCAACCCACGGATGCGCGCGGCCTCTTCGGAGGCGTCGCACAGCGCAAGGGTGCTGCCGCAGGTGTGGTAGCGGAGGACGGCGCAGCAGCAAACCCCGCTCCCGTTTTAGACCGCGACTCAATGGGCCGTCCACCCGCGCTCGCAGCGCAAGACCCCCGGCTTCGCGTGCCCACCATGCGCATCAACAGCCGACCAGCCGACCTTGAGGACACACCGTTCGAGGAGGTCGCGCCGTACTGTGTGTCGGCGAACGACCTCGTGAACCCGCTCCCGCTGTCGATGTTCGCAGGTTCAGGCTGGGCGGCGTACCACCCGCCGCCGGGCTCCGCGGAGCTGTCGTCGCACGCGCACTACTTCTACTCGTCGCTGCCGACGAGCCGGTTCCGGGTGAACATCCAGGTCGGCGCGGGCGACGTGGGCGTTTACTACGTGCGCGAGTCGGCGGCGCAGGTCGGCGAGGGTAGCGCAGTCGAGTGCTGGGTGGACGACAACTACCCGGGCGCGGTCGTGATCGAGAACGCGGCGGACGTGGGAGAACCGACGCCATCGTAAGTGTCTTGTCTTCCGCTCGCCTACTAGATTCGTTCGTATGCTGAGAACCGTGTGCAGATTGAAGATGATCGACCACCGCGTAGCGCGCGGGACCCACTACGTCGAGTGCCAGCTGCTGGGCGAGGAGGATGACCGGAACGTGCCGCCATTCAAAATCATCGGCATCTTCTCGACGTGAGCGTGTCGGCGCCTTTTGGGTCCACGGTCGAGCTAGGAGGAGAGTACCTACGCGCGAGAGCGATGTGTCGGAGTGCGCCTGTAGGTGTTTGTGGGCGTGGGTGTCTGTGCATAGCTAGTAGAGTAATCGATAGATCCGAACAGTAATGGACATGTTCGAGAGGCCTGTGTGCGGCGCTGGACGACATTGGCTACCCCGCGCGCAGATGCGACGACCCAGAGGTGTTCAGCGTATGGCCGGCCTGACCGTTGGTATACTGATGTCCTATCCTCCCCTCACTCTTTCCAAAGTCGTCAAGAAAGCATATTGATTATCCACGCGCGCACATACAACGATGCTACCACCGCCCACTTCAACACCGCCCTGCACCTCCCCTCACTAGATCCTGCAAGCGGTTGCTAGCAGCGCCGAATTCAGCGCATACCGGCGTCCTTGAAGAAGAACAGGCCAGAGAGGCCCACTGCGCAGTCCACAGCATCAACGCCAATCTCGCACCCACAATCGCCCGTGAAGAGCACTCACGGTGGTTAGTGTTGACGGCGAAGCCGCCAAAGGCGAGCACGTCCGAGCAGTAGAACGGCTTGCCGTGGTTGCTCTCGTCCCCATTGCCGAACGGCTGCCCCAAACCCCGTGTGTCAGTCCTGGGGTCCCGCGAATTGACGAGACGGACTCACTCCGACGATGCGCGTGGTCTCCTGGGCGGCGTCGAAGACGACGAACCCGAGGTCGACGACCATCTCGCGCTTGTAGTACTCGTGCCACCCGGCGCGGCCGAACACGCCGACCAGGACCTCAGTCGCTGCGTCACGGCCACGGTCAGAGTCAGCGAATGCCCTCCCGTCGACTGGGGAAAGGGAGAGGGGGCCGCACCGTTGAGCTCGACGACGGAGGCGTTGGCGAACTGGCTGCCGTGCCCGATGGTGGTGGCGTCGCCGTTGGCGAGCTGGTAGGTGACCGCGATGCCGTCGACCTAGGGCAGTGGGGAGGGGGGCTCGTGGGTTAGTATGTCGCGCCTAGCTGGAGGGAGGGAGTGGGGCGTACGATCCAGCCGTGGGAGACGATGATCTTCTGGATGGGGTGCGCGACGTCGAGCGGGTCCTTGCCTGCCAGGATACGGGTGAGTGCCGTCGAGCGGAGAGTTGGGAGCGGTGCATAACGTACCGAGGTCGTCGACGACAATGCTGCCTGTGAGAGACGTTGTGTTAGTGGTCAACGGGGGACGTGGGCAAGGCGGGAGGCGGGCCTACCGTCGGAGGCACGCATGTGCACGTCTTGGAACTGGTGGCCGTCGAGGCCGCCGACCGCAGAGGTGGTGATGAAGCTGTGCATAGTTGAAAGTGTGGAAAAAGAGCTAGCTGTGGGGGCTGAGAGTGTGGTGCGTAGGTAGAGATGAGCTTGAGTCTGAGGAGCTCGCTGTGGTGGTGGGGCCTTTTATACGCTCTGGTCGACGCGCAACCACAGGCCATGGTCGTCCTCCATGGGCACTAGCTCCGGGATTGGAGCCCACCGGACAGTCTGTACGACACTGGTCGCGTACGGAGTGAGAGAGTACCGGGCTTGGGCACCTAGGTACACCCATAGAACAGGGGCAGCGGGAACCGTAGATGTTCGGGTGACGAGACCTGTGGCGGACGGGAAGGTCATTCTCCAGGGGTGACCGCTAGATCATGGCAGTTTCATCGCTATATAATTCACTGTCGGGTGCGTTAGACAATATACCATCCGCTTAGTAAATAGTACATACCTCACTACTGAACCCTAAACGTAGACCAGCTTAATGAGGCGGTGTGAGCCTGCAGCTTTTGCTACGGGTATGGTTGCATACAGGGACGTATCACCGTCAAATCGCGTACTACATTGAGTCGCACCTCCAGACTTTCATCGGCTGGAAGTGGACATACGTCTATGGGCACAGGCAGATTGGCGCTGCGGGACTCGGAGTAGGTACCTCCGTTGGACGATGTTCGGGCCTCTATACTGAACGCGTTGTAAGCGATATCCTGTTGGCTATCATGTACATAAAGGCGTCTGCAAGGGGACCCGACCGTCAGTCACTGTGGACGGCTGGGCGTGTCGCGGCAGTGTCGTACCTTGAGATGGCCCCTAGATGAGCCGGAGACAAGGAGTTGCGGGGAGGTAGCTGGACGTCCGTTTGCAATACGGGTGCCTCGAACGGGATATGTATGGCCAGATCGAGTCTGGCGCGGGCCCCCGTATAAAACAAGCTCAAGGTTTGTCGTGGACGGGTCTTCGATGTCAACGCGTGCTATAGTATTGAGATGTACAGTACGGTACGGCTCACGCCCATCCGGGAGCGGGGTCGGTACCCCGCAGCACAGCTGTGTTATGGCATCGAGTTCAAGATATCATGGTGGGGGGCTGGAGGTCTCACTGGGTGGCCGTGCTTGGGTAGTCGCCCGTTGGGCGGTGTGGGGGCGTGTGTATCCGAGTCCGAGAAGTTCGGGAAGCCTCGGGAGTAGGCGCGCGCTGCACGTACGTACGGGTGACCTCAGACCCACATTTTGCGTCAACGAGGACGTCACCTGGCGTTCTACTCGCACTGGGTATCTGTACGCGATACCCTTGCTCGCCCTACGCCCGAGGGTTGCGCCATAGACCTATTGAGATGCGCCACGGAGGGAGAGCTGCAACAATCGGGAAGGTGTGTGTTGAATGTTCGGTCACTGAGCGCTACTCACCCTTGAATGTCCTACTGGCCCTGGAATGCTTCATACATGCGCGAAATGCCCAAAAGACCTACGCTCAGCCGCACATGGCTGAGAGAGGGACGCAGCTTGCTGGTCTCGGCGGAAAGTATTCGACCGAGGGCGGCTGAGGCAGAAGACCGGGTAAGGGGACCAAGTTGCCGGTCAAAGAGGCGTTGCTGAGTAAGAATATTTCTCCCGGACCTCCCGCCATGACCTCACTAAGCGCAATCCGGAATCCATGTACTTTTCTTCCCGTACTCCCTCGCTCTCCGGGCGCCACTATATAAACACCCTGGGGTACGACGAAGATGTCTTCAACACACTCCCGCGACCTCAGCTCGTCTTTCTACACGCATACACACCCTCGCTCGACCTCACCCGCACACATATCACTTCAGCGCAATGGCACCGGTCACGAACGGACGTCTACTCTTCAAGGAGGTCCCCACCGGTGCGTCCTCGTTCACACACTGCAGGTTCTATATGTCGTATCTCATGCGTCCCTTTTTTTACACACAGGCTACCCGGTTCCGGGACAGACCACGGCCTACGATGACTCGGAGAAGATTGACCCCGAGACGGTGGCCCTCAATGGCGGCTTCCTCGTCAAGACGCTCGTCCTCTCCATCGACCCCTACCTGCGCGGCCGCATGCGCCATGCCGAGTCCAAGAGCTACTCGGTACGTGGACTCCGTGTCTGCTGTGGTTCTTGCAAGCTAACCCATCCGTGCTCATAGCCGCCTTTCCCGATCAACGAGCCGTACGTTCACGCGCGACCAGAGATCTCACGCGTATGATCTAAATGACGCGTTCGCAGTCTCACCAACTTCGGTGTGGGTGTCGTAGTCCGCTCCGAGAACCCCGCTGTCAAGAAGGGCGACCATCTCTACGGCTTCTTCAGTATGTCCCCGGCCGCGGTCCCATATATATGCACTGACACAGCAATGGCTCCTCAGAGTTCCAGCACTACTCCGTCGAGACCAACGCTGCACAGTTCAAGGTGCTCGAGAACAAGGAGGGCCTCCCTTGGTCCGTCTACCTCGGTGTTGTTGGCATGCCCGGTAAGAATATATCCGCATCGAACTTGAACGCGCGAAGCTCACAACCTGGCAGGTGAGACCGCGGTGTACGCCTGGAGCGAGTTCTCCAAGGCGAAGAAGGGCGAGACCGTCTTCGTTTCCGCAGCCTCAGGTACGCGTTTTCATCACGAGAAATGGCACAGAAAACTGACACCTTGTCGTAATCGTAGGTCCCGTCGGAGCGTGCGTGTCACAGATTTTGCAGGGTGTATGACATCTATCTCACGCGCCTTCCCTGCAGTACCGTCGTCCAGCTCGCGAAGGCGCAGGGCCTGAAGGTTATTGCATCCGCAGGGTCCGAGGAGAAGGTTGAGTTCGTCCGCTCGGTCGGCGCGGACGTCGCCTTCAACTACAAGACTGCGAGCACCCGCGAGATCCTCGAGAAGGAGGGCCCGATCGACATGTACGCGGAGCCTTCATCTTTACTGCTGCGAATGCTGACCTGCTTTTGCCTGTAGCTACTGGGATAACGTCGGCGGCGAGACCCTCGAGGCCGCGCTCGACCACGCCGCCAAGTACGGCCGCCTCATCGTACGTCCCTCTCTCCTCCCCCTCTTCCCTTTCTCATCCCCACACGCTAATGCCCCAACCCCCATGGTAGGAATGCGGCATGATCTCGCAGTACAACAGCGCGCCGTACCACGTGAAGAACCTGATCCAGATCGTGTCCAAGGAGCTCTCGCTCCACGGCTTCATCGTCGGGTCGCTGCGCGACAAGTACGGCGCGCAGTTCTACGCGGACTTTCCCGCGCGCGTCGCGCGCGGCGAGATCAAGTACAAGGAGCAGCGCGTGCTGGGGCTCGAGAAGGCCGGCCACGCGCTCCTTGACGTGCTCCGCGGGGACAACTTCGGGAAGAGCGTGATCGTGGTTGCGGACGAGTGAGCGGGTGATGGGCGTTCGGGGTAGTGTCAGCGAAGTGAAATGTGTGCATGTACGACTAGTTCTAAAAATCAAACCGCGCTGGGCTCGCCATAGCTGCGAACCTCCGAATCACTCTGTGAGCGGAAAAGCAGGATGCCCTCAAAACTTGCTCAAAACAAAGGAAAACTTCATCAGTCGTGACGACCATGGACAATCAGGGGATTGAACCCTGGACCTCACGCATGCGAAGCGTGCGCGCTACCACTGTGCCAATTGCCCCTTCCAGTGTGGTCCTCTGTACCTAATAGATTGAGACCCGTTCACTCGAGACCACAAGCCGAAGAAACCTCGAAGTCCTTGAACTTGAAGCTGCACTCGATCGCTCGGCGGATCTCCCTCGACTTCTCACATCCACCATCTACGAGATGAGTTCCTCCGCATATCTCGACATCTACATGGGCGACCAGGACGAGCACGACCGCGCGCAGGCGGCGTACGCCGCTACCGCCGCCCTGCTCACGAAGAACGCCGCGATCTACGGCCTCCCGCCGTCGCCCGCCGCGCTCTCGGAGGAGCAGCAAGACATCCTGCGGGACCTCGACGTACATCCCCGCCCTCCTCGCCTGCGTGCGCCACGCTGAAGCTGCCCTTTCCTGCTCCGAATGAAACGCGCGCGCACCCGCCAAACCCGCGTAGCGCTCGCTCGAGATGCGCTTCGCGCCCCCGGCGCCACTGTGTGCAGGCCGGCTGGTCTTTGAGCTGGACGGCAGCCAGGGCCTGGCGAAGACGACCGCGAACTTCCTCGCGCTGTGCACGGGCGAGAAGGGTGCGTGCAAGAACGCGCCGAACAAGAAGCTGCATTACCTCGGCTGCCCGGTCCATAGGATCGTGAAGGGCTTCGTCGCTCAGGGCGGCGACATCACGCGCGGGGATGGGAGCGGGGGCGAGGTACGTCGCGTAGCGTTGTCTTGCGCAGGCGCTCGAACTGATTGTGCATGGGGCTGCAGTCGATCTACGGCGGAAAATTCAACGACGACAAGGCGGGGCTGAAGAAGAAGGCGCAGCGCGGCTCACTCGCCATGGCGAACTCGGGCAAGAACACGAACTCGTCGCAATTCTTCGTCGTGCTCACGGACGACGAGACCAAGCTCGCGAAGTTGCACGGAAAGTTCGTTGTGTTCGGGGAGCTCGCGGAGGGCTGGGACGTGCTCGGACGGCTGGACGAGGTCGGCGGTGGGGCGGATGGCAAGCCCGCCATGCCTGTGTGGATCGGGGGATGCGGACGACTGGGTGGGCCGTAGTGAGGGGTTGGCGCAACGTCGTACTGGACTCAGTAACTGGTATGTCATCTCCCCCGTGGCTTCAAGACAGGACCATTAAAACAGCTTAATAGGATCTCCGTGTACGATATCGTGCCAAATGAGTGCATGTCTGCTTCTCGATGTCAGTCGTCATCATAAATTCAATCACCATGTATACCACCTGACATATGCACATTTGTTGCCTTGGTCACGTAGCACGGCCTAGCCATCGAGCCTCCGTGTCCGAGGACAGAAATATCATGCAGGTTACGGCAGGAGTTGCAGAAGGAATGGCATGTAGCGCGTCGCGCCAAACCACGACCACGGCGATCTGGGCTGCACAAGCATGGAAGATCGCAGCATAAGTATATTGTCGTCTGCGACGACGTCGACGCCCGCGGATCAGGCTCATTAACGTCTGTCTGATGCTCCCACAGCGTATACAACTCTCACGCTGACCCTCCCAGCCTACATAATATGTAGTAACGGTATCTATAGGCGGCGCTCATCCAACCTGTTGACCGCGCCGCCCCTCGACCGACGACATCATCTCAGTGTCGCCCACCATCGACATGGCGGCATGCAACGGGGCGAGCTTAACTTCCTTCTCAATCGACGCATGCGTGCGCGATTTCTGGTCCGCCGTCGTTCCGTTCGTGTTCGTCGGTCTCGCTCTTCTCAGTTTTACACCTCCCGCTCGCGTTCTGCTCCGTGCCGCGAGCAAGCCTTTCACCAACTTCCTCCCTCTGCACGAAGCTGAAGCGTTGATCTTCGGGGATGACAAAACACGGGAAGAAGAGGAGATTGCGGTCCCACTATGGCGCACGCTCGTTCTCTCTGCAGTGTCGCTCGTCGAGTGCTTGCTCTGGGTCGGGGTCGCGTGCTACAGTCTCATTGACAATCCGCAAGACCTCTGGAACGGGATTGGCGACCTCCTGATCGCTTCGACCTGGTTCTATGCCACACTGCGCCTTGTTGTCAAGCCTACCGCAACTGTTCCGTACGACCTGCTCGTTCTCTTCGGGCTGCACCTAGTCCTTGGGATAGTCACGTTCTTCGGGCATCTATACGACAATTATGTCTACGCTCTGCCGATGCCTCACTGGGCCCTGGTGGCTACGGAGGTGGTCAACCTGTTTGCCATAGCCGGGGTGCTCACGATCGTCGTGAATATGCCGCTCGGCATTCCGAGCAAACAGGTCAAGAAAGAGGCGATCGTACGTATCCCATGTTCATGATTATCCGCATATATGTATCGGTTGGAATATAATTAACGTCTATTTGCTGTGTCCAGGGTGCGTCGGTTTCCTTTGAAGACTACACGACCCTGTGGGGTTGGGCCTCCTTCCGTTGGCTCATACCACTACTCACTCTCGGCACCTCTACTACGTTGAACGAGGAGGACGTCTGGGCGATGAGTCCGACCATGCAGGCTCGCCCGCTGCATATCAAGTTTTCGCGCTCGACGGGCAAGCTGCTGAAGCGGCTTTGGAAGACCAATTCTCTCGACCTGATCCTGGACTTCACCCTCTCCTACGTCAGCATCGTATTCAACTATGCTGGCCCGTACTTCTTGAAGCAGATCTTGGACTCGCTCGGTGGGGACGGACGGAACCCGGAGAAACGGGCGCTCGCATTCGTGTATGCGTTCCTCGCATTCGCGAGTTCGCTCTGCAAGGTGCTGCTTGGAGATTATCGTGCACCTGGAGTTGCTCATTTGTATCTCCCAGACAGAGAGCGACCTCCAGCATTTATGGTACTGCCGGCGCGCCTGCACCCGGATCCGGACGGAGCTCATGGTGTCCATTTACGACAAGGCCCTGAAGCGCAAGGACTTCTCGGGCATCGTTGACAAAGACGCCGCGGACGTCAAGTCCAAGGACACCAGTAAGAATCCGGGCCCGAAGGTAGACGATCCGAAGGCTGGCGCAGATATTGGCAAGATCGTGAACATGATGTCGAGCGATGCTAGCTGCATCTCGATGATAGTTGCGATTATATACTTCATGTATGGAGGTATGCATGCATGCAGCTGGGGGCAAGATAGCCTACTCATCGGATTCATGCAGCGCCCTTTGAAATCCTCATTGCCGGCGTGTTCCTATACAAGTGAGTGTTACTCCTTCTGCATACGTGTAGTACACTCATAGTTTCATAATGCAGGTTGTTAGGCTGGTCCGCGTTGACGGGATTCTTGATCTTACTGCTCAGCTGGCCACTAAACCACTTCGTTTCGAAACGGTCGATCCGCATTCAAAAGGGATTGTCGACCTCGCGTGACAAGCGAATGAGCGTATTGAACGAGCTGATCGGCGCGGTAAGTATATGGCAACTAGCTAACACGTCTCGCTGGTATGAGACTCATCGCCTGTTTTGCTATTTTGCAGGTGAAGTTCATCAAGTTCTTCGCTTGGGAAAATCGGTGGATCCAGAGGGTCCTGGATGCTCGCGAAGTGGAGATGCAGTGGATGATCAAAGGTACGTCCAAACAACAGCCGTAGACTCTTGCACGCTCACGATTGCATGACACCTGCAGCGCGCATCAATTCGATTTGCTGGTCCGTACTCTGGATCTGCGCACCAGTCCTCGTTTCCGTATCCGCGTTCTTCGTGTATATCGCTTCCGGCAACGAGTTGACCATCGGTGTGAGCGAGAGCGTGTGCGTCGGCGTCGGTTACCTGTAAGTAAAGCGACACGGGTCCTCAGTACGCACGCTCGAGTGAGAGCAAGACTGATCATTGTGCTGTACCTGTAAGTAAAGCGACACGGGTCTACATACAGTACAGTTAGTAAGGTGAACATGAACGGGGGGAAATGGGATCGGCTTACCCTCAGTACGCACGCTCGAGTGAGAGCAAGACTGAGGGCAGCGCGATCGCGAGACGTCGAGTATAAGGTGGGGGGCGAGAGGGCGAGCGATAGGGCGTCTCAATGAGAAATTGCCTAATCGAGAATGCTTATGTAATACTGACCGCGCGGAACTCGTCCGCGCGGCAGACATGAAGACGATAACGAACGAAACAATCAGAAAACATACACTAGACGATACGGGGCCGGTCGCAGACAACGACGCTCGGATTGCGTGCTCCAACACTCCCCCTCAATCCTGGAGCAGACCAAGGGCG